AACAGAATAGGCAACGGCAACAAGCAGGATGGCCACCGGCGACACCGAATCAGAAATTCGGATTGTCCCTGGGCGTCAAATATTTTTATGCAATTTGTCAGACGAGGGTCTCTTTGTTCCATGGTCGACGAGATATTCCACTCTTCACTTCGAGAAGGAACCCCATAAGAAAACCCTCATAATTCTCGAAGAGACTGCTTGCCCTCGTTGTGTTTTTGAGACCAAGCGGGGTGGATTGATCATTCGAGGCCGTGGATACTACCCTGACCATGTTCCAATGCAAAAGAACGAGTCCCGGGCTCATAGTGGGCGATGCTATGAAGTATCTGAGAGTAAATGTAGAACGATTAGGAAGGAGTTGGAGAGCCATAATGGAGCATTTATTGGACAACGTGGTTACACTTTCCACATAACCGTGCTCACCTCACCCTCCGCCCGCAAAGCAAGAGGTATCCTGGGGGAATACAATAATATACCGAAGGTTTCCGGGCCGGATAGCGCAGCGGGTCTCAGGGCCGGTGGGGAATAATAACTAGCGCCAGCGCCTCGCCGGGAGATCATTGGCAGCTCAGACTTGTCGACCTCCGCCAACCAGTCTGGCCAGCAGGCTCTTCTGCCCTGTGATAGGGCCAACCCCGGCGAGCTTGTTCGGCCCTTGTATCGAGATGTATCGATCGCAGGCGAATCGACACGGGAGATTGGCCCGTCGCAGAGCTGGTCCATGCTGCTCCTCATTTGCTTACTGGCCGTGTGATCGTGCGCGGAAGTCTTCTGCGTTGAAACTCCGCAGATCGTGGGACTGCTGCTGATGATTCCAGCCCCTTCAATAGTTATTCACTTGCGCCCGGAAAGCGTCTCGTTTTCTGGGTTATCGAGGAGCGGGCAGTGCAAGTCTCTCGGTTCCCTCAGGAGGCAGAAGGCGTCATATGGCCGGCCCATGTCTCTCGGGTTTCTGCCAGGATAGAGACCATCGTGTCGCCCAGTTTGCGCCCCCAGCCTCGATCCACTTGATCGCCCTCCAGGCTTCCTTCGCCCGGATGTCATGCGCGCTTTGGGTTCAGCGGTTTATTGATCCGCTAAGTTGGCCTTCAGCAAATCATGGATCCCTCTTCCGGGAGCTTCACCTCACATGGTCGTGTTTGATCAGCCCCCGCCACAGATGATCTACCCTGGTTGATTCGAAAGCCTCTCCATGATTCCTGGCTTTCCAGCCCCCGAAAACGGCCGGTTGCCGTAGAAAGGATCAGACATTTGCCGTCGACGAGTGAAGACTCAGAAGTGACAGCGGCCTCGCCGAGAGGGCTGTAGCTTTCTTCCTGTTGCCCCCGCAGAGTGTCTTCCTGGCGCACGAGTTGGGTACCTATCGCAATGCAGCATGGCAGTATCGCTACCTAACTGGCCTTGCTCTACTGCTGGGCTTCATTCCGGAGCAACCCTATGGAGCAAGGCGAAGGCCGCTTGGTCTACACTAGACACGAGAATCATCATGATCATCCTGGAGTTCCCGCGGTAGCCTCCCAGAAAGAAGACAGTTTCCATACGGTACAGCGTCCTGGTAATACCCAGACCTTCCTGATCGTGATACTAATTGGGCCTGAGCAAATGCAACCAACCCCTGCCGCAATATATCGACCCTTGGGCCAACCAGACGCCTTCCATGGGCCAGGGATTTTTTTTAAAATAATAGTAATATTTATTCTCTATTTTTCCTTCTTCTGGCTGGGGTGGCTTTTTGAGCCGTGCAGCCAATCATTAGGCCCAGCAGCCCGATTCCCTCTGGCGGGTGAAGGGTTATCATGGATATTCTCGTGCCAGTCAGTTGCAATCGAGATTTCAGTCGTTCTGTAAATCCACGCGATACTCCCTGATCGCCCTAGCGGTCTCGGGACTCTGATTTCTTTTTAACTCCGCCCATTGCCTTACCCGCATGCCCACGCTACCCTTCTTATCACTCTTCGTGCATATTGTATACATACCTCACTCCCTCTTCCAGTAGCTGGCTGATAGCTCGCGCTTTCTCTCTCTCTTTTTTCTACACGGTACCAGACTCTCGCTGCCTGTACTTCTAGCCGGCTCGTGGGTTGCGCGGAGGATCATGCATTATCATCTCTGCTTGTCTTACCGTTAGACTTGTCTCACCGTTTCCCCGGAGTTTTGTTTTGCTGTTTTATTTCGCTCTGTGTCTACCCGCAGGACCCGTCTTCTATGGAGGACTCTCCCACCATGGAGACGGAGACGCACCATGCGCCAGACAGTGAATTCGGCCATTCACCATGGGTCGACCTCGGCGCGTTTACTTCTCCTCAGAATTCTCCCCCAATGCCAGAGTACAGCGGGTTCGACTATGGCCCGTCATCACTGATGGCTGTTGACACTGCCTCTTATGGCATGTCAATACCCCCGCCTTACGCCTCCATGCCGTTAGCCATGCCCTCCCATTCCTGGCCCAGCATGCTCGCCAACCAATCGCCATTTCACGAGTCGGGAATGCCGCCTGCTCCTGTCCCAACGTCGGTCTCGCCTTCGGCGCCGATGCCTCCCATCCGGAGAACATCGACGGGAGGGTCGACGCCGCGCAGAACTCTGACCGATGAGGACCGGCGGCTAATGTGTCTTTACCATGAAGAGAACAAGACGGCCAAACAGACCGACATTGGAGGTATGTTTTCAATGCTACTGGATGGACTATTGCTAATTGAAATCCAGCATTGTTTGGTGTGGAAAGAAGGTATTTTGGCCCTCAGTGAAAATAGCCCTAACCTATGCTCAGAGGACTTTTATTCTGACAAACGGTGTGAAAATAGCACGGTTTCCAAAGTGTTGCGCCAGAAAGAGAAATATCTCAATCGCGATGACGGTAACCGTTCGCCTATCAAGCGGGCCAAGGGTCGAGTCCCCGATATCGAGAAAGCCTTGACCAACTGGGCGAGGAACTACCAGCGGCAAGGATTCCCTCTGAGCGATGAGATGATCAAAGAGAAGGCGCTGTTCTTTGCCAGCACATGTGGATGTCCTGAGGGCAAAGACAAGGTGCTCACCTCGGCCTGGCTGGAGAAGTTCAAGAACAAGAACAACCTCGCTGGCGCCAAAGCGCGCAAGGGATCCATCGACGTACGCAGCGGATCGAACAGTCCGACGCGCATCACCACAGACTCGGCTGGCGAATCTACTGGCAACAGCCCTAGAGGGCTTTCTCCTTCATCTCCGGATGGCTTGCCTGCGTCTTCGCCTTTGTCCCCGACACTCAGCCAGGAAGGCAAGAAGGAACGGACTGATAGCGTGCCTGATCTTTCGGGTGGGTACCAGCATCATAATTCCAAGAGTACCGCCTCGCTAGATACCAGCTCTTCCACGGGAATGACTAGCCCAGCCTCGACTCTCGTCTCAGACAGCCCCTTCACCCCGACAAGCCAGTCCCGGCTCCCTACATCCGTGCCAGGGAATCGACCTCGCAGCCAAACACTCCCCCTTGTCCCCATCGACCCCAGCTTACTAGCCCACGACGAGTCAATTGACCCGCAGTACACAAAGGCAAGCCTCCACCGATCCATCTCGGTTGCTACTGTCGAGTCTCCTTTGGAAATGGACGACCATCATGACACCGGCAGCAACCAGCCCAACGTGATCAAGCGCAACCGCAGCAACCCCGAAATCAAGACCAAGGCCATGCAACCGCCTCCGCCATCCTTCTCCAAGTCCAACACCGTTTCTCCGATCCTCTCGCCAGGCTCGCCCACGCAGGACGAGGCGCGCCGTGCTCTGGAGCTGGTGATGAATTACTTCCAGCAGCAGCCTGCTGGACTCCAGGCTCAGGAGTATTTCACCATCGGCAAGCTGATGGAGCGCCTTGAGCTCGCGAAGAACCAGCAGAATACCGTACTTTGTGGTCTGCCGAGGATCGACGAGCATGACGTCCCTCGCATGAGCAAGAAGAGGAGCATTCACAATCTGGGCTAAATCCCTCCACATCTATATATCTTTTGCATTATTTCCCTCTATGCCTTTCCTTGACATGCCCTCTCCCTCTACACCGACAGCAACTCACCCCCAGCTTGCATGCAGTTTACTGTGATTTCCCCCTTTGCTACAGTTATGTTGTATTGCCCCCACCTCTTCCTCCATTTTCCTATGTTCGGGTGGCTTATTTGATATCCCTCACCTCGAATTCTGTTTTATATTCTTTTCTTCTCTTTTCCTCCCGCTGGCTCAGGAGAGAGTCGGCGGCACCAGGATCGGACAGCCAAAATCTGGAATTTTATACACTGTCTGAGGGCAACCTCGATATTGACTCTTTCAATGAGTGGGCTTTTTGGAACCGGATTGGCGCTGGACGACTTCGCTTCCTGGTCTTTTTTGCCCTTTTCTCATTATCACTCACACCTCTTCTCCGTGTCTCCATTGTTCAATCTGGGCTAGGGTGCATATGTATCGCGCAGGCATCTCCGCGCGCAGGCTTCGTGGACGCGCTGCATATAATTAGACCGACAGGTCCGGTCTGTCTCTGAGTTCAGCTCTTTTTCTTTATGGGACACATACGGAGATGGGGATACGGGAGAATAGGGGGAACTGACCGTCGGAGTTTTTGATCACTGGAACCTGATCTTTCGGAGAACTGATTTACGTGGAGTTTTGACTTGGTCCTTTTCCATGCTTCGGTGCTTCGGTTCGATGGTGCTGTTGCTGAGCAACCAGTACCTCCACCATTCTTTCATATCCCATTTCTTTTTGACCATCGCCTGGCCTCTGCTGGGCAGTGTACTGCATTCTAACTCTCCCTCACTTTATATCTCCTATCCTCTGTCTCTGTGCTCTTGTTACCCCCTTTATTTTATCTAAACTCGGCCGCTCGCGCGGGAAGAACATTGGTAATTTTGCTGACATCTTGCGTATACACGAACTGAGCATTTTATCTTCATCTTCTTCCTTTCATTATGTACTACGTAAAACTCAATAGTTATGTCCAGAAAGACGTCTCCTTCATTAAGACCTGTGCTTTGCATTCAGCCGGCTGACATGGGAGCCACGCCACGGTCCTCCATCAAATCTGCAATGCTGCGCTCCGATAACTCAGGGAGCAGTCTAGCCAGGACAGTCTCAACGATGGAATATACGAGGTGCTTATTGCAATAGTCATCCTCAAAGAGATCAAGCAGGTCTTGCTCTATGGACTCAAGAAGATGCAACTCCTCCGGATCAACAATTACACCAGGCTGGTCCATATGCAGCCTTTCAGTGGAGGCACGATCATTCGTAGGCGACGTCGGTGAAGAGGCCACGCCAGCCCCATTCGCCTGAGCAGACGCTGATCGCGGTCGATGATCACCGGTCTCGACCTCGATGGAGGGTGGAACCCGGGAGTTAGCGGTGACGGAGGACGAACTCCTGCTGGTTGAGCTGCAGGTACCATCACCATCGCCAGTCACCGGCCTTGGAGCCGCCGGGGACGAAACGCCAAAGAAGGTTCGTGCGACGCGGCGTGGGATCACCGAAAGCAAGCTGGTCGCACATTGCCGCTTGATCGCTGCGATCTCAGGATCAGATGGTCGAGCTCTTGTCCTGTCAGTATCGAGTATGGTGTTTGATGGCGTTGGGTGCGTGGCTGTCACGTCCGCTTTTGTCGAGGGAGAGGATACACCGGCAACACGGTCGGTGCCACTATGGCTCTGACTATTGCTGACATTACTTTTACCAGTGGCGCTGCTAGTAGCAGGAGGTTTCCTGATTGCCGCCGCAACGACAGAAGGGTTCGCGAGGGATTTTTGAGTGGATGCCGCGGGTTGCACAAACAGCTGCGGAGCGGGAGACGGGGCCCGTAGATTCACCGGTGTTATCTGCGACGGGGGACGGGCATTGGCCGGAAAGAGAGCGCTCCTGGTCGCACGGAGAATGTTGGGCAACAAAGTGGGGGTCAGCACGTACTTCTCGATGGTTTCCCGGAGGAATCTGTAGGAGTTAGCCAGATCTCAAGGCGTGACATTGGAAGAAAGCTGTTGGTTCGCAGATCATAAGGAATGACGAATGAAGAAAAAACCCCTTCTTCGACTGTGGAGAAGCGGAACGGTTGATGGCTACTTCCTTTTCGAGTCTACTCAACGCTAGAGAAAACTCAAGCTTGTCTAATCGAGGGAGTGCGGGCCCTCGCCAAAGTGGGGTTGAAGGACGGAGTAAGATCGAGGTTAGGCGTGAAAAGAGTGAGGAGCTTGGGCCAGCCCGTCATTGTGCACCGGGATGTCCATCCTTCAAGAAAAACAACCTTCAGGAGACTAGCACAAAGTGAGGCGACACCCCCTCTTCGGGAGGTAGCATCCAAGTAACGTGCCTGGACAAGGGCCTTGATGCATGAACCTCGGTCGTCCATCCACGACCGAAAAATCTCTACGCGAGGAATTTCGGTGATTGGACGATTCGCCAAGGGCTGGTCAGCATGCAAATTCTCAAAAAAGCATGGTCGGTTCTCTCGTCCATGCGAGGGCGATCGACCATCATGCGATTTCGGGTCCATGCGCATTCTGCCGAGATGGGTTTGATCGTCGCCCACTAGCCAGCCCTCGTCTGGAAGGAATCTTTGTTTTGCGCCGGGCGGGATAGTGCATGCAAATCAGACGTTTAGATCCTTGGTACCCGGATCGCAAATCCGTCGGGGCGTAAGATCAGCTGGAAAAAGTGGGCAATGAAGCGGCACGGAAAGGGCCGGGCCCCGGCGCAGTCATCATCCTGAGGGAGACAAAGCGAATCGCGGTGGGTAATCGAGGATCCTCGCATCGAAATGGACCAGGGTGTGTTGCGTTATGACGGTATGGATACCCGTAATACATAAACACGGTATGCGGATGCGGATCAAGTGATCGCCGCAGCATGCGAGCAAGACGCCTCCTTTGTGCAACCATGACACAGTCGTCGATCGAGTTCGGAGATTCAGCCGTTGCTCCACAGTCGAGAGGGTGAGGGCAGGTCCGAGACCTCGAGGGCACGGGGTGAAAGGGGACAAAGCTCTGAGGGACAAGAAGAACGTCAGACTCACCTATCAAGGACCCCGTCAGTGGCACCCAGTGTTCCCGGTCCCGCCAGTATCAGGTGTTGCGAGAGAGAGAGCAGTCCACCCATCCAGGGCATCCTTTGGGGGACGCCCAGCACCTGCGAGACCATGGAATACACCCGATAGTCCAACACCGGGCGCTTACCTGTGGCGCCATCTGATGACGCCTTCTCCTTCCGTATGTCCGGACCAGCGCTAAATGAAACACTGGTATGCGAATGACCTAGGGGTGGGCTCGATGCGACGCGGAAGAGGCCAGTCACGATAAACCGCAAGACAACATATCCAACGTAGATTCCTTGGAGGATGGCCCATATCCAAGCGGTGGCGGCGGGCTGAGCCTTTTTTTTGGCCGTTGGACGACTCGTCCCCGGTCGAAAGCAAACCGAACTGCTCTAGGCGACTGGTGGGAGTAGTGAGATCTGCTGCAGTCTCCTTGGAGGCCTTTCGTCTCATCGCCACGGCGAGCTTGGTAATGGTTTGCCAAAAGAACCAGCCTTCCGACATTCTGCCGCTGACTTCCTCTCCCAGAATGCGATCAGCAAGGACGTCGCCCACGAGAACCCGCAAGCTGCTATTCTCAAGATCCTCAGTCGGCAAAAGAACCGCCAGAGTGCCGTTGGCCAGCAGACGACGGTAGATGGCCTCATTCTCGCGCTGCGAGATGATGGTCTGTGGATCCGAGGAATCGGGGACAGGTGAAAAGCCCGGGTGAGGGTTCAACTCATGATAAAGTACGTGGTGTGAAGTTGACAGTCCCGAAAGATGGGATTGCCGCTTGGCTAGTCGGTAAGCTGAGGGTTGATATAATTAGCGGTTGGTTTTCCATCGCCACCGAGGATGAACAAGCAAATCTTACTCAGGACATGCGCTTCCACCAGCGCAGGAAGTTCATCGAGGACTAACTGAGCAACATCGATTCGACGTAGTCGCTGTTCAAGAGCTCGAGTGCAATGCGCGACCACCTGCAGGACCTCATTCACAAGAGCCTGGTCCGGTGTGATTTTGGAGTACCACGAATAGACAAAGTCTCTGATTATAATAGCAATGAAAGCGTAGAGTTGACGATCAACGTCATTGGAGCTTGTGAGAGGAGGCAGCAGCTCCTCCGGAGGCTGCGCAGAGGATGCGCCATAGGTGCCTGTCTGGGGACAGAGGACGCGCCGGATCAGGGCTATTGTGGTCTTGTCGCTGGCGGAATCGACCACATCTTCCCGGCTGGGGTCTCGTTGTATATGCAGGCGGGATGCAGGGCGTGAAGGGGGTTGCGGCGTGGCAGACGCAGGAACAGCGGTGGACCTGGAGCTGGACGTGGTCGGCCCAGCTTTAAGATGGGACAATGGGTGCAGACCGGGAGGACGAGAGTCGGTCATGGCATCACAGAGGGTGGATCGTGAGAGACCCTGAGGTGGAAAGGGGTGAATAAGAGGCCCTTGGGGCTCGACAAGAGAAGCAGCGTCGATCAAGGAGCTTTGGAGATGGGATGAAGGACCCTGATGAGGAAGGTAGTTAGGGCTTAGGGCTGGGTCTCTTATCGGATTGCGGGGAGACGACCGCGTTGACTTCTTTGTTTCTTTCTTATACTTGTCTCTGTCGCTCTCTCTATATATCAATCATGACCCCAATTCCCCTGTGGCTGGACTGTGATCCGGGTTAGTGTATATATCTCTTGTTCTGTACAGTATTCACTAACTCTCTCGCAGGCCACGATGTAAGCTGGACCTCTCCAGTCAGCGGAATGCTGATACTGACACCAAGATGTATAGGATGCCTTCGCCATCCTACTCGCAGCCCATCACCCGTCCCTCAATCTCCTGGGCATCACCACGATCCATGGAAACGCATCTCTAGAGAAGACAACCGTCAATACAGGCAGTATCCTCGAAGCAATCGGCAAGCCCGAGATCCCGGTCTACCCAGGGAGCCACAAGCCCTTCTGCCGCCCAGCCCTTCATGCTCCCGATATCCATGGTAAGACCAGACCAGACTCACACCAGCTAAAAGCACGGTCATGTTGACACGCTCTCCCGGGAGTTCCTAGGCGAATCCGGCCTGGATGGGACGGATCTCCTGCCCAAAGCATCTAGACCGCCTGTTACAGATAAGAACCCGATTTTGGCAATGCGAGATGCGCTCCTTGCCCAGCCAAAGGGGACGCCGTGGGTGGTTGCCACTGGAACCCTCACCAATGTGGCTTTGTTGTTTGCAACATTCCCCGAAGTGGCAGAGCATATTCAAGGTCTGAGCATCATGGGAGGTGCCATTGGCAACGGATTCACAACTGCGCCTATGAGTAGACTTCCGGGCGAGAAGTCCAGGGTTGGAAACGTGACGCCCTGGGCCGAGTTTAATCTTTACGTATGTTATAATATCGCTCTGCCCAGGTTGGCACGAACCGAAAAAACAACTGATCGAATTCTTTATCCCAGTGTGACCCAGAGTCCTCCGAGTCCATCTTCAGCAATGCTGTCCTTGCTCCAAAAACCACCATCATCACACTTGATCTCACCCACCAGGTGCTCGCCTCCCAAGCAGTGCAAACGCGCATCTTGCATGGCTCCAATGACCCATCGACGACACCGACAGTTCTCCGCCAAATTCTGCATGCGCTGCTAACCTTTTTCGCAGCAATGTACGAAAATGTGTTTGGTCTTGACGCCGGGCCTCCGTTGCACGACCCTCTGGCTGTAGCGGTGATTCTGTCGACGTTGAACCCGGCTTTTACCAAATCTCACCCCGGGCCAGCACTCACGTTTGACGACAAGGGTGGAGAGCGATTTGCTGTTAGTATTGTCACGGATGGTCGCCATGGCTCTGATGTGTCGACCACGGGACAGCTGGGACGCTCGCTTGCGGCACCGATTCAAGCGCCTGGTGTGGCGATTCCCAGGAGCGTTGATCTGGATGCATTTTGGGGCATGATTTTGCAGTGCGTCCAGTTGGCGGATGATTGCAACGCAGCTCGTGCAAGAAGGTAAGAACGCAATGTATAGAGAGGTATATGCTTTAGATTTCCTTGTGGCATACTTGGTATAGATTTGGACTGAGACTTTTGCATTGCTCGCATATACGGCTGTTTATTTGATAAAGATACTGGTACATGAACCTTTCTACCGGGTCTTTTTGTGAATATGATTTGTGACCACCTCTATGAAATCCCGAGAAAAAACTACCACTCGCGGATTGACCCATCAGGGCCATAGAACTCCTTGGGCAACCAAGGCTGGGTATTAGCAGCCTCACGCCGGACCACATCCTCATCGATCTCGATGCCCAGGCCAGGGGCATTCAAAGCCTCGACGTAACCATCATTCACATCGAACACAGAGGCATCCTTCACGTAGCTCGTAATATCCAAGTCACCAGCCTCCGTGTTATAGTGAATACCAATGCTCATCTCCTGGATCACAAAATTGGGAGTTGCTAGGTCGACTTGCATGCATGCCGCTAGAGCAATCGGCCCCAGCGGACAGTGAGGTGCAATAGCAACGTCGTATGTCTCTGCCATGGAAGCAATGCGCCGCAGCTCCGAGATGCCGCCACAGTGACTGATATCCGGCTGCAGGACATCAACGCTCGCATCCTCCAAGAAGCGTTTCACATCCCAACGACTGAAAAGCCGCTCGCCAAGGGCAATAGGGCAAGACACCTGATCCGCAAGCTGCTTGATACCCTCTGGATGCTCCGAGAGAAGAGGCTCTTCCAGAAATAGCGGACGGTGCGGCTCCAGTGCTTTCGCCAACTGCTTCGCCATGGGCTTGTGAAGACGGCCATGGAAGTCCAAGGCTGCGTCCAGCCCCAGCGCCTTGACCGTCTTCAAACGCTCCACACTCGAGTCCAACACGCTAGGCGAATCAAGCCAGTTCACATCCTCGGTGGCGTTCATCTTCACAGCCTTGAACCCCTGCGCCAGGCGTGCCTTGGCCGCGGCCTCCACATCGGCGGGGCGGTCGCCTCCAATCCAGGCGTACACGGACAGCTTGTTGCGGACCTTGCCGCCGAGGAGTTGGTGCACGGGGACGCCGAGACGACGGCCCTTCAGGTCCCACAGAGCAATGTCAATCCCGGAGATGGCGGACATGAATACGGGGCCGCCGCGGTAGAAACCCAGACGCCAGGCCATTTGCCAGATGTGCTCGATGTTGCTGTTGATAGTCCGTTAGTTTTGAGTTTCGGGGTGTATAGAGTAGAAAGAAGAAACATACTCGGCTTCGTAGCCTTCGAATCTCTTGCACAGGGCATTGAGTGTGCCCTCGACAGCTTCAGTGTGGCCCTCCAGCGTGCTCTCGCCCCATCCATACTGGCCCTCCTCGTCCGTAATCTTGACGAACAGCCACCGGGGCAACACCCGGAAGTATTCGATGCTCGTGATCTTGACCATTTTCGGCTCGCACAATGGCAACAATGTGGAAATTGGGTTCTGCAGCGTTGACGAAGCGTGGGATACTTAAAAAACCCCACGGGCCGGGCCCAGGAACCCCCACGAGCCGAGAAACCGTCGGACTTGTTCCGTCCTCCTGGACCGGTCTGCCGAATGATCTGACTCGGCAACCCCAGTCCGGCAGATCAGGATCTCGGTGATAGCAGGGATCGGTCGTCGGGCCTGTCCGTGAGTATAGTTAAGGACTCGGAAGGGAGTTCCAGTTCGGGACCTATTTCTCTTTGTCATGGCACTGGTGATTGGCTGTCTGGCCTGGGGATTTTTCCCCTTGCGCCCGTTGCCCGCGGGCAAGACGGGGGGACCTTTATACTCGTCGGGCGAGGTGACAATTCGACATAGCCAACATGAACATTGGGGTTGGTCAAATATAAACGCCTGGTCAATTTGGCTCGGTGGAAAGGGAAAACAACAACACCCAGAACGTCATTTTCCCTTCTCCACAACCTCGGGATCTTCCTCCTCTGGATCTCACTTAGTTTCATCTCCTCCATACACCTCCTCCATACACTTCCCCTGGATGTCCGCTATCCCCTTTACCCTCGCGCCCACCCCTTGACGGCGGATCCCCCGAGATGCCGCCTCCCAACTCGGCGTCGGTATGTTTGTGTTGTTTCTTTCGGTGTCTGTGTCTGCTGTGGCGGCTAAATTCTTCCGAACAGGGCACTCCCTCCTACTCACCCACCACAATAGCCCTGGAGTCGCTGTCGCGATCCTCCATTCCCTCCCTTGCCCCTGTCGAACCCGAGAGTGCCCACGATGACAACGTGAGCTTTCTGCGCTCTCGTTCCGCCCTTCACAACCCGCTCCTCCCGACCCTCAGTCGACATCGCCGTCGGCGATATCAGCCGCCTCCGCAACCCCGTCCTAACGAGAGCGAAGATCAGATGGACCTGGATGACCCCAGCAGCCTCCGCATGTCGGTCGAGATCAACCGTCGCATTCCTATCGTCCGCCGGCAGCGAGAAGAGTCGACCAATATGCCAAACTACGAGGGCCGGCTGTCCAATCCTCGATCACTGTACGGCTGGGCTCCGGGGTCCGATGAAGAGGCGGAGGGCATTGCCGCCGCTGGCCGTGAGGAGGATTCGGACGACGAGCATCCGCGGCCGTTCCTGCATGCTATCTCAGATCGCAACACAACAACCGCGCGACCAAGACACGAGCCGACCGGCCGAACACCACCGATCATCGCAGCCGATGAGCCATCAGAAAGCAGCAGCAGCAGCAGCAGTAGTCGATTCCGGAATTCGCCCATCTCGACGATGGAGGCTCTGTTGCAGTCGGCGAGGCGACAACCGCGGTTATCACGGACCCGAACGCTAGAGACATATCTGATGGATCGGTATGGGGATCGCCAAAATCAGGATTCGGAGGAGTCAGAGCGTACAGGGGCGAGGGCGTACCGCTATGTACCCCCTGCGCGAGGTGACTCGCATCGCAACCTGACCCATAGTGACTTGCGCGCTCGCGCTACCGCTCATCGGCAGCTACACTCGGAGATCTCGGTGAATTGGCTCCTCAAGGATACGATCAACTACCTTGACCGTCTACGGTACTCGAATTCATACGAAGAAAGCATTAGCTCCGCTGCCGCGACCGGCTTCCTCTCTCTAGATGATTTCTCCTGGAAGGATGATGACGATTTTATTCTTGATACCAATACCCTGACCCCGCCGCCCGCATGCTCATGGCTCCGACCCGGCATGGTATTTTCAGGTTCGCAAAGAGCGGCAAGCGCGGGCTGTTCTGTCTTGTCCCAGCGTGTTTCAAGTCCAAACACCTCGAGTGACCCGGTGATTGTCAATGGGAGTGACAACACCCGGATCGGTGTCCATACAAGCAGCGGGCGTCGGTATCTAGCAAATGCTCGGGATGAGAATTGGCCGGTTAAAGTTACCATTCACAACATCAACTACCACGACATGACTCTGTCGGGCACAATGGAGGCGTACAATATCCCCGACAAAACATCACCCAGCCACGATGCGCACATTGTAACCTTTCTAGAAGGAGAGATCATCGACTTCAATGCACATACATTGGAAACCAAAAACTTCAAAGCGGACGCCGAGATCGACAGCACGTACTGGCGTGAATTGCAGCCGTTCAAGGACTTGAACGACACGGAGATGGTCAAGAGCCTCGTGAGTCGCAAGTGGATCACCGAAGAGCTTGCCAAGGGGTGGATTCTCATGCGATGGAAGGGTAAGTGCTATTGATTTCACCTAGTTTTTCTCAAGCTGACGATACCAAGAACGTTGTTTTATCACCCCGACCGATTCCCGTCAGGGCTTAACCATCTCCGGGTTCTACTATATTTCCCTGCGCCGCGACAACGGCCACGTTGAAGGTCTGTATTACGACCCTGGAAGTTCGCCGTACCAGCAATTATCTCTCGACCCCGAGACTGTCAAAATGACTCGGCCATCCTACGCCTTCCGATAGTTGGCTCCCATGACTCTGTATCATTTTTTCTCAGCATTCGTGAACGAAGGGCCCACTGTCTCGGGTCATCGATATCTACAATTTCCGTCTTTTATCTTCTAATTCGGAGTCAAGGCTTTTTTTGGTAGGAATGGTATGGATACATAAGAAACGTTCGATTAAGCCTTTTGCATAGCTCGGTGGTGTTTACTCTGCTGCTGTCTCTTGTCCTCTAGCCTTGGTCTCTTCTACATATCCAAAACAGCCATTTGTGATTTTCTTCACTAGAATACTACTTTCTTCATAAACGTAACTGTATTTGTATATTCGTCGTACAGTTATTACCCTATGCACATCTTACCTCAGGAATCGCCCACCGGTCTCCTCGAGAATCAGCTGGTACTCAGGATCAAACTGCATATACATAGCCTCCGGGGTTCCCGTTCCTCTCTTGGTATATGCCGCAGTTTCCTCATCCACAATGCTTTTCCCTAACCCGGCAGCACCGCCTATAGACCCAGGCGCTATAGCTGCTTCTACCAGAAGCTGTGCCTGACATGCTCTCTCCAACGCAATGAAGAATGCCGCCGCCTCAGCCACAGTCTCACCCGCCGTGAGGAGGCCATGATTCTGCATGATTAGATTCTTGTGCTTGGGCCCCAGCGTATCAGCAATGCGCTGCCCTTCCTCCTTTGCGAAGACCACACCACCGAAGGCTGGGTATACCGAGAGGTCGTCGTGGAACATACATGAATCTGGGTTCGTGAGCAAATAGCTACGTACTCGTGGGCCAGAAAAAACGGTGATAATACCCTGATTCAGCATATCAATCCCTCTGCCAAAATTACTCCACGCCCTTCCGTACGGACTATGCATATGACAAGCGGCATTGATGTCGGGTCGTTTCTGATGAATAGCAGAGTGGATGATGAAGCCTGCCGTGTTGACTGGCTTCAGCGCACCGCCCACCCTGTTCCCTTCCTCATCGACCCGGACCATGTCGGACACCTTTAAAAGACCGAAGTGGATACCGTAGGGGTTGATCCAAAAGGTCTTTGGATTGATGGGATCTATCCACGCCTCAGTCTCGTGCAGCTGAAAGCGAGGATGCGAGGGTTTAGGTACGTACCCCGAAGACTAATGTGCCCGGAAGCTCCATCCGCAAAACCCAGCTTGGCGAAGATGCGAAACGCGCCCGCCATCTGCTCGAGAAGCCATCTTCGCTCGGCGTCTTTGGTGGCGGGACGGGGAATATGGTGTAGCCGTCGTCTCACTTGTCCGTCGCCTGCGGTTCCTGTGTTGAGCGCGGAAAACGCCGCAGTGGATTCGACTGTAGCAGTGGATGACATTTGTCCTGGGTTAGTTGTTTCCGTCTAAGAGGCGCGGTGGAGCGCAGAATGGAATGTCGGGATGTCGGTTTTCATTCTCCACGAAACCCCACGAAGCCACAAGGGGCTAGCTAGCCCTGTGGCTAGCTAGTCCTTTGCGTTCTTCCAATCAACGGAGGGATTACTTCATCCTGCTCACCTTCAATCTTTGAATGACTGACTATAGCTACCCAGAAGAGAATTCTCATCTCTTTGTCTCTTATTTTAGGTTCTACTCCCCGGATTTGTGGAGTGCCCACTTTTCGATTATGACCGGGCCTATTTCATACTCCGACTTTGCATTACCAGATCTCGGGCCTTCCTCGGACTGTCCAAAGTCTGCCATGATCGTCCAAAGCAAATACCCATGATGCGTGCTCTCGTCGTTTTCCACGCGGGATGATGGGTATGCACGAGTCTAATAGGCACATGTTGGAAGCTCAAGGCTCGATCGTGAAGCTTGATCATAGCCGAACCAGCATAATCCCTGTATAGGCACGGTCCAGAAGGAATTACCGGCATCAATTAAAGCACAAGCTACATGCTAGGACATTTCTTATCCCAGCCCGGTCATTCGTCGCTAGCGCCGACTATCTCGCTCTGGACACAGCCATTCGCAGGTCCGACCGAGTATCAGTGCTCACAAGAACGTAATGAGAATCACGATCAACATGGATCTGATTTGGAACCCCCAGACGGGAGTTGCGGGGACGCCTAGGTCCACGCTCCACAGGCTCCAGAAATTATCGCGACGATCGACATTCGTCATTAGGCGTCGCCGATACCCGCGTGGACTTGCCCGATCGCGCAGTGTCAGACCCTCGGATCTTGCCTAGGTTACATGGCCCTGTCGATCTATCCGTCACTTTTGTGCATTTAGTACATTATACTTCGTACCGACATGCTTCATTGCATATGTGCCTCTGATAAGGAGGGCTCCACTGCGGGATAGTAGGAATGCGTGTCTCGCATATATATTGCAGCAATTGACCCATCTGCTCTCGCAAAGCATTTTAATCATCTTTTCGAAATGTATCTGCAGCGTCTCTCTGCTTTGGCGGCGATAGCCGGCCTAGCTTCGGCCGCTGTGCCCCATGAGCCTAGGCATCAGGAGGGACAATGCAAGAAGACTACTGTTGCAATTCTGTAAGCATGGCTCTAAAGAAGTACTTGGCTGGAATGTGCTCACATCATAAAGCGGTGGAGGAATGTCTGGTATTGCTGCTGCTGTGAGTTTTCCCAACTAGCTATCGTTGACCAGGATGGTGAATTGACAACATCACCAGCAAGCACTTTCCAATGCGTCGATCCATGACTTTGCCATCCTCGAATACCGCGATACCATCGGCGGTCGGGCTTGGCATTTGCCCTTTGGCCAGGATAAGGACGGCAAGCCCTACATCATTGAGATGGGTTGCAACTGGGTATGGTCGCATACACATTCGTCACCGAAGAGATAAGCTAAAATGGAATAATAGGTGCAAGGACTCGGCAATCCTGGTGGCCCGCAGAATCCCGTTTGGACTTTGGTAAGTTGTCGCAAATCCAAATATTTGCTGGTCACGGCTCAGTTCAGAAATAGGCCCAGGATTACCACCTGAAGACCCATTACTCCAACTACGACAATTTTTCCACATTCAATGAGAATGGATACTCCGACTATAAGCACCTGCAGGATGCTTATGACAAAGCCTATGATATTGCCAACAAGGAAGCCGGTGTTATCCTCTCTCAGAATCTCCAAGATCAAACTGGCCAGACTGGACTTGCCATGGGCGGCTGGTTTCCCGACAAGCATAATATGGAGGCACAAGCTATTGAATGGTGGAACTGGGGTATGTCTACCCATTTTTCAATTATCTGATCATCAATTGACGAAGTGCGATAATCTAGACTTCGAGGACAACTACACCCCACTGGAGAGCTCTTTCGTGTTCGGCGTTGCAGGCAATAACCTGACCGAAAACGTGTTTAGCGATCACGACAACTTTGTCTTCGATCAGCGCGGCTTCAACGTTATCATCAAGGGCATGGCCTCGACATTCCTGAAAAAGGACGATCCGCGCCTCCATCTGAATACCCAGATCACAGACATTTCCTATTCAAAGGACGGCGTTACTATCCACAATAAGGACGGGAGCTGTGTGACTGCTGCGTATGCCATTTGCACCTTCTCGCTGGGTGTCCTGCAGAGAAGTGTCTTGCACCAAGATGCCGTCAAGTTCACACCTGCTCTGCCTGAGTGGAAGCAGACTGCCATCCAAAAATTCAGCATGGGAACCTACACCAAGATCTTCATGCAGTTTCCCACAACCTGGTGGCCCGAGAACACGCAATATTTCCTCTATGCCGACCCCAGCCTTCGGGGCTGGTACCCTATTTTCCAGTCTCTGTCCATGCCCGACTTCCTGCCCGAGTCCAATATCATGTTTGTGACCGTGACGAACGAGTTCGCCTGGAGGGTAGAGAGGCAGTCTGATGAGCAAACCCAGAAGGAAGTCATGGAAGTTCTTCGCAAGATGTGGCCTGATATCGAGATTCCCGAGCCGACTTCATTCCTGTATCCCCGCTGGAGCATGGAACCCTGGTCCTATGGCAGCTACTCGAACTGGCCACCAGCTACCACGCTGGAGGAGCACGAGAACCTGCGCGCTAACGCTGACCGACTCTGGTTCGCGGGTGAGGCCACCAGCCCTACGTACTTTGGATTCCTGCATGGTGCCTGGTTTGAGGGCAGGGATGCCGGACGGAATATTGCTGCTATCCTACAGCATCGCTGTGTGGATGGTAACTCGACGAAGCTAAGGGAATGCGGTCCGAGAAAGCATTACGACGTCCTGCATGGGACTTCTCCGCTGGCTGACTATACGGCTGTGAATGGGTGGACAGCAAACAGCTTCTATGATAGTAATACTGATTAGACTCAAGGTAGAGGCATTTTCTCTTCTTGAGATCACGCCACGGTTGACCGGTCAATTTTTTTTTTTTAAAAAACAAATATATTCCTCTAACAATATTAGTTTTCCCAAAGCTCTAAAGTCGTGTTTAAATTTCCAAGAATGATCAAGCAGGTAGATTTTTCAGGGCCATCAATCTGCACCATATTATTGAAGAATCTTGCTCTTTTGTCTCAGTCGGGGGCCGTACACTCTGAAAGTGAACGGAATTGGAATCATGATGGCTGCTAAACAGCCAAGAAGGGTGCTTGCCCACTGCACACCCAGGTTTTGAAACATTTGTTTGGCGAAAAGTGGAAATCCTGCAGCGATGGCTGATCGAAGTATAATATTTGCTGCAACGGCAGATGCGGCTCTGAAAATACGTTAGTAAGTCGCGATATCCAAATATGCATTTCTATACTCTTACAATGGAAGGTACGCATCCACAAGATAGTTAAAGCATGGAAGAAATATGCAAAGTACCCCGAATCCAATGAAAAGCCCAGAAGCCGCTGGAGCAATCCAATGTATTGTCGGGGTAAGACTCGTCCAACCAAACCTGCAGACAATATAAGTTTTAGCATGTCCCCAAGTAAAGCCAGAAAGTCTACTCACCAGAACAAGCCGATTGTAAATACCGGACCTCCCACAAGAGGAGGAAACAGGCGCCATTCAGCGACCGGAATATTATTGTTTTCGGCAAGTTTTCTCACATAGACTCTGTGTTGAGAGAGGATAAACCCACAAGCCAGTATCACTCCAATAATGAGGCTGATGAAGGTCAGTCCGCTGGTACCAGGACTCATATCGTAGATTTCCTCGAAGACATAGGGATAGGCCTCAAGAAGTGCATAAACCAGTCCATAAATGAATGACATATAGATTGACACCAAAAAGAGGATCGGCTCGGTGATCAGCATTCTCAGAGGACGAGTGAAATATTTGTTGATCAGAGCAGAGGCCTGCACATCTATCTCCTCGTGCTTTGCATGTATGGCCCAGTTGTTGGTTTGCCGGCGGAGGATGGCAGCCTTTTTCACCAGGAGAGCTGGTGTATATGTCTCTTTTAGAGAGAAAAGAAACAAGCCTCCAAAGACAAAGCTCAAGATTGCTGGAATGTAGAGAGTCCATCGCCACCCTAGGTAGCTTGACGCAATAAAGCCACCCACAAATGGCGCACATAAGGGGCCGATGAACACTGTCAATGCGTAGAGAGAAATTGCCATGCCACGATACGTATTGTCGAAGATATCAGCCAGTACACCCGGTACCACGGTGAGCTGGCTTGCTCCGAACACTCCTCCAAAAAAGCGGCAGATGATCAAAGTCTGGATATCTTTGGAAACAGCTGATCCAATGGTGAAGATGGCTCCGCCCAACATGCCAATTGTCAACGGCCACTTTCGTCCTTGCAGCTCGGATGCAGGTGCCCAGATCAAAGGGCCAGATGCAAAGCCAAGCACGTATAAGGTTGTCCCCAGGGTTGCAACCTCTGAACTGACATCGAAGTACTCGCTTGCATCGGTAATACCTGGAGCAAAGACGGCACTGCTGAATGAAACAACAAAGGTTCCTAAGCAAACGATCACGGAGATATAAAGTCTAGTTTGCCAGGTTAGTAAATCCCTGAGATGCTTCTCGAGCCAATTTATTTATTTTTTCCCCTTTGCTCAAAGGACTCAAAGGAATGCGAAACTTACTTGACAGAGAAATTCCAATTGAAAGGGTTTTTTGGGTCATCGCCCCCGTTGAAGTCGACAATGTATTGCTCGGGATTGGTGATCGGCGGTGGAAAGGGTTTTCCTGCCCCGATAAACGGTTTCTCATCCACCTGAGAGGTAGAGGTGACCGCAATAAGTGAGTTTCGAGGCGTCGCTGGGCTGCATTCGGGGTCGTTATTATTTAATGAACACATCGTGTATACCGGTGTCTAAAGCCACAGCTCAGTAGATTTGGCAGATTCAGTGAGTGCTGAGGTTTTGGCGACTCCCAGAGAGGCTTCAAAAGTTTCCTGAAGAAAATGTTTTAAATCTCGTCATTCCCTCTGCTCGATAGCTTTGACTATGAATGGCGGCGGTATTTGCGGCATTTTGCATATAGAGCATGGACCCCCGGACAGGGTATTGCGGAACAGTGGTGCTCATTTGCTCTCCTAGTAGTGCTGGATTGCTATAGGTACTGGGTACTTATTTCGATCCCATAAAAGCAAATTATCTGTGCTATCCATACATTTCAAGTTAATCTCCTCTTATGGCCCTTTACTATAAATTTCAATGAGAAAAAAACAATTCCAGTAGATACCAGTAAATGTAGTGTTGAAAACAATGTTCAGGTGATGTCATCCGCAGCCACCTGTGTCTCCCGAAATTCCCGCAACACCCGCACGCCCCATTGTCTGTCTTCTAATCCTCCTCCTATCGTCCACTCACCAGTGGCAATAATAATGGACACCCTCAAGCGGAAAAGATCCAGAGTTGCCTGTCAGCCATGTCGGGAGCGCAAAAGAAAATGCAACGGCGATAGTCCTTGCCTAACCTGCAGGGAATGGGGTTACGAATGCTACTATGGCTCCCAACCTCGTCGAAAGCAACCGAAATCACCCAATACTTCATTCAAACAGCAGGCACCGGGTCAGAATAATGTTTCTGCAGATTCCCAAGGATTAGTCCGTTCCATGGAAGCTAATTCCGGGGCGGCCTTTGTACGAAAGATGGGACTCAAAATTGACCCTGCAAAAGCACCAAAATTGAATCTTTTTGGGTGGAATATCGGGGAGCGACAATTATCTTCAGGCATTAGGCCGAGTGCTGTGTTGCCGATTGTTGAGATCATCTCCTTGGAGCACCTGAGAGCCTTGGCAGATATCTACTTCGCAAAAGTGGACCCGTGCTATGGATTTCTTGACCGTCAATCTTTCTTTGAACGCCTCGACACACGGTGGCAGTCGCCTCTGATACATGATCTGTATGACAGTGTACTCAGTGGCGTTGCTGCCATTGGCTGTTTGTTCTCACAGCGCGACATTTCAATCACCGAATTGCATCTGGTATCTTGCGCTAGATCCGTTCTGGACATGCATGATCTATCCGGTGTCCCATCTTTGGATCTTGTCACCGGGTGGGTACTTCGCACAGTCTACTTACGAATGACAGCCTCCCCTCATTCAACGTGGATGGCCAGTTCGACGTTGATGCATCTCGTCGAAGCCTCGGGTTTCCACTTGGGCACTTACGACACCGTCTTTCCACGCAACAGCGCACAATGCAATTCGGACCTCCGAAGGAGAATATACGGAGTAGCGGAACATCTGAACATGTGGACATCTTTCGATCTCGGTCTTTCCAGGGTGTCATTTCAGAATGATATGCCTCTGTCTCTGGTGAAGACGCGGCCCGGGGACTATACCACGGAGTTGCTAAGTCTCTTACCTATCTCTGCCAGTTTGGATCCAGAAAATCCTCAAGACGAAACAAATCTCGAATCGTCGCTTTCTCAAATCTTGGATGGGGCGCATACGCAGCCACCATCCGTCATGGCACAATGCAACCTGGTTCTTTGCATTCTTCGCCGAATCCATACACAGAATCTCGATATCTCCCCTACTCTCATGGATCGAGTCCTGGCCTTACTGAAGAAAGCACTTGGCTGTGCACGTACGATGGTTTTGGACTGCTCGCCATGGCACCAGGTAGCGAACGTGCCATTCCATATCACCTGTGTTCTCCTCGTAGTAGACACTCGTTCATCGCTGGCGATGCTTCCTGAAGCCATGCAGACCTTGAAGCTCATCGCCTCCACCTACGATACGGAAACCATGAGAGAGGCATGGAGTGCCGCCTGTCTATTGGTCATGCTTCACCAACAACGCAGAAAGGAGGATGTCAACATCTTCAGCCAGGCTCTCGACACGTACCACCAGGAAGCGCAGATTGAATCACAGCAGCTAGAGCCCGGCCCTAGTGCGGAGGAGTATTCTTGGCTTGGAGCGCTGGTTGCGGATTTACCGGGCTTGCAAAGAGTTGATCTCGATCAATTTCTCAATACTGACATGATCAATCCTACTCCCCTCATGGGAGATGATTCGGTGCCGGGGTCGTGAATTTGACATGCTTCACTGAGTGCTTAATGAAAGACGAACAGGTTCATCCTTACAAATAAATGGAAATTTATGACATTCCCATTCCTATTAGCTCTCTGGAGTGTTTCTTAGGTCTTTCGAGGTGTTGATATTGCCCGGTGTCATAATCTATCTGTTTATTTCGAATAGGCTGTTGGAATGCTGTACAACTAGGTTATGGAACTCTCTAGGACGACATGAGATAACAGATTAGGATAGTTTAATTCTATTTAAAACCAAACCCAACTGACGTAGAGTCATTCACATGCGATAGCCCACGGAGTGGCTCAGGCCTGCTACAAAACCGAGTTCCGCAAAATCCGCAGAACCCGCCCGCGTTAACGAGAGTTTAATCACCAACCACATTCGTCATGGCCTTGTACACTCCAGCAACTTAAGACAAAACACACCACCTCATATTAAGCCAGGCCCATAATTTGGCATTGGATACATGTCACAGACGTTGTATATGGCCAGAACCCTTCTGTCGCGATACCCTTGGGTATCCAGCCCGTTTATTGTCAGTGCCCCGATGCGCGTCATGTCGGGCCCTGTACTTGCCACGGCCGTCTCCAGAGCTGGAGGTCTTGGATTTATCGGACCAGGCGTGAGGACACAGGACACTGCAGCGGACCTTGCAGAAGCATCGACCCTACTCCAGAAAGCGCCCGTTTCCAGCACTTTGTCCTCGGGACATCCTCTTCTTCCTGTCGGCGTGGGGTTCCAGCTCTGGAGCGATGACCTTGACATTGCTTCTACCGCAATTAAAAAGTTCAAGCCATGTGCAGCTTGGTTGTATGCCCCACGCCAGAATAAGGAGCTTGATATCTGGTCGCGCAGAATCCGTGACGCGTCGCCGGAGACCCAGATATGGATTCAAATAGGCACTTTAGACGAAGCCAAAAGCCTTCTCAAGGCCACTGAACGCCCCGATGTGGTGGTTGTGCAAGGAGCGGAGTCGGGCGGCCACGGTCGGGCGAAGGACGGCATGGGTCTGATAACGCTATTCCCAGAGATCGCAGATGCCATATCATCCACCTCCATTCCGCTCGTTGCGGCTGGAGGAATTGCAGATGGTCGAGGAGTCGCTGCTGCGTTATGTCTAGGCGCTTCCGGTGTAGCAATGGGGACGAGATTTCTGGCAGCCCGCGAAACGCGTATTAGCCGGGGATATCAGGATGAAGTTGTGCGTGCGTCAAACGGAGCAGTCTCAACAACACGCACCTTGCTTTATAACCATCTTCGCGGGACAATGGGGTGGCCTGAAGCATACAGTCCGCGGACCATCATCAATAAGTCCTTTTTGGAGCAACAGGAAGGCAAATCATTCGAGGAACTGAAAAGACTGCATGATGAGGCCACCAAGGCCGGTGATCTTGGCTGGGGTCCGCAAGGAAGACTTGCAACCTATGCTGGCGCTGGAGTGGGACTGATCCATGAGGTTAAAGAGGCCGGAGACATTGTTCGTGATATCCAACAGGATGCTCGGGGCAGGGCTCGATCTGCGAGCACCGCTATGTAAACAGTTTGTACCCAGACAAAGAATTATTCACACCCGATGGGTTATAGCAAACATTCAGGAAGGGTGACGTAGTAGGTCCTGCCAGGCATAAAAAGACGCTTCTTCCCCCAAACTCTCTCTTCCTTCTCCACATACATCAATATTTCTATACGTACTTTTTTATATGCTCGAACAACCTGCAAGAAACTCTCGGGGCCATCCTCACTCTCCCATAGTTCATCGCTGGCTTCTACTGGGAGACGGGATATACGAACACTCTATCTACTCGATTGAGAGTCTGGTGTACCTGTCCACCCGGGGAGGTCGACATACAGACGTCGGGAACTATCAAAGTGCGTCCAATGCCTCTCACCATTCCGATCCTGGGTATACTGACTTCAATAGGCCATAAACATGATCACAAGAGCGACCATGTCTATCCCAAATCCCATTGTCGTGATCGAGGTTGAAATAGTTAATACCCAAGGAGAGACGACTGCCCGGTGAATTGCAGAGTGCGCGGTAATCACACCTCATTAGCCGGGCGCCTCTTTTGACTGTCTGGAGGATGCGAAATCAGATCCACACGCGACTGCACCCGGAATCAATAAGCTAGATCACCAGCGGCCGATCCAAGGTCGACGGTGAACCCGTGCCTGTCCCGACAGTTTCCACTCGAGCGTCGTGCTCGAGGCTCTCGGCCAAATAACCCTGTCTAGCCTTCGCGCGAACACGTCCGCAACGTCAACCTCGGCCATTCAATATACTACCTTCACCGGCAAGCTGGCATACTAGACTGAGAACCCTCTGCTATATAAACCATCGATTTCTACCATTATATGCCACTTTATTCGTCGCGCAATTCAACGAGGCCCACGACTCGGCCATTCCAAGAGTACCTACGGAGCATTCAGAGCTCTCGATCTAGCCCGGATCAAGATTAGTCGCTGAAATTGGCTTCATCAGGTGCTCCGTCGTGTGACTGTAGATACTATTGATCTTTTGCAAGACAGATCTTGTAACAGGGAACCTCTGGACATCCTTGGCTTCTATGCGACTGCTCCCACCACCTTCATAAATGAACGCCATTATGAAGCTATCAAAATAGTTGGTCTTCAAGAGGTCGAAGCCTCACAGCGAGCCTATGCCTCTCAGTTCAGCATTGATTACACGTTTACACTGACCCCCGCGTCCTCGGTCCATTCGTTCGAAGACCGTTGAGCCACCAACGAGTGCCTCGGGTTTGAAAGGTGGAAATTCGTCGAAATGAGAGCAGATAGATTATTACTACTACACACATGCATCTATTCGACAAAATGGATGACAAAATAATCTAATCGACAGATGTCTCTATATACGCAGATATTCCTTTTCTGTTCAAAAAACACGAAACTCTAGAACAAACAAGATCTAATCCTCATCCTCGGACGCATCGTCCACGCCACGTAGCCAAGCACCGCGAGCATCAACAGCAGCCTTTCGCACATCCCGCTTCGGATCATCCAACACACGACGGAGAGAGCGCAGCACCTCATTCTTCACCTGCAGAAGGGGCGAAACAGACGTGGTACTAGGTTTCTGTGAGGCAAGAAGGAAGAGACATTTAAGCGCCTCAACGCGGAGACGTGGTGTGTTGACGAATGCATCTTCTGCTTTGCCAGATTCAGGGCGGGTAGTGGTTTTCAAAAGCCTCGTAACGAGACTCTTCACGTGTCCGCACTCGTCTATCACGCCAACGCCATTGTCACGGATGATGACACCGAGGGTGTCCAACGTGGCTGCGCGGACGGGAGTTGAGTCTGCAGATTGGAGATCGAGGGTTTGGAGGAGCAGCGGGAGGAGAGTAGGAAGCTCGGGCATGACCAGGGAGGCTGGAATGGTGGAGAGAACACCAGCGAGAGCGGTTAGGTGAGCCGATTTGATATGGGCTGCTTCAGATTCCGTGTCGGTATTGTTGCCGGCGACGTTTACTTCACGGATACGGGATGAGATTAGAGGCACCACGGTTGCGAAGACGCGCTGTCTGGCTAGTAGGCGGATGGTTGCACCGTTGGTTGCTGAGATTACTTCGTCCTCGCCGAGGATGATAGCGAAGCTGCGGGCTGCAATCGTGCTAGTTTGTTGATCAGGCGACGAGAGGAGAGAGAGAAGTGAGGTCAGGATGTGAGTCGTAGATGGTGCAAGACGAAGGACCAGGGCTTTAGAAAGCCAGAAGATCGTGCGGATGGTTGAGGGGCTCAGGGCTTGCTGTGTGGGAAGCAGAGAGTCGAAGAGTGTCTCGGCGATGTTGAGATCTTGCTTCGACATGAACTTATTTGTAAGTAGGGCCAGGTGTCGGAGGAAGGCGAGGTGGGTGGCTGACTCTGTAGTGTCGGAAATCGAGCGGCGCACCACATCTGACAATAGGGCTTTCATGTCTGGTGATGTATGTGGAATGCGGTCTCTGCAGTCTCCAGGCAAGCCAGCGAGAAGGAAAGTCGAAATGATAATCGTACGTTCCTGATCTGCGGTTGTCGTCTCGGTGAGTGGAAGAGGAGTAAATTCTTCCGACGAGGAGAAGAGGCTGTACACATTTTCGGCGACTTGCTCCTGCTTCTGGACAGACACAGATCGCACCAGGAGGTTGCAGAGTCGTCCTAGCATGTCAAGTACACCGGCATCATTAAGAATCCGATTCTTGGCGTTTCCAGAGGCTGCTGCTGCGGCATTACGGCAGAGGCCCACCACGATCTTGTCGTAGTAGAGATCAAGACTTGGATCTTGGTCCATCTTTCTTTGCTGCATGACATAGAGCAGCGTCACCAGGATAGCTCGCGGATATGCCACAGAGCCAGGCTGCTCCTTCTGGAGAAGAATTGTCAGCTTGCTGAACAATCGACGGAACAGTGTCTCGAAGATATCTCTTTCCACGCTGATCTGGGCCAGAGACTCAAGAGTGGGCAGGTATGCAGAATCGGAGCCTTCGTCTTGGTCCGGGAGAGTTGCCACGAATGCAGGGAATGTGATGTCCATTATAAGCCGGGGCTTGTGCTTTGAGATCTCGGCAAGAGCTGCAATTGCTTCCCTTTTCAAATCATCGCGGCCCACAGACTCTTCCTTCAAGAGTATCTCATCTAGATACTGCACGAATAGTCCGATCTCGTTATCCTGAAAGAAATCGCGCAGTGTCGATAGACGCAGGAACGCTTTCAGTGCAGTGACTCGGAAAGAGACTTCTTCCTTTGCAGATCCCATCAATGCCTGGCCCAAAACATCTGAGAATTGATCTTTGAACTCCAGTAGTGGGTTTTCCAGGGCAATTGCCCCCCCGCGAGTTGTCCATTCGCCAAAAACCTTGGTGGCAGACTCAAACAAGACAGACAGCGTTTCAAGAAGAGCTCTCTGTTTTGCAATACCATCAGCCTCTTGATAGATCGTAAAGATCGGAGCAACGACAGCCTGGACGACGAGGGAAAATGCAAAGGCAGACGCAGCTGACACTGAACCCAAAATCTGTTGGGCAGGTTTGGCCTGTTTATGCTGGGGTTCTTGTAGTTGCTCGTTGCATTCTTTCGTAATAGGTCGAAGATACTGCGCCAGAGGCAGGTCCTGGGAAATCTCTGTGACTCCCCCGGAAAGCCGCTGCGCAATCCCCTTCAAGGCCTCTAGTGAAGACTCCGACAAGAACTCCTCTTGAGCGTTGAGGATTTCAAACTTGAGCACCTCCCAAATAGTGATTGAATACCGTGACACCGTGTCGGGATCGTACGAGTGAATACAGGCGATCAAAGTGTTGAGAGCATCTTTCTGGCGGGTTATTAGTCCCTGAGTTGTACCTGTGTGGGTTGAGAAAGATATACCTTAACATTGGGAGAAGTAGAATCAAGCTTATCCAACAACGCCGGAATGGCGTGTGGTGCGAAGTATCGGGTCGAGGAAATGCAGTCCTGGAGACGGCCCTTCAGGTCCTGTGCAGTGATACCATAGGGATCGTTCGGAGGAGGTCGGAATGTAATCGGGAAGTAATTATACACCGCGTCAAACAGGAGCTTTTGAAGTTAGTTTCCACCCAGTCCGGGAAATAGAAGCCATCCTACCTCGACATGGTTCGAGATATCCCACTCTACCATGACCACTTTGAGGAGGGAGAACACGATCATCAAGTTGCGCGGGTCTTTCTCTCCGGTCATGAGATCCACGATTCCCACAAGCGAGGTATCACCCATTTCTTGCAGTGCTGTTCAATCTTAGTCAATTTAACTCAAACGGGAAGAAAATGAGCACGACACACCTTCCCGATGCCTGGACATGATCTCGTTCATCAATTGATAGACCTGGAACCGCTGCGACTGGGACCGAGACTGCAAATCCTGAAAATTCGAGAACATACTGTCATTCAATTAGCAATAGGCCCTTTGATTCTGCATGTTCTGCAGCCACACGTACGCCTGTGCTACCTCCACCGCCAACTCCTTATTGAACCGATCCAGACCCTGCAGGGTATCCAGCCCAGCCACGGCTCCTCCATCCTCAATGCGATCACAAAAGAAGGTGGTCAAGACCTGGATCTGTTGTCTCGAAAGGTACTTCGGCGACAGGACTCTGATGACCGCAGCGAGATAGGACACCGCTTTGCCACGCAGGATTGGGTCTTCGTCATTGACATATTCGACCAGGGACTGAACCACCTCAATCAATGTTGTCTTCTTGCTTTCGACATCTGCATAATTCCTCGGTTAGACCGCGGGCCACAAGAGAGTGCGGGGTGTGAATGAAGTGGTACCTTGAGCGACGGACTCAGCAATGCGCTTGGCTTCGTCCTTGTCGTGGTCGACCACCAGCATAAACGTCTGCAGAGCCGACATGGTGCCAGGTCGACCAGAGAGGTAGGTAGTGAAGGGACCAAATGAGTGTACAATCCATTAATTACTGGACTCTGCTTCCATTTTCTGTGGCCCTTATCGATAAGAACCCGTCACGGGACATCTCACGTGCCCCTCTTCCCCGTTGCGTCATGTCCGTCACTTTTATCTCTGCAACAATCCGGGAAGAACACGGTCTGCGCCACGATGAGATCCTATTTAATCTTGCTCATTGCCCTCATCACCTCTGTCTCTGCCCTGTGGGATTTCGCATCGGCTGCGGCCATTCGTCAACACGCCCAGGAACTCTACGGCCAGCCCATCATGGAGAAAATCATCCCTGGCATCGTAAAGCCAGAGAAAGAGCAAAACAGCCAAACATACGAACCCATCGTGGCCGACGTCCTCCCCAAGACTCGGGGTATTAACATCTTCGCGCGCCTGACTCGCGACTTCGAGCCTATCTCCTCGCGCCTGAACGACGCATCCAAGAATATCACAGTGCTCGCACCCCGCAATAGCGCCATCCAGGCACTGCCACGCAAGCCGTGGGAGAACCCAGAAGAATATGCAGAATTTGGCGAGGTGGATGCGTATCAAGGACAGGATGGCCAGGATCGCGCCAAGCGGAATCTGCAGCGGTTTGTAGAGGCTCATCTTATTCCGGCTAGTCCGTGGAAGGAGGATGAGGAGGTGGAGACTCTGGGAGGGGAGAAGTTGAAGTGGACGAAGCAAGGGGATAAGATTGTGGTATGTATAGTGTAGTCTCAAACACCGGGATGACGCTAACTGGTTTCCATTTAGATTCAACCTGGGAATATTGAAGTCGATACCGTTGCTGAACAAGTGGTCAACGGGGAAGTCTGGGTTCTGAATGGGGTGATCAATTATCCATCCGAGCAGGGATGGAGTCATGAGCTATGAGATATCCTGTTTAATATAACGAGGTAACGAGAAGGAACTCTTGAAGTTTACAAAATGTAGCAATTTTCTATGGTAGACACATTACATCTTCATGGGACAATGCACCGGCAATTCCGGGCATATATACACCCCAACGTGTCCCAGATTAATTCACCTCCGGAGCAAAGTTGCGCAGCACGCGCTCTTCCACCCCCTCCAGGATACAGAAATGTTCCGTCACCTCGAGGTTCTCCGCTTCGTTCTGGTACAGCTTGTCCGGGTCCTGGCCGGGCTGCAGAGGATTCACCATGGCAGCCGGGTTGGCCATGCCCATCTGCTGGGACATGTGGTTGGCAGCTATCGAGGAGGTCAGCGAGGCTCACGGGGAGGATATTAAGTGATCGTACCATTGTCACTGCCCAGAATGAATCCAAACACCGACTGCAGGCCGAACAAATTGAGAAAGTACCAGGACAGACTCGACACCCATCTGACATCAAGGTCCCGAGTCATGACACCAGACTGCAGCATCGACTTGAAGCGGATGGTAAGCGGGAAGGGCAATTTCACTGCGGGTCATGGTCAGCTCTTGCGCCAGAGACAGCGGATCCAGAAGCAACTCACGGATCACAAATCCCGAGAAGAAAGCATTGATCCAGCTCATGATCAGGGTCTGCGGAATCATCATCATCATATTCCCCTTCATCATGCCCATCATGGCCTCCATGCCCGCGGGATCCGTCATGGGATTGGCGGGTGGCCCACCCCGGTTATTGGGGTCCTTCAGGAACGCGCCGTTACGGAAGCCTGAGATTATGTAGTTCTTGCGCATCTCGAAGGATTCTCGGTCGAGCACGGCGGGGCCATGGTTGCGCAGGTTCACACCACGGAGGAGCGCGAGTCGTTCGCGCGACTCGGCTAGGGTCGAGGCGGGTTTCGGGGGCGAGTTCATCAGGACGGTAGCATAGTGGCGGAGGATTCCTGTCAGGATCTGTTTGGGGTAAGCTTCCGAGCGTAATTGGAATGGACAATTGCTGTAAAGCGTACCATGACAATGGAGATGGGGAACAGGATCCAGTAGCTGTTCATCCGGTTAGTTACTTGTTTGTGCAGACTCTCAAACACCAAACACTCACAAGAGAGCTGGATCCCGAAGGATGGTCTGTTCGACACCTTGAACAGCCATGGTGGGCGAGAGCAGGCCCAAGGTTGGCGTAGAAGTGAAGGGGTGCGACGTGGGTGCGGCAAAGAGGGAATGAGGGAGAGTTCGGGGTTTGGTTTGGGGTTGCTGCCGGGCGGTGATGGACATCGGGCCAGCTTACACTATTTACATCCTGTGTACAACTTAGCTACACCTCACCAACACATACTCAATATTCAGTCATGGCGACTTCCAAGGTCCCTGTTTATTCAACCAATGGTCTGTTCTGGCCCCTTACAACCGAAAGAAGTCGCGCAACCAAACTAACAACAGCTCCCAGACCTCAAGTCCACGAGCGATGATGCCCTCCTTCCCTACCTGAGCACCCTCCCAGCCCCCTACGCCTTCGCTGCGGACTACTCCAAGTCAAATATCCGCTTCGTGATCGGTTACAGTGCCGTCGCAATCGCCGCATTTACCTTCTATGCAGACCGCAAACTAGGCTGGGAGGCGACCACGTCGCCGTGGATCATTACCGCAGTGGGCACGTACTTCGTGCTGAACAGCCTGCTTACGGTCTGGATCTGGGCCGTCGAAGCTGGCGAGGTCTTCGCTGGCAAGAGGAAGACAGGGGAGACGGTACGCGTCTACCTTCATGTGCCCAAAACAAAGACAAAAGGCTGACTATTTACCCTCATGGACAGATCTCGATCCGCTCATCCGCCAAGAAGTTTTCTTCCCAGTACAAGCTGCATGTTCTCTACAAATCCGCTTCGGGACAGGTCATTCAGGATAAGCGCTGCGAGGCGTCTTTCACCACTTGGTTCTCCGCAGACGGCGTGTTTCACCCGGGACCCTTCCGTCGCTGGTTGGCTGACGAGATTGATGTGCTGAGGCTGGCGGCCAAGGAGAACGAGAAGAAGACCGGGGGTGTGTCGGGGCTGGTTGGGAAGCAGGATGAAGCTGAGAGCAGCAAGCCCTCGAAGAAGAAGCGGTAGTCTTCACAGTGAGCTGGTGAATGCTGTTTTTCGTGGATTTTTGGTTGTTGGTCTTGTTTAATAATAGCATGGGTGCTGAGGATGGGGTTGCATATCAAAATGCTACGGCGAATTTGCGTGCAATTGCGAGCTTGATTTAGGTGTCCAGTACTACTGGTATTCACGACTGGTATCAGAAACAAACAAAAGAAATCGTTCAAGTATAGTCAAAGGCTAATAACAGATAAGGTCTATAAAGTTTTTGAACATGACGGTAGTCCCATATCGTCTCATTCTCGTGGCTTCGTCGGCTATGAGCTGGCCTCCAAGGTGCCCGGACGCTCTGTGGCCGCGGCAGGCTTGACGTCGTCCAGTCGCCGGTTCTGGATAAGGCGCTATGAAGGTCAAGTTTAGCAGTTGTTCAAAACCAGACACGGACAGAAACTCACCAGAAGGTTCCGCAGCAGCACAACAATCGTCACCTTTCCAATGGATGGAACAAAGATGGAGGCCCTCTCCTTGACCTCGGGGCCAAAGTTCTATACAAAGAAAACAATTAGAGAAGAACAACGGCATGCGAAAGCAACACTTACCTTTTCACTGGAGAAGTTGATGCACACAGCACCCTCGCGGAGAAGGCTAGTATCAAACTTGAACTTCTCACCGGGCACACCGGAGATAACGACATCGCACAGCGGGGCAACATCTTTCATCGTAGCACCCTCAAGATGGACAATCTCATGCCGCCCCTTCTGCAATCCCTCGCCGCGGGTAAACTTCTGCACACCGGTGATATCAATACTGTAAACACAGGCGCCGTCATTCGCCAAAAGTGCAGCAAGCGGCCGTCCCACCACCTCAGACCGGTTGACGACGCAGATAGTGTGCCCGAACAGCCGGTTTCCATAGGGCAGAATGGTGTTGTAGATGTTGAGATACTCCAAAATCTTGATGTTGGCCAGCGGGGTGCAGGGCAGGATGCACTTCTGACGCTTGGTCTCCGGGTCCAGGAACCGGATGTTCTGGTACATGTTGAAGATGTAGCGGTGGCTCAGACCCTCGACGTCCTTGCTGACATCCACGATCTGCTGCAGGTACTGGTCCTGTCGGTTGTTGAAGATCGGGTAGTAGACGATAATGCCATCGACGTCGGTGTCGGCGTTGGCGGCGATGAGGGCGTCTTCGATATCGTCGCAGGGGACTTCACGGAGGGTATACTTGAAGCCACTTGACAAGATGTTAGCCAATAGATCACAGACAATGTCCATGCGCGCAACATTCCGGAAGGCAGGCATGAATCATATACAGCCAGTTCTCCCCGTACTGGAAACCTTGGGCAACTGTTGAACGACAAAAGACTCACTTCTCTTCGCACGTTTTCTGCGTCCACTGCGCATACATCAGCGCCGCAGGATCGTTATTCGCCAGGAAGCCGACCAGGTGCGGCGGCTTCTCGAGGGTCTTGACGCCCTCCGACACTTCGGCGAGCAGGCCATTGGCGATGTGCTTGGCCAGCATCACCTTGCAGGGGGTCGAGGCAGACATGGCGACTGGAGAAAGCGCAGTATGTAATTGCTGGAAAGCAAAGAAGATCGCGGGGTGGTCTTTAGATCGGATCGATTTTGGACAGGAAAAGATTGTTCGCTTATCGATAAGAGCGCCGTTTTCGGCGTGCCGAGATTTACGTACACACCTGAGATCTATAGAGCGGAACAGCCGGTTCAATGTATTTGCAATTTTGATTTAGCTAGTTATTGTCAGAATTTGAGTTGAGCCAATGGCGTTGTTCATCAATGTTCTTATTTGTCTCGTTGACTACTGGCGATCTATCGCCCATCCTTGCCCTAATCGGGTGTTGAATATATGGTTATCTTGAATTTATACAGTCACTTCCTCTCAAACACGCAATCTACCTGCACGATCTTAATCCAAATAAGCACCCACGCTCTCCATTGCACTGACCAAGTCGACATGGAAGAATGGCCGATCTTCGCGCCCGAGCACCGCCAACCGGGGACATTCAACAGACACACTTCTCTCACAGGACTGGACACAGCGACTGCACTTGTCTTGTGAGAAAATCCCCTTTTCCACGTCTTTGATATTCTCACTGGGACAGTCAGATTCATTGACCACATTTCCTTCCAAGACCGTTGTCTCAGTCAGAGTATGCGGGTACCCAAAACCGGCCGCGGCAAGAGCACGCTTAGTCCACCGGTTCTTGATATTGGCAAAATGCCACTGAACAGCCGATGGAGTAGCACGATGGTCGAGCTGCTTTCGTACGTCCACCAAATTCTGGATACAGGTCACGTCGACATTGTTAACGCATGAAAAGTCCAAGACAACCGCACGGAGAAGCGGGAGGTGGGAGTTGCTGGATTCATGGTCTTTATCGCTGAGTCCGGAGTCATTCCATGGCCGATCACCCTTTGTCGCATAAATCTGAGAGTCGGCGCAACGAGTGCTTTTCAAGATTGTCTGCACCAAGAGATCCGTGTAATGGTTCGAATTGGAGTAGTTCAAGCCATCTGGAAATTGATAGACGAACACTCCCGGCCGCGGCTGCTCGAGATTTAGAGCTGGGCAGCCATCGCCTGGTAAGAACAAAGGTCTTTGTGCCTCTTTAGGACCAATCCAGGTTCTCGCAAGGAATTGGCCCTGTGCTTTGGCATGACGAAATAGAAAGATGAGAAGAGACAAGGCGACGGTGGCATAAATGCTGTTGGGGATGGAATCCATAAGGGCGACAATTAAGCCAATTGCGAAGACAATGGCATCCGATGGCGCGATGAGCCAGAACTGATAGATCGTATTTGGGGATGTGATCAAGTCTCCTACTGCATGGATAATGACACCCGCTAGCGAAGCCTTGGGTGTGAAGCAGAGTACCTCGGTCAGTGCATAGAGGGCGATCAGAACAACGATGGCAGTTATGACACCCGCAAAGGGGGTCCGCGCCCCGGATTTGGATTGAATTGCTGAGCGTGAGAAAGACCCGGTTGCTGTGTACCCACCGACAAAGGGACCTAGAAGGTTCGTAATGCCAATGGCAATCAACTCCTGGGATGGGTCGATAGTGTAGTTGTTGATGCGGCCAAAGGATTTGGATATGGCAATGTGCTCAATAAGAAGCACCATCACGCAGGCAGGCAGCTGGGGAGCAAAGATCTTGATGGCGTCGCTGCTAAGCTTCGGGACCCCTGCGTCCTTGAAGCCTCGAGGGACAGTCCCGACTATGGCAAAGATCGGATTATCTCGATGATGTAGGTTGACTGCGGCGCTAATTGCTGTGAAGGTAAATATGACCATAGATGCACGCAAAGACGATATGAAGAAAAAGCTCTTGGCATGCTGTGGATGTTTGCGTGCTCCGTAGCTGCAGCCGATGCGAATTAGGTACAGCATCCCGAGTGCAGAAACGCCCATGGCGGCATCATATCTGGTTGACGTGGGCAAATGCTTCAGGCTGTCGATTATAACGCGATAGGCCGGTCCTCGAGTGCTGAATTCGGCAGTTTCGCCCAGCAGTTGTTTGATCAATCCCGAGCTGATAGTTATCGCCGACCCCGTCATGAATGCTGCGATAGATGGAAGAGGAATGAACTCGACAACAAAGCCCAGGCGGGCCAGACCCATGAGCGTCACAATTCCTCCACAAGTCACAGCAATTGACATTGCAATTTGTACATCGGAAATATCAGGGCGGATGCCCTGAACATCGGCGATGATAGTACCGACAAGTGTGGACATGATAGCAACCGGCTGATCCATTTAGCGCATGTAACCCCGTAAGGAATGTCAATCGCAAACTTACCCCGATACTAATATCCTTGGACGTTGCGAAGAGCCAGTAGATGAGAACGCCCACGAAGGATGTATATAGGCCGAACTGAACAGGCAAATTGGCCAGCCTAGCATATCCCATGCCCTGGGGAATAACGACGGCACCGACGGTGATTCCTGCCATAGTTTGTGCGTTAGCAGAGTTTCGAATGTTTTGTCAACTCTACGTACCGGCAACCAAATCACCGAGAAACCATTTCTTGTTGTAGTGCATAATCCATCCCAGGAAAGGAAACAGCCGTACAAAGTACGACCGCGCCTGAGACCATGAAGGAATCACTTCCTTCAACCAATCGGACACTGTTGGATCTGGCTCATGGTGTGTTGCAATTTCCGAGGCCTTCCCATTCAGAGGGTTGGTTGGCGGCTCTTGTAGACCGATTGCGCTCTTGATTTTGCTTCCCACACCAGTAGACACCATGGTAAGGAATATTAAAAGGGGTACAGGCCGCAGGAGTATGGCTATTTCCCTCCTATATATAAATCTAATGATTAAGGTACAATGAGTCAAGCTATATGTAGCAAGTAGCATTGGTCTAGATCCCACCATAGCACCTGTGGTTGTAGTGGTACTGTGCCATAAAAAATTTGGCGCAATTCCAGCCCAATCATACATCAGCCACGTTGGAATGTTCTGAATTGAATTCCACGCTGGTGACAGTGCAAATCCAGTTTTTGGCCATGCAGGCGAGGACTTAGTCCAACTACCTGGCTTTTCCAGTCTCGTGATCATAAGAATGAATGGCCTGGTCTAGCCTGGTCCAGCCAGACAAGGACAGAAACCATTTTCTGCAGCTTTTAATGGAATAGCAATATCGTCAATACTTTTGTTGAGGACAGATAGCATGATAAAGTAGTCCTATAGCTTCCGGCTACCATTTAACACATGTTTATCTCACTTGCACAGCAATGGCTTTCCTAAATTTTCTATGATCAGATAGATACAAGGCCGGCTCAGAGGGTCCAGAACCCAGATGGAATAATGAGACCTCGGGTAGATCGCCGCCTTGAATAGCTAGCCCTACATTCAAACGGACAAACATCCAATCGGGGGAGACCGAGCCCTGTGCTGAGGGCTCTGGAATGGTCCCTCATTCCAACGAAGCTTGGTTTATCGATTTCAGGGCTTTTATATTCTCATTGGTCAAGAATGTAGCAGATTAGGCTCCTTGCATGTCAAGGATCGAATCCTGACTCCGAATGGCAGGAATGGCTGTGCAGGCTCAGCGGGTATCACACGGGATGTTGAGATACTGATTGACTTTGGCTTTATGATTGAGTGAAGGTTTTATATCTACCATTCTTATGCAGACATATCTGCGACCAGCTTTTGATCCAATATCAAGGGAAAACACATGGAAATATGCTGTCTAGCTCATTAAGTACGAAAGGACTAGATTATTGACCGTTTCCGCATCGATTGATCTTCTTCCGACGGCGATTTGTCGTTAGAGTTCCAGAAGTCTGTAGAAATTTAATCTCCCGTCTCCACGAGGTACATCATTACTTTGTGTACCACCCCCTTGCCTTAGTGTGCAGCTGAGGTTAGGTATGGCAGAGGAAAAAAAAATCGATAACCCTTCCTTCACCTGGTCGATCGAGTGTCTTGCGATTCGTACTTGTGCTTGACCCACGCCCAGCACCAGGGCACACCGCACGTCGCGCACGCCATCAGGGTGCAACAGGTATTCGATCTTTCCACGGTTGTCGCCGCACAGTATGCTCGCCCTGATAGTGCTACACTTGCTGCTGCTCCAGGTCGATCTGCTGTAGCAGATCTTCCCCTATTATCAAATCAGCACAATCCATTGCAAGACATGGCACTTGATACTTACGACACCGCCACCACTGCCCCCACCACGGCCACAACCACGGCCACATTGACCTTTTCCTGGTAAAAATGAATCTACTTTACATCAGATGTGTGCGTGGTATCATACGCCATCTGGCAGATAAAGCCTCCGAAAGCGTCGCGCGCGGTCAGGAAGCGAACAAGCAAAGCTTCTTACACGATGACCTAACAAGAAGCACTCTCCACGGAGTGTCAGCGCCATATACAACAGTGTAGGTAGAGCTTCACTAACACCTCCACCTAGGGAGCTTACATGGCCGGCTCTCACGGAGGGCCGCGCGGGCAAATCTCTGGCCTCAGGCGAGGCGTCGGTGGGACCTGGGCGACGTTGACGTAGCTATAACAGGTGATCAGATTATGTTTTTGCCCGTACCTCTGCTGGCTTCATACCGGTTGCTCGGTAGCACATAATGGCGCCGTACTCCACGGCGAAGGCGAAAGCGACACTTAAGTCAAAGAGGAAAAGGTGCCACATCTTGGCCCCCGGCCCAAAAGTGTTCTGGAGTGAGGTTTTGCAGTAGACTCGGATCATGTTCAAGCCATTCCGAGTCCGCAACCAGATAACCAGACTGAGAGGTTGAAGAAAGAGAGCATGATCTCTGGGAGGATTTCCGTAATATGTGGAAATGCACATCACATGAGTCCTTATTGACAAAGGCTCGCCTGAGAACGATAACTATTACTACTAGTTAGTAGTAATTCCCAGAAGCTTATAGGTAAATATATCTTACCGTGTCCATGGTTATCAATCATTACCCATCATGATGCCCCGAAGGGCCACAGAACTGCATGTATGTGTACAACAATCCTAATTTTCATTGACGGCCACCTTCCCACGTAACTCGTAAACTTGCACGATTCGAGACCGTGCCATTCTCTGTAGTGCAGCAGTAAGTGAGCAGGAAACTCCCCACTCTTTGCGACGTACTCGGGGTGTCGGCACCGCCACGTAAAGGAGCTGGTCGATGGTATGGTCTGGGGGAAGACGTACAGCTTGCCACTGCGTGAGTGATATGTAGGGAGTGGCCTCCTTGTCAGATCCCGTCGGTTGGTTCTCGAGTCGGCCAGCTTTCTCTTCGTTCCTTGACTCCCCCATGCGCCATTTGCGGTAAGCTCTGGCCACAACTGGAGGTCGGGTTTCATTTGAGTTGGCTTTGTTTGAATGGCCTAGTGCACTGCTTGACCGAAGCATCCATGACTCGTGGATTTATCGTATCCCTATACGCTCTCCCAAAAGCCCCTCTTGGAGCTGGCGCTGTTTCGATCAGACCGTACCACATACACCTCGTGGGCGGCAATGGCGTTGGGAACTTGTAGTCAGTCTGCATGCGTCGAAGCAGTTTGGCCAATCCCGCACGATCGCAATTTAGAAATCACCTGGTACATAAGCGATCAATATGAATATGTTCAGTGCATACGACAAGGGCAGGCATAACAAAAGGAAAAATACATACCATCCACCGGACAGGGCACTGACATTCGCAGACGTGTTCCCATGCCTCCATCAGGGGCGCAAGGATGAACTTCCTCGGCAAGTCTTCTGGGACGAACAGAGGACAAGGCAAAGTGGAAATAAAGGCGTCGATATATATCCGTCGCAGGCGTGTTGACGAGGAGGCAACCGACTGTTGTTCGTGGGTCATGAACGAGTGTATATAGGAAGAAGAAAGGAAGGAGGAGGGCGTGGGGAGGCTTATTTATATTCGGCGCCGCATTACGTTACCTCAGGCAGCTACGACTACGACATTGTTTGCCTACAATATGCAAGAAAGAAAAATTTGGCAAACTTCTGCTTGCCTAGAAGAGATTGCACTAGAGGAAATAGCTCAAATGTAGTAAATGTAGATACAGCATCGCCATCATGTCCATGGATCAACAGATAATGGCTCTGCAGCTCCAAGACGGCCCTTACTCCCACTTCCAATCGTTGTCTAGCACCAAGTTCGCCTGAGATTCATGGGCCAGTACGACTGTTTTATGGGGCTTTTACCGACGGGGACTGAAAAAAGACATTTCATTCATTCAATTGAGAGTTCTACTCGCCTATCTACTAGAAAGTCCCAGATCTTCCTGGGTTCGCCCATGATGGGGAAGCGGTGGCCGTAAATGAGATACTTCTCAGGCTACGGGAGGAGAGCTTCGCCAGATGGTGGGCCTTGATGCCCATACCCATGCATATCTCGGTCCAGCACAGGAGGAGATCCCAGATGGTGTTCAGAAGGTAAACGGAAACGATGAAGGGAAGAGGAGGAAGCAACAAACCCTCTACCACCAGCCAGCTCTATCGCTCACCAAAACTCAGCTGTTTCATTCTCGGAAGCAGCAGATACATGGGCTGGCATAGCTGCGAGCTTGCTTGCGCTCGTGATGGTGGTTGTGGTTGCGACTGCTTCGGATGCTCCACTAGCACCAGCCGACTTGGGCGCCTCAGCACCTGGGCCATTGTTGTAATAGCCCACCGGGTCGATGTTTTCCACAACGAGTTTTGTAGCCCTCAGCAGGTCACCAAGCCCACCACTGCCGATGGCGTCAGCAACCGGTGTGGATGTAGTAGAAATTTCTATATCGCGACCCAGGAGTTCTGCGGCGGTCCAGTCTTGGGTGCGATCTCCGGGTTGGAGTGAACCATTCGCCTTCAGAAGCACGTTGATGACAGGGCTGACCAGAGAAACTTCCCACCATTGTCGACCAGTCGAGACCATCTCCGTGAGCTGGGCACAGGATGCTTCCACGGTGTCCGAGTCCAGAGGGTTAACAGAGAGAAGCAAGTCCTGAATCTCAGTGATCTGTAAAAAGAGATCGTGGTTGGCGTTTGTACGTTCCTCGTTCGAGGGGTTCGAGGGGACGAAACAGTGCCGCGTCCAACGTTTCATGGAAACTTTCTGAACTGCCAGCACAGCCTTGGGGAGACGGAAGTGCAGACGCACCAAGCTTCTGTTCGGTTCAACCCAAATGGAATTGACAATGTGATTGACCGCGTCCCCGATCTCAGTGTTTGGCATGGGGTTATACTCTACATGCCCTCTGAGGATGGCGGCAGCATCCCAGATATTACCAGGGAAGCTCAGGTGAACCGAACCAAGGAAGGCCTTGGGCCGACTGACAGTCGCATCGCCGCCGCGGTCGATAGTGATGATGAGCAAGGCGCCAGTTTCCGTTCGGCAGTAAATCTCGTACTGTACACACGATTCCGCAATGGCCTGATCAAACAGCCGGTGTCCCTTGACTTGCAGATCGACAATGTAGTTGATATCGGCAGGACATGTTGTCAATCGGTTGATGAAAGTAGTGCTTGGGGGACGAGTCCCATTGAGAGGCAGAAACAAGCGCTGGAGCTGTGCAAATGACATCTGTCGGTCTTGATCGGCAGTAGAAAAGGAAGGCACGAGGACAAGGCCAAGCTGGATTTCCAAATTCAGGGGCCCAGGATAGCACTCGGCAGCAGTGAGCATGGGCTTGAGCACAATGAAGAAGGTCTCGATCAGTATATTCTGCCGCTGCTTTTTTCTCACAGCTGCTGACTCCGTCTTTAGAGCGTTGGCTTCTTTGGGGGGATCATTTTCCTTGGCCTTCTCGGCCTTTTCGGTTGGGAGCTCTCCCCACGCATCAGCGACGATTGCTTCCCGTTTGGCCTTGGCCTTGTCCTTGGCCGCTGTCTTTACCTTCCCCTTTGCAGATGGCTTCGCAGTTTGATGCATCGTGCTGTGAAACTCTCTGGTCTTTGCTTCATTCGCAGGCGACAGTCGTTCCTGAATGATCGCCGCAGCCCCAATCTGAGCAAGAAGGAAATTGTTGGCCTTGGCCTTGTTCTGATTTTGTGGCTCCTGCTGGAACACGTCGAAGGACGAAGGATCCCAGGTGTTGGTCGCAACATGCTCCAAGCCTGGAGGTGGAACAGCTGCGTTCTTCGTGGGGGCTTCTTTCTTCTCTGCAGGACCTTCAGCACTCTCCACTAGCAGAACCTTGCGGGTCTTCAATCCATGCGACCTTCGTTTCACCGGCGCAGAGTTCCCCGCTTTCTTTCCATCTGGGGCATCAGGGGCATCGACCCAGTCATCGACCGCTTGAGCCTTTGCAGCAGTCAGGAACGGATGTTGGCTACCGTCAGTTGCAACAACAGGGATATTGGGAACCATGTTTTCATCGGTATTGTAAGCTCCGGCCATTCCAAGCTCAGGAAATGTGAATTCATTCCACTCTCGACAGGCCGTCGTCGCATCCTCCACTCGAAGAGGGGTGCGAATATGACACGGCTTCTCCCACAGTCTGGTGGGCAAGTCGAACTCGTATTGAACAGGAACCCACATGGTTCGCAGGGTGGGAAAGCTCGAGCGCGGGTCAAATAGTGCACGACGGAGAGCAACATGGTTCAGCCCTGCGTAGGAAACGATATCGTATTGGATGGAGCCGCTAGTAGGGGCGACAATGGTGGTTTTCCGATACGGCCTATCAACCAAAGACTAGATAACCGTCAATTTCAGAACACTGGTCAGTAGAAGCAAGCGAAGACTTACCAGTGCCCCTTCTACAGTAGCAAGCCTCTCCAGTGCCTCCTCCACGTCGGCACTGTTGGTCCCAAACACACGTACACCATTCTCGGTATCGACAGAAACCTCCGTACCAGTTCCCTCAGCAATGCGAGGCAGGATATCCAGGCGATCACCAGCGAAGTATCCGAGCACGCCACCTGCAGGGATCCAGAATTTGGTCGTAAGTTGCTGGCCAATGTTCTCGACGAGGTCTTCAGGCGGGTCATCTAACTCGAGCAGATCCTGCTTATTCTCCTCTCTTAGAGTGGGCGTAGCAGTCCTGGCATCATCAAAGTCAATGGCCATGAGCGGCTGCATGCGAGGGATCTGGAGACCATGTCAGGACGTGCCGACTGTATTTATGGGGTCCATACATCGAGAAGATCCTCTTTGCGGTGCTTCTCAATAAACCCAGCAAACAGCCAGCCGTACTTGGAATCATACATGGCACCATCGGTGCCTTTGAGTAGAAGAGCCTGTGAATGGATGAGCAGGGTATTCCAGAGGGAAGGTGCACTGCTTACATGGTGAGACTTGATGTATTGAACCTGGACTTCCGGAGTGATCTTTCTGTGCGAGTTCAGTTCAGTATTCTGGACGGATCGGGAATACTAGAAGGTGAGAGTCTTACTTGATCTGGTCCTGAAGCTCTTGCACCTGCGTTGTGGACGATCAGCACGTCAGATACTCCAGGCAAGTAGTGAGATGGGTTACTCACTCCCAGTTCCTCCAAGGACCATGTAGTTGCCAAAAGAAGATCTCGCCGGGCAGCCATGTTTGGGTGATGGAGCAGGTGGAGAGTAGATGGTGGGTGGAAAGAGAGAGAGAAGGTGTGAGAGCCAAGAGACATGGAAGGAAGGAAACAGAAGAGAAAGACGGAAACAACACCATTGTTCAGTCATGCAATCATCAATCAACAGTAAATCTAACAGTCTAAATGAATCAATAGAATGGGTATTTTCCCGGCAACGCCATGCACCATGAATGAGAACTTGTACAGGCCATTAGTAGATCACCCCGACTCCTTATTTTCCTTCTCCTTTTCCTTCTCATTCAGCTGGATCGCCCACCGCATCTGCGCCTGTGTCTCTTTCATCGACTCCAGCGCGGCATCAATCAACGCATTGTTTGCCTTGGCCCGCTCCAGCGTGTCTCGGAATTCCTCGTCCTTGGTCTTCTTGTACGAAGCATGCTTCGCCATCAACTTCTCATGCGCATCGCGGAGCACCTCCACCTCGCGGTTCTTCTGTTCGGCAATCACATCCATCCGCTCCGCCGAGAAATCCCTCGTCTTCGACGCCACCGCCATCGAATCGACCTCCTTCCAGATGGCTTTGACGCGGCGACTAAAGTCCTCCTTCTCGCGCTTCGTCGTGCCGACCAGCACCTCGTACTGTGTCTCGTGATACTTGGCGATCTCGTGCGCGCGCGCCTGCTCACGATTGTGCGTTTCGCGCTCCTCACGCATGGTCTGGTTGGTCTTGCTGGCGTTTAAATCGGCTTCTTGGCGTTTCGTGCGCTCGCTCTGGATCTCGGCGCGCAGTTCGTCGAGTTTGCGGTCTTTGCGCGCGATCGAGATGAGGTTCGTTTCGTTGACTTGCTCCAGGTTGCGCACCCGCTCGCCCATGTTTTCTACTTGGATCTTGAGCGTTTCGTTCGATCGTTGCGTCTCCTCCGCACGCGAGCGGTACAGGCTGCACTCGCGTGTCAGGCGGGCGATTTCTTCTTGTAGATTGTGGATCACTCGTCCCGACTTGCCTGTCGCTGCGTGGCCAACGGCGGACCATTCTGTGGTGTTGTTGCTCGGGTCGGGGCTCATGGAGGGGTTGGAGATGATGGTTGGCGAGGTATGGGAGTCTATAGTTATACGCAAGGGGGTTAGCGGACGGTGTAGTTGAGGCGACGCACACCCACCTCGTAGCCCGTCGGCGGCCGGGGCGCCATCTTCGAAGAAGCCGTTGTACTGGTGCATGTTCAATTGGGTGTCGACATGCGGGAGATTGACCTGAGGTGGCTCTGCAGCGACAAGGGACGGGTCAGCAAGAATGTCTAGTCGGGGCCGAGAGGCCAGGCGTTGGTGCCAGGCCATTCTGGGAGAATGACGATCAGCATAACCGAGCGTACCAGAGAATCGCAGCTGAGCCAGGCGTGTGGTGGCAGGTTTGTGGCGGCGACTAATCATCGCCGAGTCATCGACATCGTCAGGAAGAAGTATATATACAGAAACAGACGAGGAGCAATGAATCCAAGAAGATGTGAAGATTAAAACAAAACAGGGGCTTTGGTCGGTGGTTGGTGGTTCCACTCATTATGGGCGCCACCGCGGGCGCTAGCACTGATCCGTAATGCACACATCACATCAGAGAACAACACGGTGAACTATAACGAACTATGTACACTGAGACACTCCAGAACTACTGAAAGAAGAACGCCAGAACAGCCAATGCCCCCACAACAGCCGAATATTGCAGTCGGCTGGCCCCGTTCTGCACACCACCCGTCTGCTTCGCCTTGTGGTGTCCCGTCGCACTCGAGCTGCCCATCACCGAATCAGTCACCATCGAAGTTGGTGCTGCGCTGCTAGACTGAGCGCTGGAGGCCGACGAGCTGATCAGGGCCTTGCTACCCGTGCTGGTGGTCTGACCAGTAGTGGCACCAGTCTGGGTTGCCTCTGTGGTCGGCGCTGTGGTCGTGCCAGTCCCAGTCGTAGCCTGGGTGGCCTGAGTGGCCTGAGTGGCAGCGGTGGTCCCATCAGATGCCACAGCCTTGTCAGCAAGAGCCTTCATCTGCCCAGAGTAGTTGGACTGGCTGCCCTGCATGATCTGGAAGGCGTACGGAGTGCCACTCGCGACGTTGCTGTCGGGGGTCCATGTGAACTTGCCATCCTTGGCGTTCGAGGTGATGGTCTCCACGTCCTGGAGGTTGCCGGCATTACCCTTGCGCAGGTTGATAGTGTAGGGCTACAGCGGATTAGTATCGGTGTTTACGATGGGTCAAAAGGGCAGGCTGTACCTCGCCAGGATTGCCACCAGTCCAGGTCAGCGTAACAGGCTTGCCGGCCTGGATTTCAGTCGGGAAGCTGGTGAAGGACAGAGCGCTGCTGGCAGCAAGGCCAACGGAGAAGAGAGAGGCCGAGATGGCAATGACACCGGTGGAGATATGCATGGTAGTGAAGGAACTCAAAAGAGACGGTGGGACTTTAAAGAGAGTCGGATGGAATGGATTATAGGCGTATAAATGCGATAGAGGATTTTCCAAACTTCAGCAGGGCGAGTCCATTCTTATCTACTGTTTTCCAGCAGCCAGCCCCCGCAAATACTTGTAGGAATTTAGGAGAGTGCGCGTCTGGAATGTTGCATTCCTCGACAATAAGCTTGCAGATCGGGTTTGGGATGGCCGTGGGAGTATTTGGGAATGTCTTTGACCAAAGAACAACAAAAAGAATCAACAGTATTCATTGGAGTAGAGAAACCGTCATGATCAGTTGTATCTATACCCACTACCGAAAGGGCAACGCACTCCTAACCTTTCCCCAGACCAGTTTTACAGAATACTAGCCAGTTGCTGCCAATCGAATGTAAACAAAAGCCACAAACGTGGGTACCCACCAGTAGACCCGATGCAACATGCCATCCCTCGGACTACGTAGTGTATAAAGCAGATGGCAGCTGTCGACCAAGACTAGACATACCAAGGGGTGTTTGTGTTTCAATCATATTTTGATTCCCAACTTATAAAGCCGGTTTAATTTCCATAGTTCGGCTGTCTTAAATCCATCAGACATAGTATCAACAACGGTGTTTGTTTACTCTACCCTGAATATCAGAATATGCAAGGGCGGTGTCTTCACCCCAGCATACGGCCCACGCAACTGGAGAATTTGGCTCTCAGAGAGGAATTCTGAACAACTACCCCAAGACATCCCTAGGTGTCATGGTATTGGCCTACATGCAGATCTACTCTGTACTCTCTCTCTAGGGATGGCGTGTGACCACGCTAGCCCTAACGCTGAGATAATCTGTGAATAACACGCATTTTTCCAAATATGGCAGGAAGCGCAAATTCACAATAGGGATTGTCTGTGTTCATATTGGGTGCAAGTCAATGAGCTAGGAAATGAGAATGGCGGCTTATATCGCTCCCCGGCGCCTTCCTCAAATGGAAGTGGCTGCCGCTGAACTTGAGTCCGCCATATACGCCTCGCTTTCGCTCAATGGGCATCTTTTTCTCTCTTCATCACCATCACTCGTTCATTTTCTTCCCGTCCATCCACTCGCTTCTTACCCGCCCGCTTGAACCCATACCTCTTATCTCACAATATCATCTTGACTTATCAATCACTTATTCCTCTATTCCAAACAATGTCTGCCTCCATGGATACTGTCTCTAGTCCTGCTGCGTCCGAGCCTGCCTGGCAGGGTCCGGACCCCTCCAGCCCAAGCACCTGGACCACGGCCGTGGTCAACGGGAACCCCCAGCCCATGCAGCGCTTCTACGCCCTGCCCGTCGACGACAACGTCAGCGCTGAGAGGAAGGCCGCTGAAGCGACAGACCTGGCCCAGCTGAAGGCCCAGCTCACCAAAGCCCTGAGCACGCTGGCGACCGTGCACAAGATCATCGGCGAGCGCGAAATGGCACGGATGATGCAGTCCCGCATCGGTATCGACCTCTGGTATAGGAGCTGGATCAAGTACTTCTCCTACCCCCAGCTGCACACCATTTCGGAGATCGTAGGCCACACCCACCAGAAAGTCGACATGCACTTCCGCGAGACTGCCTCGGGCCTGCAGACCTTCCTCATTGGCCTGCAGCTCGAAATGTCTCTCGCTACCACTGAGCATCACATCCACAGTGTGATGCAGTACATGGAAGTCGAAACGTCGCGTCGCTGCGTGGACCGAACCAATCGTGCTCGCAAGACCTTCGACAAGATGTGTCGCAAGATCCGTGGTGAGCTTCGCATTTACATCTCGCCTCGTGTTCGTCTTCAGATGAAATACACTCTTTTCGCCCTGGACACGGGTTTCCACTACCACCATTACCCAACCCACGCACTTGCCATGGCTGCGGTACGTGAGATGACTGCCTGCCATCTGCCGGGCGTCTATCTCTACGCTCAGCCCCCTGATGCTCCTCAGAACCAGTATCAGGTTACGCACACGGTCCACCAGACGACTAGTCCTTCTACCTGACTGTGCAAGGTTGGGTTCCTGGTGTTTCTGCTACTGTGACGGACAATGAAGAACCATCCAGCTTGTACTATGACTGAGCGTCAGGAAGATCGGACTATTCACCAGTTACAGGATAGCTAGTGAGTTGCGCATGTTTCGAGGAGGTCGTTTGATTCGCAGATCAGGTCCGGCATGGTTCTTTCTCTTTCTCCTTCCTTTTTGTTTCTCTTTTTCGTTCTACTTATTTCCTTCTTATGACTGGGACCGGAGTATGCAGATGTCGCTCGTTTTTCTCATGTCTATGGTTTATGCATAACGACAGATACCCCAGTTCAAGACTGCTCACAGACTGCACAGATCAATCAATGCACGAAATTTTCATCACAATGCCATGCCCCAACAGAAAAGGAAAAGACAATGGTATAATAAAACAATCAAGAGAAATCCCACAGTCCCCGCAGAAAGCACCCTGGACCAGAATCCACACCCCCATCCTCCTCCAACAACCGATCTGTAAAAATCCGCTTGGGGATCTGATACTCCACAACCGGAACCTTGCGCATGGGCCTTTCCTCCGATCCAAGCTCTGCATGCACCATGCCCTGATACGTATGATCCAAAAAGTCTTCTAGGTTATACGCTTGCTTGGTGAACTGCTCCGAGACAATGCGCGCAATGGCAGCCACGTTAGGGTGGTAGTGAGACTGCAGCGTCTCGATTTCCCAAATACTGCTCTCGAGAGCGTTGGTGCGGGTTGGATCTGGTTCGGCGGGATCAAAGGGGTCCTCCACACCTTGTTCCCCGTTTGCGCGATGCATCATGAATGTGCATGTGGGGTGGCTTTTGAAGAAGTTGTAGATGAAGGGAACGATCACCACGATGGCGGAGGGGGCGCGTTCAGTGCCAGCCGGGACAGACGCTTGATGAAACTGGCGACTAAGGCTGCAGGGAGATGGGTTGAGCAGAGGAACGTGTTGAGGAGACGAAAAAACCGGGAGCGGTGTTTGGAATGGAGCAGGTCGGCGTCGAGGAGGGAGTAGAGCTTGTGATAGAATTGCGGGTAGTCCAGGTTCTTTTCTTGGATGAGGTAGAAAAGGCCCGAGAGTGCGAGCAGGGACATGGAACCGCCTTCGTTGTAGGAGTCCGTTAGGAAGTCCATTAGGAGCTCGGGACGAGAGAACCAGGGTTCAATGGTGGATGCCATAATTCGGAGGAGGGTCTTTCGTTGAGACTGCGACAGGTTGTTGCGCAGAATGGCTAGCCATGCTTCCTGGGCGCGCTTCTTGTGGGAGCTGACGGATACCAGTCGTTTGTTCTTGGTTTCCGTGTAGAAATTTTCGAACTCCTGGGTTGCGTCTGGCACGTCTTCGCAGGCAGAGAGGATTTCGACGAGCCGTTCAAGGACTTCAGGGTTTCGCTTGGTGGCGCCATATTCGCTGAGGAGGGTTAGTTCATGGCACCGACAGATGAAGGCGAGGAACATACGCAATCTGTGCAAACGTGTGGTACCGCACGTCGTCATATTCCTGCACAAACTTGGAGACAAACTCGGTCCGGAGATCGGACTCTGGTGCTTCAACAACCGCCTCGAAAATGTCCTTGAACATCCCCGACGTCCAGACCGTGTTATCCGCACCGGGGATATGTGTCACCCGTTCTTTGACCAGGCGCATGCCCAGCGTCAGAGCAGTAATCTGAACACTGTCGTCAGAAACAGAAAAGAAAAGGTCCGCCAGAGCATTTACCCACCTGAGATGCAGTATCGGCCTCAGCCATAATAGCCAGCAATGCCTTCTGATATTCCACGCATCGCTCCTTCAACCATGCCACAATGATTTTCTCGTTGTCCGCAGCGCGATTAGAATCGGTCAGGTTTCCCGCCGCGATCAATCGGCTAAAAACCCGACACAGGGATACTGCGACTGCCAATTCCGGGCTCTTAGGTGCTCCCAGCATCGCAATCAAGGTTGCGATATTGTTGTAGTGCTTGCGCGACTCGGCAATCTGGGTTTCGAGCTCTTGGATGGCAGCCAGCGTCTCGGCAAAGTCATTTTCGGCGACCGCACGGCGCTTGGAGGATGTGGTGGCGCCATGCTTGGTGCTCTTGCGCTTCTTGGAGTCCGCAGCGGCCGGCATTTTGGAAGAGATGAGTGTATTCCAGGCAAGTTGAGTATTCCGGCAACTGATGCAAGTCCAACTATTTTTTTGGTCGGGTCCATGTTTCTCCGGTCCTCCGTCGGGCAGCCACCCAAAGCGGTTTAGCGCAGCCACACTCCTAACCAACCCGAAGTTCCCAGTCTCCTCAACTCAACCCACGACTCCATTATTCAAGATCTTCCCATCTGACACAATGGCTTCGCGTCTCGCTAAGAGCGCCATTGGTACGCTCCATCCACTTTGCGACATGCTCTTTCACCTCCTGCATCATTCAGCTAACTCTCTCCCCCAGGCGCAACCCGGCTGCGGCCGGTCATTCCCGCCCGCGTCCCTGCCGTCACGGCCCTGACCTCGACTCGCTCGGCCTCCAACGTCCCCGCCGAGAACCCCGAGAAGAAGGCCCAGTCGATCCTGGACAGCATTCCCGGCAACTCCCTGGTGTCCAAGACCGCCGTCCTCTCCGCCGCCGCCGGTCTGTCCATCGCCGCCATCAGCAACGAGCTCTACGTGATGAACGAGGAGACCGTCGCCGCTTTCTGTCTGCTGTCTGTCTTCACTGGTGTGGCCAAGTACGGTGGCCCCGCGTACCGCCAGTGGGCTGAGGGTCAGGTCCAGAAGCACAAGGACATCCTGAACGCTGCCCGTGCCGACCACACTACCGCCGTCCAGCAGCGCATTGACAACGTCCAGGAGCTGTCCGGTGTGGTCGAGATCACCAAGCAGCTGTTTGCTGTTTCCAAGGTAGGCTGATTGGTTCTTTGTGAGTTAGGGCATCGTCTGACTCGTGTGCTCCAGGAAACCGCCCAGGTCGAGGCCGAGGCCTACGAGCTCCAGCAGCGCACCGCCCTCGCCGCCGAGGCCAAGCAGGTCCTTGACTCGTGGGTGCGCTACGAGGGTCAGGTCAAGCAGCGCCAGCAGCGTGAGCTGGCCGAGTCGGTCATTGGCAAGATCCAGAAGGAGCTGGAGAGCCCCAAGGTTCTGCAGCAGATCCTGCAGCAGAGCGTTGCCGACGTGGAGCGTACGTCTCCCCCTTGTTCTTCCTCTTATTGATTTGTACTAATCTTGTTGTAGGCATCATGTCCTCCAAGGCCCAGTAGATGGACTCCGGTGGCTCCCGCGGCTGTTGCCATTGTGTACAAAACTATAGGGGCTGTCTGCATGTGCTAAATCAAACTAGACCTTGCAATACCATTTCTTTCATTTGTCTGAATTGTTATTCTGGCCCGGGTCTCAAGAAATCCGGTTTAGGGTTGGTGTAGTCATCGTAGCCCATTGTTGTCGGGACAAACAGGTGTTGTTGCGCCACTGACAGCGCCTGAGTAACCCTGCCGCTGCATGCAGGCACCGTGCTCCACATTCTTGGTTTTGTAGTATATGAAGGATCCAGTGTATCTGGGGTATATAGCCTAGAATTGTAGACCCCGTTCCAATTTGTCTCGCCTAGGGATGTCATCTACCCGATACACCCATGTTCCAGTAAGCGCCTGCGGACCCAGCCAAGCCCACCCACGACCCAGACACAGCCACCGCTGGAGGGATTCCGTGAATTGCCCCAAGACAGATCTCTCTCCTCTACCTAATCTCTCATCCTGTTCTTTTTCTAGATATATATATTTTCTCACTATCCGCATCTCTCCAGCCTTACCAGGCAGCCTCGGCCCAACCTCCCCCACCGATCAGCCATCCTTATCACCGCAGTTATCAATCACCATCGCAACATGCCCTCCCTCAAAGACATCCTCCACAAACGCGACGAGCTGAGCACTAGCAGCAAACCCCAAGAACCACCGCCTTTTCCAACAACGCCTCCAACCCCCGAATTCAAATTCATCCGCTCCGACACCATCTCCCAAGAAATCCTCACCCCGCCGGAAGGCGCATCCACCTCCACACCTGACCACCCGCTTGACTCGCCCGAAGGCGCATCCGCATCCTCTTCCGCCTCCCCACGCCGGAGCTTGAGCTTCAGGCTCTTCCACCGCACATCACGCTCCCCATCCGTCTCCTCAGGCATAGACTCCGTGTCCGGACCGTCGCCTCCGCGGTCCTTACGAGGCGAGAACCGCCTCTCGAGCCTCTTTCTCAACCAGCGCAGCAACAGCACCTCGCGCAGTGCGAGTCGTGCCTCGGTCAATCTTCCCTCGGATCTACCGCAGATTGTTGATGAGGAGGATGGTGACAAGCAGGATCGTGAGAGCCAGTGGGAGAAGAGGGCGACCATGCTCGTGCAGCAAAATCCGAATTTCCTGTCCTCCGGATTGTCGTCCCCTTCGCCGGATGAAGCTCATGGCGGCGGCGGGGATTATTTGCAGGTTGAGGGGCTGAAGGCGCGCGTGCGGAGTTCGAGTGTAACGACTCCGACTCGGCAGGAAGATGTGAGTCTTGGTGAATTCTGTGTAGGGGGTATCTTGCTGATGTATATTACTGTCCAGGTCAATATCCAAGAAGCTATTCGACTACACGAATCCGGAGGTAAATACCTCTCTCTGTCTCTCTGTCTATCATATAGCCTGTGACGACTTCAATTGACACACCCCAGACCTAGAACGATCAACCGCAATGTTCGGCAACCTCGCCGACCCAGATGGCGCCAACAACGCCCTCAGCCAAGTACTCTACGGTCTAGCCCTACGGTACATCCCCCCCTGTCTCTCTTTCTACCACTTTCATATCATATGATGCATTCACCGAATACCATACTAAAACCAAAAATCAGCCACGGATGGGGCTGCACCCCAAACCCAGCCCTAGCAATAACATACCTCCGCTCGGCAGCATCCAACAGCGCAGCAATCGAATCCGAAGCCCTGCGCGCTGGGATAAAAAAAGGCGGTGCCGCAAAGGGCGAGCTGGTCCTCGCTATCTTTGAACTGGCGAACTGTTTCCGCAATGGCTGGGGCGTCGAGAAGGATCCTGCTGCGGCACGGCAGTATTATGAGACAGCGGCGAATTTGGGGGATACTGATGCCATGAATGAGGCGGCGTTTTGTTTTCTGGAGGGGATTGGGGGGAAGAAGGATAAGGTGAGACTCGCGCTTCTCTTGCTGTGACATTGGGTTGGTTTGGGTTGTTTCTGATGCTGACCGCGATTGGGGTCTGCAGTTTACGGCGGCTAAGTATTATAGATTGGCGGAGGTGAATGGGTGTCCTACGCTTGGAAACTCATGGTGTGTTCCTGATTTCTCCTTATATACTCTTGAGACTTGACTAACGTGCCCAGGATCTGGAAGGACAAGTATAATCCCAAATAATGACGGAACTGTATATTTTCTACAACAACATCACATAGTACATACACAGCACATAGTCATAATGATCCCTAACTCTTCCCTACGAGGTATAAAGATGAGAGAAGAATAAATCATTCCGCAGTTCTGTTTTTGACATTTAGTGGCTGCCCACGTTTGCTATATCTGGATATGGGTATGCGAATAGGTACAACACAGACAAGTATCACCCGAAGCATAGACCATGAATCGAAGGGGTAACCCGAGCCAAATAACGGATGCATATCAAGGAATGAAATCCGGAGTGCTCAAGGAGACCACTGAAAAGATTAAAGGCTCGCAGAATACACCAAAGATTCAAGGGGTGATAGTATGATAGAAAAAAGAAATCGTCTCGTAATCATCATTGGCAATCGTCGCGTCAATCATATGTAATCATCAATATTCGCAGGGGGGTCGTTCGTAACTTCATCACGTTCGTTCGTCATGGGCGTCGCCGCCTTTGGAGGGTGTAGTAAGTAAGTAAGCAAGCAAAAAGGGCTCGCTGGAAGAAACACGAAGTAAGAAACAGAAGCAAGAGTAAGGCCATGTCCAGGGAAGAGAACAGTAGGAGAGAAGCGAAAGGGAATGAAGAGAAGGGAAGCAGTCTCCCAACCCAATCCAAAATCAAGCCAAAGGCAAATCAAATCAAATCATCCAGTCCCAATAATCCGTCCTCGCTAAAAAAAAAAAGCATCAAATAGCCACATGCAAGAAACAAGTTCAGTCATCACGTCTCATAAGCTCATACCCATCCATCTGTGCACGGCACATCATCAGGATCATATCTCATCCGCCGTATTTCATGTCATCGAAGAGGACCGCTCAGCCGCTCCGCTGGAAAAACAAAACAAAAATGCCAAAAATGCCAAAAAAGCAAACGCTAAATCACGCTGGTCGCTAAGAATGAGACTGTGATGAAAATAAAGTCAAAGAAATACAAAGGAGAAGTTGCGCGTGGATTCTATCTGGACACACGCGGGGGAAATATCGAAAGCCATTGCTAGCTTTTGTTGGTCAGAGGCCGGAACCCTTAGGCGCGAGCAAACCCGACTGGCTCCTCTTTGACAGGCGCAGCGCCATATTCCTGGACCATGCGACGGAAATCCCGGATTACCTTCTCGGGGACGCGATCCCACATGAGAGAACGGCTGTAGACATCCGAAGCTGGAGGACCCGCGGCGTGCATGCGCTGGTTGCTGCGCATCGCTTCGAGGGCCATTTGCAGGCTGGACGGCTGCTGGGATTTGATGCCCGTGCCGTCGGCCTCGAAGGTCGTCAGAGAATTGTATTGGTCTGGGTTGAGAGAAAAGACCTGCTCGCGCTCTTGAGCTTCGGTGGACATGACGAGAGTATTGTGCAGCTGGTCTAGCCCCGATGAAGCAGAGGACGGCATTGGTGCGGTGCCCATCTCGGCCATCTGGGCCATCTGGATGTGATGATGAGCAGGTCCAGTCGATTGGCCCGGCACGGGATGGCCCAACGGGTGGGATAGCTCTGGCGTCGAGGAGGCGAGCACTGCTTTCAGCACATTCGCGGACTCGGCGCGGTACTCCTCTGACAGCTGGGGGAGGGATCGGCTCGGCAGCGAGGTGCTGTTCGACGCAATGAAGGCTCCAAAGAGCAGACACATGTAGAAGGCGTTCCAGCTGAACGGACAGTCCGACGCAACAGGGCTGGTCTTTCCAACCGCCTTTTGAGTGTGGGACATGTTCAGCGACAGTCCATCGTCAGCCATGGTAAAGTCTTCCCATGCGCCGTCCATGGCCAGGTTCTCAAACCCAGAGAACTCGTCGGCAACAGGATCTGCGGGCTTGACACCTCGCTCGAGCTTCTCGACTGTCTCCATCAGGATATTGTTCTTCTTGCGCAGCTCGGCCGTCTCCAACGTGTGCACGCGGATCATCTCGTCTTTCTCCATGTGCAGTCCCTCGAGGTATTGGCTGTACTGTTGTTGGGTAGCCATCCATTCGCCCTTCTCACGCAGGAGCTCTGCTTCCCTCAGCTTCATGTTCTGAAGTGCTTCCTCGAGCTCGCTGATGACCCCTGTAAAGTGTTTCTTTTCCTCTTCCAGCTTTTCGGTATGGAGCTTTTTGCGTTGACGAGAGTCCAATCTATCAACGAATCCATGTTAGCGGCTTCAATCATTTTCTGTGCTTCATTACCAACTTACGCCGCTTGACGGTTCCGCAGCAGCCGTTTCTGCTGCTTGAGTTCCTTGACCTCGTCCTCATTGATCGACTGGCTAATCAACTGGTCGATATTGCTCAAGGTTCTCTCGGCGGGGATCTCAAAGCGAGCGTTCTTCTTGCGAATCCCATCCCGTCGAACGGTCAACGGTGATCCGTGCCGGTAGGTAGGCGGACTCTTAGTGGACTGAGCTGCATCCGCCAGATCCATCGGCGCCGGCATCCATCCATGACTCGACTGCGGCGACATGGCCACCCCTCCCGGCGGGCCAAACGGGATGCCTCCTCCGCCGCCGCGGTACATGGCGGCCATGGGCATGGCGTTGACGGGACCTACGGCACCCCCCGTAAAAGGAGGGGCAGCGTCTCCCTCGGAGGGGTACTGGTCGTAGCCAGCGGTCGGGGTACATGAGCCGGACTCGGGACGGGATACAGACCAGGACTGATGGTGCTGGGCGTATGCTGGGCCCTCGGGTGGCATAAAGGAGGCCTGGTTGGAACTGGCAGATAGGTTGGACCAGGCGGAATCCCGATGGGCAAAGGCATTTGTGTCGTAGGAGTGGCGGCGATCGGGTAGACCGGGAGAGGTCGGGTCGAGGATCTTGTCGTCTAGCACACTCATCTCGTCGTCTTCACCTTTAGGGTCTATTGTTGTGGATGGAGATTGTTGCTGGTAAAAGTCGAAGTGGGCGTATCGTGACATGACCGAAGAAGCGGTGTGTGTATATTTGTTTGTGGGTGTGTATGTGTGTGTGTGTGTTTGGGGGTGGGAGGATGAGGAAGTGGGCCGTGGGGGAAAGGATGTGGTACAGGGCTGGATGGGAAACAGATGAAAAAGAGAGACTGGGAGGATAGAAGAGGAAGTAGTAGTGCTGCAGAAAGCAGAAGAGGAGGGGGAGTCCAGGCATAACTATAGAGGGAGTGGAGGTACTGGTACTTCCTCAACAGGTCTGACAGATACTGACCCACCGGTCACAGTACATCTTCTGCTCTTGCGAATGACGGGTGAGCAACCCCCCTGTTATTGGCTGCTCTGCGCACTTGGGCACGCCTGCATCCCACTGCGCAAGCCGTGAGAGCCTATCGATGGCAGCCCACCGGACTAAACATGGCTCTACATGACTATCGCCGGGCGATCTGTGCCGGAGCGGGAGATCCACCGCTGGGCCATGGTTCAGCAGTGATCACCCCCCGGGTCGGATGACGAGTTTAGATCCCTACTATGGCTAGGACTAGAATGGTCTAGGATCTAGCGGTGAAAATATTGTGTCCAAGGTACGAAACAGTGTCAGCCAGCCTAGCCGACGGTTGTTGCTTCTTGGGGACACTGGTAAGTAAACCAAGTAGCCCTAAACCGCCCTGGACAGGCACGCAGAGTACCCAACCACTCTGAAACGCACTCAGCCGGCGGTCAAGCCCTTCCCACCACCACCCAAAGCCTCACTTTACCCCCCTTCTCAGCCTAACCGGGCACACTGATAGGTAAGACATCCCATTTTAGTCGAGATGCCTGGTTTCGGTCTGGTCTCTTTCGACTAGATCTCCCGTTCTAGGCCTATAGATACCCTATGACCATCCTCACTGGTAACAAACTACTCGATTGCTAGTGACTCGGTTCGAGACCGACACTCCTTCCACGAACATCAGCCTGTCATCCGAGTCACGAGCGCCAGCCCGCCAGTCAGCCGGACCAGCCGCGGAATCACATCACTTCTACACGGTAACTAAGGCAGCAGAAGGAACTAGTGATGTATTACACCATGTACTTGTACCATTACTATTTGCTCTTTCCTTGATCGGATGCTATCAACAGGGCGTGCCAGGGTATCATCGGAACCGCCAAAAATGTTAAAAAAACCCCCCACTCTATCCAAAAACTACAGACGGGAAATCCTGGGGTGTAGCCAGAGGGGGAGAAAGCCAGGTTAGAGGTGGATAAAGTCCTGCTGCTGCGACGCCTTGCCGCTATCCACGCCTTCGATCAGTTCCTCATCAAACTCATCCGAGTCAACGTCATCGGAGTCGATCTCATCGTAGTCCTCTTCCTCACTAGACGGATCGGACTCCTCTTCCCGGTCAGCCGCCTCGGGCTTGCTGGCCGCAGCCGCGGCTGCCTTCCGGATCTGGCCGGCGCGGTCCACATGGGGCAGCGGGCAGCGCTTCTTGTGGCAGATTCCGTTGTTGGCATAGTCCGGGCATTCGTGGACGTGACGCTCCTCGCACTCGGATCCTTTCTCGCAATACCCCAGGGTCGCAAAGCCGCGGCATACTGGCGCCCCGGGGGTCACCCGGATGTGGGCGTACCGACACTCAGGATTGGAGCACCGGCCGCGAAGGAAATGCATACAGGTAGGGGAGCGGTGGGGCGAGGGCTCATGGGAGAGATCACAGCTGTTACCTGCGCTGCACTTGCCTGTCTGCAGAAATTCCTTGCAAATGGCCACTTTGCTGGGGTCGTGCACGAAGGGGCACGACGGGCCTTTGTAGCAGGTCCCTAGAACGAAAGTGTCAGCGTTGGCAACCACAACCTTGCGAGATGATGGCCCGTCGGAAAACAAAATACCGGTCGTAGTAAATCTCTTGCACAGTTCGTCGCGTTTCTTGACTGCTGTCGGATTTCTATATTCCTCCCTGTCAGTAAACAGCTACGTCCAACACTCAAAAGTACCAACTGACTTCTTCGAGGCCACCGCTCCAACACGGTGGAGATTGCCGTTCTTGCTCCGCACAAAGGCCACGCCAGCTACGGTGACTCGCTTCGGTGTCGTATTGGCAGCATTCGGATCATCTATGACGGGTAAGCCAGTTCTATGCCGAGACGCGGAATATTTCATACTTGAAATGCGGACCAGCTTGCTTCCGCCACGTGCAATCTGGAAGGGCTGATCGTGAACAAGAATCTGGTGACCGGCAGATGGAGCAGTCGATGCAGACGGTGGGGCATTCTGCGCGTACCGAAGCACCTTGGTCTGTTCACGGTGTGCTCGTCTCTGTGCTTTGAGTTTCCGCGTCTCCTCCATCGCTTTGGCCCTGGCCTGAGCCTCCTTGTCATAGACAGCGGAATTGATCAGCTGCATGTGGCGATCGCGCTTCGCAACCCACCCGTTCGAGGTTGTCGCTGAACGTGCCCCGTTGTCGTTGTTGTCGCTCACGGGTCCGGGAGATGGTGTGGAGCTTGCGCCTGTGTTATTCAGGACGAGCGTCCGATTGCGATGCGGAGCTGGCGCGCGACCACGCCCTCTTCCTCGCGAGTATGGCGCCCATCCTGGGTGTGAGGGGGCATGTCGGGAGACATATTGCGAGGAGGGCTGGCCAGTGGGAGGCTGGGAGGACTGAGTCTTGTGTCGATTGATTTGGCCTGGCCAGGTGAGCACACTGCTGAAGCAAAAGTGACGAGGAGTTACCTGCCAGCTGGCCGATCTTGGCCAGGAGGTCTTCGTTTTCTGTCATGGCGGACGCTGCAGTCTAAGATGCTGGAGCACTGTGCGGTTAGTTGAAATCCAAGTTCTTCAAGGCAGTTTACGGAGCAGTCCACCAAGTAGATGGGTGGGATGATGGAGGAAAGCTTGCTTGGGCGGTACGCGCTCGATCACTCACTGATAATACCCACCGGTGGCGCATCGGGTCACATGACCCTCGAAGGTACTGTCACCATAATAACTTTTTCAAACTGATGTAAAGTGGAAGCTACAAGACCTTGATCCAAGCCTTGACATGCAGCTTCACGCTCAAACCGAAGTGAAGTATATGAGCCCATTTTTCAATCCATCTAGCGGTTGCAAAATAATCCAAACCAGCTAGCGAGCATACACCACCCGGGATCTGATCGGCTTCGTATCCACCGAGTCGACCTAACCATGTATACACGTCGGGAACTTATAATGATCACTTACAAATTGTACCAACGGGTGTAGCTTACAAATAGCTACGCAACCGGAATGGTTGAGCAGATGTATCTCGGATTCGATTCCATGAGCGTGGGCTACAAAAAGTGTCCGGTGTCTTACAAATAGCAATGCAATCGGGCCGATTTCACGCCACTTTATCCTGCCCACTCGCCGCAAGGAAATATATCAACTCGATGCCTTGCAGTAAGAACAAATATTCAAAAGCAGAAAAGTACAATAAATCAACTGAAGCCATATCTAAAGCTCCATCCGATTTCTAATACACAATGCTTCTCGGTACAAGGCGAGCCATCTTTTTAGGTGAGAATGGAGAACTCTCCATTAAAAACATCGCGGAAGAATACAAGCCAGTGGGGCACCAAGTTCTCGTCAAAGTGAAATATTCGGCTATCAATCCGGCAGATCTTAAGCACTCACTGATCGGTCTTGGTGGCTCCGTCGCCGGCTATGAATGGGTCGGCACTGTTGTCGAAGTAGGCGATTCTACCTCCTTTAAGATCGGCCAAGAACTCTTTGGCATGAGCATTCCTGGACATCGTCGACCATTGTATCTCGGCGCACACCAAGATTATCTCATAGCTGATGGGTAAGCTATCTCTGATCAAAGATAACAGGCCGTTGCTTTCTATTGCCACGGGTTTAATGTTGACATCGACTTAGAACCCAGACGACATGGGCAATGCCAAAGGGTATAAGTGTCCAGGACGCTGCATCCATTCCCCTTTCTGTAGGTACTGCCGTCGACGCGCTCTTCAACACACTTGGTTTCGGTTTTCCCGCAGCTGGTCTCGATGGCCGTGATGCGACTGGCGTTCCCATCTTGATCTGGGGAGGCGCATCTGCGGTTGGGACAGGAGCAATCCAAGTCGCCAAAGCTGCGGGATTTGGTCCCGTCTTCGCCACAGCATCTCCCAAGAACCACAAGAGTCTGCTCAAAATAGGAGCTTCGCAAGTCTTCGACTACAACAGCCCCACGGTCGTGGAAGACATCAAACATGCCGTCGCCCAAAGTGGCAAGAAGCTCACCGTCGTCTTTGATGCTGTCAGTGTCGGCCTAGGCCAACTTGGGGATTCTTCTGACACCAGGGCGGCCAATAATACACCCGATCTGGCCAGACGCTGTATTTCCGATGATGTCCCGGCAGAGGATCTGTTACTTTCTTCTGTCCTTCCTGTGGATCACGACAAATCTTGGAAACTCTGCATTGGTGTCCGGCCGTATGGGGAATTGTTTTTCTTTGGCGGTGCTAACTCGCAAAATCCTTTGTTTCCAGTTCGAATGAAAAGATATATGGACTGGTTTGTGGCAAATCATGAGGGGTTTTGGCAACCCATACTGCGCAACACTATTGTGAAGGGAGCAGATAGGAGCATTGAGGAGATTCGGCGTGTCGCAAATGGAGCCACTTCGAAAGAAAAGGTCCTTATTGCGCATCCAATCTGAAGATGCACTGCGCCGCCCAGGCTGTCGCTGATGTATATCAATTCTACTCTCGGCTTTACGGAGCTTCTCTTTGAGATTAAACTGTTTGTCGTTGCCAACGAGTTTACCGTTGTGAACTACGCTAATCCTTGTCAATATAAAGCTATCTCACAGTTCTGTTTTGTCGATGGTTGGTTCTTGCTCTGTTAACGCTGCGTCGAATATGCCTCCCAAGACACATTTGTAGGATGCTAGCACTTGTCGTGCAGGTAAATAGATGATTGCTCCGTAGTCCTGTATATGTCAATATGGGCACTGCTTCAATGAGCAGATTAATTTGGTGCTGCGGTGATAGCTTACAATTCGTTCGTGTAGACAAGTCTCCTTTGCTAGATAGTCTAGATGATCACACACCTTAGTAACAACTCAGCCAAGTTCCCATCAGCGTTCTCCACTGCCTATCTCAATACCGCTTCTGATGGATCTCTCATAGGGTCTTACAGTGCGACCCCAAATTATATCCTAAAATGGTCGAATGCAAATAAGTGTCTACCAAAAGGGAAGGCATTAATTGTTCGTAACTATCAGTGTACATATCTCAGGCGATATCTTCGAATTTCACATCGTCATGGTCCGTCCCCATACCCGAAGCCGTGGGATCATCATCCGAGTCAAATTGTTCATCCAGACCAGGCGGCAGCTCTTCTTTGGCATTCACGTAGGACGCAGAGTTCGCAGCATAACTGCTCTCTTTCGCTTCCGGCTTCAGTTCCCAAGTCATGGCAAAGTCACCAGACTTGACCAGATGCGCAACCATCTCCAAGGTCTGTTTGAGATACGCCTCGGGCTGCCGCAGCCTGGCCTTGAGCGTTTTAAAGGGCCAATACCGGTAGTTGCGGAAGCACTCGAAGATGTGATCCAGCAACTCGTTCTGCGGCATTCTTGTGGACTTGTTTTCCTGGGCCTTGGCCTTGGATGGCCGTCCTGCTTGTTGCTATTGACAATTAAACCTATCCCCCAGCATGCAGAGGTATGCAAACTTACCACAAACGTGCCCCTGTCCAGAGGCAGCGCATGGCGCGACTGAAGCAGCTTGCCGGGTAGTTTGTCAATAAAGACCGTCTCCCGTTTGGGTTTCAGAGCATCGAGCGCTCGCTTCTCAGAGATCAATCGGAATTCTTCATTTTCCACCGGAAGACAGTTAAACTCCTCGCTAGCCCGGCCAACTAGCGCCGTATGTTCTAGAAATCGGTCAGTATGTGTCGTACGTGCAATTTAAAGGAAATACATACTCGGGACGGTCTTCCGCACATAAGGCTCCCATTTCTTATTGCGTTCCCGCCGTCGAGCTTCACGCTTCATGGCCTCATACAGAGCTGATCGTGCCTCTCCAAACACCGCCGCGTTGTTGGTATCAGCTCCTGGGATATCCTTCTCGGTGAATACATATGTATTTGATGTCAAGTGTGTTTTATTTTCAGCAGTGATGGTTTGCTGCTGGAGCGTGTAGTCTTTAGGAATGTCGCGGTTATCGGGGCGGTCGTGCAAGCGCAAGCTGACCTACACATAATAAATGTGAGGATTAACACCAACACAAACAGGAGTCGAGCTTACCCGCTTGAGATCGCCAGGTTCCCCTTCTATCCGAACCGTCCCGATCTCGACTTCTTCGTCATCGTCCAAGTGTGCCCAATGCTCCCACAGCTGCCGGGGCAGACGCGACAGCCAAACATTCTGTCCTGATTGCGAGAAGTCTAGGTCGCCTGCATCTTCATAAATGTCCTCATCGTCCAAGTCTGCGAGAATCGTATCCTTGTTGTCGGGATCCGGCTTGATGTACGGGGCGTCTGGGTCTGCCTTGACCTGCGCCATGGTAGATGGAGCTTCGGTCAGAAGCAACTAGAAGAGTATTCTGCCAGGTAATGCGACTGGCGACCGAAACGCGAGAGACTCGGGGGGGGGAGTGGGTGTGGATGGAAGGCCGAGAGAAGTGAGGGAAGGTCGAAGCTCCGCCACCGTAAAGAGAGGCAAGCAATTGGAAGCGGAAGGCGGTGTGTCCTTTGTCTCCAACAGCAGAGAGATGCTCCACACTACATACTCTCTAGGTTCGTGACTCAAATGAAATGAGTTCAATGGATTAATGAGACCATTAGAGCAGCTTTGTATGAAGTTCTGAAAACTTTGAATTTACTCTTGTGGGCTTAATCATAGGACTAAGCGCTGTCCGAGGAAGCGTCTTTGGTGTACTGTGTATGCATTTCCCGCGCAAACTTCATTAATCCTTCAAAAGATATTTTCTTTACTTCCAAGCAAGATACAAAGCACTCCAGACCGTTCTGCTTATTATTATTGTCATATGTTGTTGTCCGGTGGTGGTAGTATACCGCCCAGCTCCTTATCGATAAGACCAACCACCCACATCAACAACTCACCAGCGCTTGTCTACTCTCACTCTCAAGATCACACAACCGGCCATGGCATCTCAAAAGATCACCGCCGCCCTGGCGGCCATTGAGTCGACTACTCACCCCCAAACCAAGCTCCAGCAGTACAAAGACCTCCTCGATGAAATGGTATCCACCTCCTCCGGCCACGAACTGGCCCAAGACCTGGTCTACTTTCTCGACTCCGTGCTCGGCGAAGACATCAGCATCGTTGCTGCACGACCTCTCCTCGACTCCTTCATCGCCATCCTCCAAAAACTCGACGCGGAAACAAAGATTAGGGTCGGACAACATGCAGTGACCCTCTTACAGTCGCGGGCCACCTCCGTGGAGGAGCAGGACTCCCAGATCCGCGAGATCCTGGCCGATGCCTATGAGTCGCAGGAGGAATATACGGCCGCAGCGCGGGCGCTGCAGGGTATCCATATTGACAGCTCTCAGCGGCTAGTTTCCGATGCCGCCAAGGCACGCCTCTGGATCCGGATCGTGCGCTACTACCTCGAGGACGACGACACCACCTCCGCCGAGGCTTTTTTGAATCGGATCAAGAACCTTCCCAGCAAGATTGAAGACCATGACGCCAAGTTATACTTTCAGCTGTCGCAGGCGCGCATCCTCGACGCCCGCCGCCGCTTTTTGGATGCCTCGCAGGAATACTTCAGCGTCAGTCTGGCGCCCGGCGTGGACGAGGGCGATCGCCTGACCGCATTGTCAGCCGCTATCCGATGCGCAGTGCTCGCTCCTGCGGGCCCACAGCGCTCCCGCACTCTCGCCCGTCTGTACAAGGACGACCGCACCGCGTCGGTCGACGAGTTCTCCATTCTCGAGAAGATGTTCCTCGACCGGCTCCTGACAGCAGAGGAAGTCGCCGCTTTCGCCAACAAACTGGCCCCGCACCAGCTCGCTGTCACTGCTGACGGCACCACCGTCCTTGACAAGGCTGTAATCGAACATAACCTTGTCGCTGCAAGCAAACTCTACGAAAATATCACTGTGGACACCCTCGGCTCAATTCTCGGCCTTCAATCCTCGGGCGACTTGTCCGCAGGCGAAAAAGCAGAGGCGTATGCCGCACGCATGGTAGAGCAGGGCCGTCTACGCGGTCGCATTGATCAGATCGATGGAATTATTTATTTCGACACCGATTCTGCGGGCGCAGGGTCTAGTGGGAATTATCTTCGTCAGTGGGATCTGGGAGTTCAGGAACTGGCTGAGGATGTCGAGCGTGTGGCGGCTAGTATCACGGATAAATTCCCGGTATGTACAAGATCGTTTTCGGGATCAATCTGAAATATCATTGACTGTCTCTAGGATTTCTCCGCTGGCCAGATGGTCCATTGAATGGCGAGATGATGAGTTACGGAATAACCCACGAATTGATGCCTGCTTTTCATAATGTAGATCCATCTATTGGCAAGCAAAGATGATGAATCGAATTAGTTTTCCATATTCCACCGCGTAGTTTCATTATTATGTGGTATTAATTATTGTACAGGATTCTATAGACGGGACATGGTATCAGATCAGGAAAAGTTCTAGGACATGAACAGAAATTATGTGCAGGTTGGCTGTTACACCCGACAGAATGAATGTGTATATCAACAGCAGTGGGTGTGAGGAAAAGAATAGTGAAATAATGAAGAGGAAGGATGTGTAGGTAGTTAGTAGGTAGTGAGTGCAAAAGGAAGGGCAGGTGGTTGATTCTGATGATGGCAGGCGAACACCCAGTCTCTCTCGAGAAAAGAATATCATCGCGTCGTAAGGGCATAAAAGGTAATGGAGGTAGCACACTCAGTCGTGCAACGTCGTCGCCAACGAGCTCGAATCCTCGCCGGACGGCTCTTCGTCAGGGGTGAGTGTAATCTCCGTGCGGATCATGATATCCAGCGGAAGCAGATAGTTATTGCCCTGATATTGATTCTGGCCCTTCTCGATCTGAGCTCCGTACATTCCCGCCTCCATGTTCTTCATATACTCGAAATCCGGGGAGCGAGGGCTCGACTTGGACAAGAACATAGAGTTGGCTTTGGAGGTATTGATGTAGTAGGGCATGCTCTTGCGCGACCCTGTCAGTTTCAGGGTCGGAAGCAGTCCCCGAATCATAGGCAGACAAGAACAGATCAGGCCGATGGTAGGCTCGATGTGCGTCCACAGTGTGGCTTGGTAGACGGTGTATGTGGGATCGGCGGGACTGATCCAGAAGAGGACGACGATGCGGTAGATACTTGCGAAGCACACGAAAGCGCCCAGTGCAAACACTCCGTTCAGGGCGAGCTTGTCCTGCCACGCACGATGCAGGTTCCAGATCATGGGGACGGGGAGGACAAGAATCACAAAGTCCATAGCGACGTTGAAGACTTGGTTCACGATGAAGAAGAGCGTGCTGTCGAAGCAACTGCCTTCAACGTTGGAGTCCCAGTACGCGCGCAAGGGCCGGCATTGTCCCGCACAGGCCAGGAAGATTCCAAGACCCCATGTGCCGATGAGGCAGTTGAGGCCGAAAGTAAAGTGCTGGAATTTCTTGGATGTGGTGAAGACGCGGCGGTAGAAGCAGACGATGGAGATTTTGATGCAGGGGCACACGAGGAAGTAGGTGAATTGATTCGCGAGGAAGATCTATTTTTAAGGGTTAGTATCTTTGATGGGAGATGGAATGGATATGACTTACCTTGTAGTAGTTGGTTAGGGTTTGGCCGTCCAGCGTATCGAAATGTGCCCCGTTGCCTCCAATAGAGCACCCTATAGCAACAGCGTTAGTAAATCCTGGGAAGAAACAGGTAAAAGGACAACGCACAAAGAGCCAGTTCAATCAACATTCCAAAAATCAGCACCAGGGCTACCATGCTGAGATAGTCATCCACGCCGAACCCAACCTGTCTCCGGAGCCGCGCAACCACTCGCAGCATCACGGAGATCAGACACAGGCTGACTAGGACCGAGACGATCTCGATCATCTGCCATCCTCTGGGACTGGGAGCCATTGTAAATTATTATTATAAAAAGTAAATGAAGGAAGGAATGGAACGGAAAAGTGAATGAATGAGTGAATGTCCAGATCTCCCGAAGGTGGCTGGGAGGCTCTATATAGGCTCCCATGTGGGCATGTCACCCCAAGACTGTCAAATAATTCAGCCAGCCGTCAGATACTCATGGCGGTCGATCACTTGCTCAGCCTAGCTCGATCCGTGCAAGTCTTGCGAGGCGGGTGGTCTGTGGAGGGCGCTTACAACCCGATCCGATTTGGCCTGGCAATCATGACATCGCTTTGGGGGGGTTGAACCACGGTCTGCAGCCTATAGTTTCCTCGATCATGATTTGGAATGAGACGTGTTCTCCATCGTCGGAGGATTCTAGCGTATGAGTTGACAGGTTGACGTGCCGATCACGTCGCTTAAAATCAATAGTGCGTGCAATCCCTGTCCCGATTTGTCACGATCTCGATCGCTCAGCCTCCCGATCATGCATGGAAGGTTCTCAAATAGAAGGTGTGCGCGGCCTGAGCTTCATTTTAATTTCTGCTCGCGCCGTGGCTGGTCGATATGGCAGGGCAGTGGAGTCTAGTGGCTTCAGATAAACACGCGCGTGGGGCACACTATTGACTGCCACCCGGAGAATATCTGAAAATGATCTGGGTGGCATCTCGTATTTTCTCACTTCCGGCTATGATCGTCGTCGGACTGTACCGTTAACTAGTGAATTGTCTCAACCGAGCTTCCTCCTGGCCACATCTCACATACTCACAATAATAATGGCTCGCCCAACTGTCCCCCTAATTATCAACGGCAAGGAGGAGATCTCCACTGCCACCTTCGACGTGACCAGCCCCTACACGAACCAACCCTGCTGGTCCGCCGCGGCGGCTACCCCGCAAGACGCCATTCGCGCCGTTGAGGCAGCCGACGCTGCGTTTCCTGCGTGGTCACAGACAAAACCAACCGCCAGGCGGGATATCCTGCTCAAGGCAGCGGATATCCTCGAAGAACGCCTAGAACAGAATGCCGAGTATATGCGCACAGAAATGGGCGCCGACCTTGGCGCATCGCAGATGTTTGTCGTGCCATTGGCGATTCGTATGCTGCGCGATGTGGCGGGCCGCATCACCTCCATTTGTGGGAGTGTTCCTGTCGTTGAGGCGGAGGGGCAGAGTGCCATGGTGTTCAAAGATGCTATGGGTGTGATTTTGGGCATTGTGCCTTGGTAGGAGCTTCCTTTTCCTGCAACTAAGTCCCCTTGCTGACTGGTAGAAACAGGAACGCCCCGTACGTCTTTGGGATTCGTTCGGCTGCATGCGCGCTGGCCGCGGGCAACACGACCATCTTGAAGTCTTCTGAGCTGACTCCGCGCTGCTACTGGGCCATTGGACGTGCGTTCGAGGATGCTGGTCTCCCCCCGGGCTGTCTGAATATCCTGTCGTGTCGTCCACAGGATGCCCCCGAGGTCGTCAATGCCATGATCGAGCACCCGGCAGTTCGTAAGGTCAATTTCACCGGCAGCACGGCCGTGGGCCGAAAGATTGCTCGCACATGTGGACAGAGCCTCAAGCCGTGTCTGATGGAGCTGGGAGGGAAGAACAGCTCCATCGTGTGTGCGGATGCCGATTTAAAGACTGCCGTACAGGGTGTGTTGGCCGGCGCATTCTTAAACGTAAGTGTATTCCAGCTGCTTGTCTACTATCATCCTAACATCATCCTTCTACAGTCCGGCCAGATCTGCATGGCTACAGACCGTATCCTCGTTCACTCCTCAATTGCGCCAGCATTCATCGATGCCCTCAAGAGCGCACTCGCCGCAGGTGCGGAGGCATCACCCCTACCCCCTACTCTGGTCAACACTGCCTCCAAAACCCGCGTTGAGGCCCTCATCTCCAATGCTCTCGCCGGCGGTGCGCACTTTATCTCGGGTTCCGCAGAGACTAAACTCCCCGCCGACTCGGGGGTGCGCATGGCCCCCGCCGTGCTGGGAGGCATCAAGGAGGAGATGGCGCTGTGGCAGGAAGAAGCATTTGCATCCATGGCCGCCTGCATGGTCTTTGAGGAAGAGGATGAGGCAATCCGCCTAGCTAATGGCAGTGGATACGGTCTGTCTGCATCGGTGTTTACGGAAGATCTGCGGAAGGGCTTGGCGATGGCCAAACGTCTTCAGTCTGGGTAAGTTGTCGATCATGCCCCTTAGTTACGTGCTAACTGCTAATTTATATTTGCGTAGGGCGGTCCATATTAACAGCATGACGATTCACGATGAGCCCGTTCTGCCGCATGGCGGCGTGAAGAACAGTGGATGGGGTCGATTCAATGCCGCTGAGGGATTGAATGAGTTTTTGGTGACCAAGAGTGTGACCTGGATGGACTGACGATGCAATTGCATAGACGCGCTGGAGTTGCAGATTAGGACATAGTATAGTTATAAACAAGACTTGATAATATATTCTGTTGATAAGTTTCGTTACAGTTCCATGGCCGTCTCATCGCTCACCGAGCCTCGGCACATATTGGCCCGAGCAGTTTTCTCTCCTTTCCAGACTCCACGAACATCCCCAATCATTCATTTATTATCTTCGATTCAGAATCAACCATGGAGATCCGTATATTTTTAATATTCACGACAGTAACGTATCATCATCGGCCTTTGCCATGAGGTCATTCCGGCCCACCAAGGCAATTCCCATTCCCGGATTATGTCAACCTTCAACCAATCAGGGCGCATTGAATGTTCAGCCCGGCAACTGATCTTGCCCGTTGTTGCTGGACGGTTGTTGGAATTAGGAGGTGTTTATTGAATGAATATGATCAATGCTATCGACAGACATATTGATTAATATTATGATTTCGTAGTTAAGTTCAGAGGTGTCTCTGCAATACTACTCTACTCGATCATCCTCGGACTGGACTGCTTTCGGAACCGCGTAGGTTTGTCCCGAGGCCCAGCAGCGGAATTCACTGACCGATCCGCCGGTGCGTGGTCGGAATATTCTCTAGCTCTTGGCCACAAACATGATTCTTGTGGGAAGTGTACAATATATTATAGAAATAGACTGTCATGTCTAGGAGGACACTTGCCGTGAATCAGTACTAAGACGCCCATGACGCAGTCGCATGTGAAATACCTGCCAACTCCTGAATACATGTGATTTACATTCCCTGCTCAAACCAACACCGGCCCATTACTCAGCCCGGATCTTCCCCACGCCCCAGTCGTGCCTCGGCCGATAACACCCCCGGTCGGCTTCTGACTTCAACCCCGGTCAATAACTTAACCTCTGCTCCGTCTTCTTCCTTTCCCTCTCACTCCCCCATTCTTTCACCTCCCCCTTCTTCCCATTTCACATCATCATCATCATGGCAGCACCTCAAGTAATTGTGGTCGGCGGTGGCTGTACGTCTCTCTTCTCGTCCCCTAGCTTTTCCCCCGCATTTCTCTGGACTCTCGCTGACCCGAAAACCAACAGTGTCCGGTCTCAGCGCCGCTCACACCGTCTATCTCAACGGTGGCAACGTCCTGGTCCTGGACAAGCAGGGTATGTACACCTCCAGACTGCAACACGCTCCCGCTGACTCCTCCTAGCCTTCTTCGGTGGCAACTCCACCAAGGCCACCTCCGGTATTAACGGTGCCCTCACCCGCACCCAGGTGGACCTCGGCATTGCCGACAGTGTCAAGACCTTCTACGAGGACACCCTCAAGTCTGCCCGTGACAAGGCTCGCCCCGACCTGATCAAGGTCCTGACCTACAAGTCCGCCGCCGCCGTCGAGTGGCTGCAGGATGTCTTCAACCTCGACCTCACTCTTGTCTCGCGTCTGGGCGGCCACTCCCAGCCTCGCACGCACCGTGGTCACGATGCCAAGTTCCCCGGCATGGCCATCACCTACGCCCTCATGCAGCGCCTCGAGGAGATCTCCCAGGCCGAGCCCGGGCGCGTCCAGATCATCAAGAAGGCCGAGGTCTGCTCCATCAACAAGAGCGGCAACCTGGTGACGGGTGTCACCTACAAGCACAACAACGAGACCAAGTCCGCCGACGGTGTGGTCGTTCTGGCCACTGGTGGCTACGCCGCTGACTTTGGCGACACCTCGCTGCTCAAGCAACACCGCCCGGACACCTTCGGCCTGTCCAGCACCAACGGCACCCACGCCACCGGTGACGGCCAGAAGATGCTCATGGCGATCGGTGCCAACGGGATCGACATGGACAAGGTCCAGGTCCACCCGACGGGTCTGGTTGACCCCAAGGATCCCACCGCCAAGTTCAAGTTCCTGGCAGCCGAGGCCCTCCGTGGTGAGGGTGGTCTGTTGCTCAACTCGGACGGCGATCGGTTCTCCGACGAACTGGGTCACCGTGACTACGTGTCCGGTCAGATGTGGAAGGAGAAGGAGAAGGGCAAGTGGCCCATCCGCCTGGTGCTCAACAGCAAGGCCTCCAATGTCCTGGACTTCCACACCCGTCACTACTCGGGCCGTGGTCTGATGAAGAAGATGACCGGCAAGGAGCTGGCCAAGGAGATTGGCTGCGGCGAGGCTGCCCTCAAGAAGACCTTTGATGAGTACAACCTCATTGCCGATGGCAAGAAGAAGGACCCCTGGAACAAGCGCTTCTTCCACAACCTGCCCTTCAGCATTGACGACGATTTCCACGTCGCGCTGATGGAGCCCGTCCTGCACTTCACCATGGGTGGTATCGAGATCAACGAGCACGCCCAGGTTCTCAACTCCGAGCACAAGCCCTTCGAAGGTCTGTATGCCTGCGGTGAGCTGGCCGGTGGTGTCCACGGCGCCAACCGTCTGGGTGGTTCCTCGCTGCTGGGCTGCGTCGTATACGGCCGTGTCGCCGGTGACAGTGCCTGCGAGCACCTCTTCCAGAAGCTGATCAACAACGGCTCCTCTGCCGCCCAGCAGCGTCTTGGCCAGGTCTCTCTGCACATCGACCCCTCCACTCCCGGCAAGATCTCGGTTGAGTGGACCGGTGCCTCCGCCGGTGGCAGCCTGCCCACCCTAGCCGCTGCTCCTGCTGCCGCTGCTGCTGCCGAGGAGCCCGCCGCCCAGGCGAACTCCGACCCCGCCAACTTCAAGGTCCCCGAGAAGGAGTTTACCATGGAGGAGGTCGCCAAGCACAACAAGAAGGACGACCTCTGGATCGTCGTCAAGGGCTGCGTCCTGGACGTGACCAACTGGCTGGACGAGCACCCGGGCGGTGCCAACGCCTTGTTCAATTTCATGGGCCGGGATGCTACTGAGGGTATGTTTCGATCATCTCCTGACTCTTTTCTTGCATGCTAATGATATCTGCCACAGAATTCGCCATGCTCCACGACGACGAGGTCATCCCCAAGTACGCCGGCCACATCGTCATCGGCCGCGTCAAGGGCCAGACCCCCAGCCTGGACCTGTAGATCCTTTAGGCATTTCTCTTTGTGATTTTTTGTTCCCCATCATACCCCCACCATTCCTCGCTTCCTCCCTCGCTCTGTTGTGAGCCATGAAATCCGAGGGAGGCCTGGGCCACTGGTTTCTTTCTGTGCTTGTCTACCTACGCGCGGAGATTGATTCGGTCTTGTTCGTGTATCATACTTCCTCTTTTCTTTCTCGTCGAAATATATAAGTTGCTAGACTTTAGCTTTGGTTCATTGTAGACTGGGAGTTATTTCCTTAAGTATTTTGTGTTAAGTAGTATGTACAAAGCGTCTATCTACACATCTAGACGCTGCTCAAGTTCCCATATGCTTCAATATCATCTTCAACCTCCGCACCGCAGGCCCATCTTCATCTTCATTGTGCGGACCTGGTCCCTTCTCCTCCATCTCTGTCTTCGCAGCCTCCAACGCAGGTCGTAAAAACCCCCACACCTCATCGTGATACCGATCCTGCACACCGATCCAATCTGTTGCACCAGGAAGGTGGGAGAGCACATTATCCCGCAAAGAAGTCGAGGTCGTTTCTGCTGCTGCGGAGGGATCGTGCTGCTGGAGGAACGTGTCTATATCAGGTACGAGGCTGAATGACGTTAGGTGTTGAGACTGTGTCGAATGCGGCGGTGGAGGAGTCATCTGTCGACGAAACGAATCGAGCATCTCCATCTCAGCGGGCGTGAGCGGTGGAGGTTCCGAGAAAGCGAGGTCTGTTTCCAGTTCTGGTTCTGCGTCGCCGGTATCTGTTGTGGTTGAGAACCCGGCGTCGAAGGCTGGATCGGAGAGCAGGGATATGACACCTGCGCCGTCTGTCGAATTTATTTGTGCTTGGCCGCTGCTACCATCTATCCCCTGGAAAGACGTAGGCTGGCCGCGTTCCCAGGCAGTGTCGAATCTTCGCTGCACGGGATCATAGGTCCGCTGTTTGCCTTTCCAGTTCCCCGTTTCCGATTGTAGCGTACCAAGAGGATCACGACTACCCCCGTCCCCGTCCCTATCCCCCAGAGAAATACCCCCGTCATCAAAGAGATGTTGCTGTTGCTGTTGAAACTCCTCTTCTGTCAACGGCGGCAATGTAAATCCGCCCTGCGTCTCAGCCGAGGTACCATCGACGGCATTACTCCGGAAGGACTCCGCCGCCGCGCTGGAACCCGGTCTTGTCTGGCGAGTAGAGGACGATGGTACACCGATGACATCTTGGCTTGCGGAGTAGTATTGTGTAGATGAGGGTGGGAGGGAAGATGGTCCGGCGGCTTTGCCGTTCGTGGTGCTTGCCAGCGTGCGGGAGACCTCAGCTCCTGAGCCGGGGGGTTGGAAGGTGCTGCGCGCTAGATTGGTCGCGGAGCTTTGGATGCGGCCTGCGAGGGATTGTGTGGAGGGGTTGTTTGAGGGTGTGTTCGTAGGAGAGGAGGAGGGTTCTGCTGGTCGTGATAGATCCGTGTCGCGATCATTCTTCGACCGAGGAGTCTTGCCCCGCGTGTTCTCGGGCGGCTGGTCGGACATGGATGGGTTGGATTGGATTGTGTCCGCGAGGTCGTCTCCAGTCTGTTACGTAGCGTTGAATGTTTTCTTATTTTATTGTCCAGTTAACATTTTACTGCTACATTGAGATGCGCTCAGCGGCCTGAGTAAGCCCCCCACCTCCGAGACAAGCCATAAAAGCACCGAGCCAGCTTGCACGTGTACATTTTCCCTTTACATCGCTCCTATTTCTCCCATCAACAAAGAACTGGCGTCATCAATGTGACCCTTGTTGGAACTGGTAGTCTGCCTTCTACCTCATTGGCAAATGCGCATTGGGTCCTGTTCAATGACCTGTCAATCTCTCAACATCCTGTTGTAGTACCTCTATTTAACCTTTTTTTTTTCGAGTCTATGCTCAGATCATTGTCTCTCTCCTAGCGAAGTAATAACCAACTCAAAATTTTATACACCCTGCCTGCAATTGGTAGACATCGATTTATTTTGGGATTTTAGTATTCTGGTTCAATTCATTGTATACATTCTGGTCCAGCAACAACCAATTCTCTCCTCCAGTTTAACGATGAACGATCTTCCAGTCCACGTCGTGCTCCCAGGAATACAGTCTCTTTTACCAACCTGTTTAATCCGGTAGTTAATTTTTGCCGGCAAAAATATTATTAGCTGTAAGGTTTTGGCCCTCTTGTAACAATCGCCCGCCATAGTCCTTCTGATCCACTTTTTCAGACCCAAAATAAGCGTCCAAAACTATGACACTAGGCGATCAATTGAGGGATATGATGATCGCCAGTCGAACCGAAGAAGATGAAAGAGATGAGTGGCTGCTCAGCCCTAGTCTAGGGAGGAGCAGACAAGCTGCGCATTGGAAGGGCGATAAAGTAGGGGTCTCTCAGGAAGTGACAGAGGGTACAGTATTGAGACCAAGTCGTATGCTTAACCAGCAGCCGCATAAAGGGATATCTAGGGTGGGAGGGGGCCAAAAATAGAGGTGGATCAGCCTACCTAAGAGTTGTCCTAATATGCCCTTTCTTTGCGGGCCAAAGCAAAAGGTCCAACTTCTTTCGGCCATTAGCAGTTTACCATGTGGTGCAGGGTTCTATATTTGGCTCGTGCAGTCGTGCTAATGAAGTGAATCTAACTACTTTAGCCTCACCTCTAGGATCCTGGCACGTCCAAATGGACCTGGTCTTAGTAGCATAGCGCCGGGCCACTATCACTACTCAAACATAGTCGAATTACAAATATTATATGTTAGTCAAGAGTAGCCAATATCTTCGGGGGGTAATTCCTACTTAATGATACCATTGTCTCCCAGACTAGTACGTGACTGCTCATTCTTCTCAATTTATTGACACCCAAGGCCCTCGGAATTCGAACCGCCATCAGTCAATATGTTGTCCTTCCCTCAGCTGAAGCAACTTTTGTGGCTGGGCTTGCTCAGTACGCAGGCGCTAGCATCTTATATCCCGAGGTAGGCTAATCTCAATCTATCAAGGTATCTTTGACCTTCTTACTAACCCATACAAGACATGAACAGTCGGAAAATAGTGCGGCCTTTGGCTTGCAGCGTCGCGATGATGGTTCCCCAGATGCTACTCCCTCCGATTATATTTGCAGTTTGGAGAATTGCGGTCCGCCCTGTGACTCTACATTTGCTAGACGTAGCTGGCTGCCATACGATATCTCCGATGATTTGTTTGAGAATATCACTCAGGAGGACGTGACTCCTGGAAGTTTGGTCAAAAGAACATTTGATTGGGATATTTCAAGGTCGCGTAAGGAAAGAAGGGCCGGAAAATTGGACTACTAGGTGCCCAATAACCTTCCTTGGCCAAAAGACCCCCAGTTTGAGAGTGCCGCGGTCAACGGGTTCTACGTGGCTGGCTCGGAGCAAACGGAAGCACACCAGTCCAAGTTGATGGATGCAGATGATAACGCGGTGGTTGAAATGTTTCAATGGGGAACTGGAGGTCTCCACGGGTGTTCCATGCTGACGATTGTAAGCAAGAGGGGTGTCTGGATGGTGAGGCCTTATTCATTTATATGTGATTATTCATGCACTGATTAATCGGCAGGCACACTTTTGGGAGAGCCAAGCGTTGAATAGGCGAGACGAATTGGAAGCGGAGGACCTGAAATTGCTCCAAAAAAACGTCATTGGAGCACTACTTGGAAATGGCAAGCAGATGGAGTACGTTGATCCGATTGACTGGAGTCTGTTCAACGGTGACTGCGACGATACCCGTGTGATCTGGATGACTCCAGTTCATATGAATACCCCATTCGTGCCTGCCGACTACCCAGCGTATCAAAACAAAATTGGAAAGGTCGAGGAAGTCATTGCAAAGTACCTCCCAAATATTGCTAATGACAATGGAGGAATTGACTCCGAGAAGTTTCTGTATCAGCGACTAATGTACCAGTACAACGGCGGAAACTACAAGGGCCAAGACGCCAACAACGTTGACAAGAGCGCCTACGGGCAGACCATCTTCCAGTAAGTGTCGCTTTCGGTCTTATTGCGGTTTTCAGTTTGTTCTAATACTTTCTAGATGGGACGGAGAAAGCACCTGGCGACTCTTCTACGAACACAACATGTACTCGAACGACGACTCTCAGGATTTCCAGATAAACAAGTCGAGGCCGGTCGCACTCCGAACCAGCATGATACCATGGACTGGAATCAATGGTTGATCTTGTGAAGTAACTTGGTGTATACATAATTTTAGAGTGGTAGACCGCGATGGTGTGGTTCGTATCGAACAATGAATCATAAACCTCGAGTGGTATAGGCGAGGTTTGAAAGACGGAATAGTTGAAAATGGTCGAGTTGGGGGCCAGAATTCTTAGTTTGAGAATAGATCCCGGGATCGACGTGTACAAATATCACCCGTCTGCCCTCTTCTCCCTCTTTTCCTCCCGTATTCATAACCTTCATAATGCCACTCGGCCTCCAGGATTTACCCCCAGAGATCCATCGAATTATTCTGCGGGCTCTGTCCAAGCAACATGAGCCTAGTGTTCGGGCCTTTGCCGGCGTGAGTCGAACTTGTCACGCATTGGCTAGGCCGCATCTCTATCACACCCTCAAGATCACTGCACAGGATAGCGAGGGATTAGGTGACCTCGTTGAAAACATAGCGCAGGCCCTTCAACGCAATGCGAGTTTCTCATACGTAAACCGGCTTGTGGTTGACGGAGAATTGATCTCGCGAGAATCAACCAAGTTCGATTCAAGAGAGCAAGGCACCAAATGCATCGAGGTCTTTGCGGATGACCTGCATGGATCCCTAGATCACTACGAGAAGCTCCCTCTGCTCATAGGGATGGATCATTCGCATGATGAAGCGTTCCCACCCTACAATGCCTGGCAGCCCTTGGCGGATCTAGTCCAACGGCTGCCCTTGCTATTCGATTTGATATTTCTATGTCCCAATCAATTTCCCCTGTGTCTATTGGAGACCCTTCACCGCCATCATCCAGAATGTCGGCTTCATATCTCCAAGTTCTTTCTGCGGAGTTTGAACGGCCCTTTAACAGATCGATCCGAATTTCAGTTGGCCACCTCGCCATGCCTCTTCAGCATAAACACTGATTACGAGGATGAGTATCCCACAGGCCATCCAGAATTTACGCCAGACGGTGCATACCATCGTGAAGCTGTGATGCATATGGTGTCTAGACTCGCCCCCAATTTGAAAGAAGTGACTCTCTTTCGCCCGATGGGTCCTGCTACACATGACAACTCCTTTCTGCCACCTTGGGAGGGGTTTAGTCAGGAGAAGGGGTCGATCCCAACAAAAGATTTACGGCATGGCGCTTTAAGATACCTTCGAATTCATAATCCAATTTCCATCGAGAAAGAGGAGATGAAGCTTTGGGCGGCTCATACGGACTTCTCCGTCCTAGAAGTGCTCAAGCTTGAAACATGTCTCACTCCCGATCTACTCAACTATTTGGCAACCGATGTCGATTTCACCTGCTTGAAAAGTCTAGTTTTAGGTGGCCCGCTAGTCGATTATATCTACCCGCAAGTGAAGTGCTTCCTCCAGAAATTACAGCCATTGTCCTCCCTGACGATAGAGAGTTGGAATGACGACTTTGTGGTGGATGACATTGTGGATCCTCACGGGGCCAGCTTAATCGAGTTAACGCTGGCAAGTCCAATTAATAGACCAGTCGAGTCGATCATGCAGTATGATCTATCGATGATCGCCCAGCGCTGCTGCTTGCTTCAATACTTTGGTCTGACTCTCGACCGCACGGAAGGGAATTCCGAAGAAGTCGCTCTGTATAGAACTCTGGGTTCCTTGCCACAACTGAAATGGGTCTCCTTGACATTGCAAGTATCAGTGACCTGGGACTTTATCTCCCATGACGATGAGGACCACATGATCGACCCGCGCTTTGAAGACGAGTTTGATCAACAAATCCCAGACGACGTTGGCTCAGGCGCGTGCAATGGTGCGATTCGCACACGTCTAGTTAACTGTGCGCTCGATCAAGCCCTAGGGCGAGCCATCTTTCGTGCGATCTCCGCGGGCAAGCCCAAAGGTTCCATCCCATTGGAGAAACTGAGTATACGGACAACCGATGTAGAGGAGTTTGGGGAAGTTGGGTTTCCGGAGCCGTTGAGGCCGGTACTTAGGCACCTGAGCAGACCCTTGCAGGTTACGCAGCATGTCCGCGATGACTGCCGTGACGAGCTGCTAGTGGAGCAGGAAGAACCCGCTGACAAGTTCCCACCTGAGATCCCTGAATGGCTTCAAGCCATCTGGCGTCGCATTTGGCCCAAGAAGCTGACAGATGAATGGTGGAATGACTGGCACAGCTTGCCTCTTGCTTCGGTGGATGTTTGGTGTGGGATGTACCGAGACTGAGTTGATGCGATCGAGCCGGGTAGTTAGGAGTATACTGAGACAGTAACTATGGGACTCCGAGGAATGGCATGCTGTCAACATGCTAGCATGCATATCATATAACAATGTGATAAGATATTATTGTTATTATTTTTCTGTAGAAACCATTGTTGCTTGAGATCTAGCGCTGCGATCATTGTTCAAGGTCTGTCGTACGTTGAGCCCAAGTGTTGCTTTCACCTCCTCTTTGCCCGGGATGACGACAGAGGCACCGTGCCCAGCTTCCGGGTGATCACGAGCATCCAACCAGGTTTTGATCATCGGCGGCTATCATTTGAGCTATGTTGAATGGCTAGGATGGTTCTGTTTGTAAATAATCATCGTAGTCGTCGCTTGTGGGTGCTGGTCGGCTGTTTCTGGCAATGTTACAACGGGAGGGCAGTGGTTGATGTCAGCATTTTACTCGTCGTTTGAACGCTGCGGACGAATATTGTCCAATATTGTCCGAGACTGCCAGAGACTGCCCGAGACTGCCCAGTAGGAGTCCGTGGGTGTACCTAGGTGCTGGTTCTAGGATTATTAACGAACTGCTCCCCCACTACGAAAGTCCTCACCACCAAACCAAGCACCACCGCCTCATCCACCACACCACACCTTCCATTTTCTCTTTCCCGCCCATAACCTCGACCTCCCTCTCACAACCCCCACCACCACCACCAACTGGCTCGGGTCCTTCCACTCGGCTGCCCTTTCTTGGATAGACGCTTGTTTTTTTCAATCCTCATGCCCCCCTCTCGAGCTCTGCTGCATCGGCTCCAGTCATAATCCACACCAACACAAACCCACTCAACTCAACCCACGGCCACCACCGCCAAAGCAACAACAACATCCACTACCTGGCGTTTGGTTTGCTCTCCCCCCATCACCAGTCCATCATTCGTGTCGTCCTCTCTCGCTGGACACGCCCTTCAAAACTCGTAAAGCATCCCACTTGCTTTCCCCTCTTCCCGCCCGCCTCCCCTCGCCCGCTCGTCATCGGCCTGCTCGACATTTGATCATCTCCCGCGTCTCGCTATTTTCGAGCAGGGCTATTCTCGTCCGTGTCCGACCGGGTCCGCAGTTCCAGTCATCGCATCGTCCACGATAGACCTGTTGCAGGCACCGTTTCTCGTCCGTGTCATTCTGCTGTCTCGATCCCTTGTCCACGGTCGCGGTCAGGGTCGATTCTAGAACGAAAAGATGGTAGACAGAGATCCAGGGTCGCCCACCTGGAAGTTCACACAGTTAGTTTGTCATATGGACGTGTCGGCGACATGTCTGGTGCCGGTGAGCTCAGGACAGGCTAACTCGTCAAAACAGATGCTTTGGTGATAAAGGTGACGTAGAAGATATCACAGAGGGTAACTGTCTCTCTCCCCTCCCTCATTCTGACCTTGTTGGCTAACGCGGCCGGCCAGCGGACATTATTTCAACCGTCGAGTTCGACCATACCGGTAACTACCTCGCTACGGGAGACAAGGGTGGACGAGTGGTGCTGTTTGAGCGTAATGAAACGGTACGTCTATTCATCACATTCAACTCCAGATGGATCCTAACACGCGGCCAATGCAGAAAAAAACCTGCGAATATAAGTTCCACACCGAGTTCCAGTCACACGAGCCGGAATTCGACTATCTCAAATCTTTAGAGATCGAAGAGAAAATCAACAAGATAAAATGGTGCCGCCGACAAAATGCATCCCACTTCCTCCTCTCGACCAACGACAAGACAATAAAGCTGTGGAAGGTGTTTGACAAGTCCTTGAAGGTGGTTGCCGAGAACAACTTATCAAACGAACTTACGCCAGCGGGCGCCGTGGGTGGCGGTGGCATGCCCCGGGCACCCCGGCTCTCCTTCAAGGACCCCTCCGCGCTGAAGCTCCCGCGCATGACGCACCATGACACCGTGGTGGCCGCCGTCCCACGGAGAACGTACGCCAACGCCCACGCCTACCATATCAACAGCATCTCCGTCAACAGCGATGGCGAGACGTTCATCAGCAGTGATGACTTGCGAGTCAACCTGTGGAATCTCAATATTCAGGATCAGAGCTTCAACATTGTCGATATCAAGCCGGCAAACATGGAGGAGTTGACCGAAGTGATCACGGCGGCAGAGTTCCACCCCGTCGGCTGTAACTGGTTTATGTACGCTAGTTCCAAGGGCACAATCAAGCTGGCCGATATGCGGGAGCGGGCGCTGTGCGACGAGCACGCCAAACGTATGTATTTGACCTCCTTATTCTGAGAGGATGGGAGCTAACACCGCCGCTCAAAAAGTGTTCGAACAAGAGGAGGACGCCTCCTCGCGCTCCTTCTTCTCCGAGATCATCTCTTCCATCTCCGACGTGCGATTCTCCCATGACGGTCGGTACATCGTGTCCCGCGACTATCTGACCGTGAAGATCTGGGACGTCAACATGGAACGACAACCGGTGAAGACGATCCCAATCCACGAACACCTGCGGCCGCGCTTGTGTGATACGTACGAGAACGACAGCATCTTTGACAAGTTTGAGGTGGTCTTTTCGGGAGATGCGGAGAATGTCATGACGGGCAGCTACAACAACAACTTTATGATCTACCCGAAAGAAGACGACAAGGAGACGGAGATTGTGCTGCAGGCGGACAAGTCGGCTTTCAAGGCCAAGAAGGTTGGCGTGCCGACCCCGATGAACAAGGCAGGGAATGGCAAGAAGGCCGGCTCGCGGTCCGGCAGCCCTGCAGGTCCGGGCAGTCGGATGAAGAAGGAGACCGATGCCGACCAGATTGATTTCAACAAGAAGATCCTGCACATGAGTTGGCATCCCTTCGAGGACAGTATTGCCATTGCTGCTACGAACAACGTATGTTTCCATCTGCCCCTTGTGGTCTGTACCTACTAACCCTGACTCTCTCTAGCTCTTTGTTTTCTCTGCTCTGTAAAGGCGTGACGTTTCCGACGGCATCCCTCATAATCATCTTCTTCCATGGACAGGCGCAACTGGGGTTGGGGATCCGGTGGCTGATGGAGGAATTCGGTGGTCTGGCGAGATCAGGATGAAACCGAAAAACACAACAAAGCAAAAAGATTAATGACGATAGCAGCAGCAGCAGCAGCAAGCCACAGATTCCCATAATCTCAGGACTTTTTTCCCTGTTTCCCACCCGTCTCTCTCTCTCTCTCTCTCTCTCTCTCTTCGTGTTGCCGCCTGTTGGTCCATGATTTGTATGCAGCTCCTTAGGTATGAAGGCGTACGGGGGATCAGTCATGATAGAGAATGTTAAGCCTGTTGGGCCTTTATGAATCCTGCCTGTGTAGCCAGTAGAGCAGTGAGAGCGATGTGGCCATGGTATATATTTTCATCGGGTGTAGACCATTCCTCCCTTTCCACATCGTCGGGGGCAGTCTGGCAACTATTCTGGCACTCACTACACTCACCCTTGTCTACCCATCTTCTCACCCTGAATTCTCTTCCCTCTACACCTCGCTTATCCTCCCCAATCCTGGCTGACGAGTCGGTTTTTCTGCCCGGCGTTCCGGGGCGATGACGGAGGCGGAGGGTATCAATACTCGTCCGCCATACAGCGACAGAACCAAAAGACCGGCCCAGCCTCACCGCCAGTCATATTACCGAGCGTCTTTCCCTGACCGGAACAACCCAGCCTCCGGGGTATAATACGCTAGACCACTTCCGGGTTAGCGCAAAGGCCACTGGAGAGCCCGCGATCGCGCGCAAAGGGAATCAATCACCCCCAGAGTCCCAGTCCCCTGTGTCCCTCCCGGCCCGACTACATCCTCGTTTTCCAGTCTCCGTCTGTGGCTTCTGGCACTTGTCTCTTCTGTCCTGCCTTTTTTTGAAGCTGGTCATGCTGTGACTGGAGTGCGCCCAGCACGCCGTGACTGTGGAAGAACTCTGGTGAACCAGTGACCCCGAGCTTGAGTCCAAGTTCCCCCCCTCAGGGCACTCCCAGTTCTTTTTCTTTCTGTGTTGAGTAAGACTGGCCAGTCGTTCCTCTCGGACCTCTCATTCGCTTTGATTTTATGTGCAGACCATGAACTCTGGGAACGATAGTTGGCACTCCTCTGCTGGTGGGCCGCCGTCGCACCCTGGCATGGATCAAATGAACCAGCAGCAGAGGCCCTTGGGCTCTTTCGGGTATGTGATGCTACTTCACCTGCTTTTTCTGTGCTGCCAGTGACTGACATGCCATTCTTGCAACCCCCACAGTCCAAATCCATCTCAGCAAGGCCCGTCTTCGCAGCCCTCGGGCCCTGTCCTCCCCCCTCCATCCGGTTAGAATCGCGCCATCTATACCCTCTCTGAATAATACTGACTCGGGATCGTCGTTGCAGGTTCCTACCACCCTGGCGGTCAGTCGGGTGGCCACTCGCTCCCTGGCCTGGCAGAATTGAGCCAGAGCCACGGTGCCGCGCACCAGCCTCAGACGTACGGTCCGCATCCTCCCTCCCACAATGCCGGCCACTCCCTGCCGGGAATCGGCCAAGCCATGCAGCATGCGTCTCCACAGCTCAATCGCGAGCGTGAACGTGACTCCCGAGAGCGGGAGATGATGGAGCGCCAGCGCCAGCAGGAAGAGCATGCCCACCGCGAGCGTGAGCAGCGGGAGCGGGAGCGGGAGCAGATGGAACGCCAGCAGATGGAGCGCCAGCGCGAACAGCAGCAGCACCACCCCGTCCAGAGCCACACGGGCTCCATCCCCCTCCATCAACCCGTCGCGTCGAAGGTGCCCAACACCATCCATGGCCCTAACGGTCTTCTCTCCAACCTCAGTGGAGCTGCCACCAACGGCCCTCAAGGTACTGGTGGGCAGTCCTCTAGTGGACCTGGTAGCCTCTTTGGGCCCCAGATGCAGCAGCATGGTGAGGGTACGCCGCGGTCATACATGCAGCACCCCGGTGGGCCGTCCGGTAACCCGATGATGGGCTACAATGGATCTGGCCAGCAGATTCCGGGGAGTGTGGCCGCTCTGGCGCAAGGCCAGCAGCCAATTCTTAATGTGAGTGACCTTTCCTTCCGTCAAATGGACTTGACACTAATGAATTTGTAGGATGCTCTGAGCTATCTGGATCAAGTGAAGGTTCGCTTCGTCGATCAGCCGGATGTCTACAATCGATTTTTGGACATAATGAAAGACTTTAAGAGCCAAGCGTGAGTTTTGGTGCTTCTGATCTCGGCGGGATCCGTCTGACGTAAATTTCCTAGGATTGATACCCCCGGCGTCATCCAACGCGTCTCCACCCTTTTCAATGGTCACCCTGCTCTCATTCAGGGATTCAATACCTTTCTCCCTCCCGGCTATCGTATCGAATGCGGAACTGAAGATAACCCCGATGCGATTCGCGTGACCACCCCCTCCGGTACCAATACACTGAGCATGCCTCGGACAGGACGTTCGCTGGATTCTGGAGATATCGGTCCTTCGGGTGGTCTGCACGGACGCCCTGACTTTTATGATCAGTCGCGCCCTGGTTGGCAGCAAAGCCAGCAGCAACAGCCACAGCAACAGCCCGGGTCTTACTCGCCTGGCTCTCGCATGATGGGTCCCGGCATGTACCAGCAGGATGGGTCTAGCCAGGAACACCACTACGGCTACCAAAGCCAGCAGGAGCAACAGGCGGCCGCCACTGCGGCGGCTATGTCACACCAGCAAGATCACCGTGGTGTCGCGCAGTTGCAAGGTGCTGCCTCGGCCTCTGCTGGTATGGGACGCCCATCTCTCCTCCAAGTGACCTCGGCTGCGGGAGCGAACGCAAGTCTGACCCAGCCTATGAACAATCTAGCTGGCGTTGGCTCTGGTATGCTGCAAGGCGCCCATGGCGACCTGACCAAGCGTGGACCCGTGGAGTTCAACCACGCAATAAGCTATGTGAACAAGATCAAGGTCAGTCTAGGTACCAAGACCGTTTAATGACCTAAACGCTGACAGCTTCTAGAATCGCTTTTCGAGTGCGCCGGAGATCTACAAGCAATTCCTTGAGATCTTGCAGACCTATCAGCGGGAGTCCAAGCCCATTCAGGATGTCTACGCGCAGGTGACCCAACTGTTCAACACTGCCCCGGATCTCCTGGAAGATTTCAAGCAGTTCTTGCCTGAATCTGCGGCCCATGCAAAGCAACAAGCGGCCGCTCGCGCGGCCGAAGAGGCTGCTCCTCTCAGCAACTTGCGTGGAGATGCCATGGGCCCTGGCGGTCTCGCTTCGCAGACCCCCAACCGGGATGTCAAAATGCCGCCCCTTGGTCAATTCAATGTCAAGGAAAAGGAAGGCAAGAAGCGCCGCGGTGGTCCAGGTGGTGCCGGCGTGACCTCGTCCATGTCCGGCCCTGCTGGTGCTGAGGCTGCGCGGATGGCGGATCTCCAGGCTGGCCGCGCTCAGGGTCAGTTTGGTAACGTTAATAAGGTGAGTTTCAGATTTTACCCCCGAATTGGATAAAATATTGACGAGATAACAGAGAGCCAAGTACCACCACGGCAAACCCTCAACAGGTGCTGACTTGTCGAATGTGTCACCGACGTTGATCCCTGCGCTCCCAGAACCCATCCAGCCGTCTGTGTCGATGACTCCAAGTCAGGAGGAGATTGCCTTCTTCGACCGCGTGAAGAAGTTCATTGCGAACAAGCAGGTCTTCAGCGATTTCCTGAAGCTGTGCAACCTGTACACCACCGACCTTGTGGATCGTCATGTTCTGGTTAAGAGGGCCGAGGGATACATTGGGTCTAACGCGGAGCTCATGAGCTGGTTCAAGCGATTTATGAGTGTCGAGGAGCCCGAGGACAAAACCATTGACCCCAAGCCTCGAACGGAGGCTGGTATGGTCAACCTGGCTCATTGTCGGTCCCTGGGGCCTAGCTATCGTCTTCTGCCTAAGCGGGAGCGCCAGAAGCCTTGCAGCGGCCGTGATCAGCTGTGCTTTGAGGTTCTGAATGACGAATGGGCATCTCACCCTACCTGGGCATCCGAGGATTCTGGGTTTGTTGCGCACCGAAAGAACCAGTACGAAGACGCCTTGCATCGCATAGAGGAGGACCGCCATGATTACGATCACCACATCGAGGCGTGCACCCGCACCATCCAGCTGATCGAGCCGATCTGCCAGCAGTTCCTTGTCATGAGTGAATCTGAGCGGGCCGCTTTCAAACTGCCTCGCGGTCTCGGTGGCCAGAGCGAGGCGATTTACCAGCGGGTGATCAAGAAAATCTACGATCGCCAGCGCGGCGAGAAGATCATCCGTGACATGTTTGAGCGCCCCTGTCAGATTCTTCCGATTGTTCTCTACCGTCTCAAACAGAAGCTGGAGGAGTGGAAAGTGTGCCAGCGCGAGTGGGACAAGGTCTGGCGCGAGCAGATGCAGCGCGCGTACTGGCGCAGTCTCGACCACCAGGCCATTGCCACGAAGCAGACGGACAAGAAGCTCTTCATTGCGAAGAACATCCAGCAAGAAGTTCAGTCCAAGTTCGAGGAAGACCGGAACCTTCGCAAGGGTGGATGGACCCCAGCCAAATACCAGCGCGAGTTTACGTTCAGTGACTTGGACGTTGTTCTGGATGCCACTCACCTGCTTGTCTTGTACTTTGAACGGGGCACTAGTGGCTTCGGCGCCGATACACAGAAGTTGACAGCCTTTGTCAAGGATTTTATTCCGGTATACTTCGACCTGGACCGCGAAACTTTCCACGACTACATGGATGAAATTTCGGTTGCAACTTCGCCTGCCGAGGAGATAGACGGGGAGAATTTCGCAGCCGAGGATGCGTCAAATTCCAGTCGGAAAGAGCTCAACACCCAGAAGATCGGCCTCTTGCGCGAGGCTCTTGAGCGCAAGACCGAGAAAGGGAAACGGAATAACGAGGACGGTGCTGTTGCAACCCCCCTTGCGACCCCGGAGGTTCCGCGAGCTCCGTCTGCTGCCGTTTCAGAGCCCGAGGAGTTTAACGTGGCCGAGCTCAAGTGGATGGAGCATCCCGGTCAGGGCAACTTCAACCTGCAGCGCGAGTACACGCTGAACGAGAAGTACGAAAAGAAGGTGCACAATATGTACGCCAACTTGAACATTTATTGCTTCTTCCGGACCTTTGAGATCCTCTATGAGCGTCTGCTGCGCGTCAAGGAGCAAGAGGCTGAAGCTCACGAGCAAGTGCGTCGGGGTCTTTTACCCAAGCCTGCGCATGAACTGGCTCTGATCGACCGATTCCCTAATGACTTCTTCTACGACTGTGACCCCAAGGCCAATCTGTACCAGCAGGTTGTGCGCATGTGTGAGGAAGTGATCAAGGGCGACATGGACCAGATTCATCTGGAGGAAACCCTGCGCCGCTACTACATGCAGGGCGGCTATCTGCTCTACAACCTTGACCGCATTCTGTCTTCCATTACCAAGTACGCTGCGTCCATCTTCACTGGTGATTCGCGCGATCGCAGCTCGGATATTGTGAATCTCTTCTTCCGGGAACGGGAGAAGGAGGAGACTACGCATCACCAGGAGATCCAGTATCGCAAGCAGGTAGAGAAGATGGTTAAGGATGGCGATATCTATCGCATCACTTATGTGAGTTTCCTCGGTCATCATGGATCGTTCCATACTAATCATTCGCAGTACCCATCGGAGCGCCGGACGACCGTCCAACTGATAACACCCGAGGACGTGACCTTCGACAACGCGGAGCTAAGCTCCGAAGCCCGCTGGTCGTACTACGTTACTGCTTACTCAATGCGTGATCCGACCGAAGGCGTGCAGTTCTCCGCAATGCGCATGCCCTTCTTGAAGCGCAACCTGCCAGGCAAGCTGGACGAGGACGAGGAGTATGACCGCTTCTACCGACGCCTGCAGCATTTCGACGGTCTTATTATCCGCATCTGCGCCAATAACTACACGATGCTCTACCAGCCTGAAACCTACGACTGGTTCTGGCGCTCCACGGCGCCGATCATCGACAAGGATGCTGATGCCGAGGCGGCCAAGACCCAGACAGAAGAAGCTGCCAAGGAGAAGGCTGCGCTGCGTGAGAAGCGCCATGACCGCTTCGTCGAGAAGTTCGTCAACAACCCGAACTGGGCCCGTGGTCTCAGCAAGGACAAGGTGGACGAGTCGAATCAGCGCTTCCGCTCTTGGCTGAATGGTACCTTGTCCGCTGAGAATGCTGTTTCTGCCACCGAGGAGGTTGAGAAGCCTGCTGAAGACAAGGAGGCTGAGAAGAGCAAGAGTCCCCCGAAGGAGGACCAGCCTGATGCCGAGATGGCCGACGCCGCACCACCCGCGCCTGAGGCGGAGGCGGAGACTACGGAGGCGCAATGATCATATTGCATTTTGGTTAAGTCGCGAATTGGATGGCGTCTATTATTTAACATGAGGAAAATTGCTGCGATGCCTTGACATTCTTATGGTTTTGTCTTTTCGTTTTTTTCTTTCTTCCTTTCCACATACTGCGCTTCGCCAAATCTCTCGAGATCTGATCTGCACGGAACCACGGGGGATTGGGGTTGATTGATTTGTGTTTAGTTTCTTTTCTTTCTCCATTCCAATGTATTCTATGCGCTATAACCCTTTTCTTGATCTGTGTGTGTCTGGGGTTGGACGGCGTAGTTGTCTTGACCATCCTCTAATCTTTCTGTGACGCCCTGCATCGTTCTCCATTAACCTTGTCTTGACCCCGGAGGCCCTCTCCATAGCCGATCACCCCTCGGATATGTCTCACCCCGGTGTCCCAGACAAGGCTGCAGCTCCGGTTGCCCGAATGTCATTAACCGATACAGGCCCGAGACCTGGTGGACTGACTCTCACAAACCCGGCCCGAGCGCATCGTGAAGCAGATTTGCTCCGATGGTCAGCAAAGGCGACCCAGATCGATCCAGATGATTTAGGAGATCATTTAAGAGGAATTGTTCCTGAGATAATGGTGAGCAACATGCGAAATAGCGTAGATTCATGACTGGGGTGGTTGTATCAGTATGACTCCATGATCGAGAAAATCCCGAGCGAAGACCGAACCATAAACGTGACGTCAGCAATGTGTCGGCGGCACGAATGTGGTTTCACATCATCATCGAGTATTTCAGACACGTCCAAGACGCCAACAAGGAAAAGAAAACAAACCCCATATAGGAATTTCAGATTTGCAGACCAACACGTGCGACCTAGCCCTCAACGCCTCTTTAGTTGCATCGACTCTTGTCTAGAGCGGAACGGTGGAGCTTCGCAGCTCAACATCCGGCGGGGAAACATACCCAGAATCCTTCGCCCGAGCCTTCCGTTGTTCCGGTTTCTCTATGAACATTCCTTCTGTCGCGGGGCGAACGAGCAGAGGGGAACTCTGACATAATAGTCTTTAATACCTTGACTCCTCCTGTTCTTTCTTTTTCTTCTTCAATTCACCTTCTTTCCCATCTCCCCTCCATTCCTCCCCGCAATGGCTGCTTCTGCCCTGCTCAAGAGCCGTATCCGCCGGCCCTCGTATCTGCAAAAGCTGGCCAAGGCAGAGGACCTCATTGATCTCTTCCCACATGGCTCGTACATCGGTTGGTCCGGGTTTACCGGTGTTGGGTATCCCAAGTGAGTATTTGTTTACTCTATTGAGCTGCGGAATCAATTGCTCATCCTTCGCCTAGGAAAGTCCCTACCGCACTAGCCGACCATGTTGAGAAAAACAGCTTGCAGGGCCAGCTCAAATATACACTATTTGTTGGCGCGTCGTCCGGCGCGGAGACTGAGAACCGCTGGGCGCGCCTGAATATGATTGAGCGACGCAGCCCGCACCAAGTTGGCAAGGAGATCGCCAAGGGAATTAACAATGGGCAGATCAAGTTCCTTGACAAGCATCTGAGCATGTTCCCCTCGGACCTGGTCTATGTAAGTTTTTGGTTTAGGCAAGAAGGGGCTAGCTCGGCCTGTGGGCCAAGCTTCCTGTCCGTGTTGTTTAAGGTTCACAACGCTGATCGTCCCGCCCGTTCTTGTAGGGATACTACACCCTCAACAAGCCCCATAACAAGATCGATGTGGCTGTGATCGAGGCCTCAGCGATCACGGAGAATGGCGGCATTATTCCCGGCGCCTCCGTGGGCGCCTCTCCCGAGTTAGTCCAGATGGCCGATAAGGTGATCATCGAGGTCAACACGGCCACCCCTTCGTTCGAGGGGCTGCACGATATCGTCGGGTCCGACCTGCCCCCCGGCCGCAAGCCGTATCTGATCATGGCCCCCGAGGACCGCATCGGGACAAGCTATATCCCAGTCGACCCAGAGAAGGTCGTCGCCATCGTCGAGTCCGACTACCCGGACCAGACGCAGCCCAACGCCCCAGAGGATGCCGACTCGCAGGCGATCGCGGGCAACCTCATCGAGTTCCTCAAGCACGAGGTCAGGCACGGCCGCCTACCACCAAACCTGCTACCCATCCAGTCGGGCATTGGCAATATCGCCAATGCCGTGGTCGGCGGGCTGAGCAAGGGCGGCGCAGACTTCCATAACCTCAAGGTGTGGACCGAGGTGCTGCAGGACTCATTCTTGGATCTGTTTGATAGCGGAAACCTCGACTTTGCCACCGCAACCTCCATCCGCTTCTCGCCCGATGGGTTCAAGCGTTTCTACGATGGATGGGAGCGCTACGCCGGCAAGCTGCTGCTGCGCTCGCAGCAGGTCTCAAACTCGCCTGAGATTATTCGCCGTCTGGGCTGTATCGGCATGAACACACCCGTCGAGGTGGATATCTACGCTCATGCTAACTCCACCTGCGTTATGGGCTCGCGCATGCTGAATGGCCTCGGTGGCTCGGCCGATTTCTTGAGAAATTCCAAGTACTCGATCATGCACACGCCCAGCTCGCGGCCTAGTAAGACCGATCCTACGGGCATCAGCTGCATTGTGCCTTTTGCGACGCATATCGACCAGACGGAGCATGATCTGGATGTGGTTGTGACTGAGCAGGTACGGTCCTTTTTAACAAATCCATACATGTTATCTGTGGCGTACTAACATTGTTACCAGGGTCTCGCCGACGTCCGCGGCCTCTCTCCTCGCGAGCGCGCCCGCGTTATCATCAATAAATGCTCCCACCCAGACTACAAGCCCATCCTACAGGACTACTTCGACCGCGCCGAGTTCGAGTGTCTGAAGAAGGGCATGGGCCATGAGCCGCACTTGCTCTTCCAGGCGTTTAAGATGCACCAAAACCTGCAGGAGAAGGGCACTATGAAGATCGACTCGTGGGACTAATTTCTGTCTTGTTTTTCCTTTTCTTTTTTTCTCTCCCGCACGGCATGTAAAACTGTGGTTTGCTTTGGGAATGCAGATCGATTGCATATGTACGAATATCATGAGCGATTGATGAGTTAGGACTGACGGTTTGCTGTGATGCAAAATACTAGAGGATTGATTACCTAGAGTGTGTTTGATTCGGGTGGTCTTCGGACAACTGCTAGTAGATAAAAGATTTCGAAAACAAACTAGTGATGATAATCTGATCCCACAGATAGCCACTAGTGTCTGCTCCAATAGTTCATGACGAATGTGGTCCTAGCGTCAATGATTGGCAGCTTTATTCCTGCTGGTGAGGATCAGGGTCGATGCCATGTGGCAGGATAGTCTGCATGAGCTATTGGATATGGACCCATGGAAATCTCATATATTCTTTGAGAAACTATGATAAGAGCTTGAACAGTAGAATTTATACATATAGACACAATGTAAAACAAGTAGTATTGGGATATCTCAAAACCAAACACCCAAAACACCAAATATCAAAAGCCAAAGCCCGGAACAGAAAATATGCTATTTCTTCACGTCTAAGTTCATCAATTATCCATGCTTTCTGGTTTTTTCTTTCCTTGAAACGCCCCGCTTCAAAATCCCAAGTATGCATAATGAAGGCACTCAAGCAGCCGTCGGCGGGTGATAAGCCCCACCAGTAACCCTGCTCCAGAGCGAATTGAGCAGTCCACTCGGAGCTTCACCGGACTTGCGACGAGCCCAGCCGTTCTCGACGGTGTAGTGCTTCACGTCTTGGAGCCCAGCGAAGAGGCCGCGGCCTGCGGTGGAGTGCTGTGGTTCTCTAATTAGTTGGTGCTGTAGGAGAAGGGTGGGTCAGGTAAATGGTAGACGTACGCGATATTCAGTAGAGGGGCTGCGAGTCCAGAGGTCTGCGCCGTACTCGTTTTGGAGGCGGGATTGGTTGTTCATTGTGGTGGAAGTCATCCCGATTGGTGTGGTATTGTTGGTCTCGGGTGAGATGTAGATGAGGAGGTATTGATCTTGAGTAGATGATTGATTGATTGTATGAATGTATTTCTTGATGAACAGAAGTGCAATCAAATTAACTTGGAGCAGTCTTAAATACCTTTCGATCAAACACACAGCCACGACAACATCCCTTAACTCTCCGTCTCCCGCCATCTCCGCCGGCCGAGTCTTCCCCAGAGAGCACCACTCCGTTCCGAGTGCCCTTATTTGGGTGACATGCCGCCACGCTAAGCAATATGATAGGTTCATCATGCCAGAAAAGCTCCAGCACCTATGTCTGGATAGCATGATGATTGACCCGTGCCCATCGGCCTCGCACCGGATCCGGGGTGGCTGTGGTAGGCGTGTTCCAGGAGCCATGACGTATAGACTGGCGGGCTGGCGGGTGCGTCTGATCAAACCACTCGGACATCCCGAATGCCGGGTTTTATCGATGGGACGATATCGGGGGACTCCGTGTGTAAAATTTGTGAAGGATTTCTTTCCGTGGCGGTTGTTTGTTGGGCGTTGTGGTAATGTGTGCGGAGGAAAATGTCGGAATGAGTGGCATGATGGCTGACCGGGGGGCAATGGGCTGAGGTTGTTTACTTTGGATAGTGCAATGTGGGCAGGTTTCGTGGGATTTACTGTTTAGTTGTTGTTTATTCTAGAATGCCGCCGAAGTTCTCTTTGGGTGGTTGATCAATCTGTCAGGGATGTATATACGGACGATCTCCACGTGGTGAATGTCACCCACGCGTTAGGAATGCAGGATATGCGGGCCGTAGGGATATCCACCGGAATGTGGAGAGAAAGAAAATACAAATGGCATTTTACGATTCCATTATTATGATGGCTCTTGTCGAGTAGGTGTCCATATTCATGGATATATATCTGTCTTGGTTGTAGGCCCGCTCACGTGGTTAGGGTTCCTGGCCTCACTAATATCCATCCAATGCTTTAGATGAGCATCCATGCTAATAGTTAGAATGCTAACCAACTATGTGCAGAAGTGATCTAATTTGATTTCTTGACAATTGTAATGTTATCTCTTCAAACTGATCCGCTCACGCGCAGTATGGAGACCTCCCCCTTCTGACAATAGCCTCAAAAAGGGTCAAGCCAAGCATTGCCCTAAACTTGGTCTCACCCGTCTTGCCCGAGACACATTACCTCTATTACCGTGTACTCTGCTTGGCCACCACCACTATTGGAGGCAATCCCACCCAGCCAAAGTCCAAGCGGGACTCCCTTCCGATCATCAACCTTCTTCTTACATCGTTCGGAGCACCCCTGATTCCCAAGAATCGACAACAAGCGTAGGGTGTGCGTGTGCACTGCGGCTCCTCCCCGGCACTGATAGCAACAATAATTGAAGACCAGAAAAGGAGAACTTGGCACTAGCGAGTGGACACATGGGGGGCACGGGCTCGTTTGGGAGATGGCATAATCCTCACGTCCCCACCAGACTCCCGTGCAAGGCAGCCGGCATTACTGAAAATGGGATCTACCCCATATGTACTTCGTCGAAGGGCAGGTGGCGGGTCGTGATCCAGGCCTTCAAGACCATTGCGATCAGCAGCCAGGCCCGCGGGTGCAGGACGAGGCCAACGGTGCCCTAATTACACCGCCAGGGTCTGACAGTCGCCCCAGGACAGTGTAGTCTGACCGTCTGGGGCATGGATGAGATGGGAATAATCCATAATGGGTCGACCGAGCCCTGAAATTCCTATTTATTTACACCTTATGAGCTCTACTGGTTCATCACTCTCCGCGAGCGGGATGATCGGCTCGCGAACGTGGGCTCAGGGCGGGTGATGGGGATCGTCAGGGGGGCGGAGAGGCGACAACAGTTGGTATAAACGGGGCCGGCTGTCGGTATTGTGATGTTTGTATTTTTGCACATCCTTATTATAGAGGCTGAGCGACTACTCGGATTCCGATCGGCAGGGCGGGAAATTAGTCTGCAGCCAACCCAATGGCAGACCGGGCACGGCCCGCCGCTTATCCCGTTGTGGTCAAGGGCCGGCGCGCAATGATGGAGCCACTCCACATGGCTGTTTTTTTGGGCCGAATTGGGGTATTATGGTGTTTGTGTTGATGAAGAGTTTTTGATGTGTTAGGGAGGGATCGATAGTTGCTGAAGAGGGAGGGATCTGGAGGATGATGATAGGACTCCCTCCAGAGCGCCGTCGTGTATAGCGACATTTCCTCCCGCAAGGGCCCGTAGGTGAAACAGCCGGGCACCCAGTTGGCCCCAACACACGAAATGGTTAGTCCGTGATACCGCGGCCAGACTAGGTGGTACAGGAATCCCCCCACTATCACCCCTTTTCCCCCAATCACCCTCCTGCCGTCCCTGAACGGGTTCAAGGCCTCCCCGTACGAACAGGAACCAGGGGCTACACTCGGTCCATACATAATATTACCTCCCCTTTCCCTCACTCTCTCCTCTCTCTCTTCTTCTCTCCTCCTCTACACTCTCCTTTTCCTCCTCCCACGTTCCCTACCGGCATTGACCACCGCTTCACTCGTTCAGCGGGCATTCATTCATTCCTTGGACATAAACGCTTGAATCCATTTCTCTCACCATGAAGGGTGCGATTCTGGCCACCGCCGCGGCCTTGATGGGCTCTGCCCTGGCCGCGGAGAACCTGCACCGTCGTCACGACGCTCTGCACAACCGCCGTGCGGTTGCCTACACCCCGTCGAGCGGCTCGATCGTGCCCTCGAGCTCCGCTCCGGCTTCGTCGACTCCTCTGTTCTCGACTCCCTACAACCCTGGCGGTCCTGCTGAGGAGACCTGCGGCTGTGTTACGAAGACCATCACCTACCTGGGCTCGCCCACCCTGGCCCCCGCCCCGGAGACCAGCACCGTCAAGCTCACCACCACCATCCAGTCGACTGCGTACAGCACCTACACCGTGACTGTCTCGCCCTCGTCGACCGTGGCCCCGAGCCCCGTGGTCACTCTGCCCACTCCCCATGTGACGACTTTCCCCTCGACTGGTACCTACACCGTCCCGGCCACCACCGTCGTGGTGACTGACACCACCACCGTCTGCGGTGCCACCTCGACCTCTGTCCCCAGCGGTACCCACACCATTGGCGGCACCACCACCGTGGTTACCACCGAGACCACCATCACCTGCCCCTATGCCACCGTCAAGCCTTCCGGCAGCACCGTGACCAGCGTCGTTGAGCTGACCACCTACACTTGCCCGGCTGCTGGTACCTACACTGTTGTCCCCCCGACCACCACTGTTGTGTCCAGCCCCACCGTCCTCGTGTGGCCGACTCCCCAGACCGTCACCCCGGGTACCTTCACTCAGCCCGAGCAGACCATCACCGTTGTCGACACCGACTACACTTATATCTGCCCCTTCGCCACCCCTACTCCCTCGAGCTCGGCCATGCCTACTAGCGTCGCGGCTATGTCCACCAGCACTGCCGCTCCCGCTCCTGCTCCCCAGCCCACCGGTGGTTCCGGCGGCGTTCTGACCGGCAACGGCCAGCACGGCATGACCTACTCGCCTTACACCGAGTCCGGCATGTGCAAGACCAAGGACGAGGTTTTCCAGGACATCAAGACCATCCAGGACAAGGGCTTCAACCTCATCCGCATCTACTCCACTGACTGCTCTGGTCTGATGTTCGTTGGTGAGGCTGCTCGTCAGTACGGCATGAACATGATCCTGGGTGTCTACATCGACAACACCGGCACCTCCGGTGCTCAGGAGCAGGTCTCGGCCATCGCCACCTGGGCCGAGTGGGACCTCGTTGAGCTGATCGTTGTCGGTAACGAGGCTGTCCAGAGCGGCTACGCAACCGCCTCGGAGCTGGCTGCTTTCATTGAGTCCTCCACTGCCATCTTCCGTGCCGGTGGCTGGACCAAGGACGTGACCACCACCGAGCCCGTCGATGTGTGGCAGCAGTACGGTTCCACCCTGTGCCCTGCCGTCGACCTCGTCGGTGCCAACATCCACCCCTTCTTCAACTCGGAGACCACCGCTGAGAAGGCCGGTGAGTTCGCCCTGTCCGAGTACAAGATCCTCCAGAGCATCTGCCCCGGCAAGGATGTCCTGAACCTGGAGACCGGCTGGCCCAACGGCGGCGAGAACAACGGTGCCGCCGTCCCCGGCCCCGCTGAGCAGGAGGTCGCCATCAAGTCGATTGCCAAGTACATTGGCTCCAAGTCGATCTTCTTCTCCTTCGCCAACGACCTGTGGAAGTCTCCCGGCGCCTTCGGCGTTGAGCAACACTGGGGCTGTGCCGATGTCTTCCACTAAGCGGTCCACGCCTGTGACGGCTTTCTTGCAAAACATGTACAGGAGGAAATTCTGGAGTTCTTTTCTTTTACCCTTCTTGTAAGGGGGTTGTGTTGTGCTTCGGCGTAATACCCCCCTTTCTTTGCTTCTTGGTTTCTCTTGTCCATTAACTTGAATGTCTATGTGGTAGATATACCTTTTTATTTGATGTTGTCTACTGACCTGGTTGCGTCCCAACTTTTTTTTTTGCTGTCCTTGTCCATGATCCTGTTCGAGTACATGTTTGTTTTATTTATGCATTTGAGAAATCTTTGCTCCTTAAGATCGTATTGTAGACTCAGGGTGTACCTTAGATCACTTTTAACTGGTGTCCTGATATCGATGCTGTTGCCCATTGTTGGCCGTTTGATTCAAGCCCGGCCTTCGTGTCAAAGTGGCTTGTTACCCCTTTTTACATCCCCTCCTATTTTGATGTGTCATTTTAGACCCTTCATCAAACCATTCACCTCGCCTCTTCTGCTAAGTGCTGATAATGTAGAGTGAAAATGGATAAAGAAGGAAGATGTCTAAATCAGACAACAGAATGGTGTGAAGCTCTTTGTTCAACCACGTCGTCCAATGAGTGGGGCTCAATTACCGTTGACACTGTTCTACCAAATCATATGTGAAAAGGATCGAAGAACCAAGCATGAAGTCTACCCAATGGCATATTTCTCGGAAGACCCCCAAAAGAATCTAGGATTAGAATGCATAGAAAGATACACGTATCATCCAGGCTCCGAGGTTCGTTCTAATCTTCCTATCTTGTGAGCCCTTAACCAAGCAACATGATTTCATATATGAAGTGTTCGGATTATATCATTGATACGACCAGAACCAGAAGAAAAGCCATGCTCCTAAACCAGAGGTGGGGAATTGATCCGACTCGGTGTTGAGAGAACCTATCACTGGCATGTCTGAGACACAAATGAGAGAATATAAGTCAGCATAGGTTTAAACGTAGAGCTCAAAAGCCCATCAAATAGACCACAGGAATGCAACCACACTTACCCAAGTATTATCGCTGTTCTGTAGGCACATTAGGGAAGTGCAGCAGGCCGCATTCGAGGCGGGGTTGGTGATGGCCGGGTCACAGATGTTGCCGCCCTAAAATGGTCCGATTGTTTTAGTAATTGTCGCCATAAGTGACATAGACCGGCTTTAGGTGGGACGATTTACACTAAGACAAATCTCTTGGGTACCTGGCAGGGCGAGAGCAGTGGAGGCGATCACGCCAAGGATGACAGCGAAGGCGCGCATGTTGAATGGGAGGTGAGGTGCGAGGTGAATTAACTGCGAAAAGAGACCTCCAATTATCAGTAATTGATCCAAATATAGAACTAAACTGCTTTTCAGAAATGAAGAGGTATTGGATAGTAGGAGCAAGTATTAATCTTCTCAGGTCCAGTGATTGGAAGACTTGACAGATTAAAATAGCATAACATACTGAGGAAAGGAGTTGTCAAAGTAAAATCGTTTTAAGTGCAGGAAAACCAGATCGCGCATTCCCAAGGGTATTTGAAATATTTATGGGAAACTGCACTCTTCCTGATGTCAAGGCCAAGCCAGCACAGGTCCACAGCGCGATGTGACCGAGCAAATAGGGCACTACCGACTAGGAAAGATCTACAGGGGGCCGTTTGACGTCCTCATCAGATCTGGACCAAGCGCCCACAGGGCAAACGGTTCTTCTCGATTATAAGCCTGGTCGCAATGGACAAGAAGAGTTCCAATGTCGCTAGATCCTGGTGACCCTTGGCAACAGCCTTGCTGTACTGCTGTGTCGCTCGCTGACGCATTGCTTTGTACAATTGAGTTACAAAGTGGCATGCATTGCATCCGTGACCCGCTTTTATGAATTGAAAGGAACACGCAATCGCCATAGGGACAGCTGCTTGGTATCCAGCGAGCCTGTCAATAACTGTCATAATCAGTGGGGCTCTGCATTGCTCGGAGAGCCACGATCCTGTGTGCTAGCTGACGCGGAATCGCAAGCCATGTCGCTTGGCGGCAAGGCGTAGAGGATGTTTCGGTGGGTTCTGTGTCCTAGAACTGCCTTGGCATTGAGCAAGTGGGTCAGTAGAACATAAAGGGGCTTTTAGGCAACATCAATCTTTTGAGCATAGGATATAAATTGTTATTGTTGACTTCGTTCTTTATTCGTCTATCTGCGATGTAAGTGATTGAGGGAGATCTTGCCATCGGTCCCACCACAAAACTGTACGAGATGTTGCAGGGTGTTAAAGCCGTGCAGCCGTAGCCAGCGTGCGAATATGAGGCTGTGAACAATCGGAATTATTATAGAGGTTGACTCGAGCACAGAAGCCTTTCGGCACGCTGGGCGATGACGGCTTCTCTGTGTTGAAGCCGCGGGTTGTGTCTGACAGCAAGTATAGCGCATACCGACAGCCCGCAGGAACGCATCTACTATTGGTTAGCGGATATAGCGCGCAGCTTTCTGGAAGCATCGTCATTTAGAACACACTATCAATGGAGTGGTGAACTGGGCGAAGTTGATATTACCCATAGAGCAATTTGCGATACTCTTCAGGCATATTAGTTTCTTTTAAGATTTGGGATCAAAAAGCCCCCTGATTCAACCATATTCATTCATATGACTTGTACTGATAGGAATATTTAGCTAGTTGCTTCAAGACTTTTTGCTTTCTAGGTATTTCTTTAATAGCACTTTGCCATAGTCATTGCCGTTCGGGGTCCTTACACTCGTATGGATGTGAAACGGCAAAGTCACTTTGTTGTTCAAAAACACACTGGCCCGTTTCATATCTTTGGCTGGCGCCGCGTCTCTGGTTGGTGTTGTGTCTCTGGCCGACAAGAAAAGTGGACTCAAATCCCGGAGGTCGGAGCTAGAATCTCTGGCATCATATTTGAACTCCGGATTAACCTCATCCTATCGAAAGTCCGGCTCCCCTTTCCCAGCATTCTCAAAGTCCTTCGTAGCAGAATTCCCGGGATCTCTACTCGAATTTTAAAATGAAAGGCCAGAGTTTGATATCTATGTTGTCATCGTCTTGAAGGAAGTGTCAGACCTTCGATAGGATGAGGCCAATTTAGAGCCTTAGGGTTCTAGCAGATTTTGTGGAGAATATGGCTGAGAATACGTGAGTCTGAGGGCTGTAGACAACATATTTTGTGTGCTCGGAGTGCCAAAATCCCATTCAGTGAAAACTGACATATGTGGTATGTACAGGCATCAAAATAACCGGATCATGCCGTGAAAATACTTACATGAGGCGTTTTGCACTGCAGATCTAATTTAGATCCGTACAAGATCTAGGATACTGCATGGCGTGCATAATCCGCTGCTTCAATCTATCACCATCCACCTGAAAGACATAGTTTACTTGCCGGATTCCTGGAGGAGCGAGTGCCTTCTGATAGACGTGAATATTGCCGTAATTAGGACTTCCATAAGATGTATCCACATCGAGATAAACTGCAGAGCAATTAGTCATATAGGGAGGCATTTTTGGCATGAGGAGGACTTACCTGAGGTTTGGTTGGTAGCGAGCGATGGGTCAGCCATGAGAGCCGCCGCCGTTTCGTCCCAGAAAGGGAACGATGGGTCGTAGTACTTGTAGAAGAGCTCGGTGTAGGGGTTGCGGACTTTGATCAGGTCTTTCATAAACTCTTTGTCGGGGAACACTTGGTTGGCAACGTTGCCGGCGATGGTGATCTGCGGGAAGTCCGCAGTGAGAGCAATCTTGGAAGCTTCCGGGTCGATCATGAGGTTGATCTAGCAATTCCGCTGGTTTAGTAAACGTAGATTAGTCAACGTGGGTTTCACTTACATCAGATTGAAGGTCTGCCTGCAGGACGCTTCCCGTAGCCTGGAGCATGTTATCATCGACGTAGCCACCCATGATGACCAAGTCTTTGGCAAGAGATGCAAATTCCGGATCGATGCGCACCGCCAGGGCGACGTTCGTCAGGGAACCCGCAGAGTAAATAGACACCTTGCCAGGATATTTGCGAACCATCTCTACCATGAAATTGGCCGCCGACGTCGAATTGTTGGGCCTGCCCTTGGGGAAGCCTTCCTTGAACGCCGCCCTCACAATTCGGTTTGGGTTGCCAGAAGTAGGATCATTGCCTTCGGCTTCAAAAGTATTATTCTCAGGTGCGAATGCTCCCTGCCAGGGGAGATCGCCGTGCATTGCCTCCCATGCATGGAACCGATGCGGCGTATTCACCAATGGCCAGGTCGCTCCAGAATAGACGGGGATGCAGCTTAGATTCCCAATCTCCAACGTGGCGACAGCATGTAATGCGACCTGCGGTTGCCAACTGTTTGCGGTGTCTACGGGTTGCCATTAGATACCGACATGTCTTGTGCTTGCAAAATAAAGAAGAACTTACCAGAGGCCAACGCTAGGACATCTACATCACCGTCTAGTGCAACCAAGAATGGCGCAAATCCGGCCGTATTCCAGTCATTATCCATGATAGCATAGTGCTTCTCTGCCTTAGGCAACGCGAGGCCCCCGGAAACAAACAGGAAAAGAGAGCTGCAGAGCAGCGACGCAGAGGTTCTCCAGAACATAGTTCAGTGCAGCACTATATTCGTCGATCTCGACATCAAACAATAATTTCTGCTTGATCCCTCCTATTTTGCACACCGGCACATCTTTATATCGCTCGACCATTCCTAGAGCATATACTATATCGGCCTGTCCCGCCTATGTAAATATTGTTGACATCAAAGCTTCTCCACAAATACGCACTACCTCCCGCATCGACTTAACCGAACGGGAGAGACACTGGCTCGAATTTCCCGTAGAGAGAGGCAAACCTGAATCTGCAGTGACTGGCTCCAGTTTTGCACTGGCTCACGTTTCCCCTCGTGGGTCCGAGCAGAACTCAAAATTCGCACCAAAACGGGCGACATAGGCTACGCAGGTGTCAAATTGGGATTAGCGCCCGGATTCTCCCCAGGTTTGCCGCCACGCGACTCGTCGGTTTCTGGGGGACTCGGCAGCCCGAGACGGGGTGTCAAGCCACACAAAGTTTTTCTTTGTCAAGGCTATTTTTTTGCGGAGATTTTTTTTTTAAGAGAAAGAATATATATGGGGTAGATGCCGCTCGTGATTTTGTAATTTTTCCCTCAACTCCCCCTCGGAATTGGTTGCTGGCATAAAGGCTTGAATTTTCTTTCTTCACTTCAACATGGCGGACCGATCATTGTCCGTGGACTTGGAGTCCTCTCCCCGCATGCAGCTGGTCAAAAAGTCCAGGTGGCAGTCGATCTTCGAGAACCCCAAAGTGCTCTTCATCGCCTTTTTCGCCTCGTCAGTCTCGCGTTTACCTTTTATTCTCACCGTTCTATGCTAATTAAATGCTAGGTTCGGCGGGTTCGAATATGGCTACCAGCAGGGTGTTCTTGGACAATCCCTGGTGATGTACCGATTCACTCACAACTTCCCGTCGGTGGTGGCTTCATCCACCGCAACAGGGTGGCTAACATCTGTTTTGCAACTGGGAGGAATCTTAGGGTCCCTGTCCGCAGGTATTCTGGGAGAAATATTTTCTCGCAAGTACACCATGTTTTTCGCATGCTGCTGGGTCATCCTTGGTAGCTATCTATATGTTGGTGCATCGGCCGGTAACGCGTCTCTGCTTTATGCTGGGCGATTCTTCACCGGATTGGGCGTCGGTCTGTTCAGTGGTGTCGGGCCTCTCTACAACGCCGAACTGGCTGCACCAGAGATGCGTGGCTTGCTCGTCTCGTTCTATCAGTTCGCCACTATTCTCGGCATCATGCTGTCTTTCTGGTGCGGCTACGGCAGCAACTATATCGGCGGAACGGGAGAGACGCAGTCCGATCTCGCCTGGCGTCTACCTTCCATCGTCCAGGGGATTCCGGCTATTTGTTTGGCCTGCGGAATCTGGTTCATGCCTTTCTCTCCTCGGTGGTTGGTCAAGCAGGGCCGCGACGAAGAAGCCCAGTCCACCCTGGCTTGGATGCGCAAGCTCCCTGTCGAGCATGAGCTGGTCCAGGTTGAGTACCTCGAGATCAAAGCAGAAGCACTGTTTGAAGAGCGTGCATTTGCTAAAGCCTCGCCAAAGCTTGCGGAGAAGGAGCGCCAAAACGTTTTCATGAATCAGATTGCCCAGTATTCCAACTGCGTTCGCTCAATGGACAACTTCAAGCGGGTGGCTACGGCTTGGTTGATCATGTTCTTCCAGCAGTGGAGCGGTATTGATGCCAGTAAGTGTTTTGTATCCGGGTCCTAGTCGTGATGGCTAACAGAAGTAGTCATCTACTACGCGTCCAACGTGTTTAAGAGTCTTGGATTGACCAGTGGCACAATCGCCCTCTTGGCCACCGGTGTCACGGGTGTTGTTTTCATTGTTAGCACTGTTCCGGGAATGGTAAGTAGTAGGACTGTTTTCTTGAAGGTTATTTTGCTAATGGAAAGTAGCTGGTCATCGACAAAATCGGCCGCAAGCCTATGCTGCTCGCTGGGTCCGCGCTGATGTGTTCCACCATGATCATTGTCGGGATCATCGTTGCGAAATTTCAACATGACTGGCCCTCTCATGTTGCTGCTGGCTGGACTGCCGTTGGTACGTGATACTTCGAGAAGAAAGTGATGAAAAAAATCTAACAGCAACATCCACAGCGCTTATCTGGGTATACATCGGGAGCTTCGGAGCCACCTGGGGCCCTGTGTCATGGACTCTGGTTTCCGAGATTTTCCCACTCTCCATTCGTGCCAAGGGTGCCTCGATTGGCGCATCCAGCAACTGGATCAACAACTTCGCCATCGCATTCTTTGTTCCTCCCATGCTTGCCCGCTGGCAGTGGGGAACCTATATCTTTTTCGCTGTCTTCCTTATGGGCGGCATTGTTTGGGTTTGGTTCTTCTTGCCAGAGACAAAGAATGCTACCTTGGAGGAGATGGATCGGGTATTCGGAAGCCATTCGGGAGAGCAAGATGCCGAACTTTTGCGGGATGCCCAGCGCGAGGTTGGCCTAACTGCTTTTGTTGAGAGAATGGGCATGGCCACCGGGCGCGAGGTCGACTCCAAGGAGCCGGGTGAGCAGCTCGTCGAGAAGATCTAAAAGACATTCTCTGGCATCTGAATGTATGAATAATAGGAATTGGAGTTGGAGAATGAGGTATAGGAATTGCACCTCTTTCAAGTTTATAGTTAGTTAGCTAATAGTCTACTTGCGCCCAGTGCGTTTGTTCGTTAATTTCTTTTTTTTATTGGGTGTAGAACTTATTCACTCTTGTAGTATTTCGGGATAACCAGTTTTCTAGACGACCCCAGAGGTGGCGTTTAAAGAGAGGAAATCTGCCGCAGACCCATCGCCGTCCACTTTATTATGGACCGCATTTTGCCTCCAGGCAAACCTCGGTTTGACTCTCCCAATCTGACCCAACCAAAGATCCCGCGCCCCACGCGGGCTTCCAGTCGGCCACCTCCGGCCAACCTCCGACTCAGAGTCTTCTTTACAAAAAGGGAGCATGGAGCCTCCACCTTGTCTTTTCGGCCCACTTATCGCAACCTTCACCATGTCAGCCTGAACCTCCGACTCACTATGCCCAGGAAACCCACTCCGGCTAGTAAGCAGCGAGTACGCACGGGATGCTTGACCTGTCGTAAGAGAAGAAGAAAATGTCAGCCACGAGCAACTAGTTGAATCACGCGGAAATGCGGCTTACATCTGTATCTAGGCGACGAGCAGAAACCGCGCTGTGCGAATTGTGAGGTGAAAGGGTTCGCCTGTAAATATGGCACCGACTTGTCCTTTGTGCCACCGCAGTCCGGGCTTGTCTCGGGCGGGGGCCAGGCCTACACGAACATCACAGTAAGCAGGATAGCCTATGTGAAGCTAGCAGCTGAGATTGATTATTGTGTCTAGTTCGTGGACGACACCCCTCTGGCTTCCAACCTGACGGCGAACAAAGAGACGGTCAAAGATCAACAGCCACCGCCACAGCCAGGCCCTAATGATATACAAAACCTTCAAAATACCAGGGGCACACCAGGACCTCCTCCTGTTGAAGTGAAAGATGTTTTCATGCCCAATGCTCTTGATGCTTCTGCAGGGCCGTCGATTATACAGAATATCCCTGGTCTACTCATCGGCGACCAAGAACGACCGACACGAGATACTCGCCTTCTAAACAGTTCCCCGCATCTAACCTACTCTGTTTCTACATTCAGTGACCAGCAAGGAACTCTGTCTTCTCCGAGCGCGGGCGGCAATCTTGAAACAGCTTTGTTGAGACATTTCCGCTATCACATCTCCCCATGGATTGATGTCGGAGATCCTAGCTGTGCTTTTGGACTGCAGACCCTGCTTCTTTCTCGAACCAGCAGGCCGGTCCAGCTCGCCATCCTGGCCCTTTCAGCGGCGCAGAGGCTCGCCATTTCTTCATTTATGAACAATGAAGATTCGGAGAATGGGCCCAAGTTTCGAAAGGAAGCTGAGACTAGTCTGATGATCGAGCCTGAATCGAGTAGACATGCTGGTCGTGCTCTCCTGATGCTTCAAGACTTCCTTACGGCTGGCCCCCAAAAATGGAGAGACTTATTCATGCATCTAAGAGGGGTTGATAATGGCTTCAGGTATCTTTCCCCTCTGGGAGATTCTCTCGGAGAGTCGCTTTTTTGGCTATATTTCAGACTAGGTACGTGATGTATGTGATGGTTTGTTTCGGGAGCGGGGACTGACTTCGAAGTTTCACTCCATAGACCTGGCGGCTTCAATTATGTCTTTACAATCGCCCATGGTGCCATTTCGCTCTTTTTTGCGACGAGATGGCTCACCTATACACTCTTTGCCGCAACCACCACCGCAATCCCACTCCGTGCACCGAGTATATAAGCATGTTTTATGCCTTTTGGGGCATTGCCTCGCCTTGATCTACGGAGGCCCAGAAACGGCCACTCCCGCCGCCGCGGGCTCGCCCGAGTTATCCGCATTTCCTTCTTTACGCCAATCCCATTTTCTGTCTCAGTGGACATTCCTCTGGTCAGATTGCCAAAAATGGTATAACGACCGACCAGTGGATGCAGAACAGATTGTAGACATCCGCGGCGGCGAGGCCGACAAAATCGACCCCGAACACTGCTCGTCCTTTCCTATCCTTATCTACACCACTCCACTTGCCCTCGCAGCCAATGCTGTGTATCATATCACTTCCCTCCTATTGCTCACTCATAAGCCGCGGCTTTTGAAATCCCTTCCAGGACCGCGGTGCATCACTTCCCATATCTGGCACGCACAGTCAATCGCGGGTATCGCTGCTAGCAATGACTCGCCGGAGCAGTGGGATCCTATACTTGTCGCTAGTCTTCTGCTAATAGCACGCGAGATGACCCACGAGTCTCAGCAATCAGTGCTGCTTGAACGACTACGCAGAATCACCGCAACAACAGGGATCAAACTGGATTGCGAGATCGAGACACTGAGGTCCGACTGGAATATGGCACGCTACGATGAAGATGGCGAGGATGAAGTAGGGTAACTCTATCATTCTATCAAAATTATTCAATAAAACGCCATTCCCTACATCCCATTTCAGCACTAGGTTATGTCTATCTTTCCCTACAATTCGTGTGCAAAAGGAATACTCATCATAGCGCCTCGTCGTTGAACGCACTTTGCAGCAGCCGCATTTGCTGTCTGAACGACGGTCTCAATCTCGGCGTCGAACGCAGTCAAGTCCAGACCCTTGGCCAGAAAACGTGCAACCGCCGCTGCAAAGTATCCGACAAAGGTATCTCCAGCTGCTGTGGTGTCCATGACTTTGGCAACCTTCACGCCCTTGACGATGCCGCATTTCCCAGCACAGGTGGAGAAATACACGCCCTTAGCCCCGAGTGTGATTAGCACAATCTGAACTCCAGCGAGCTCATGGAAAGGTAGAGCCAGCTCTTCGTGATTAAGGCACCCTTGTTCCGCGATATAATCCGCATTACCCACGGGAAGGCCAGCGATAGATCGTGACATCTGCACAGCCTCTGTTTCATTCATCACAAGCACCGCCGTCCCTTGTAACGCCGCGAGAGGGATCCCCTCTGGGAAAACAGGTGCCGGGTTGAAGATAACATTCGTGCTCGAAGTACTATTATTGAAATGTTTCAAGAGGCCCAGCACCGTCTGTCTCGGGATCTCACCCTGCATCACCACCACACCAGGCTCTGGTTGTTGATGCTCGACTGCTGTGATGATCTGTGGAACGTCGCTCATCATCCCAGCATGGTTGGCACCCGGCACAACCAGGATGCGATTTTCTCCTCCGACACTTTCTTCAACGATAATGCTGGCTGATCCCGTCTGTGCTGTCTTTGACATCTCAATGCCCTCTGTCCTTACGCCCGACGATTCCAATGCAGGCCGCACGAGCGTCGTGTAGTAAACGTCATCGGCTCCGACTGCGCCGATCATGCTGACGGATACATCCTGGGTCTCTTGTGACACGAAGGATGCACGCCCGCATGCGACTGCTTGGTTGCCACCTTTGCCGCCAGCTGTCACACAGAGGGATGTTGCGGTGAGGGTTTCGCCTGGTCCTGGGCAACGGGGTGTGGAGGTGACGAAGTCGATATTCAGAGAGCCGATCACGCAGATGTGCGGCTGGAAAAGTGTTGCGGTAGTCGAAAATGTGTCTTTGATACCCATGTTGATGGGTGCAAGTCGTATTGCCTGTTAAGGAATCGGTAATCGGTAAACAGCCGCTGAAATGGAGGCCGCAAGTTTCTTCATTGGAGAGAATGATGTACAGAGCTGTTATAAGGCACAGCGAGAGCAGATATTTCAATGCAATTTAGTTATTTGTGATAGCGTTGCCACTAGCTTTTCGGGATCTAGATGTAGTCGAGTAGCCTTGTCGTGTCCCAATCGGGTAAATCGAGCCTACAGTCCACAAACCAGGCATCGCGGGATCCACTTCGATATCAACTGTGATCCACTCCCAAGGCGAATTCGATGCTCACAAGACTTAAACGCAAATGATATCAGTGCAATAATGTTGTTCAGATTTCTAAACAAACCGTAATGCCCAGGCGCGCGGATTTTTTTCTTTGAATGAGCGTAACCCCGAGCTTGATGAGAACCAATCACGGGCGATTGAAAAACGAGACTGTCTACGGCAGTGTATACCGGCCACCCTGCCAAAATTAGTAATCCTATATATATTTTTTTACCGCTTTCGTCGCCGCCCTCCTAATGTATCTATACACTAATCTCTTAGAGTAGGCTAATTTGAAATTTTCCCTCTTATACCTCTCTCTACTACCAAAATGCCTGCTAGTCGCCCCCAAATCGATTTGGAGCCTCACAAAGCCGAAATTTCGTCCATTTTTGGATAGCGTACGACGGTTAAGGCTTTATGTGATATACTATATGCGAACTATAGTATTAATATCGCACTACGTACGCTCGTACGTTACCTATAGGAATAGGGGATTCGTTGATTCCCTTAGAGATCCCCTAGACTACTTAAGCGTATCTGGGCCTTAATCTACAATATAGGCCTCTTTATAAACGAAGTTCTCCGAGTTTTAAATATAGAAGGATACTCCCGAAGCGAATCGTATATTAGAGCAAAGACTGCCTCCTAGTTAGCATTACGCCACGTACTTAACGACGGAGAAATTAACTACATTGCCTTCCTAAATTTGATACTAGCAGCCAGAGCTTTCTCTATAGCACCTAAGCCACCGCCCCTTTATAGAAGCATTAAGTATATAACTATTTACCCTACGTAGTCGAAACTAGGAAACTGTAGTCGAATCTAGTAGGCAGCAGTCACGCATTCACTAAATATATTCATTGAATCTAGTAGGAGCCCTCCCTAAAAATTATTTAAGACCCTATTACTACGCGACTACCAACCGGTCGCGGTCCGCAATAGCGGTTTAGGCTTCGAGGAACTTGGCTATGAATTCACTCTCGGTATACGGCCTATGTCGCAAAAATCCTGAAAACGTGAACCAATCACTGTGTGATCGCAAAGTGCTGCATACGGATCAATAGTTGTTATTAACTATATATCGGTTAAAGAGAGAATATAGGTATCTCAGTACATCAAACTTATTTTTGTTAACTCTCCCTGTTTCTGCCACCCACAAGAACTAAATTACTGGAGAAAAGTTTCTGCGAGAGACCCCCTAAATGAAAAAAAAAGGCTGCAATTCACGCTTGCAAAGAGCTATGCAAGTTTAGCAAGAGCCTGCTAGATTGGGGTAGTCGCCGAAGTCTACCATCCTGTCCTCCACCCAAAGCCGCCAACGACCCATTTGCCTGCGAGCACCCGAAGGATCGACCAGCACGTATTCCCTAGGATCGACTTCGAGAATAGCCCTACCTTCGTAGCCTAAGGTTCTCTCGGATTCTTCTGGTGATGTTCGAGCATACCCTAGGGTATATCCTGAAAAACCGGGCCCACGAAGGAATTTCGCCAGTCGATTCGCAAGCCACTCCACGCGGGGGGTAAATTCAAGTCCGTCGCCTCCAAAGGGAGTGATGACAAAAGCCTCAGGAGAGAACATGGAATGTAAGGGACCAGGCTGCTCATCAGTTCCACGAAGCAAGGCGACGCTTGGTGCTGCACCTGGAACGCCGTCTCGGAGAGCATGGAATGAATGAGATTTAAACCAATCATTAGGCGTCCAGCTATCAAAAGTTTCCCAAAAGAAAACAGGGTCCTCAAAAATGTGGGAAATGTATGCACCCACTTGGGAGATAATCAAAACGGCTGTGCATCCATAAAGACCTTTCACGCCCCAAGCTGTCCGTTGTGTCTGTGGGAAGTAAAAAAACATTCCAGTCACATATTGGTGAAGACTTATCCAGCCGCCGTCGTGTGTGACTTCGACGCTCAAGTGGTTGACATAGCTGTCGTACGGAGGATGAACAACTGGAAGAGTCCGCTCAAACAACGAGCGACTGGCGAGAGACTCATTACTAGAGAGGAGTACTCTTCTTTTGTGGTTGGAATTTGATGTAGATTGTGCAGTTGCAACTTTGATGTACTCAGTAACTCCAAAGCTGGCAGATGGTAGAACAGAAGTGGTGCTCGTCGAAATCGGCTCACAGTCGTCGGTATTACTGACAATGACAGGCTTGGTGCCAATAAGGGCACTTTCATTCGAGCCATTATCAGAGCATGATTTCCCACAAGTGTCCAGAGCACATCGATTCCTCGACTGGATCGGAGAACTCGAGCTGGAGTCGCTTGTGGATTCATCCCCTAACTTATCGTTTTCCGTGATCAAATTTTCCAAAACGCATTGAATGTTGTCAACATCAGCCTCTTCACCATTTATCTCGTATTTAATGTCCTTCAAATCTTCACTAATGCTGGACAACGCACTGAAAATACCCTTGACCTTGTCAGACAATCCTTCGTGACTGCTTTGATCACATCCGGAGATCACGGAGTTGCCACCAATGTCAGATAAGAGATTGTCCACATCATCCTTAACCGCATTTACCTTTTCAATTGCATTGGACTTGATAAGAATGGAATTTTTGCTCAAGGTATTGATAATCGGTATCAGGTGTGTGATCTCAGTGGATATTGAGGATGCGCTTGCAGAAACTTCAGAGAAGCAGCTGCCAGGAGAATGTGTTTGTGAGGGAGAGTCAGGATTTGCAGATGGAGGAAGGGTTGGCTTTTCCGTGCTTGTGATAGCAGCTGTACCTGCATAAGGAACAAGTAGAACCAAAGTTACGAGAATGGTCCAAAAAGGAAATGTGTAATGTTTAGGGCACGACATGACGAGAATCGATTTCAACCAAACCTCGAAAATATTTTGATCTAGGAATGAACAGCTCTTATGTAACCTTGCTACGAAAAAATACGTTAATTACATGGGGCTAGTTTCCAAGGTAAAGGTCGGTCTATGGACGTAATCTGACTTACTGAAGCAAGTCGCCGATCAGTATTATTCTTTAGGATCTCTAAACCAGCCCTCTTTTTTTGAGGGGCAACATACATTCAGATACACAGTTCTAGTATCCAAGACCTAAATTTTTCAGCAGAATGTGCATTTGTATTCAGAAATGTGATTAGTTCTCTCACTCCTATTGCGTAGAATCTGTCTCGGCCACACTCGCTCATTTCCTCGCTTTGATTCCATCTTCTACTACCATCCGCATTTCGTCGCTACCGTAGCAACGTGCATATTCCATTGCATTTCCGATATGGTCCTGTGCTTCTGGGTTCGCACCATGCTCTAATAACCACTTGACCCTTTCCACCGCCCCTACTCTTATAGCACACGCGAGTGCATACCTCGGTTCCCTATGCGGGAACTCGTCTCTTCGGTTTATGTCTGTCCCTCTCTGTAGTAAGAGTGCCATCACTGGAATTCTATCTCGGTCGAACTCCTGGGATGGTGTAATACGGCCCGTATGTGGATTTGTGCCTGGTGGATGAACGCCAGCGGCGCGATGTAATGGAACACCATTCTCAATATCTGCCCCTGCATCAAGCAGAAGCTGCACTGCCTCTGTATTACTATCGAGTGCCGCCCACTCGAGGGTTGAAGGTCTTTTGAGTTGGTGTTCATCCCTCCAGTTGGGATTGGCGCCATGGTGAAGGAACCAGCGGAGAAGAGGTATGTCTTTGATGCAGTTAGACAGTTCAACATCTCCCCAGCTCGGGCAGTGAGAACTTGTTTTCCACCCAGAACGTATGATTCTTTCCCAGAAGGGGTCTTTCGCCTCTCGTGGAGGATAGATTGCGTTCTGATAGGTTGGACATTTATCATTCGGGTCCCATCCATAACGAGTGAGGAGCTCAAAGAGGAATAATTTCTGGGACTGGGGTGCTCGAAAAATATTCTGCGGTGTCCTCTTGGAAAGAGGCGCACCGACAGAAAGGAGGTAGTCGGAAACCTCGACACTACCTGCCTGTAGAGCGATTGAGAGGCCATGATAAAGGAAGATAGGTGTGCGTGTCTCCGCGCAAACGATGGATTGCACAGCGGACAGGTGACCATCCATACAAGCGGACTCATAAGCCGCAAACCAGTCAGGCTTTTCATTGAGAAGAGCAATGTAACCGGCATCCATGGAGAGCTCGTCTCCACTAAGCTCTGGATTCACTGGATCAAAACCTGCCCAGCGCATTGCTTTTTGTTGGGCGAAATCTTCAGGGCTGAGGGTCTCTTGTGCCCGACTGTATTCCAACCTCTCCCTCCCTCTGAGAGCAAGGATTTGCTGTTCCTGTTGAAGCACTTCTCTCATAGTCTGGTCGTCGACGAGTCGCTCGCGAGATGACATACTGAGTACACTAGTAGACATGAGAGATAGGGGCAAAATTGTAATGATAATGGGGCAGAGGGGCAAGCAAGACAAAGGGAATAACACATGCAGGCGAAATGGCGATCAAGTGGTTTTACAGAACACATTTAACACCTGAAAGGGGGGGTAACGCATGGATATTTTGGGGAGCCTTCACAATCATTCGACCAGCTAGCTACCTTGGCGCCCTCTTTTTGTACGGGCCGAAGCCAAGACCTCTAAATTACTGCCTAAGGCAACAATGTTCTATATCTGTACTAGCGTTAATTCTTGCAGAGTGGCCGCTACACACTGCCGCAGACTGTCCCCACTTGCTGAACATCTCACTTGGTCCTTACACGCCTCGCAATTTTCAAGACTTTTTTCAGAGAGATTTCAGGATGTTTATTCTAACGCTAGATTATCGCATCATGTTTTCAACAACCCACTTGCAGCGAAAGCCTTTTTGAGCACCTTCGTCTTCAACGGCCTCCGGCGCATGCTTTCCTCCAGAGCCTCCGTCAATGGCGTATGGACGATCTGTGCATTTGGGCCATTTGATATATTCTCCTGCACGAGGCGGTTTAATAAGGCTAACCAAATTTCGACCGAATCACTAAATAATGTGTTTACTAACTATTGATTTCATGTGGCTTTGCTTAGTATGCTCCCCACACCAACTTCCCTCCTTACTAATGTGGGGAGGCCCAGGCAAAACGTCCTTTGCTTCGAATCTCCCTCGGATACAAAACCCCTCCTAAAAATGGCCGCAAACACCTTAGAAAAGGATGAAATCCACGATCAAATCGCGCAAGAGCTTTTGCAAACCCCGTTTGCATGCTCTTCCCTCAGTCGCCTATCCGGCGGCACCGCCAATTTCGTCTACCGAGGCACACCCTCCTCGGCGTCCCTAGATTCCATTATCATTAAGCATACCACGGACTATGTCGCTTCCAATCGGGATTTCAAGCTTGATGCGAAGCGGTGTGTTAGTTTCAATGCAATTCGGAGATAGTAGAAGATTGTGGTTGTGCTAATTTGAATTCAGCATTATGAAAATGCCATCCTCCAAGCACTCGATGGTGGTCTGCTGTCCTACTCTCAGGAAAGCTTCACTGTCAAAACTCCACGAGTCTTTCATTTTGATCGAGAAACAAATACCCAAATTATGGAGGATCTCCCCAATTCCCTCGATCTGAAGAATTTTCTCCTCTCGAAGCTAGCGCAGGACGTGTCAGAGTCCTCGGCGCGTTCGCTTGGTTGCTCCTTAGGATCCTGGCTACGATCGTTTCACGAATGGGGAATCAAGAAGGAACAGACGGAGACTAGGGAATTGCTTAATCAGAATGGGACGATGAAAGACCTGAAGTTCTACGTTAACTATTCTATGCTGTTGGACACTATGGCGAACTTCCCGGACATCCTAGAAGAGAGTCGAGGTGTTTTTGAGGAAGTTCACAAGTTTGCGGCAGCCGAGCTGAAACAAGAAGATAATGATGATGAATACGGACTTATTCACGGCGATTTCTGGACAGGAAAGTAGGTTCTTCGGAGGTCGATTCCTCTCCAACCTTGAGAGTCCGCGATGCTAACGTGATTATTGTCAGCGTTCTCATCCCGAACGCACCGCTTGTTGATCAGTCTAAAACAACGTTGTTTATCATTGACTGGGAACTGTCACAAATTGGGAGCCGAGCGTTAGATCTGGGCCAGATGATTGCTGAATTATACGAAACGAAGCTCTTCAAAGAGGTAGATTGTGGGATGTGGGTTATTCAAGGATTTTTGGAAGGATATGGGCCTCTTAGCTACAAGATGGCATTTCGGACCGCGATCCACGTCGGGGTTCACTTGGTGTGCTGGGGAAGTAGAGTGCCTGGCTGGGGCAGCCAGCAGCAAATCGAGGAGGTTGTGAAGGTGGGCAGAGACCTTATTGTGCAAGGGTGGATGGAAAACAAGGCATGGTTCGAAAGAGACAGTCTGGGATGCCTTTTCAAGCGGTTTGTAGGCGAACGGTCAAGTTAAATGCCGATCTATTGAAGTTGAGACACCGTACTTGCGATCTCGCTCTCGTGTCTTTTTACGTTATCGCCTCAAATCAGACCACAATCGAGACCACTAAATGCATGTGATAAACTTGGACTTTTTTGTCATCAACAATGATCACAACAGCAACTCGTTTAGGAGTTGTTCGGTGTTGACAATTTTTACTACGTGGTTGATTACACAAGTGGGATTTTTGGCGTCCGCGTCGGAGCTTTTTGCATTAACTGAGATGCCTTAAAGTCCAATTTCATTGGGCTCACGCCTGGATCATATCCGAACCAATCTTTGCAGTAGCCAATGTCTCCTCATCCTTAAAGCGCTTTCCCGCCAACTGCAGACAGATCGGCGCAGCCTCAAACTTCTCCGGCACGTACTTGACAAACTCTCTCTCATCGACCGCATTTCGATGAACATAGTGAATTCCGCCTTATCAATCTCGGGGTGCTGGAATAATCCTGTTGGAAAGACGGCCGTGGGATGATCTAAGATGTTCCAGATAACGGTGTAGTTCCAGTACTGAGAGGTACCCAGCTTAGGAGCGACGCCCACGTACGTGGGACGGAGGATGAAATCGAGACCACGCGCTTTCATCAGAGCATGGTAGTCGACATTTTGATTATATTCTATGCTAGAAGAGCCTGACATTGTCGGCTGGTGCATAAAATGGCTAGCAAATTACGACTCAGAATGAAACGTAGGAGGCGTGGACGCGTGGTTAAACTTTTTAACTACTACTACCAAGGTGAATCGAGCACCTAGCTCGCTTGTTCGATACGGCTAAAGTCAAGTATACATTTTACTATACATATACGAAAGAACGATATCAAAAATCATTCACATGGTAAAGTTGAGTTGGTTAACTCGATCAAAAGATCTGTCCAATCGGGGGTTCCTAGCTCAACTTGAGCACCTTCTTCTAACATCTCTGACCAAATATCCTCGAGATGCATTGGAGCTTCTTCGGAACTTGCTCCAACACCCATAATTGGCTGCGAGTTATCATTTCGGACTTGTTGATCTGAAGCTTCTTTCCCGGAGCCTGAAAGTATCACCTGTTGTCCTTCAGAAACAGGAGCATTCTGAACAGAAACCGGTGAAACCACAGACTGAAAAGTGCCAGATACCGGTCGTTTTTGCAGCTTCCAATGCTTTTGTAGAATGTTCATCATGGCATTGATTCCTTCCCTCGCAATGGAAGAAGACTTCTGAGCTCGATTCAGCGTTCGACAAGCGTCAAGCACTTCTTCTTTTCTTTTTTCGGCTAGAATATCATCCCAGTTGAAACACACATCTATCATCAAAATAACAGCCGCCATGAAAACATGATGCATGACTGACCACACTACCGAGCTATGTGGGGTAAATCGAGGCTCCTCTTCATCCATGATCCGCTTTACCTCTAGCACTTTTCTCGCAGACTGAAGGCACACGATATGTGAATAAGAATAACGGGGATCCTTCGAACCTCGAACAAAGTACTGGCGATGCAAACGGCAGAGCCGAGAATGATAGCCTTGCTGTAGAAGAGCCCTTTGCCAGGCAATAGTCGGCCGATCGTGATAGAGCGAGATGTATTCGCGTCGGGAGGATTGATCAAAGCGGAAAAAGTCTGGGATTTCGGCGTATGATTGCTGGATTCTGCGATCAAGCTCAAGGATTGTTTCGTAGGGTACATCTTGTCCGCTGAAATGTTTGGACGCCGTCTCATCGACTATTTGTCGACACACAGTAGCTAGCTTCAGTCTTTGAAGGGTGTACGACATGGCTGTTGGAGTGCAAAAAGGCATTCCGTTGTCGTATTGCTCGATGTCTTTATCGTCGATATTTAGTGGCTCTCTAACGTTCATGTGATGCAAGTGAATAGTGTATGTCCACTCTTGGGGTCCACTGAGAAAGCCAAGTAACCTACAGTGACTGTATTTAGTTAAAAGTAATAGTTTATATTCGAGAAACGTACCATTCATTTGACACTAAATCCCACCACAGTCGTCGCTTTAGTTCAATGTCCACTTTGTCGAATCCATTTGTTCTACGTTCTTCGATGGCACGAGGGGAGTCCAAAAGATGTAGACTAAGGCTTTTTGCCTGGCTAACCAACGTTCCATGTACAAACAAGGCACTGACGGACGGATTTGAGCTCATACTGGGTAAATGATGAGCAAGGATCATTGTTGCTTGTAGACCCTCGACAGTCGGATATGAAACATAATTGCTTTGGATTAGTGAAGCACCAGTTAAAAAAGCAAGCTCCTGACTGCAAACTTCCGCATGTTCCGAGGATTCGGTCAACAGCTGGAAGAAAGTGGATGTGGAAATGATGCTGAATATCAGCGCCATTTTATTCAAATCGATTGACTCGTTGCGAGGTATCTTGTCGTAGATATCCTCAATAAATTGCTCCACATGAAAAGGTATTATCAAATGGTATAGATAATCCAGAAAATCGCAATAGTACCGGAACAGGCTTATCACCTCTGTCTTTGGCGGCAAATAAGAGGGCAAGTGAATAGTTGACGGGTTTTCTCGAGACGCAAGATTGTCGCTGTGAATAATAGCCAGTAAATTACTGGATATTCCATTATGCCGTTGTGGTTGGAGATTGTCAATATGACGCTGTTGAGTAAGTTCTTCTCTTAAGGTCTGCGGGAGAGCAGCGGGCACACGGTGGCCCATGACAATATTCTCAAGCCAATCTGCAGTCATCAGGGGCTCATTCCGAGCCTGGTTCCGAGAAGCGGAGTTGTTTGAGATCGACTCTTGGCTTGTCTGAGGTGATAGAGGTACTGCGTTGTCCGGAGCTTGCCTAGTCTCTTTGACCCTAGGCTTGACGAAAGGTAACGTTGTCTGTGGTTCATAATTGCAGGCTAGTCGGCGCGACGAGCAGCTACTGCATGGAAATTGCCGGTCGCATTTCAACTTTTTCTTCCGACATGATTCGCAAGAGACGGGGTCCTGTCTAGGCAGTCTTCTAGAAGTTGCTGGAGCAGAGGCGTCGGTTCTTGCTTTTCGTTTCATGGTTCCCTGCGGAAAACACGAGAGATTTCGAGAGTTTTTAGCATGTGCAACAACGAAAAGAGCGCATGTCAAAGAACTGAATCGAGTCTCAGAGCTGCAAGGAGAGCATTTCTGAGCCTGCGATGGTGGGAAGTCAGCAGTGCTCGGACTGTCCGCGGATACTCCGGTCTGGAAAATCTATGATTGGCGTAAGTTGCAAAAGTGGGCCTCATATACTACAGAACCAGAATACTTCGGAGTCTCCGTAAGACTCGGAGATGGATAGCTTTTTTGTGAATATAAATATCCGTCGTAGTCTGCTATAATGAGCTCCTCGAAGACTAGAAACATCAGTCAACGGTACCTGGAACTCTGTCCGTATTATTGCTTGCGTGGTTGCTTGTTTCATCATCGAGCAACGCAACCCATCAAAATGTCGACCCAAGACAAACTTCCGAGCGAATACACGTACGTGCCTTCGATAAGCTGATACTACTGTCATAATACCAAGCTGAAAATACTTTATCCTAGATTCCGAGCGTGCCTTGTCATCGCCGGGGCTTTCACGAGTCTCTTTTGCACCGTAGGCTTTTTGAACTCGTTCGGAATATTTGAAGAGTACTATGCGGCAGCCCAACTTGCTCACAAATCATCATCAACTATTGCTTGGATAGGAGCTGTTTCTATCTTTTTCTTATTTGCGATTTCCGTCGCGTCCGGAGCGATGGTTGATATTTTCGGTCCAGGGGTAAGTAAGTCTCTCAATATTTACAATGAACAAGAGCTTACCAGAGTTCACAATGCTGGCAGATTATGCTATATATAGGTGCAACTGGCACTGTGTTTTCAGTCATGATGGTTTCTCTTTGTAAAGAGTACTATCAATTTCTCCTCGCTCAGGGGGTTCTTCTGGGAATCAGCATGGCATTGGTGACCTGGCCCATGTTGGCGCTAGTAGGGCAATACATGAAGCGCAAACGCGCTGCTGCCATGGGAATCGTCGTTGCTGGGTCATCGCTGGGTGGAGTGGTCTGGCCAGTTGCCATTGAGAGACTACTCCAAAACCCTCATATTGGCTTCCCGTGGACCATGCGCATCGTCGGGTTTATCATGCTCCTTTGCTTGCTATTTACATGTGTTGCAGCAAGATCACCTGATAAACAGGAAAATAATTCCATGGAGCAAGGAACAGGTCATGAAAGCGTCGCAGTCAAATCAGAAAAGGAGGTCCCCAAACCAGATCATAAGACAGCGGCATTGGCGTTATTCAAGCAGCCATCCCTGCAACTGTTGTGTCTGGCTATGTTTATCACTTACTTTGGCTTGTTTTCCCCACTCGTCTACACCACGTCCTATGCGGTGCACGAAGGATTTTCGGAGAGTCTATCGTTCTACACAGTTTCGATCATCAACGGCGCTTCGTTCTTCGGTCGCATCCTCCCGGGCATTTTGGCCGACAAGTACGGCAAGTTCAATTGCTGCATTGTAGCCTCACTATCTTCCGGGATTGCTGCGATGTGCTGGGCAAAGGTGACCTCTGTGCCTGGTTTGGTAATCTGGTCGGCGGCATATGGATTTTCATCGGGGGTGAGCTGCTTTCACGACGCGTATCAATTTGAAATTCTGACGGACAGAAATAGGCCATTCTTTCACTTCAGCAAGCTTGTGCCGCGCAGGTAGCGACTTCTGATACAATTGGTCTGGCAATTGGGAGCGTTGTCGGATCCACTTCATTGTCGTATGTACTTCGTTTTCTATTTGACTACTTATCGAACGAAGCTGATCTGCGTTTCTCAGGGCCATGGTGGGCGTTCCCATTAGCGGCGCGCTTGCTGCAAAATACAGCTACCTCTCGCTTTCTATTTATGCAGGGGTGTCGTTAATACTGGGTGGCGTGCTTTTAGTCGCCTCTCGTCTGGCCCAAAATCGACAGCTTCGAGCTATAATTTAGCCTGGGCGTTTAAAATGGTCGAGTTCTGCTTTAGTGTTCCCGGGTATAGTTTTTCCTTCTAAGTAGAGTTAAAATTCGAAGCGTGGCGCACTAATTTATCAGACATTTTGTATCAAGTGGTTTCTCCAGTCCTTCAACCTTGGAGGAGTTGCAGAATACTCAGGGGCACTGGGAAATCAGACTTAGTGGGCATGAGCGGCATTAATATTTGCTTTTGGAGGATTACTACCGTTCTACGAATGGGGTTGTTCTACAACTATTGTACAATTTGTCCGCAAACCAGTGGTAGTTCGGTAAAGCAGTTTGAAGCATTTTCTTGTGTCAGGATAAATTTAATAATATACAGAATAACGCCAAGTCCACGTCACATAACTGGGTCATTCCTATAATCCATACTCTTCGTCTGGAGACAAACCCTACAATGCAATAGAGTCATCATTCTCATCATTCAGACAACGAGCGAGGCGGAGAGTTTACATAAAGGCTTCATGTTCTTGATTTAGGAGTAGTAGGAATACGAAACTAATTTGATGTCTGCAAGTTTTTAAGAAATAAACGGTCAACTCCATGAAGATGCCAGACGGCCCATTTCCCTAGCAAGTCAAACCCACCGATTCGATCAAGTCATTTTGATGTAAAAGAGGTAACGTTGTCGAATCTGGGCCACATCGTACACAATGTACTCATTGTACTGGAGAAAGGCCGCCGTGTCAGTGCGCGTAGGGATCGTCACATCCGGCATCTTGACGCCTTCCAGGTCCTGGTACACGCAGCTGGCATCCTTCCAACCACCTGGCATGCTGGTCCCTTTCCCGAGAGTTGCAACACAGCCGGTGACGCGAGCTTTCTCGCCGGCCAGATAGTCATCCTCGTACAGCTCCAGCATGGGCTGTCCAAGTTCAACCTCGCAAAGCAGAAGCAGGCCCTTGTTGTTGCTGTTGTACGGATGGCAGTAGTTGGCAGACTTACTCGACGTATCTGCCAGGTAGACCCCCTTGCCGAACATGTATCCGTTGACGGGAGCTTCAGGTGGTGCGATTCGCAGGCCTTGACTCAGGATTCCGCCGAAATTGGTGCTCCGAGATCCATGCCAAAGAAGTCGACGGTTGGAGTTTTTCATCTTTGCAAACCGCGATGACGACAGGCGATCGGTCTCCCCTTTGCGGTCAATTCGGAAGATATCAATGATCTGCCAATGTTAGATCCAAGGTCGTCGACAGCGAGCTTTGAACTTACCTGGTAGTTGAGAGAGTGCGTCGCTCCTCGGGAGATCGAAAGGTATTTTTCCAGTTCTTTGAACTCCCCAGATTGGTGGTCGACTGTCCTGGTTAGTTCCTTCTGGCCAAACGGCAATAAAAAATACTTACGCTGCGTCATTTCCTGCAGTCCCAGACCCAGAAACTGACGATCCAGCTCGTGGACTTCCTCGCCGTCCTTGGACTTCTTCATAATGTCATTCGCAATGTCCATTTCCGTCAGTGTCTCAAGGAGTTCAATCTCCTTCTTGATTAGAGCGTCTGTATTCAGCATAGGAGGCCTGTTGCGACCAAAGACATGGGGAATGGTTGTGAAGTACCGATTGCTCAGGCCTTCAATAGCGTGTGTAGAAGATGCCGATTCTGGGCCTGCGATCAGCTCCGAAAGTTCATTGAGGACCGAGAAGCCGGCCTTGAGTGTTCGCTCGCTCAGTTTTCCCAGAGGCAGTTTCACCGGGTCGTACGACAATTCGGCCATCGTAGACAACATGTTGTCAGCATTAAAGATGAAAGATAGCAGCTCCTGTGTAGGTTTCGGCAAGGCACTCTCGATCTTGCCCTTGTCCCCTTCTTGGGCCTCCTTTGGCATATCCTCGTCGTCCTTTTCATATTCGCGCTCAATGAACGTGTATTTTCCGCTCTTTGGGGGATCGAGCCTATTTTCCCACTTCAAACCCGACTTGTCCTTGAACTTTCGTTCAAAGCAGGCTTTGGCAGAAGTCAAGGCCCCATTCACCAGTATTTTAGACTGCCCATACTCTCCCACACGGCCCCAATGAGTCCAGGTCACAAATTCGGTTCCCGTATTGCCGACCAGAATCTGGATGCGGTAGAACTTGTTCTTGTTGGACGATGCATTGGTCTGGTTCAGAGTGGCATCCCAGATGAGTCCAGATTCATCAATGTAGACTTTCGGATCTGTGTAAGCAAACACGTTAGCCTCTCGGGTATCCTTCACAAGGGATCTCGACGTACTCTGGAAATTGAGTGACTGATGAACAAAGGCCGTGTCAGCAGGAACCTGCAGTGACTTGGAGCTGGCAATTTGCGCATTCTTCAGCTTTTTGTTGGTGGGTTCGTCTTCGGCAGCTCCATTGGCAGGCCGTTTCATGTCTTCGATTCTTTCAGCATCACTGTCGTTCTGGTTGTCTTCTACGGTGGAAGGCTCGCCGGAAGCAAGAAGATATGGCTTCTCAGGAAGCGCCTTCTTGGCTTCCACGGAGGCAAGTAGCCAGTCGAGAGACACGATCTGGCAGGTGGCATGCTTGACAGCTTGCAGATCTGGATGCAAAGTGTAAGGATTGAATCATATACAGGGAAAGGTTGCAAATCCACGGCGTCTTACATTTGGTGGACTTCTTGTCCACATCTTTCTGGGACGTGATCAGGTGCGTGCAATCATCTTTGACCGTAGAGCGAAGCTTGCCACCATGGGTTTCCACGAACGCCTTCACGTCGCCTGTGAAAAGCCGCCAGAGTTCAGTATCAGTAGATTGATGGCCACGAGTTGAAGCTGTTTGGAGCCATGAATGATTGTGGGGGGGAGGGGCGTACTTTGATTGTATTTGCCAAAAGAGCCACTGATGACAACAACAAGTGTCTTGAAGATGTACGGGTCTATGGCAGACATTTTGGATGGTATGGTGAAGAGAGAGGAGAAAATGCGTCGGAGGAGAGAAAGAGGTGAAGAGAAAAGAGATGAAACAAGAGCGGCCAGGGTGGGCGATGAGGGCGATGAGGCTATGAGAAAGCGGATGCAGGAGATTAAGAGGGAAGAAGAGCAGGACAGAGGGAAATGAAGAAGAAGAAAGGACAACAGCTGTGGTGAAAGAGGAAGGTGCGACTGTATATACGCATGGCTGGCCTCAGGCATGCCCCTGCTGTTGCCTGCAGGCATCTACCTCATTGCATTGTATACACCAACGCCTCCTCTGCCTTCACCTGTCCCTGACACAGTCTGTCCCAACCTCCTTCCAGCCCATCTACACCAGAAACTCCCTTACCCCACACAAGATTCATGTCTGGTACACTTGTTGGCCGATCGGCAAGCCATTGTCTCCACGCTTCATTTAAAACCTCAAAGAACTTCGCCCGAGACATGGATTCCATCAGCGTGTCGCGAACACCAGATGTATTGAACTGAAGCTTCCCCAGCTGCACCAGGTCTTTGCCGACTGCCTGCATCTCCTCGCTGGTGTATACCTGTTTTTGCCAGTCAACAAACCATGGTTTGGCCACTGTACATGTCGAGAGAATAGGGAACTTTACCTTCTGCTCAAATCCGATTGAGATAATTACGACCTTACAAGACTTCAGATTAGAGTGCGATCTGACCAGCTCCAGCAGCTGCTCCAATGCATTCCCGCGGGCGCCATAATCGAGAATTACGATCTTCGAGGGCTTGAGGCTGTCCAGCCAGGCAGCGGTTCCCTCAGCCTTGATATCGGAGTAGTCAATCGTGCGCGTGGAAAACTTGGGAGACAGATTTTGCATGGCCTGCGAGAGGCCTGACACGGCGGAGGTCACTTCCAGAAGTCCGAGGGGCCCGACGTCGTGTGCTCGGCGCGATGCATGGTACGTGAATGCCCGAGCTGTCTTCGTTGACGCGCCCAGATTGACCACAACGGCCGAACTCAGGTCGCCGTCGTCGGCTGTCCAGTCTAACCCTACCTCGCTGCCGAGGGGGTGAATTGAAGGCTGGGTCTGCGGGTGGGCCGAGAAGACATGCTCATTGAGCACATACCCTGCCGACCAGATGGCACGGAAGACAGATGACCACCCCAGGCGCTCGAGCTCGTCTTGCGCATTGGGAGTATCACTGCTGGAGGGCTCCACACAGTACATGTTATAGATGGTCATCAGCTGCTTGCGGTGCTCGCTGACTTCAGTCCAGTAGCCCTGTGGCTCAGATGGTGCCAGCTTGAGGTCTGTCAGCGCGCCCGAGGTCGGCCAGAACCCATAGAGCATGGTTCCGTTGGGCAATTCAGCAATATTGCTTTCCTGAATTGTAGCAAACCCCCAAGCAGGAACGATGCCCCAGGCTGCGCTGTCATTGTAGGGGGCTGGATAGTTCTCAAAGACGGGATATGTATCCCACCTGCACAGTTATTGTCAGATATTCTTGAATTCTACCTACGGTGTTCAAATACGCTATGACCGTGAGTCTTGGCAAGCATACCAGTGAATTGCATGTCCCAGTCCTGCATACGTCAAATTGTTCGAAGTCAGACTGATGACCGCCGGGCGGACGCGAATCGAGGACGCGGCCAGCTCTGGCAGGGAAGCTTCAGGGACGGTGAAGGTCGCATGTTGCTGGTTGTCCTGCTTTGAGACTACGTGAACTTCCATGATGAAAACAAATGTGTTGAAACACCAAACAACACAAAAAGGCTTCGCTATCTTTATATATGACAAAGTCAGAGCCTGATCGGAATTTCTGATGCTGGCGGGGAAATTCAGCTGCGGCTGACGTGACTGAATGGGGCCGAATGGGCGTGAGAAGATTGTAAGCCCGTTGTGTCAGCGACAGCCTTGTACCTTGATAATATCACCAATAAGCACAAATAATGGATTTCCGTAGGCACAATCCAAGCCAAATCTTATGTTTGATTCATCATCGTGGGCAGCCTGGTGGTGCGGTGCGCGTATGATGCAGATACAGATGATGGCTGAGCGCGGTGGCGGTCCCTCTATCACTACCCTAGATGCGAGTTCAGTTCCGTTAATGACGGCGAAGGTGTGATGTCGTTCGATGGATTCCAGAATGGATACCGTCACCATTATTACAAACAGAAGACAAGGAATGGGAAAATTGGCAAGATCAAACAAATATCATCATTATCCAGTATCAGGAGATAAACCAGTATGGGAATTTCCATAAACGCCTTGCAACAAAAAGCCATAAAGTTACTAATGTGTGGAGGTGCAGAAGAGAAACCGCCATGAGAAAGTTGGATATAGAACCACGCCGAAAAGGAAAGGAAAAGAAAGGATATGTTTTCAGCACAGGGCCATATCACTGACATTCTGTCAGGGGATTCATTCATTTAAATTCTGCTCCGAGGGAATGCGATATATGCAATGATCGGCTGAGATCAAGAGCAGGTAAACACACATGCATGGTAGATTAGCGCGAGAGTTCACAGGACCGAAAAAAAAAAAGGATCAAAGGAGCAGACGCGGGGGAGTATGTTGGGGTGGTATAAACATCGGGAATCAAATCGAGTCGCTCTGAGGGGATATTGCAATGCTTTTGTCGCGAATGCAGGCATGCAGGATTATGCATTAATATTTGTGGCTTGCGGCTTCTCCGCGCAATTTGAGGGCTTTATGAAGGTTGAGATGTGGATGTGACTTGGAAATCGCCGTAGTATCTGGGTTGGTATCTGGGTTGGAAATTCAAAAGATGACGAATCGCTTTTTGACGCCCTTGTCGGACTCTTTAAGATATCAGTCAGCAACAGTGTCTCGAGCCAGTCAGGATAGACACTCACCAGAGCTCTTACCGCCCTTCTTCAGACCGCCGCCATTCCGGGCGACAAAGGCGGGATTCCCCCATCTGCGGCGGCCCGAATAGCAGCAATTCGGTGCTTGGCCCGCTCGTCGCCCTGGTCTGCTGCCTTGACATACCAGACGTTGGCCTCGAGGGGGTCACGGTGGCACCCGATGCCCATTTCTGTGAAGTAACCGATGGCGTACTGTGCTTTTGCAAGGCCTGAGAGCAAGTTAGCAATAATCAACAAAAAGGATTACCAAAACCCATACCAAGGCCCGCAGCCCGTGCAGCCCATTCGTACGCCTCCATCTCATCCTTGTCAAGAACAGGCTCGGCGCCAACCAGGTACCAAGCACACAGAGCCATCATGGCTAGCAGATGCCCATTCTGGGCCGCATTGGTGTAGAAATGGATACTCAATGCCGGGTCTCGTGGACAGTTCAATTTCCCGTGCTCGTAGGCATCTCCCAAACGATAGGATGCCTCCACATGACCCAGCTCGGCGGAACGGGTGAAAAGCTGTGCGGCGTAGGATTCGTCCTTGAAGACGTCGTCGCCGTAGCCGGTCTCGTGGAGCAGGCCCAATTCGTACGGAGCCGAATTGTATTGCGCATCGGAGGACTCTGCGGCGCGCTTCAACCACTTGATGCCTTCCCGGTACCGTTTGCCCAGTCCCATATCACCTCCCAAGCATGCCTTGGCCATGCGCAGCATGGCACCCGGGTGGTTCTTGGACGCTGCCTGGCGGTAGAATTGAACCGCACGTCCTCCTTCGACTCGACAGCCCCACCCGAATTCGTAGCACAGAGCTACACGGTAACAAGCCTCGACGTGGCCGTGTTTGCTGGCCGCCACAAAGAGCGGGAATGCCCGGTCGTAGTCTTCTTTTCCTTTACTGAACAGACCAGATGCATACCCATCTCCAAGATAGTATTGTGCAAATGGATAGCTGCGGTCAGCGAGGCGTTGCAAAATCGATCGAGCTTCTCGGCCCAGTCTGGCACGGGTAATGGTGCCCCCATCTTCCAGATCCACATTGGGCATCTCACGCATCGAGTTGACCATAAACACCGCAAACTCGTATTGAACGGATGGCTCGTCGGTCTTCTTCACATTGGCCAGATACATCTCAAAGGTCTGTTTATTGGTGAGCAGCGATGCGTTGTTCCCGACAGCGGTTCGAAGATACGAGTTATCGAGCTGGGCAGCCACGGGGCCAGGCTGGGGATATGAGGTGTTCAGAAGATCCAGGAGTGAGAGCGATCGGTTGTCTGGCGACGCAGTTGAGTTCCGTGATGACGAGCGAGCATGCATATAAGGTGATGCGGAGAGATTGCGCCGATGACCGCCAAAGTCGGAGATTGAAGAGTATGCAGAGAGCGGCCGCGCAATGCGAGAACGCTGAGCGACTAAATTACCCGTAGATCCGGACCGATTTTCCGCTGGATTCATGGCAGATACTGATCGAAGACCGGTCCTGGAATTTTGGTATTGCTGGTGGTGGTAGTGGAGCGGTTCATAACTGTCCGAAGTCTGCGCCAGGCTTTCCAAACTGCCGCGAGAGGAACTGTTGTGGCTTCCACTTTGCGCCTCTCGCTCAATGAACGAGCTGGCCTTTCGGGCGTTGCCGTGGCCATCCTCGCTGCCGGAGGGAGTCTGGTCGAGCGGCTGCTCCGACTGCAAATACACCGGCGGTCGCATGGAGTCTTTTCGTTGCGGGTACGATGGGTTCCAGGTCTCTTGTTGAGGTGGTACTGGATCCTCTAGCGACATCGCTGCGACATCGGGCAGTCGCAGCTGCGGTGTTTCGGGGCCGTGGTCATCTTGCGCATTCTGGATCTGCGCGCTTTCGGGCTGCGAGAGCTCGGCCCCATTGTCGATCTGCAACGACGAAAGGGGCGAATCATGGACCGTTGATGTCACGGTCTGGGATGTCGACGATGGCAGGGGCTTTCGATTAATGCTCAAGCTCGGCTGCGGGGGTACCGTTCGTGGCGTGTTGGGCTGTGTTGAGAGAGGGGAGGATGGATTGTAGGCTGGTGGAGGGGAAGCGAGTGGCTGCTGGCGATAGTTGTTGGCTGCTGAGCTCGCCATGGTTGCTAGGGAGAGCATGCAATGCTCTCAGTCTGGGCAGGCTGGTGGACAGGGCAGTGTAAGAAAGAAAGAGAGTGTGAGTGAGTGAGAGAGAAAAGAGAGAGCAGAAATTATGGGTCTCTGCTTGCTGAGGAGAAGCGGAGAAATTGCGCAAAGAAAGAGGAGAAGACCTCCTTATCGCTAATAAGGAGGATCCGTAACTAGTGCCAGGAGTGTTGTGGATGTGGTAGTTAGTGGATCAAACACCGCCGAGGGGTGGCAAAAAAAAAGGGTGGTTGTAGTAGTGGAGGATCACTACGGTTATGAAGCGAGGGGCGATCGGGGAGGAGAAAAAACCCAGGCGTGATTGATAAAAGCGAGTGTGCCGCCTATTAATACCCACGTTGGGTTGCATTATATGTCTCGTATAGGTAACTACGAACTCACAACTGACTTTTGTAGTTGCTGGATGATGGCTGAGTATTACACAGACACGCGGATGCAAGTGAGACAAAAAATCATCCGGGTCATCAGCGCGCCAAGTCGTTGCTCGCTACCCATTGCCCTTCCTTCATTTGCGCGCGGGAAGTGAAACTGTGTCCCGTCTCCTTTTTAGCCCTCGCCTCCTACTCGCAAAAACTGACAGACAGACCACCGATCGGTGGATGAAGATCGATGTTGCTCGGAATTTCTCCACTACGGGACGCGGGGGCACAGACGGCACATCAGACTAGTAGCAACAGGGACTTGGGTGCAGCGCACTAACTCGACTTTTTTTGTTTTCTTTCCTTCTTCGTCCGGCGCTTCCGATTATCCGTGCGTAGCCCAAAAAACCCTTTTTCTTCTTATTTTTATCTCTCCCGTGGGTTGAAAACGAGGAGGCGATTAAAGGGGTGTCGCGGCATACTGCCTCGAACAGAACCCTAGCAAGCCCCCGCTACCTTGCTCTACCCGGAACAAGGAGGCTTGAGCCGACCCAGCTAGGGCGATATTTGGTCCCTCATGTCGCCATTTTTCCTGTGCTTACGCTGGTCCCCCAAGAACATCGGGCTGCGCAGAATAAATACATGAACAGTCTAAACTGATTGAGTTTATCGGTCCCTGGGAGGTGGGAACTTTCGCACGGCCCGTCCTAGTACACGTCTATTTAGGGGTTCCTTGCGGTCATGGGCCGTGTCATAAAATATATACACATAAAGTAGAATAGCATACCTGGTTCGTGTACTAGGGTCACTAACGCGTCTAGCCTATCTGACATAGACCACTTCGAGCTCGAATGTGTAGTCCCGTCTACCCCCTCGCAAATTCAGACAGGGATAGGTACGGGGTATACGAACTGCTACTTTTACTATTACTGCTGCCTCATACCCATGTTGTCCGTGCTCTCCCTCTCGGCAGTGCTTCCCGGCAGCTCCACTTCTACATTCTGGTGGTTTCAGCTAGGGAACGTGGCTCGACAGGGGGTGGGATGGGATGGACCGCCCAGAAATCATAAATAAGCACAGAACCGCAATTCGGACCGGCAAACTGACAACCTAGGAGGGACCTTGCTCCACCGAGTTGTGTGCGTGCTGTGATTGGTGTATAGACAGCCTATTGCATGAGCTAGGGACCGGGTATGCCTGCGTCGATAGGCTTGATGGGTGGCCCATCTGAGATGATCATCCGCCAGTGTGTCGATCACAGCACTCGGTACGAGTACGATCGTCTGTGGAGCGGCTCTCAAGCCACATCTCGTGAAAAGGAGCCTCAGCTTATGTAGGTATCTGCTGCACTCGAGGCTGTTGTGCACTAACTATTTCGGGATCGTAGCCCTGGCAACATTCAGGTGAAGGCTCGTGCCTTAAGGGCAAGAATATACTAGCCCAGTCAGGTCAAAATATGTTTCCGTGCTTCTTCTAGGTTCATTGCAAGAATCTGACACGGTGTTTCATGGCGTGCACAAGACTGCCACCTTCACTAATATCCCCAGCACTCGCAGATTGACAGCACTTGACAAGACAACTACCTCACCAGAGGAAAGACACACCGGCGCTAAAACTCCTGCTCCACCCAGACCGAAGATGCCAGTTCACTGAGGCCATCCTGGCCCATCCGAATGTCTGATTCCCTGGGGGGCTCGGGTGCACGTCGAAACAGCTTGTCGAATTCTATGAGAAGCGGGGCGCCTGACACGGTGGTCTTCTCGTCACCCTTCTTCCTCTTTGAAAGCTCGACGACCTGTGTGCGGTTCATGCGATCCTCGGCCATCTCCCATTTTTCAATGGCGATGAAGGGTCTCTTACGATCAACACGAATCGTCAGGACAATGTTGACTTTGCCCTCTGACTTTCCGAACCAGTGACGAATGTCGCTCGTGAGCTTAGATGCAGGCTCAGAGACAGCCACCTCCAAAACGACAGTGGGCCAGTATCGGTCACAGCCTGGCGGTGGTCGATGAGGTCCATAGGCCTTGTCGGCTTGTTTTCCTGGGCGGCTGGCACCCCCAAAACGCTTCACTGCTTTAGCCAGACCCATGGGCCGTATAGCATCCATAAGGATGTCGTGGAAGGCCTCGGAAGCCGCCGCATGCTCGTCAGTCACCATTTTGATGAGAAGTAACTGCTCGTATGCACTGTATGAAGTCCAGCTCACTGTCCTTTCACGGAAGTCGCGCGCAAAGGTTTGTTCGTCGATATTCGAGAACAGCACGAACTGACTGAGCTGCCCAGTTTGATCATGCGAAAACCGATCAAATTCCCGATTGTAGACATCCTCCAGCTGCTGTCGACCTCTATAGACATATCGATGGATGGGTGCTGGCAGGTCCGCCAGGAAGCTGCCATTGCGCCCATGGATGCTACTGGTCTCTTCATTGTTATTGAGTCCATTATTGCTCGTATTGTTGCTCCTGAACATGTTGCGGAAATATACAATCCCATTTTCGAGCGGTGATTGAGACAATAGGCCGGAGAGGATATTACTTCATGATGACCATCTCCAGCGCTATCAGAGATATTATCGCCATTAATGTGTAGCAAAGACTAACTTAGATCGGCTCCCAGCTCCCGTCTTATTTTTACCCTGGCGTGCCCCCTCCTATTGGTGGATCCCGCCATCCCCCTAACCTAACACAGTCCGGGCCCAAAGTGCCAAGCGAGAAAGGAGAAAAATGCAGGGTTACTCTGGGGGGATGATGGCCCGGACCCTTTGTCTCTCTCTCTCTCTCTCTCCCTCTCTCCCTCAGACCCTTCCAAGCTTTCTCCCTCGCACCCGGGGTCCTCTGTGCTTCGCCGTTCTTTCGTTACATTTTCCCCTTTTTCATTTATCCACACCTTCGCTTCTCGCCGATCCGTCGCCTTGGGGAGTGTGGAGCGGACTTTGTTTATTCTCCACCCCGACCGTCAGCCTATCTGTCCTTCGCGACAACCCACCACTTTCGTTCTCGCCCTCTGATCTTTGATCGTTGGATTCACCCTTGGAACAACCTAGGCATATCGATGCTGTGATCCTATAATCAGAGCAAGCCTTTATTCCTGTCCCAGTAGCCCAAGCCGCGTCGCATCGCTCGGAAAATCTGGGGACTTCAGCTATCGATCGCATTTGATATGTTTCATCGCACCTCAGTCTCATAAGTACTTCCACACGTTTCTTTAGCCTGGTTGGTGACCAGGTCCGTTTGACGGGTGAGTGCGACCAAAAAGATCCCCCTGCAACTACGCGGCCCCTCTCCCGGGGATGGACCCGTGGCTGACCCTAAAACCGGCAGCAGCGCGATGTCTTTGCCGCAGAGGCCGGGCAAATCCTCGCCCCGGCGAGAAGAGGCACATGCGTTTCGCGAGCCGTCAAGGCGACGCCGTCGCGATGTCGAGAGTGGTACCTACAGTGACGCTCCTACCACCCCGACTTCCCACCGTCATCGCCGCCGACATTCGCACAGCCAGCGACGACATGCCGAGACCGATGAAGAACGGATGGACAAGGGTGGAGGAGTGCAACGAAAGAGGAGTCTCGTCAAACCAGAGCGCCGGCGGATCGACCATGACGACCGTCATTACCACTATCGCCAACGATCGCAACGCTTGAACACGTACCCTCCAACAGACCCATTACTGGATGCCGATGTTGAAGCCGAAACGAATAGCTCGCGGAGTATGGATCTGAAGGGTAAGGACCAGCTCTACGGGGCGCGCGGCAACGTGAACAAGCCAATGGAACGTGCTCCCAGCCGGCATCGGGTCTCGAAGAAAAAGAAGCGCTCCTCGCGACGTACATCGCGGGGAACTGCAGAAGAAAAACGACGCCAAAAGGCCATGGAGCAGGCCCGTCCGCCCGATTTGTGGACTACATATTGTGCACTAATCACGTTTTTTATCCCCGATTTTGTTCTCCGCTGTTTTGGCATGCCCCAGAGGGAGCAGCGGCAGGCTTGGAGGGAGAAGATTGGCCTGATTAGCTGCATCCTCATGGTCGCCGCGTTTGTCGGGTTTCTCACGTTCGGTTTCACGGCTACAGTCTGCGGGACGCCGCCTGTGCGTATGAAGGTCAACGACGTCGGAACTGGATACATGATTTTCCATGGACAAGCCTACAATCTCGAGGGCTCGACTCACCCCGCGGCGACCGGCATTCCGGCTAACACTGACGTCTTGTACGACTTGCCGCACAAGTATGGTGGCCAGGATGGCAGCTTTTTCTTCCAACAAGTCAATGGCGCCTGCAAAGGGCTTATTACTGCCAACCCCGGAGGCGGCGTTCCCACTAATGACAACGGTGATCTTGGATGGTACTTCCCCTGCACGGCCTTCAACCAGGACGGGTCATCGCAGCCCAACTTGACGGTGGAATACTACCTGGGCTGGGCATGCCATACCGCCCGGGCCGCCCGGGAACCCTTCTACAGTCTCTCATCATCCGGGGATGTTTATTTCACGTGGGACGATACGAGAAACAAGAGCCGGAATCTCGCGGTGTATTCCGGAAACGTTCTCGACCTTGATCTTCTCCGCTGGTTCAACAAGACCCAAGTAACATGGCCCTCAGAGTTCGATGCCCTGCGCGAGAATCCCGAGGTCCGCGGTGTCGACCTGACCTATTATCTCCAAAGTGGACGGGACAAGAGGATCGGACAATGCTTGTCTCAGATTATCAAAGTGGGCAGTATTGACACCGACACCGTGGGGTGCATCGCCTCCAAGATTGTGCTCTACTTGGCTTTGATCTTCATTCTGTCCATCGTCGTTACCAAGTTTGGCTTTGCCTTGCTCTTTCAATGGTTTTTGTCTCCCCGGTTTGCCGCTCAACGGACGAGTATGAGCTCCGATGCCAGGACGCGTAACCAGCAAATCGAAGATTGGTCCAACGACATCTATCGGCCGGCCCCTCGAATGGCTGATCCCCCCATAGCTCCAGATCGCAGCTTGAACAAGCGGGCTAGCTTTCTGCCAACAACGTCTCGTTTCACGAGTCCGTACGTCGTGGGAAGTGGTAGCGCCAAGGCCAACCCCCAGTACATCACAATGGCAAGCCAGAACTCAACCTCACGACTCATGCCGACTTCGACAACGAGTGGTACTATGTACAAATTGAGCCACAACAGCAGCCGTGGTACTCTCAGTGCTGACAATTCCCACCCCAATTCCCACCAAAATGCCGCTCCCACCGCCAGCCGCACCAGCTTGGTTCCCCCAGGCGCCCACCAAGAGCAGCCTTATTCAACACTCATCTCGGAATCCGAGGGACCTGGCCCAGCTGGGTTTATTCACGAGGCTGTTGTGCCCCAACCGCCACCCGAATGGCAGCCGTTCGGATACCCCCTGGCGCACGCGATCTGCCTGGTGACATGTTACTCGGAAGGTGAAGACGGCATTCGGACGACGCTGGACTCGATCGCCATGACCGACTATCCCAACAGTCACAAGGCCATCCTTGTCATCTGCGATGGTGTCATCAAGGGCAAAGGCGAAGAGTTCTCGACTCCGGATATCGTGTTGGGTATGATGCACGACCATGTGGTTCCGCCTGAGGATGTTCAGCCATTCTCCTACGTGGCTGTGGCCACCGGCTCCAAACGGCACAACATGTCCAAGGTCTATTCTGGATTCTACGACTATGGCGACAACTCTGTCATCCCTCTAGAGAAGCAGCAGCGCGTCCCCATGATGGTGATTGTCAAGTGCGGCACCCCGGAGGAAGCCACCCAGGCCAAGCCGGGCAACCGAGGCAAGCGAGACAGCCAGATCATTCTGATGTCGTTCTTGCAGAAGGTCATGTTCGATGAGCGAATGACCGAGCTGGAATTCGAAATGTTCAACGGTCTCTGGAATGTGACTGGAATCCCTCCCGATTTCTACGAGGTGGTTCTGATGGTCGACGCCGATACCAAGGTGTTCCCGGACAGCTTGACGCACATGGTTTCGGCCATGGTCAAGGATCCGGAAATCATGGGGCTCTGCGGAGAGACCAAGATCGCCAATAAAACCGACAGCTGGGTGACGATGATCCAGGTGTTCGAGTACTTCATTTCCCATCACCAAGCCAAGTCTTTCGAGTCCGTCTTCGGTGGTGTCACCTGTCTGCCGGGCTGTTTCTCCATGTACCGCATCAAGGCCCCCAAGGGTGGCCAGAACTACTGGGTACCTATCCTGGCCAACCCGGACATCGTCGAGCACTATTCTGAGAATGTTGTCGACACCCTGCACAAGAAAAATCTGCTGCTTCTCGGTGAGGATCGGTACTTGACCACGCTCATGCTCAAGACCTTCCCGAAGCGCAAGCAGATTTTCGTTCCCCAGGCTGTGTGCAAGACGGTTGTGCCTGACAAGTTCATGGTTCTGCTGTCTCAGCGCCGCCGCTGGATCAACAGTACCGTGCACAACCTGATGGAGCTGGTGCTCGTCCGCGATCTGTGCGGCACATTCTGCTTCAGCATGCAGTTCGTCATTTTCGTTGAGCTGGTGGGAACACTGGTGCTTCCCGCCGCCATCGCGTTCACTTTCTACGTTGTCATTCATTCCATCATCCACCAACCCGTGCAAATCATTCCCTTGGTACTGTTGGGCCTCATTCTGGGTCTACCCGGTCTGCTAATTGTCGTGACCGCCCACCGCCTTGTCTACGTCTTGTGGATGCTCATCTACCTGATTTCGCTGCCTATTTGGAACTTTGTCCTGCCCACGTACTCGTTCTGGAAGTTCGATGACTTCAGCTGGGGCGACACGCGCAAGACCGCGGGTGAGAAGGACAAGGGCCACGGAGCGGTCGAGGGCGAGTTCGACAGCACTAAGATTACGATGAAGCGGTGGCGTGATTTCGAAAAAGGTGAGTCTACCCCCCAGCAGACTTTTTTTTTTGGTTCCCTGCTAACGTTTTATAGAACGCCGCCTGCGCACCCTCAGTGCCTACCCACCACCGCATGCCCCGGCCACCGGGTATCCATCTCCCTACGAGACCTACTCTGATTACTGATTGTTTTGTTTCTTATTCCATGTGATTTATTTGTACCATTTACATTCCGAGTCTTCTCGGGGCGGGCGTCTACATCGTTTTGATAATTGTCTTTGACTACCTATGACGAGCGTACCTACTATTTATTTTCTTCCTTCTGTACAGCGAATGGAATCTGTGCCTCGTTGTTGCCCGACCGAGCCTCCGGCGTACCCCGTAACTGCCCAATGCCCAAAGCGCAGGTTGGATCTGCCGTGCATGCATGATGCTCAACCGGGCGATTCGGGCTGACTAAGTCCTAGGCTAGCCGCAAAAGCAAAATAACGGTCGCTGCCTGTAATCGTCTCTGCGCCACACTTGGCTGGACGATCACTTTTCCTTGCAGAAGACTAGGATACCACATATCCAGGCCGACCTACCCTTTGGGTTGTTTTCTGTGATCGTATAGGCGGGCGGGGATCCGTGTTTCCGTGTCACCCGCATTCTTCTCCTTTTGGTCCTGACGGCTGGGGGAACGGCGCCACGCTGTGTGGGGACTTTTGTTCTCAAGTCAGTCAGCCCAAGTCAGCCGTGAACCAACACCGACCATCCCAGGAAATCCTGGACACTCTATCCTTCACCTTGTACTACCTTGGGCCTCGGAGGCAGCAGCCTCGTCTACCTTGGGCCCCTGAAACATTCCCCCCAACCCGACTCTTGTATCCCCCGCCTACGGGGAGCCCATGACCGACTGAAAGGACTGGGTTATTTGTCTCCTCGCGCTGCAGCTGGCTACTGGTTCAGTTTTATCTCCTCGACCTCGCCATGAATCCCATGCTGCCGAGACACTGTCTCTCCAACGACCGATCATGAATCCCTCTTCTACCCCCAGCAGCGAGGCTTCCACACTGGACGAAGCCGAGTGCGCGCTGAGCCCGGACCTGGCTAGTGGCTCTGATCCAGCGTATTCTCCGGTGCCTCCCAGCGTTGGCATGCCATCTGAACATGATCAGCATTTGCATGATGTGGGCGTTGCGGCTCTAGCGGCTATATCCCAGGACGTGCATCCCGTCAATCAGCAGAGCGGGTCGTCTCTAGTTTCTGAAGTTGTTAATGCGGTGACAGAAGGGTCTTCACGGAATTCTCCATTGAACACTTCTGGGACGGTTGAGCCCAGTTCTATCTTCTCGACGCCCAGGTTGTACCCGACTGGAGTCGAGTCGAACGACCTCTCCCCTGCACCAGAAGTGAACTCGGCCGGATCACAGACTCCAACTGGCAATGCAAACATGCACGCCGTCGTACAGGAACTGATCGGGCGCACGGCCGCCTGGCCCAGTGCCGTGATCGTGGAAGACATTGAAAACAACAGCCCCCGAAATGAAATGGTTATGGATTACGAGCCTGCCACAGTGGAGGAAACCTACGACTCACCGTCGTCCTTGAGCGATGATGATCTTGAGGACTTTATCAGATTTTATCCGGATGAAGAATATTACTACCGCAGCCAGCGAGCCCATCGGCCACCACTTGCCACTGGTGACATTGATCTGGATGATTTCTACAGGCGTATCAACTACGATACCACTTTACCGTCCGGTTTACCGTCCGTGATTACACAAACAGTACCCGATATTCCCGATATTGATGAACCTCTCCCCACCGCGCCTGGTGTGCACCCTCCGTCCATCATCCATACAACCAGTAAGAGCTGTGTCCTGCACATTTGGACCAAATTCTGACATGTTCATCATAGCCTACGAGCGGAACCTTACGATTGATGAATTTATCGAGCGCTGGATGATTCAAACGCTCATCCCTCGGGGTTTCTCTTCTGGAATTGGGATGCCGCCGCAGCTTCGACCGTTATCAAAAATGATCTCCTGGAAACCACCGCAGGAAATCCATCGCCCACACAAGTACCGAAATGATACCTACGACCTCCAGCAAATACCGTGGATGGAGATTTTGAAAGTCAAACGGGCTGATGCGCGGTCGCTGCGTGATGCGTGGTATACCTCGTACCACAATCTGGATTACTCCCCATTCAGCAACGCAAGACGCCCCCCGCAACATGAGTCCTACTTCCGCGAAAAGGCCATGTACACATCACATAAGGCGTCCATTGAGCACTTCCAGCTCCGTAATTTGATGTCTGTTCCCGCTTACAATACGGTGCACTTTGCCTCTCAATCAAAGGTGTTCTCGTGGACACCAGCCCATGACGAAGCACGATGCCTGATTGATTTGACCAAGCCAGAACCTGATTTTGGACTGCTGGGTCCTGTGAAGATCTCCACCATGAAGACTGCCCATGGCTTGACCATTGCCGGTGGGTTTTGTGGAGAGTACGCACTGCGTGCTGCAGGCTCTGAGGGTTCTGGTGCCAAGGGGCTGGTCACTCCAGACTTCAACGACGGCATCACGAACCATGTTGATATTATCGGCAGTCGGTCCGGTCGATCGCCTATTGGTATCTTTGCGTCCAACGACCAGCACTTGCGAGTCTTGGATTGCGAAACCAATGTTTTCCTCTCAGACCAAGAACTATCGCGACCGATCAATTGCACCGCAACCTCCCCCGACAGCCGTCTCCGCGTCGTCATTGGCGATTCACCCGACGCATGGGTGATTGAAGCCGACACAGGCCGACCCGTACACCCCCTCCGGGGCCACCGCGACTTCGGTTTTGCCTGCGCCTGGTCCCCGGACATGCGCCACATCGCAACCAGCAACCAGGACAAAACCGTGATCATCTGGGACGCGCGCACCTGGCGCATCCTGGAGACGATCGACTCCGACGTGGCGGGGTATCGCTCACTCCGCTTCTCGCCCGTCGGCGGCGGGTCCCGGACCCTCCTGTGCTGCGAACCCGCAGACCGCATCTCCATCATCGACGCGCACATGTTCCAAACACGCCAGGTCCACGATTTCTTCGGCGAAATCGGCGGCGCGGACTACACGCCCGACGGCGGGGCCATCTGGGTCGCGAACACGGATTCTCATTATGGCGGGCTCATGGAGTTCCAACGGACACAATGGGGGAGACGCTTTGGGGTAACGGACTTGCCGGATGAGTGGGTGCGCGAAGCGGATCTGGATGGCGATGGGCGGAGTGTGCTGCGTGCCCGGGAGCGGCAGCTGCGGTTTTTGAGGAATCTGAGCGATGAAGAGCACGAAGCGTTGATTCTTTAGTTTTGCTCTCTGGTGGTTTTTTTCGTCTTGCCCTGATACCCTTCCTTGTCTCTGTTTAGTTATGTCATAATACTAGAAGACCTCTGGTTCCTGCCCCACACTCCGCGTAAACACAGCCCCTCTTCATCTCGATTTAGCCAGCCACATCTCCGTCATCTCCGTCATCTCACAGCCCCTCCATCCGTCTTCCTCTCTGAACACCATTCTCCCCGATCTCCCTATCTACCAATTTCCAACCTACACCACCAAATCACTCGATATCAAAATGGACCTCCTCCAAGAATTCGCCTCCGCAAGCGGGCACGCCAAATCCCACCACCCCGGCGACAGCTCCCTCTTCGACTCGGCGATGGGCTTCCTCCAGGAAAACCAGGACAAATTCTCGGGCTCCGGCTCCGACATCAACGAGGAGCACGCTATGCGCGCCCATAAGAAGATGTACAACGAGAGCGCCGAGGGCCACACCCACAACTCCAGCGACGTCGGTGCCGGCGCCGCCGTCCAGGCGCTGAAGATGTTCACCTCTGGTGAGGGCGGCGGGGATAAGAATCAGTTTGTCGGCATGGCTATGGCCCAGGCGGGCAAGTTGTGGGACCAGAAGGCTGAGTCGGGGGGCACCATGGTAATTACTTACTTCCCTACATACTCCCTGCTCTTCTACTCTTTACTCGGGAGGGGAGGGAGTGGGTGAAGATCAGTGCTAATAATGTGGTTAATTATAGTCCGGCGACAAGCAGTCTGCTATCAACACCGCTGCGGAGATGGCTCTGAAGATGTACATGAAGGGTGGCGGTGGTATGGGTGGGACTGGTGGCCCCGGAGGTCTGATGAGTCTGGCGAGCAAGTTCATGTAGATGATGCATGCTTCAATAGATTGATCTGGGCGATCTACTGAACCAACCTTGCGAAGTTACTGGCTCAAATGCAATCCACGTTGTAAACAGTATATATTGAACTCGACTTCTTCACTTTCTACTGTATCATCTGCCCACGACAACAAAACATCAAGGAATAAGATAACCCGGGGTATGCAAACGTCCCCTTTGGCTTGGTCCATCAACAACCCGAATCCACAAACATGCCATAGTCACACAACAGTATGGACAAATCAGAAAGAGAGGGAAAAGAAGAGGCAGACAACGCTAAGCGCAAACAATACAGTATAAAACCACACCAACGCTACCAATCATCTTCGTCCTCTTGCTTTCCCTGCATCGCACTCTGGCGCGCCCGCAGTGCCTCGGCCAAGCCGCCAGCGAGACTGGCGTTGGATGCGCTGCTGGGTGTGCCGCGTCCGCTCGCACCAGAAGAGTCGGCAGAGTTCATGCTCGCCGTACTGTCTCGGGGTGCAGGCGGGGGTGCCGGCTTGCGACCAGCCATGTTGGGCCGCTTCATGGGAGGAGCAGGCGGTGCCGGCTTCTTGGCAGCTGCAGCCGTAGCGGCTCCAGTGCCGTTCGGCACGGGGCTGGGTGTCGCACGGGGTGCTGCTGGAGGGGGAGGAGGCGCAGCTCGGGGAGTGGCAGCAACCTGCTCTTCGAGGTAGGCCTCTGGGGCCCAGCCCTGCGTGGAGGTTGTCGTGTTCATGCACAGCCACCATCCTGATTAAATGTTAGTTGTTGGACACCAAAATGAAAGATTACAAAACATACCATTGCCCTCCTTGGATACGATCTGCACAATCTCTCCCGTACGGATGGTCAGCTCGTTGGAACGGTCGCTGCTAAAGTCGTACAACGCCTTGGCAGTGGGTTTCTTCGAGGCTGGAGGAGGTGCGGACGGCGGAGGCGGTGGTGGCGCCCTCACTGAGCTCGCAGACTCGTTTCGAGTATGTGTGGCCGCGACGGCAGCAGCAACTGGCTGGGGTACCACTCTTGGCTGCGCGGCCGGTTGAGGAGTGGGCCGGGGCAAAGGCTGGGCAGCAGGCGTAGGTCTCGATGCAGCAGCGGAAGACAATTTGCCCTGGCCACCACCAGGACCACCGGGCCGAAGCAACCTTCCTTTGGTGACGGGTCTGGCAGCAACCGGCTTCGGTCGGGGAGTGGGTTTCGACACCGAGTTAGGCGGCTCGCCTGGCCCAGTATGGATCGTGCTGCTCTTGTAGGTGTCGTGGTTTCCAACGGCTGGATCCTTGACAGCTTTGACAGTTGCCAGCTTCCCCGGTTTCTTGTTGTATTCGATGCTCTCTCCAATCTTCAGATTGAGGGATCCGCGCAGTGCGTTTGTCAGATGGGTGAAAAACTCCGTCTTGAAAACACAGGTGAGCAGCGGATCCGGCTCCTGAGCACCGACAACAAGCGAGAACCAGTCATCCTTGAGGTTCGAGGTGCTGACGGCTTTAATAGCACCGATAGGAATCGTCCGTTCTGACGAAATTTGAAGCTGGTTGTTGACAATGCTCTGTGCCACGATATAAACATTTTTGCTGGTCTAATGAAATGGTCAGCGAGTTACCTCAAAAAAGCGCGGTTCCTTCTAACTAACCAGAACAAGAATGCGAGGGGTAGGCTTGCTGGATCTGCCGAATTTGGAGACCAATACCTCGCCACGGCAAGAGAAGAGCACAGAATCCGCAGCTGTACCGAGTCAGTAGGGTCTCGAAAGATGCTAAAACCAAAAGACTTACCGCTGATGCCTGCACCATTGCGGATCATCTCGCCAGGACCACCCTTGTCCGCCACACCAAGATAATCACCCAGGAAACGACGAGAGCCCAGGAGACTCATTCTCCGACGTTCCTTGCGGCCCTGAAGCACCTGGTGTCCTTGGTCACGGACCTTGATAAACTCAAGTCCGCCAGTCATACGACGCCAAAAGCGCTGGATGCGAGTGGCACATTCGATGCGATAGCGGAGGTAGTTGCGCCAGGCGCGCTGGATACGAATGGCCATGTTGTGCCAGTAACGGTCCCGCATGGCCTCCAGCGCGAACAGGGTCTCGGGGGTTTTGACGAATACCTTGGAGATACCCATCTGATATTCCTCCGGAGGAATGCTGGTGTCCTTCAAGATCTGCTTCGCACCGGATTCCGAGTCGCCCGTCCACGTGTAATCACCGGCGTACGAGGTCTTGGGTGACAGCAGGTAGAACCGCTCAACAAACTTGTCGAATGTCTGACGGTAAGCAAAGCCGGCGCGGCGAATGCGCACGTTCTCTTGCAGACCCAGATACTTGATCTGGTGCAGCACGTTGCCAACATTGTACTCCCTGGGGGCCTTGTTATCGTTGGGCTTGATCGTACGGATGTAGGATGGCTGCGCCTTCATCAGTGTGGTCACGAGATCATTCGCGGATGCCTTGATCTTGTCGCCTGCAGTAGGCGGACGCCGCTTGTCATCCTGGTTCACCTGGTTGGGGAAGAGCGAGTGGACAAACGGGTTGCTGCTAGATCCCGCCAGGTTGAGCAGGTCCTTCAACAACTGATCCTTGTTCTTGTCCGTCATGCCCTCAACGGCGTAGCTCACGTCTCCGGCATAATGTTTGATGATGAACTGGCCTTGGCGACCCTCAAAATTCGGATTTTGCGCGAGGAAGTTGAGTCGACCGACAAAAGTCTGATCAGCCGCTCCGGAGTCCGCGTGTGCCGTTGCGCAGGCATCGTTCAAAGCCGCGAAAACGCCAGGAGGGCGCTTATCTTCGATCAACGAACACACCACTTTGTTATCGAAGTACTTGATCGGAGTCCACTTGATCTGTTCGCGAGCGTACTCATCCTGCTCTGCCTTGAGTGTCAACTGGATGAAGATTTGTTGCAGCTTCTCATTGACATAGTTAATGCAGAGCTGCTCGAAAGAGTTCTTCTCAAAAATCTCGAACCCGTAAATATCCAGGATACCTATCGAGTTGGCAATGGCCCCCCGCGCAGCCAGAGATTGATTGACGCGCTCGACGATCCAGTCGAAAAGGTTAAAATAGATAGCCTTGGCCAGGGCATCTCGGACTGCCACCGCCTGCACCGTGTTCAGCGGCACCTCATACACAGAACCGCGGCGTCCGCCTCGTGAGGTCTCCATCAGACGATTGGTCAATGCCTTGTTCACTTCGGCCGAGTCGACTTCCATCAGATACGCGACAAAATCGACGGTCGACTGGTCGGTAATCGAGGCGTTGCTGGAGTCATCTTCGGTGAACTGGATATTTCCGATCCACAGGATCGCGGCCAGCATGCGGAAGACGTTGTCCTGCTCGGCCTCACTCATCCCAATAATCCGCATCGCATCCAATGTATCCTTGAACTCAGCGACATCATCGACACCGGGCACATCGAAGCACTTGGAGCGGCTCGTGTAAAGGTACGATTGGGGTTGCTGCACGCCGAAGCTGTCACGGTACTTCTGCGGGGCTCCCTTGGTGAGTTGATAGAAGATGTGGAAGTTTCGCTCGTTCGTAATCTGTCCCACCACCCTCGACTTCTCGAGCAGGTAGTTTGTGATGTGAGCTCCGACGGGCTCGCCGTTCACGTTGAACTCCAACTCCAGGTACTTGCCGAAGCGTGACGAGTTATTGTTGCGCAGCGTCTTGGCATTGCCAAATGACTCCAGCAACGGATTTGTAGCCAGCACCATGTCCTTGGTCTGCTGGATTGACGAATCGCTGCCCCCCGACACACTAGCAATATATTGCATGATGCGCTTGGCCGCTTCGGTCTTCCCGGCACCCGACTCCCCAGAGATGATCACACACTGGTTGTCCTTGTAGGATTTCATGTTGTAGTACGCAGACTCGGCGACGGCGAAGACATGGGGTGGGGTTTCAAGGCGGTTCTTGCCTCGATAGGACTGGAGGACGTTGTCGGTGTAGATACCCACTACGTGGCTGTCAGCGCTGAACGGGCAGGTAACGAAGTAAGGCCAACTTACGATCTCGGAACGGGTTCACAGAGACCAAGACATGTCCGATGTAGGTCTGGAGTGACACTGTTAGCCTGCGCTCTTGCCCGCGCACTGCCTCGCAGTCCGCGCCAGCGAGAGGGATCCCTTACATAAATCTCGTCATGCTCGAAGCGCAACTTGAGGTTGTCGTTGATGGCCTCATTGGAGATCTTGCTCAGCAGTGTCAGGTCCGACACGCCGATCTCCTTCTTCTTGGTGCTCTCGAAAGTGGCCTTCTTGACCTGCGCCTTGCCCGCTTGCCGCCCGTCGCCCACGTCGGCGACCGCCTTGGAGCGCCCAAAGCCGCGACTCTTCTTCTCCCCACCAACGGGGCGTCGTGATTGACCCTAGATTGCGAGTTCGGAGTCAGCGGAGGGTGCTTGTTGCCTGGAGGTGGTGCGCTCACCATTGTGTGTCAACCCGGGGGTGTCCCAGGCGTCAGTCAATCTGCGCGATCAACGGGGGACGGAAATGGAGGAGCGTGTGGAAAGAAAAGGAGATCGCAACAGGTCTCCTCGGAGAATCAAAGAACGAGTGTCAGGGTGAGGGGGGAAGAATTGCAGATGGAGAGCGAGGAAGGCGGAATAACGGCCAGTGACGCTGGGCCTTACGCATCCCAGACAAAAGACACAAACACCACTGCGCCACACTATCTGGTCTGGCTCAGGGGCGAATGAGATCCTGTACCAAACTATTTTCTTTGGCTTACTGATCGGGATCACTAATCACGAACGAACACTATTAGTTATGATTTCTGCCTGATAATAATGGTTTGGTCTCATGTCATCATGCCTACAATGGGATTGTGGCTGGTGCGCCAATACTGTAAATAGCATCACCGACGTCATGGTACAGATGCATCCAGACTCCCTCTCGGATGGTGAAAATTCTGATCGTACTCGCTTGTAGATCATATCTCTCAAGGCTCCTATCGTCATCAATAATATATTGAGACTTGGAAGCCGTGGTGCTAGTTGCCTCGAGTTAACCCATTCGCGGATATATATATAACTCCTCGTGCCCTCAATCAGGAACCCGTTTCGTTTCATGCCGTCTCTTTGTCTCGATGCAGAAAACCCGCAATCTCGTTAGCCCCTTCTGTCCCAAAGTACGCGTCCAGGAGAGTCATTCCCTGCTCAGTCCTGGCCGCTTGACTGAGGCTGCGAAGGGAGGGGGACAAAACATTCCAGATGCCGTCAGTGTAGGGCCCGTCGGCGCGAAAGCTGTTATCGGCCATTGATGGCAGGACGGCAAGGGCGTCAACATTCGGCAAAGGCAGCGAGCGGGAGGTCATCATGCTCTCCATGTATGCCCTGATGCACTCCACCAGCTGCGAGGAATTGTGAACAGGAATCAGTGGAATGACCGTGGGTAGATACTGCGCCAGACTGATGCGATATTAGATCCCTGGACAACCTAGTGAAAGAGCGCGTTGCCTACTGTACTTGTAGAGTCAAGTAGTCATCCACAGAATAGTCCGTATCGTCTGGGAATAAGAAGATGATCGCTGCTGTCGGGGCAATGGTTCTAGAGATGAACGTGCCGATCCGAGCGAGTGTTGATTCTCTCATGGATGCGAGGCAAGCTGGTGACACAAGCAGAACGTCGAGTCTGACCGTGGTAGATTGGTGGATTAGGTTGAATCGAAGGTCGAATATATTCTTGGATCTCGCTTAGCCTGATATGTTAGTCGCAAGCCAGGGAAGTCAAGGACATGTAGCATGTACACTCGTGCGTCGACTCCGAGGCCAGTATCGGACCAAGAGTACGCCATACCGGGTGATCCCGAAGACACGATGAATACGTTCCCCTAAATCGAGCGATGGAGGTCATTGTGGAAGGGAGTGGTCGATTGGAAGATGAGAGAGAGGGAGAGAGATAGATTATGTACAGGCCTATCGAGTCACGGGGACAGAGGGGAGTGCTGTATAGACAAAGTAAAAAACAAACAAAAAGGGTATCCAATAGAACAACAAAACGCCATCTATAATGCACTGCTGCTGTGCCAATCACGCACTCTTGGAAGGCACGGAAGGAGATTTCGAGTCGGTAGAGGGTGCCGCTGGAGTCGGTTCGGGCGGCGGGGTTTTCTCGCCCTGCCCAAAGGAGAAGTATGAGGTGATGCGAGAGAACCAGCCCTCCTCAACTGGCGGGTGGTCGATCTCTTCTTCCACATCCCATACCTGCCGAGGGAGGATCCGGTGAGTTGGCTTGGGGAGATCTCCATGTTTGGCCCTGAGCTGAAGGATCTCTTTCTCCAATACCACCAGCGCTCCTCGGGTCGCCTTCTCGGATTCCTCCAGCTCGTTCAACCGATCCTCCACGTCTTCTCTCCGATTGCTCTCCTTCCGGCGCGATCGCCACGACTCAAAGACGATCAACCCACCCGCAACGAGGAAGAGGAATGTCTCGCTGATGAAGTTGGCACCAGACTCGATGGCCTTGGATTCGGACAGGGGTCGGATGTGATATTTGCGCGGTTTCGCTGCTTCCTCAGCCGCAGCCTTGGCTTTTACCTCCGCCTCCTCTTCAGCCTTCGTCTCGGCCTGCGTTTTGACTGTCGGGTGGGTTGCCTTGTGTTTTCGGACCTCTTTTTCGGCGTTTGCCAGCTTTTGTGCGACTGTATCGTCCCGGATCGACCCTAGTCGGAGCCGCATGTCGAATCGATGGAGGGCCTGCGCCATTGAGACGCATAAGCGGCGGAACCGTTCATGCTCGCGAGCTTGTGCTTTGATTTGGGTCTGCCATGAGGATTAGGAGAGCAGCAATGGAAGAGGGAAAAGGCAGGCTTACTGCAATCGGCTTCGAGAACGTGCGAATTGCCAACGAGGATAATTTCAGTGTCAGAGACATGGTTGGGTTGCGACGGGGAAGGCACCACACCCGGCTTGACTCACATGGGACGGTCTTGCTGAGGGAGCCCGACATTAGTCATCCACGCTTGGATTTCTTAACCAGGCGTGGGACCACGTGACCTGGTCTGTTTATCGTCGCCGCATTGGGAAACTTCAAAACAGAGCCGAGTTCCTTCCCTCTTCCTTCTCTCCCCACTTGTCACTCCTCAGTCGAGGCTTTTTGTTATTCGATTTGGGAGCTATTGTACAGTTTGGTTTTCTTTATTAGCGCTTTGTATTCTGGTGAGTCTACCCATACTCCATTCCCCCCCCACTCTTCGGGTTGCCGATGTTTCTCGGAAACTGACAGCTTGATCCCTGCAGGGATACCAATATTGCTGCAACTTGATACCCTTTTGCGCTATTCCTAATATTTGTTCTTTGACGACCTTTACGCTTGATCTTCACCCTGAGACTTGAATCGTGCGCTCCCGCGACAGCTTGCGATTACACTAATTCGACCCTGGCCATAAGATCGCCCAGCCCGCCCAGACCAGAATGGAGGCCCTTTCACCGCGTACCACAAACCAACTGATCAGACCAAAATCAGTAATGGATCGAAAGGGAATCGAAAAACACCCCGCTGCGAGCGCTGCCCAGAAACCTACATCGGCTTCAAAGAACCATGCGGACCCGCCACCATCTATAGTCCCAGAACCGGAGGATGGTGGGGAGAGCTACTCAATAGGTGGCTTTCTAGGGAAAGGCGGCTTCGCGGTTTGCTATGAGGGGACACTGACGCGCAATTCTCGAGTGTTCGCAATGAAGGTGGTCAAGTCCAAAATGCCTCAGAAGAAAATGGAGGAGAAAGTATGCTTTTGTCTCAACTGTCCTCTGAATTTATTCTGATAACCCTGGCAGTTCCGTACCGAGCTCCAAATTCATTCCAAGATGCGACACCCTTATATTGTCCAGTTTTACCGCGCATTCGCTTTTGAGCAAAGTACATACGTGGTGCTGGAGCTATGTCCCAATGGTTCAGTCATGGAAATGGTCCGCAAGAGGCGCTGCTTGAGCTTACCAGAGGTCCGACGGTTTATGATTCAACTTTGCGCCGCGGTCAAATATCTTCACAAACGATTCGTCGCACATCGTGACTTGAAGATGGGCAATCTGTTCCTCGACCACAACATGAACATCAAAGTTGGAGACTTTGGGCTTGCGGCCATGATCCTGTCAGACAAGGACGCCAAGCGACGAAACACCTTGTGTGGAACTCCGAACTACATTGCGCCCGAAGTCCTTGACAAGAGCAAGGGCGGACATACTCAGAAAGTCGATATTTGGTCGTTAGGTGTGATATGGTACGGAAGCTTATCTATTCACCGTATACTGTTTACTGACTTCCTTCCAGTTTTGCCATGCTTACTGGATACCCGCCTTTTCAATCTAAGACCCAGGAAGAGATCTACAAGAAAGTCCGCAGCTTGGCTTATGTTTGGCCCAAAGAATCCGACCACAACAACTATATCCCCGACGAAGCGAAAGATTTGGTCGCCGCTTGCCTGAATCTTGTCGACGAGCAACGGCCAGATCCAGATGATATTGTCGAGCACCCATTCTTCAACATGTACGACGGTTGCATTCCTCGCCAGTTGGACCCTGCATGCCGCACCAGCAAACCCGTTTGGCTCAAGGACCAATCACCCCGAGGCGATTCCATGCTCAGTGGTTACGGCCTGGACTCCGACGAAAAGCTTCGGGCCTATGTCTATCAGGTCGACGATCCTAGCCAGCGGTATCATTCTTGCAAAGCAGCATTCTACACTCTCGCCGGAGTAGGACGCAAGCCAGATGGAACACCGCGAAAGTCCGTGGGCAGGAACTGCTCGAAATCCGCATTCTCTGAATGTGACGCTGAAGACTCCAAAGGACTACGCCCCGTGGTTCCTTTACCAAACAACTTTGTTTACCGTTGGCCACATGATGTTGAGGGAGATTGGTGCTTGATTGAGACGTCTCGCAAGGTCTTGCGCAGCGAGGACTCTTTGGCCGACAGCAGCACCCTCTCACGACATAATACCTCCATCCGAGCCAACACCGCCGTGACCTGCCGTACCAATGCGGCCCTTGTTGCTGCTCAACAGCGGAGGATGGAGCCGCAGAGCCATGCTGCAGCACTGCGCCAACAGGCTACTACTGGAAGAACACCTACTAAGAAGACTTTTGGTATCAGCGATCCTTCGGGTTCATTTGGTGGAACTTATTCTGGCCCCAAAGAAGCCAAACCTGAAGTGGTTACTCGTGAGGAGGCACCGTCTGGCGGATTTGCGGAGCGTCCCATTCGTACGCGCAGGATGGTCTCTGCGTCAAATGTACCCTCACAGCGAGATAAGGAGAAAAATGTACCTCAGCACCTCGCCAAGTCTACAAGTGTCCCGAACTCGTTGACAGTTGGCAAAACTCGTTCACAATCCCGAAGATTGGAAGCTGCTAGTCAGGCTTCACAACAACTTTCCATTTCAACACGAGAGCGACAGCCGGTGGAAGAAAAGAAGCCGCTCGCGCGACAGACAACCCTACGATCAACATCTAGAACGGACACGAAAGCTATCGAACCGAGACTTGAGCACCGGAAGTCTCCTAGTGATGGTGGCTCCTCTTCAAGCTACCACTCTAAATCTGCTTCTCAGTCCAACGGGATCAACCGGTCCAACAGCAAAACAACCTCATCGGGCAGCAAAGCCCGCTCCAGCCTGGGTCTCAGCCCTCTCTTTCACGCCGAGGATATCTGCGACCTGCTTCCGGGTACTTCGTTGACAGACGTAAACATGGACCTTCGTCTGATGCTATCCAATCTGGTCAACCATGCACCAGGTCGGCGACGCGCTGGGTCCAGAAAGCAGCCCCATACATATGTCATCAAGTGGGTGGATTACACCAACCGCTATGGCATTGGATACGTCCTGGACGATGGCAGTGTTGGGTGTGTCTTCAAAGGCGAGAACGGCCAACCGGCAACTAGCGTCGTTGTGCGAGATGGCGAGAGACACATTCGCCGCAAAGCTCGCAGCGAAAGCAAAGAGGAGGAGCCTCTACCCTACTCTGAATCAGATCAACTCATTCCTCGAGACGGCGCACCGGTCGAGTTCTACGAGAACAAGGACGATGACCTGCTAGGATGTCGTGGGATTCGACGGGCCATGATCTCTCCAGCTGTCTTTGATGTGAAGAACCCGAAAGCAATGAAGCGCAGCAACTCGGGCGTTGAGGCGGCCAAGTGTGACGCGGAGAAAACGAAGCGCGTCAAACTGGTTGACCAATTCGGCAAATACATGATCGGGTCGCTTGGCCGCCATGGCGACGAGGGAATCGCACTCGCTGACCTGCCGAGCTACAACAGTGGTCACTTCATCAAATTCTACCAGCGACTGGGCAATGTCGGGATCTGGGGGTTCGGTGATGGCGCCTTCCAGGTAAGGCTATACCTGAATTTCTGTTTTGAAGTTCATCGCACTGACATTTTCTAGTTCAACTTCCCTGATCATACCAAACTCGTCATATCTCCTGGTCGCACTCGCAGCTCATCGCCATGGATAGACTTCTACCACCTGGCTCCGTCTGCTGCTCGGTACTTCGCGGCCAAAGGCAAGATGCACCCCTCAGGCTTCGACACCCGCGCTGTTGCTTCTGACGAGGCGGCGACATTCATCAGCATCTCACAGGGAGAAACCGTCAACGCAATCGATGATAGGATCCGAGAAATCCTTGACGCCAACTCGTTCACGCAGAAGATCAGCTTCATCAAAGATGTGTTGAAAGTGTGGATCAAGTACGGGCGTCTTGGAGGCCGTCCATCATCCAAAGGCTCTTCTGCCTCCGAGCCCTCCGAGATGTTCTGGCAAGGCAATCAAGAACGCCCCCAGCCGGGAGGCCATGGAACTAAGTTTGTATGGGTGACCGTTGGGGCTCCGGATGGCGATGGGGAGTATCGCTCCATTGTCATCAAAGACAATGACGAGAAACGTGCGGAGATGGATCACGAGAAGGAGATGGAGCTGCTGAAGGAGCGGTTTCGAGCTATGCCTATCGACCGCGATGCCTGATTTACAGGGAGGTTTCTAATTTAACATGTACCTACCGGTGTCACCTCATGATGCTACGACCTGGGCGTTTGGAAGGAATTGACAGTTTTGACCTATTATTTGGGTCTTTTGGTGTTTCTTATACTTAGTTTACTTGATTCATTGATGGTTCCCCCCACTCCTTTCCGTCCACCCCACGGATAACTATCTGCCCCTCCATACCACCACCTCACGTGGGGGATGCCCCCCCACATCACTTGTAGCGGACGGTAGCCGACCAGCCGTGTCAGCGTGACATCCATCCTGTTGATCCACTCGGACGTGATAGACGACCGTGACTCAAAGGCCTTAGGGATATAGGCAGCCCCCGAGTCCACGTTATCCTCGTGAACACCACCATCAGGATGCAGAACCCATCTTGTCTACTATATGGCCCAGGTGATGCCAGGTTCGAAGACCGCCCAGTTCCTACGATCGAAGGCCCGCACGATGTTATTATCCGAATTGCTTACGTCGGAGTCTGTGGAAGCGATGTAAGTGTTCTCTCCAGCCATCCAGATGCTCATCACCATCTAACTCTACCCAAAAGGTCCATTTCTGGACGGATGGCGGCATCAAGTACCACGTCTCCCAGGACCGCCCTCTAGTAATGGGCCATGAAGCCTCAGGGATCGTACATGCCGTCGGACCAGCGGTCACCAATCTGGAACCGGGCGATAAAATCGCCATTGAGCCGGGGTATGCCTGTCGCCTTTGTAGTATCTGCAAAGCAGGACGCTACAACCTGTGTCCAAAGATGAAGTTCGCGGCGAATCCGCCGTACACACACGGCACGCTATCAAAGTACTATAGGATGCCAGCGGATTGTTGCTTCAAGATTCCCACGGGAACGGATCGGCCGTTAGGCCTTGATGAGGCTGTGCTGATGGAGCCATTGGCTGTTGCGATGCACAGTGTGCGCCAAGTAGGCATCCAGCCCGGCGACAAGGTTCTGGTTCTTGGCTCAGGCACAGTAGGACTGTTATGCGCGGCAGTGGCGCGCGAGTTCGGGGCTGGCTCGATCGTCATCGTGGACTTGAATCGTGACAAATTGAACTTCGCACAGAAGTTTATCCCGAATGAGCGCATGGCTTTCTCGACCTATATTCCGACCAAGGATCTCTCACCAGAACAGAACGCAAACAAGTTGCGCGACTTGCAAAGCAGCATAGTCCTGTCTGATGCAGATGTTCCAGGGTTCGATGTTGCCATTGAGGCCACGGGAGCAGAATCTTGTATTCAGACGGCTATCCATGCGCTAAGAGTGGGAGGCAGTTACATTCAGACGGGGTTGGGGAAGAGAGTTGTCAATTTTCCTATTTCCTTGGTTGGGGAGCATGAAATCACTGTTAAGGGCTGCTTCCGATATGGACCGGGTGACTTCAAGATGGCATTGGATATGGTTTCGACCAAAAGGATTGATTTGAAGCCGCTAATCACCAAGGTCGTACCCTTTGAGAGTGTTGTTGATGCTTGGGAAACTACGAAGAGAGGTGAGGGGATCAAGACCTTGATCCGCGGAGCGGGATTTGATGAAGAGAATAATTGAGTGGCTCATATTACATAGAAAAGAGACGTGCACGTGTGGAATGAGCTACCAAAATGAGAAAACCTCGTAAGTCATAACTGTACATTCTAAACACTCATCAAGCATTAGTAGTTAATGAGGGCTACCTCTATCAATAAGCCCAAGGGGTTGTTTTTTTGAAGACGGTTTCTGCCCTGGCCTCCGCATCCTTCTCCACATCCTTCTCTGTGGGTACGTTGTCCTGCCGAAGTCCCTGGGTAGTTTCCAAAGCACGATCGAGATCGTAGTGCTCCGTCATCAAGCTAAACAACAAGGCCACACCCGAAATTCCACAACAGACAATCCACACAGTGCGCAAGCTATCCGTATATGCGTCTTTCAGATCCGCCTTTGTCGCACCGTCCGCCATGGTCTTGATGACCTGAACTAATCCCGCAGCATCTCTGCTATAGGCATCAGCCATGGGCGCCAGCGCCGTGTACCTCATGAGATTACTCCGCATGCGGTTCTGGAAGACAACGCCGCCAACAGCGACGCCGATAGCCTGGCCCAAGGCGCGGAAGAAACTGAACATGGCCACAGCAATAGACAAGTTCTCTGGCGTGGATGATGCCTGCACGGCATAGCCCAGGGATGGGAACAGGATTCCCAGTCCCAGTCCGGGCACAATGTTCAACAAGATCCAGCCTGGAACGCTGGTGCTTGTCTTGATGAGAACCATCAACCCTAAGCCGGCGGTAGACACAACCCATCCGAGCCAGATGGCCCACCGGTAGTGGCCTGTGACCGTGATCAGGATACCGATCACCATCCCGCTGGGGGCAACGGTGAATGTTTCGGGGAAGAGAGCCACGCCCGACAAAATAGGACTGTATTCCTTCACGGCCTCATAGTATAGAGGCATGTAGTACAGCGCGCACCAGAGAATAAGCCCTTGTAATACACTGCCAATGAATGAGGCTGTGGCTGTGCGGTTCTGGAATATCACAGGCGGGATGATAGGATCGGAGGCGAAGCGGTATTCGTAGAACGCGAAGACAAGGAGCCCCGCTGTGCCCACACTCAGTGGCACCAGCGTACGCCATGAATCCCAGGCATACGAAATGCCTCCCCAGGTAAGAGGAATCAGGAAGGATGACAAGCTGCCCACGAAGAGGACGGTACCGGTGTAGTCGATGCGGCGAAGCTTCTCTGCAAGCGAGCTAGGGATAATATTGAGGTTCAGGAACAGAAGGACAAAGACAACCCCGACTGCAATGAACGGGAAGTTGATGTAGAAAATCCATCTCTATTGAGACCGGTTAGATTCTGGTGACACGACAAGTATGGTATACGTACCCAGGACACATTCTCTGCGAATCCTCCACCAAGGATGGGCCCGGAGACCGATCCAATGCTCCACATTGCACTCATGATGCCGAAATATTGCCCACGATACCGTAGCGGAACCAGATCTGTCATGACTATTTCACTCAAAGCAATGATTCCTCCACCCCCAATACCCTGAACGGACCGGCCTACCAGCATGTACGTAAAATTTTCTGCGATGGCACATACAATAGCACCGACACAGAAGAACAGTATTGCTGTTAGAACCATAGGTCGGCGTCCGAAGACGTTGGAGAAGGAGGCGAAGCTCGGTTGGAATACTGTCTTGGTGTCAATAGAATGAAAGCACCAATGTATAGAGGGGGATTTACCGGTCGAGCATAGTAAGAACGAAGTACCGCTCCAGAATGCCTCGATGGCAGTTCCATTCAGGTCTGTGGCAATGGTCTGAATGGCATTAGCTGGTTATCAAGCCTCAGATGTCGCAAGGGATGTCCTTACTGGAAGAGCGACCGATATCGACGTCCCATCAAGAGCAGCCATCAACGTGAGGACAGACAAGGTGAAGAAAACCAGGGCACCTTTTCGCCCCAGAGCAAATTTCTCGTCAGCCTTCTTCTCATCTTGCATGGATGTTGCATTTCGGGAGTCTTTCTCGGACCCATAGCTAGAAGGATCTGTAACGGGCATGGTGTAGTTTAGGGTTGCTACAAGGAAAAACAAAACAGGGGATTAGGAAGATATTTAATGAAAGGCTTTACTGGAGGATTTGATTGTAACCATTTCAGTTACCTAGAAACGTATACCCACACAGCAGCTCCACGCGGCAAGGCGTCCATCACGAACACACAGAGTTTTGAACAGGCCGAAATACTCCGCCATCTTGGACCCAGAACCCTGGAATATGCCACTAAAGGAGCTCATTTATGGTGTCAGAATAACTGATTGTAGTTGTGAAACGGGCTCAGCCGCCCAATTGGGACATGCGAATGCCAAGAGTCGGCGCAACTCCATGCCGAATGCCCTATCAATCGGCGTTCGGGCCAACTTCTTGTATTTCGGGAAGCCACAGGTGGGATTCTTGATCGCACCGGCCCGATTGAATACGAGGGAGCCTGATCACCCTGGGATGGCACTTGGTGACTCTATGCACTCGTGTTAACGGAGGATTAATCGACCAGGTGGAGAGGCTCGGCTTCCAAACTTCGTGTTGAGAACGCCACTAATATTTGGGAGAAAAACAGTCTCTAGATAATTTCCAGTGTTTACGCCATGTTGGTTTCGTGGCTGTGCTTGAGTCATTTGTGTGACCCAGTCCCCTGATGTTTAAGACTTTGCATCTGACATCGGCGCAAATTCGGATACCAACTATCAAGAAACCTACGGAGCTCGCTTTAATTTCTTCATCTGGAGTATAAGATCCAGGGCATGTCCAGAGCTTTCTCACCGCACTTTCCAAGATCTGCGAAGACGATGCCTGTCCCAGAACTGTATAACAGCACGCTGTACACTCGTACTGGCCTTTTCCTCGAATTTTCCACCTTGTCTACTTTTGCAGCCGTTGCCACTCACTCCGAAGGATCTCCGGCAGTTCTTCCACCAGACTAGGTCTGTACGGCTTCCATCCCAGAACTTTTCGTGCTCGCTGAGAACGGCCGCGGGAATTCATACCCCAACTGAGTGACTCAAAACCGGCATATTGCTTTGCGCTCTCCAGGTCGATGGGTTCCGCTTTGGCCTCGGGCAAGTATCCCAGTTTAGCAGCTACCTCTGCAGTAGTCTGGGCCAGTTCCCCCCAGCAATGCTCCCCATTTTCGGTCAAATAGTAAGTCTTAGCACCCCACAGCCCGCTGTCAGTCCGGCCGGCAATTGCAGCGTCCACGAGAAGAGCATAGACGTCGCTCAGATCATGTACATGGACGTTGTTCCAAATGGACTTGCCTGCGCCGATGATCGGGCCCTTTTTCAGGCGCAGTGTCACATTGGCCAGTTCGTAGACTTGTCGGCCACGCTGGGAAACAGGACCACGTCCTCTACCTGTTTTGATTTTTAGCACATGTTTTCTTCTTTGCGGATAATGCAAGTGACGAACCGTAGATTGTTGGAGGGCAGACCAAGGCTACCTTGAGCACGTCTGCATGTTTCGCTGCCGCGTCCAGGACGAGCTGGTCCACATTCCGATGGAATGCGTGGTCTGGGAGATTGAGAAGCTCTTCCACTCCATCCCAGTCGTCGTAAACTTTGTCACTGGGGTTCCCATACTGCCCCGAGTCGGAATCTTCAAATGTGAGGATGCCAGTGCCACCGGTATGCAGCCAATAGCCTGGCTTTTCTTTCGTGTGTCCGGCAACTAGCCCAGCAGCAATGGCCTTGGCGGATCCCACATGGTCTGAAGCGTCGGCATTGTCTGTCGTCCGTTTGGTTAGTCGCCAGCACTGTGTGGAATTCCAAACAATACTCACGCAACACAATATCGGCTGAAGCACTTTCGCGCTCCAGCAGTGCAGAATCATCAAGGTCACCGTGGACGACCCGAATAGATGGATACTGGGCCTTGACTTGATCTCCCTTCTCAGCACTGCGGACAAGAACTGAGTAGGAGAACTCAGGGTGTTTAGCAGTCAACGTGGCTAGGATGTCGCCACCAATGTAGCCGGTCACACCAGTGCTGTGCGCTGTAAGCTCTGCACACCGAGAGACAGGTTTCGTGAAGTTCCTGAAGAGTGTATTACTCACATAAACACTTTAGTCATTTTGGTTGCTGCACCTTGCTTGGTCGTATAGTTGAGCGTTGACGTCACCGGGCGGAGATCAAGGTTGGAATCATCAACTTGAAAGCAATCCTCAAGCGAGATGGGTTACTTGTTCGGAATACAGATTGTTGAAGGAGATGTCATGGCACATATCCCCATCGTTATTAACCCCGCTGTGGAACCATTTGTAAGCAGCCTGTGGATGATCCATAGTGATGAAGCTTTGAGGATGTATGTCCTCATACTTTGAATCTCGATTGCATCATTCCCTCAAGCGGAGACTAAGCTTTGTGTCAAAATACCAGCAAATCGGCTTTTTGTCTTTGGGAACCGGCTCTGCCCTCCAATCCTCCCTGTGATCGACACTAGGTCAAGGAATTAACCTGTCTATAAACTCCCAGCCAAAACACAACTACATCCATGGATAGATTATTACCAGGAAAGGATATCCATGCGACAATGCAAGTCAAACTGCCAAGAACCGACAGCAACACAATCCCATACTCGATCTATCCCAATTCAGCAATCTCGTCCGACCCGGACTACCGAGACTCGGACTCGGCGTCGTAGCTCTTTGCTCCCATCGAAAGTTGTGACCCTCTTTGTTCCGAAGAACTTTCCAACTGGGCAATGATAGACTATATGAATCTGCTCATCAAGTCCTGTTAGCTGGTCGTCTGACTGACGACAGTATTGCCCTTATAGTCCAAACTTTTCTATATTTCCTCAAACAGCATTAACTGAGAATGGCAAAAGCTTTTGGATTTCCCACGAAAGTTTTGGGTTCTCTAAATCGCCCTTGATTCTTATTCTGGTATAAGTCGATTTTTGAATTTATCTTTGCTTCCGGTGCAAAACGTATTAATCCTTTTTGGCAGGCCGCACCATACTGACTTGCTCATATCCAGGAAATGGATTAAATGAATCCACACTCCGAAACCCATACTTCTCGTACAGGGGTTTCCCTTGCGGCGAGGCAGAAAGAAATACCTCCACCCGACTCTCATCGGCGCGTGAGATGCCCCATTCTAACAACTTAGTTGCCAAGCCCTTGCCTTGGTATGCGGGATGAACACCCAGCAGATCCAGATCTACTCCAATGTCAGTATTCAAGAAGAGGAAAGGAAATTACAAAGACAGACAGTAGTGAGGACGTTCGCCCATCCACTTTTGGTGCTGCTCATCCATCGCTCCGAGAAACCGCCCGCATAGCTCCGCGTCGCACCCCTCGGGAAAATCCATGTTGTCTTCCTCAGCGTCTTCATGCGCGCGCGAATCATGATCTGCAGGCACGGGACGTTTCCACTTTGCGAACGCCACGATCGCGGCTGGATCGGAGGCTTTGACAAACTTGATAAAGGTCTCGTATCCTTGGCCTGCGACTGACTGCGCCATGCCCGCGCCAAAGAACTCGGCGGTTAGCCAGTTTCGTATCTCCGGCGTGTGAGGGAACATGGTCCGGTTGAATTCATCGTCGAAGGCAGCTATGAACACGTCGGCAAACTGGGCTGCATCTTTTGCTTCAGCGGGAAGAATTTCAAAAGCCATCTTCTATTTCCGGTGCTTTCCGAGTGGAACAGAATGCTTCCTGTGAGAAAACTGAAGACCGGAGAGCGTGGCACGTGACGCTGCCCAAAATAGAGGCAATAATATGCTACGTGATGAATAGTGGTAAATTTTTTTTTTTTTTTTGGTATGAATATATTCAATACGATAATTCGCCAACTTTCCAGCTACAGATTTAGACATTAAACAAGAATACTATAGACGTGATACAGACTGCGGACTCCCCATATATGCACCGGTTGGTTCACTCACTCGATATATAAAATGCAGTACCCAATCCCAAAATGAGAAACCTCAGTATGTACCAAATTGGTCACTGTGCTTCGTGCGATCTCACAGTTGGTCGCTCCGCATGAGGAGACGAGCACAGTTATGGATAGAGAATGGGGAGACGATTTAAAGTAAACCGGTTCACAATTCACGGTTCACGATGAATCCTCCATTCTAGAAGAGTTCGACCACGTCGACTTCTTTCCTCAGCTTTGTGCTTTTCCAACTCCCAGCGCCGGTTCAGGAACAGCGAGCGGGCTCAACTGGCCTTCCTGGTGCTGTGGGTTCACCATATCTGATCGTCTAGGCGTGCCGGATGCTCTCCCACCATGAGTCAGTACAAGCGAACGGCGGATGCGTGGGTCTTCGGGTTGTTGCTGCTTGCTCTGGCTGCTTTTGGAGGTCTCCATTTCATCCTTGATGCTTTGGTACATGCTTTCAACAATGAATATCTCTTCTTGGACATCGAGGTCGCAGCCTTCCAGACAAAATTCACGTTCACGCTGCTCGATGTATTCTCGAATGTTCTTCCACCGATTCTGGTACTGCTTCAGACGGTCCGGTAGTCCGGAGCCTCGGAGGTAGGTCAGGATCCCCGCCATGATCGTGTTGATGGCGCCGAACGCGGTAACTGCGCTGTGCGGCCCGCGTGCAGCACCGAGAGCAGTAACCGCTGCGGCCACGACAATTTGAATCCCAAGGCATGTGTTGATCATCCAGCTGAACATGCGATATCCACGCCCAGCGTTGGTTTCATTCGTCACAACACGCGTGTAAATACCGACATTGTCTGCTGGGCGGGGAAGGTGCCCTCCTTGCGTGAGAGCAGGCACACTGTCGATGCCCGTCAGGGAGCGGAAAACAAGGAGCTTGTCGTTAGGTGGGATGAGAGCATCACTGCTGGTTGTTTGAGGAGCGAAGGATTTCGGACGTGATTGGTTTGTATGGTTCCCATTTTGATCTGTGGCTGCGTGTTGAGATACGGGTGGATAGCCTTTCTCTTCACGGTCGAGTGCTGCCTCGATAACGCGACGCAAAAGGCTGCGGTCTGCTGATCTGTTCGACATGGTTATGTGTGTGAACTGCCTTGGCTCAGTCAGAGTGTGAATGACGGCGAACAGATGCACAATAATAAAGGCCCGAGAGGAAGATCCTTCATATTTGTAGCAGCCAGGCCAAAGATTGGAAACCGGATTTTTGGAAATCTTTACTTGCGTAACGCCCCACGATTGCAGATTACATTCTGCTTTAGTGCAGATTCAGGTTCGTCCGAAGCTCCAACGCAAAGCTACTGCTGGTTCAGGGATTCTCAAGGGCTGATATGCGCTATTGACTTCCTAGAGCGGCAAGCCGGGTGGGTGGAAAGCTGCAGGGTTTGGAAGACGGACGGGCACTAGGAAGACGATCTGGACCATAGCCGTGCCAACGAGCTTGGGGTTTGGATGTCGAGGGTGAACAGTTCAGGGAGAGCCACGTGCCAAGAAACCTTCTCATTCCGAAAGTTGTGACTCGAATGGAGATCTGCACGGAGAGTTCACGAGAAACAGTCAAGAACGGTGGGGCCAGACGCAGGCATTGGAGGAATCAGATGCCTGGACCGCGATGGCGGTCCAAAAAGGCGTGCCGATCGAACGCGCTCCGTGCTCTGTGTGTGTGCAAAATCCTCCGATGTTAGCGTTGCAGATGGAGTCGCTTGCCACCCTAAAGCCTAGCCAGCCCTTCGTCACTCGAGAGTGCATGACAGGTGGAGAAGCCGCCCCAGTCGGGGTGATTGAGATAGTCCCTGTGCAGGCGAACCGCCAGGGTGGTGGAGCATGACAGACCACTCATGACCCGCTCGATGTCTGTCAACAGGAGAGCGCAGAGGGGGAGACATTTTCCCTGCGGACTTATCCACCAAAGATGGGTGGTGAATGCAGAGTATTGCAATGCAGGACACGCGAACTGGAGCGTCCCTTATCTGAGGAGACACGGAGGAACACCTGTTCGGCTGGTCATGGGCCCCTAATTCTCCTCATGACACGGGTTGTGGGTTGTATTATAGTGGACCTCTGTTCACGCCGAGCACTGAGATCTGGGCTGATTGGCCAATGCGCAACTCGTGGCGGGCTGAGTCTGTTCTCGGCAGTAGTCTTAGAAGCTCTGGAGTGTGTTGCGGGACTCGGCTAGTCCATTTCCTCTTACACTGAGGGATAGTGCCAAGTGACGTGCCGGGCCGTGACGGATCTAGGCCGAATCCCATGGTTGGTTACCTCCCCTTAGTCTCTGCCGCACATCATGACGCGGGTAAACATGTCGAGAGCCAGAGATGGCAAGGGTATCTGCATAAGCGGCAAACCTTCTGGCCGGCGTCAAATTAGGGAACTGAGAAGTGTTGCGTCATTGAGTTGGCTGTTGGTGAAATCCATTGAAATCTTGATGCGGTACTTTTGCGTTCGGTTGGCGAGCGATGGAAAGAATCGGGAGCTTATGGATGGGCATATTGCATAAAAATCTGCGCTAACTGATCGTTGTGTTCACATACTGGGTACTAATATGACATTTGCATTATTCACCTTCTCACGCCAATCTCCCCGAACCACCCTCACCTGAACCAGTTAACGGCAACATGGCTCGGTCGGAGTGGTGGCCACGGAGAAATGTGGAGCAGTTGAATCCGGCAAAGCTCCCCGCCCTGTGAGTGACAGGCCTGACTAACGGCCCGCGTTATCTCGACATTTTCTGCTTATAAACGCACACCATCATTGTCACCGGACCGAAATTTGTTTCTCGAAGCTGATCAGAGCAATATGGGCGAGGCACCGCTGTCGAAGGAGCGTCTGCTCGTGATTTTCTACCAGGAGCTGCCCGCATCGCTGGTGGGGTACATCAAAAGCAAGTTCTCCAATGCCGAGGTCACCGTGTATAGGCCGATCAAGGACGTTCCAGTCCCAAGTGGTAAGTCACTGTCGAATTTATTGACGGACCAGAAACTAAGAGCGTTGTAATACAGATTTATGGCACAATGCGACTGTGCTGGTCACATTCACAACTCTCCCGGATCTCAAAGACGCGAAGAAGTAAGCTCCCACAAATCCGGTAGATAATGCCTCTCAACTTATTGTGGTTCCAGCCTAAAGCTTATCCACTTCCTTTCCGCCGGTCTGGATCATCTCGTGGACCATCCTGTTTTAAAGGAGAGTGATATACCCATCACTACGAGCTCGGGCATTCACGGTCCGCCGATCGCAGAATGGACCGTGATGAATTGGCTAGTCTCGTCGCGCTATTACATCAAAACGTACGAGGCACAGAAAAAGCATAACTGGAACTCCAAAGAGAGCTATATGCAGGGGATGCACGATCAGGTTGGCAAGAAACTTGGAATCCTGGGATATGGAAGCATCGGCCGACAGAGTATGCCATTCGTCCGACCCCTCGATATGGGATTCTGGCTGATTGTATTCTAGTTGCCCGCGTTTCGAGTGCAATGGGCATGACCGTCCATGCCTATACGGCCTCACCTCGCACAACTCCAGAGTCAAAGCATGACTCTGGCTATATCGTTCCCGGCACCGGTGACCCTGATGGCTCAATCCCTGCTTCCTGGCACCACGGTGCGGATAGAGAATCCGTCCGCTCTTTCTTGGCCATTGGTCTCGATCATCTTGTCATCTCTCTACCCTTAACTCCACAGACCACCCATCTTCTCGGGCCGGAGGAATTTTCAATCCTGTCAGACAACTCCACACACCCCACCAGCAAGCCTTACGTGACGAACATTTCCCGCGGCAAGGTCATTGACCAGGATGCTTTGATTGCGGCCTTGAAATCGGGCCAGCTCGGTGGTGCCGCGCTGGATGTGACTGACCCCGAGCCTCTGCCGGAGGATCATCCCTTGTGGGATGCGCCGAATGTCCAGATCAGTCCTCATGTCAGTGGTCTGGGCAAGGAGTACTTCCCACGGTCTATGGATATCTTGGCCAAGAATTTGGAGAGGATGGAGAGGGGGGAGCCTTTGATTAATTCTTATAGACGGGGGAAGGCATATTGATTGGCATATAGTCAAGAGTTACTGATGGCAGAAGTGTTGACTTCAACATCCCCATATTGCCGACTGTCATCTGAAAACGGGTTTCATATTGACGGTTGGGGATCGAAAGGGTCCCGAGGCCCCATCCTCAAATATTGGGTCTTAGATCATAATTTCACTATCAAATGAAGTACGTGCGGATAGATGTTAATTGATCTCAAACCAAGCAATTGCAGCCATGTTATGATACTTTGTCAAAGATGAATAATAATATTTAATCTGATGACAATGGGTAAGCTAAGATAGATCTAAATATAGAACCCGAACGCCAGTAACCGTGCCATGTGGGTATAATATGCGAAAGCTGGGGAGCTGAATGCGAGGAACAGCAACTGACCACCGGCAATTCATAGAGACTGTATATAATACATTCAAACAGCATCATAGCTCTTCAGGTGTTTTTCAACGACTGATGAAAGATCCGCCCGCCATTCAGGGGACTGCGAATCATCGCGAGTCCGGTATTGTCTGTTGATCAAGATGGCTAGTCGTTGACTCCAGAGAGAGACAGGAGATTCCGTGGATGGCAGAAATGCCTCACTGTTTTCTCCACGCTGAGTGTATATATCGTGACATTTCGTAAGGCTGAAAGACTCGAATATGACCGACAGATCTGAAGGAAGAGGTAAACAGAGGTTATGTAGATCGCATCCTTCTGTGATTCTCTCAAAGGGCAATTTGCTTGTATGTAGGCGCCGGGACTTGGGGCCTTCTTTCTGAGGGTCGCTCTCCCTGTGGCCACTAGAATGACGCATCAGATATGCCCTCGGGTCATGGAGTGAAAGCGATGGTGTTGGGTTGGGTTGGTTGAAAGAGAAGACTGGAAGGGCGACGGAGTTGATGTCAGAAGTCAGGGCAGCTCTTGCAGCCAGGTATCGGTTGCGATGGGGAGACTTCGAAGACGAAGGACCAGGTTGTGAGCTTGACGTTCTGACGCGTTCATTCGATTGTGTGCGACGGTTCTGCATCGCCTCCTTCTTGCGCCTCTCGAAATCTAGAGCTTGTTCCAATCCAGGATAACTTTCATTGTTCATGCCCTGATGAAGACTGGCCGCCCATTTTTCGAGTACTGGAAAACCTCGACCACTGTTCATGGATTCTGGAAGATGGTCATTGGAGATTGGAGGCAAAGTATTATCACCCGTCGCAGAATGATGAGACGTCTCGTTGGGCGTTTCGTGCAAAGATGAGGGACGTCGGTCGTCAAATGATGAGTCCTGTATTGATGTCTCAGTTGGGAAGGCAAATCGCCCATTAGCAAGTTGCGAAAGAGGAGTGGGCTCCGTCTCTTGCTCAAGGCTACCACTCGAAGGGCTTTGCTGGAGCGACATTTGTGTCGTATTTTGAAACCAGGTGTCGAGAGCCCCATTTCCGTACCTTTCTCTGTTCCGTACTCGCGTAGCGTTTCGAGATCCATTTGAAACCGAAGTTTCTGTGACCGCAGACTGTTGTGGACCATGATGACGTTGGCGATGGCTGAGAGGAGACACTGATGTAACTCTCGATTGAGGGGGGCTTAACAATTCACGACTGTTCGAAGGCGTCTGATAGACATGACTATGCTCATTTGTCTGCCTGAATCCGTGCGGATTACCGTCCAACCCTGATCGAGGATGGATTGCACCCCGGGCTAGGATACGTTGCCTCTCAGAAGTATACGGCGGGACATTCATCTTAGTGATAGACCATGGATTGATGAATTCCGAATTTCTGTTCGCTGCGTTGGAGGAACGGAGAGGGCTTTGAAAAGGGCTGTGAGGAGAATTAACAGGTGAAGTAGTCTCGGTCGAATTAAGTGGTTGCATGAGAGAAGTAGTAACAGCAGTGTCGACAGCTGCCTCCGCCGAGCCCTGAGGTTTATTGATCACTGTGGCGGGGCGTTTTCTGGCCATAAGAAGCTCAAATCCAGGTCCGTTAGAAGTCGCATTCGAGGCTGTTTTCTTAGCTTTTGTTGGCTTCTTCTCGTTGGAGTTTCCTAGATCGCCATATTGCTCATGCAAAAGGCTTTCAACCAAAGAGAGAACAAGATCTCGATCCTCAAATAGTATGTCATCCTTCGACGGTTCGATATTGACGTCGTAGCTTGCCTGGGAACACTGAATCTGCAAACAGAGAAATGGATCGGAAATCGAAACGGCCGTTGCCACTTTGGAGCTTGCTGAGCGGAGATATGTCTTGTATAGCTTGACAATATCCTGTCCGATTCCTCTGCTCGTAGATAAAGGCCGGCCATCCACGTTAAGGAATTGCCCTGTGTTGTTCACTCTGGAAAAGTCTGCGCTTGTCAGCTTCTGCACTGGCATGATTGATAGAAATAGATATACCCGTGTCCGCTTTTGGGAGAAAAGAAACGAGTTGATAACATCTTCCCTGTCCTTGTTCACTTGGTTCAGAAGAAAACTTTCGAATTTCACAACAGGAGGATGCCTCTGTTCCAACAATTTTCATGGCAGTGTCTGCAAAACTCTCGGTGGAGTGTGGTGCGTACACCCAATTGTTGTTTTCATTCTTGGCCTTGAGAACTTTAAGCGAGAGACGCTTGGAAGGTCGAGCCATTGCATAAGCCTGGAGGAGCTTTTTGATCCTGGTGATATTTTTCGCAGCACTTTTCAGGACAGTCTGCCTGCGGACTGGGATGTGCTTGAGAAATTCCGTAATACGCACAGTTGTGCCCACCGGATGCGATGTTCGCTGTGCCCTTTAGGGACAAAGTCAGCTTAATTGAGAGTTTGCGAGATAGACGGAAGGTGAGGTATATACTCCATAAGCTCACCATCTCTGCCATACTTGAGACACGACCCAGCAGCCTCTGATTCGATCCGTGTCGTGATGGTGATACCCCCTGACATATTCGCGACACTGGCTAAGGCTTCACCGCGAAAGCCAAGCGATGTACCGCCGATCGTTCTGAGATCATCGGTCGTTCGGATCTTGCTGGTGAAAGCATGCTTGCACACGAATTTATGGTCCTCAGAAGGAATTCCGTATCCATTGTCCTTGACTTGGATGACATCAAGAGTATTCTGTGATATCTCGACCACTAGCGAGGAGCTCGCTGCGTCCAGCGCGTTGTCAACCAGCTCCTTCACCACCGAATATGGGTCTGTGATGGCCGAGGTAGACCCAATGGCCCGAATTGTGGTCGGGGGAAGAGCCGTGATCGGCATCTTCAGATCAGGGGATCAACCAGCCATCGGCCAAGCTGGTTCGCCGAGTATGTATCAAGCAATGGATGATGTTGGTGATGGAGAGAAACAAGAAACCAGAGGCCCAGGTCGTTACTGCCACGCACTGGCACCGGATGAGTCAGCATTGGCCTCCCTTTCCCTCCGGAATCAACAACCCAACTCGATGGCCAACCCAGCAGTTCTCGCCGTCTGCCGGCCTTGCAGACATGTTTGGTGATGACTTTGCCGTCTCTCAGCTGGCGATTCCCGCTGTCAGCGTGCTGATCAGCTTCCTCGCGTACACCTCGCAATATCTCTTCCTGCACTTCGAGTCAGCACCACTCCAAAAAGATGAGGCCTGGAAGATCAATATCTTCGCCCTGTGCATCTGGATATGCTACTTCCGCGCTTGCTATACAGACCCCGGCCGACTCCCCAGGGAATCGGCGGGTCAAAAACAGGACGATGGCTCGGCCCATAGTCGCCAGCGATGGTGTCGCAGATGCGAGGCCTACAAACCACCGAGAGCTCACCACTGCAAGACTTGCAAGAGGTTCGGATAGATAATATTATTCTTCTAGTCTTCTTGCGACTAATGTTCGCTAGGTGCATCCCTAAAATGGACCACCATTGTCCATGGACGAACAACTGTGTCTCATATTTCACTTTCCCTCACTTTACTCGCTTTCTATTCTATGCGGTGGTCGGTATGTCCTATCTCGAGACTTGTCTTTTTGATAGGGTATCGATTGTCTGGGGCAACAGAGCTCTACCAAGTGTAAGCCAATCAATAGCAAATGGAAAATTAATTACTGACTATCCAGCCTAGTACCTTGGCCCGTCAATTGTGCAGCTTGGCCACCTAGCTATTCTGTTTATAGTCAACAGCATGACAGTATTTGCGTTGTTCGTTTTGCTAGTCCGAACCGTGTGGTCTCTCGGATCCAATACTACTACCATTGAATCCTGGGAAATTGAACGACATGCTACCTTGGTCCGCCGGGCTCGTGTCCTAGGTGGATATCTCGATGGTCCCGGGGGCGTCCGTATTCACATCAAACAACAAGAGTTTCCTTATGACATTGGCATCTGGGCCAACATCAAACAAGGCATGGGAGGAAGTTCTAACGTCAGTTCAACTTGTTACACGAGTGATTCGTTTGGCTTATCCTTGCGTTAGTTTCTAAGCTGGTTCTGGCCACTCGCTTTCACACCCAACCGTTCTTCAGGCTGGGATTTCGAGGAGAATGGTTTCGAGAGTAGGTTTCGTCCTCTGTATAACCATGTCATCCGCTAACTGACACCCACGAAGGCCCCGGTGTCACATGGCCACCACCAGACCCAGATCGCATTCCTTTGCCAGCGAGTGCCAATCGGGAACCCCAAATGCCACAAACATACGCCTCTGCCAGGGAAGAAGTCGAGGCTTTCAAGCGTCGTCAATCGGAAGATCTGAAGCGCCAGAGACCATTCGAGAGAGTCCAACGTCGAAAGAGATTTTATGATCGTTACAAGGAACTCAGAGACGAAGATGAAAGCCGTGAGGTTTCTCCCGACCGCGGGTCTGCCAGTGCCTCTGATGAAGGCGAGGAATCCTGGCGCAACTCCGAGGGAGAGCGATTGCGCGATTTTGGAGTCGATGAAGACGTCGAATTCTACGACGAGGAAGATCTTCCGTTAGCTGTCCTGATTGAACAGCGAAGGCAAAGAAAACAGTGATATGGTTCGAACTATCAGACCTTTCTGGCAACCCCTCTCAGGCGTACGTAACCTAGCCACTGACTCCCATCCTCAACCCGAGTCACAGCCGTGTGGAGCACATCACAGACCTGACGAACGACGATTTCCTGCTTCTCGGCAGGGAGAATCTCCAGGAACTGCGCACCCATCAGTCTTACCCAACCCTCCAGGCCACCGTTGGCGGAGGTAGTCAGCTTAGTAGGGCGGTATTCGAGTTCCACCTTTTCCACCTGAAATCCCACCTCTTCCAATGCATTCTTCATCCACACGTCGGACGGGAAGAACCAAGGGCTTGTCTCTCTGGCCTTTTCGAGAGACATACCTTGCTGTACGAGGGCATGAATGAGTGCGGTTTGAACTTCAGCCACATTACCGTGTCCTCCCATCTCGAAGACGTACGTTCCGCCGGACTTCAGACAGCCGTGGACTGCACGGATGGTGGACATCCGAGTTGTTTCATCGCGGAGAATCCAGTGAAGAGCCGCGTTGGAGACCCTAGTTCTACATCAGAATAAAGGGAAGAAAATGCATCATCAGTCTATGCTCACACTTTGTCGTAGCTTCCATCCACAATAGACGGATCTTTCTCCAGGAATCGGCAATCGACAACTTGGAACTTCGCTTTGGGGCTCTCGTAGTTCTTCGTGGCGAAGTCGATCATGGCGGCCGAAGAGTCAATGCCCAGCACGGAGCCTACGGCTGGCAGAAAATTCTCGGTGAATTTGCCATCGCCACAGCCAATATCTAGAACTTTGTCTGTCGGTTTCGGGTCGAGGTATTTCAGCAGGGTCTGGGTCAGCTTCGGGACGAAAGATGCTGCGTTGGCGTATACCTAATGATGTCATTAAGAAATGTAAAGGAGCAGATACTATCAAGGAACCTACTTCTGAAGACCAGTGATCTTTAGTAGTGCCGTTATTGGATGCCATGTTGCTTGATAGTTGCGGGAGCATGCGCAGAAGTTGGAGTTGCCTCAGCGCGGGGCAGGATAGAAGGAAAATAATGAACAACCAAGACGATCTAAAGATTACTTTGTGAACCAGGAGCAACAAGCCTATGAATTGTTTGGCTTTGTCTTTTATTCAAGCGGGCGAGTTTTTCTTTTTTATACCTCAGTTTTTGAGGGTGACAGACACTGAAGTACAACCTGGCCGATATCGGCCACAGTCTCGAGCGCAGCACCGAGCATCCTTCGTAACCCCACCAAAGATGAGGTCATTCTCGTCGCCAAACCATTGCTTTGAAATTACCTTCCTCGCCATCACAAGACAAAGAAAGAAGTGTTTAAAAACTGCCTCAGGGACTTTACAGTATTAGTTGACGTGTCTTCCTCTCCACTTACTAGTTTAGCAGAGTTTCCTCGAGTCTGACATTTGAAACCCCATTTACACCCATTTACTGCCGAGTATGGCGTATACCGGCCATTGCAACTGTGAGAGTGTTCGCATTACTCTCTCTGAGCAGCCGCCCAACTCGGTCATCTGCCATTGGTGAAGCACCAAGAGCCTCTTGTGCGGGGGCATCGACATGCTGACAGGTTATCTAGTGCATGCTGCAAGAGAGCCGGCGGTTGTCAGTGATAACTTCCATGGAGAAAGGATATGAACGGAAAGTGCCTGGCTGACGGTGCATAAAATAGCCTTTTCGATCAATTATATGGCTGGCGAAGACGAAATGACTGTTGAAGATCCCACGAACGCGCTGAAGATCTACAATGACAAGAACACTTCCAGTGGGAACGTTATCCAGGTAGCCTAAGCACCGGTGTTTCTCATGTCCGTCCTGTAAACAAGAGCGGCGCTAACCGGTCTCTTCATGAAAAGCGATATTTCTGTTCCAACTGCGGGAGGTAAGCTGGCCTTTGCTCGATGGCTATCTAGTCATTGACATACCATGGCAGTCCTGCGTTTACCAAGACACCCCTTGTCCCGGGGAAGGTCTTCCTGAAAGCGTCACTATTCGATGAAGTCTCCCCCTGTCGCGATGAAGTGTTCGATGAGCAGCGCTTGCAGTGGGTGAACATTGAGCGAGTCCAGAAGGCTTGATAGATGGGCGCAGAGTGGTCCTTGGCGCGCGGAATGGAACCTATCAGCCCCCTTGGTTGACCGCAATGGCGTGCTTTAGGGCCGACTAGGTTAATTTAAGCTTAATTGCATATCCATCTGGGCAGTTTTTCGCCAACCGTTTCGGGCTTTCAGAGAGAAGGAGGCGGAATCCTGTGCAACAGTGATTAATTGTGGGCTTGAGATTGGCCCATTCCGAGACATTCAGCGGCTGTGGCCAAAATAGATTATTCTGCCCCCATATCCCTAGGGACTCGTAGGCGAGAATATCTCCCGTGCGACGCCATTTGCAATTGGGTGAGCATTCCAACATCGTGAGCCGAAATGATGCAATCAGGGCTGTGGGGGCTGTGATTGGCCAGACTGGAATGTTGGACAAGCACCCATCATTGCAGGGCAAAAACATAATAAAGGTGCTTGGAACGGAGCATTTGCACCACTGACTTCGTCTTAACCTCAAAATGTATTTTCCTTCCTCCTCGCCAGCCCATCAACAACCGACCCCCCGTACGCCCCGGACTGAGAGCGGGCCTTGCGGGGCATTTCGGCTCCATCCGACCGGGGACAAGTGCGAGCAAGGACCGACGGGTTGACATTTTCCTGCTTGGACCTCTCCACCTCCTCACAAAAACCTGCAGGCAAACAGAAAAAGCTTCTGCGAGCAATGCCAACCCAACCGGACTATCGGCCACGATCATGACAGAGCCTTCAGGTCAGTCATCGGAGCCGGAGCGGCCCTCCACGGCAGTTGTCCGGGACTCCCGCCCGCGTTCTTCCCACGACAGCAGTAGCCAGGACGACCAGCGCGAGGCCCTCGAACTGCAGGAGATCCAGACCCGCGAAGACAACGAGCTCGACTATTCTACGCCATCTGCGTCGTCGGGCGACGAGTACCGACCACCCACCCGCCGCATCGTATCGCATGCCAGTGTTCGAAAAGCCCGTGAATCGCGGAAGGGGCTTTGGGGGAAACTTACCCGCTTCTGGACACGAAATGTTACATTAACTGTGTCGCAGAAAAGTAATCGAGATCATTTTGGTAAGTTCATGGTCATTTCAATGCTTTCGGTGATCGCTCGCATCCGACTTTTTAAACGTTCACTATACCCCTCGATACTGACAATCCATATGCAGCTATGGAACGAACATTCTTGGCCTACATTCGTACATCGACAGTTATTGCCATGCAAGGTGTGCTTGTCGCGCAGCTTTTCCGACTGCAGCAGAGCAAGTCAGAACAAGGCACTTTGCGATTTCAACAAGTCGGTGTCCCATTATCTGTCGCCTGTCACTGCGTGGCTATTCTGGTGGGATTGATTGGTGCCTATCGGTTTTGGAAGCAACAGGGTGCCATTGCATTAGGCAAGATTTATGCCGGTGGATGGGAGGTTAATATGGTGGGGATATTATTATTTTGCGTAAGTAGTTGCGCACATCTCAAGGCCATTTGGACAATAACTCACTATTATCAGGTTATTGCGACGACCTTGGCTCTTTCAATTGCGATTGTGGTCCAAATCGATAGCGCTCCCCCTTCATTAATCGGCCGTCTAATGCGCTGGTGAATCATTGCTCACTTTGATCGGTTTTCATGCATTTGGGACGGTATCAGGACTGGAGGAGTATTGAGCGGAATATACCCTTCGGGCTCGATTTAATGTTTCTGCATAATGGCCCTGGAGGCAAGCAAGGATGCAGCTGTAGTTTTCCGTTCGCAAAGCAAATGATGATGCGAGCTTTAAAAAATCTAAGCAAATGTCAGGACAAGCGAAATGAAAATGAACGTACCGATCTTCAACCTATTACATAGTTCACAGTGACGCGACGCTCAATAAGGTCTAGCGGCTCTGTTTTCCGTCTGGGTCCCTGTATATATAAGTCCCTCACACTGCGTTACGAGTCCCCTGTTGCTCCTTGTCCCTATTCTGTTTTTGTTTACTAGCATGGACTCAGATAAATGGGGTCGGATCAAGGCTGTCTTGACTCTTCTTACATCAGCCCACGGAGACCAGGGCCGAGATCCCGATAATCAGCGGTTCCTTAAGGAATCACGCGTCTCGTATTCGGAGATAAAAATGGGTTAAGTACTAGTACAGCTTGATTTCTCGTAAGACAGAACCAGAATAATTTATCGGTTCAGAGACCCCACAAATTATTGTCACACCTCTCTAACATGATTCCAGCTACCGAAAACAACCAAGTGCTTATAGAAAAAGCTCGAGGTCTCCGACATGTCTGTTGGGGAGAGGAATATAAGCGAATGATCTCCGGCATGCTGTAAGCGGCACTGTCTCTACAGAATCAGCTGTCAGTCTAATCGATGTGCCATGTTACAGATACAATCCTGTCGCAGCCGAGCTTATAGAGGGTCGGTCACGGGCAAGGAATTTAATGACTGAGCTCAACGCCCCGCAGCAGAGCGGAGCCTCCTCCTCGCGAGAAGACGTATTGAGGAGACTCTTTGGGCATGCTGGGAAGGGAGTATATGTCGAGCCTCCTCTGTTCGTGGATTACGGATGCAACATCCGCGTAGGCGACGGGTTCTATGCAAACTTCCAGTAAGTTTTGCCAGCCTTCCGGGACGGTCTGAAAACTGATACGTCAGTTAGTCTGACTGTCCTTGATTGTGGACTTGTGACTATCGGCAACAATGTGTCAATTGGTCCCAATGTCAGCATCATCACAGGAGAGCATGAAACGCAACTCGAAGCGCGGAGGGCACATCCAGGGCTGGAATTCACGAGAGAAATAACTATCGGCGATGATTGTTGGATTGGAGCCAATGTTATTATCCTGGCTGGAGTGACAATTGGCGAAGGAAGCTCGATTGGCGCTGGATCTGTGGTTAAAAAAGCTATTCCACCTTTCAGCGTTGCTGTTGGCAGCCCTGCTCGAGTCGTCAGGTCTGCAAAGGAGAGCTAGAGAAGATAGTTCGTACTCTAGGAGTGATAGTCTTATTCAATATCGGGATGAACCGCGTATTTATTTCAATTTGAACTAGGGCTAATTTCCGGCACTAATCGAACACACCCTAATGTTTATAAATAGTTAATACAGAATCTCCACCCAACATGTTCATGGTAGACTCAAGTGTATTAAGTCGTTATCAACTGTCCTAGTATCTTCTCGTCCACAAAAGGTCTCCCGTCTACCACCCTGGCTTCCAGCCCATTTCCGGGCAGTTTCAAGTGCTCCAGTTTACCAACCACGACTTTATAATTAAACGTGTCGCCGTCCTAGACCCCAAACGCTACGAGTGGTGTTAGCCACAATACGGCCGCCCCAGATGTGGCGTCAGCGTCTGTTCATGGAAGTGTCAGCTTCAGGAGAAGGGGATTCTCGACAAGGGTACGACAGCAAGGCGCTGTTGCCCAAGGCTGAAAGTCAATAATTTCGCAACCAATAATAATCATGGAACCTCATGTTGCATTAGTTCTCTGCGCCCGATGGGTCCCAATGATGGGGCGAAAAGCAAGATGCACACCCACCGTCCGCGCTACCAACTTAAACCGCAGACCCTCCTTTTCCAACACGAATGAACTCTCCCAACGTAACACATCTTGAGTCAAACGGCCCGACGATAAAATGTCAACCCTGGGTAAAGCCCTTGAAACACGCCACCGCTTATCTGAATACAACCTCTACCACGAAGGCGAAAAAAACATTTGCATTACACCATTTCTCCAACTAGAAAAGGAGCCAGGCTACAACAAAAGGCGACACCGTTACCAGGCCGAAGAATACGCACATATCCATTATGGGTCCGACGAGCTGAACAGCTACTTTGTCCACACGCCAGTTATTGCCTTTCGGGATCCACCGCGCACTCTCCGTCGGGGGAGCAAGAAACAGGCAAAGCCCATTTGCATTCTCAATTGCTCGAGCTTCTGGACTAAATGGACGCTTCAATTTGGTGATAACCTTGAGGATGTACTTGATCCTAGAGGTGTTGTGAAATGGGAGCATCGCAGTAATGCAAATAATGGCACGGCTGGCGATGATCGAGCTTTGAAGGGATACAGACTGCGCTCGTGGAGATTGTGGGGTGAGTCGGGAAGAGAATATTATCATTCTGTGAATTCAAGACGGAAGGCGATTGAAAGCGCCGCCAGAGAAAAGCAGGCAAATGGCGCACCTGAGAAGGATACCGCCCATGGCACATCATCAGCAACGTCCACTGAACCTGAACTCCAACCCGTTATAGCCGAAGAAGCCGTGCGACTTACCTGGGAGGCACCAATATCAACAAACACACGACGCTACTGTTTCGAATACGCTGGAATCAGCTTCTTCTGGGAAGGAACGAAAGATCTCAACGCGAATGAGAAGTGGTCTAAAAGACTCATGCCATTCAATCATCTGAAACTCGTGGCCAAATTGCCGGCACAAGATGAAGATGTCATGTTTCTAGGTCAATATACATCAAGCTTTGGATCGAAGAAATCCGGCCAGCTTCGACTGTTTGACTCTGTGATTTCGAGCCTTCTAGATAAATCCCGAAACAGATTTCTTAGAATGCGTCAGGTTACTCCTGGGGGAAATCGCCGATATGATCCGGGACTTGATATACGAGAGACTAGGCTATATGAGATAATTATGGGAACGGCTATATGTATGGTCATTGGCGAATGGGAGAAACGCATGGTGGTCTTTTGCGTTTTAATGCTCATTGCCGCGAGCGGTGATATGGCCAATGGATTCGGCGGTGGTGGTGGTGCCTGAAATGGCGAGCTCTGGGTTGTTTGGTAATATTTATCTCATTGCTTGGGACAGTTCTCCTCGGAAAACATTGATGGATTCCTCAACAAGAAGACACACATGACATTTCAAGCTAAATGCAGTGGCTCACTCGAAATCGCCCGCATTCTGAACCATATCCCATGATGCGACGGGCATGAGCGCATGGTATTGGGACGCTGTATGTCTGGCTCATCTCTTCGTTGGTACATCTCAAGATATTCGAAATACTTGGTTTTGTTGCGTGCTCATTTCTGACCAACGTGCTAAATCTGGCTTGGGAAACAAGGTACTATGGTATTCTATCGGTGATCGGGTGCACATCGGACCCAATGCCGGCCTCTACGCTGTGAAACAATACAGGTGTTCTCTCGCCACGCACCTTTCTGGGATCGGCCACGAGATCCGAGTTAGTGGTTATTGCTGGAATTGGGGGCATGTCGTTGTGCTCGCTGGCGTCACCATAATCACGGAAGATGTTCCGCCGTATTCAGTCACAGTGGGAAATCCCTGTAGGGGTTGTGAGGAAGATTTAAACTATGAAAGAGGAGGAAAAGGAGCTAGACAGCGAGTATAACATGGCTTGATCTGTGTGGAACATATGTTCAAGAAACCTCTTCTCCATGCCTCGGTAAAGCTACTCGGCCATTTGCCGTTCTATTGCAAACAAGCTTTAGTAGTCCTAGTTAAGATAAGTTGGCCTTCCCAGTTTAATAAGCAAAAAAAGGGTTCTCAGGGAAACTCGAATGCGAATTACCCGAGATCGACCGGCTAATGTCTTCATCCCATAGTACACTCGGACTTGCGCCGAATACACGAATTAAACTTTATCACAAGTGAAATACCCCAACAGCTTTATTATTGTTCGAAACAGATGGTTTGAATTTTATTTCAATTACTTCGGTCCCGTCAAACCTTCTCCTGCTCAACATGTTCAGCCTTGTCTTCTGCGAGCCCGTCATTCGTAATAGTTCTCATCCTCGCTCGCTCCTGCAGCTGCCTCCGCACGTCATCCACGAACTCCTTGTTCTTCGAGTCGCGTACAACTTGGAAGATTGAGGGCCGCTCGCCATTGCGGTCAGCAAAGAACAAATCGATCGCTTCAAGAGGCATTTTGCTCGTTTCCGGGAAGCAAAAATACACAAAAGGTACAGTTGCAAAATTTATGACGGCGAAGACGATGTAACTCTTAAAGCCGATATTGGTAATCATCGGGGGTGTGATTTCAACCACCAAGAATGTGAATAGCCATTGTGAGACAACGGCTAAAGCACCACCGCGAAGCCGAAGTTTGAGTGGCAGGAGCTCACTAGGGTAGATCCACATGTTTGACTGCCAGCCCAGAGTGAAAAAAGTCTGGAAGAAATAGAGTGCGACTGCAGCGGCATATCCGAGGCCTGTGGTTCCAATGCCGACGAAGATGGCCGATAGAAGCATGCAAGTCCCCATACCCGCAGACCCGATCATAAACAGACGACGACGTCCGACCCGATCAATAATAAACCATGGAATCAGGCTGCTGAGGAAGTAAAATATCTGCAGACCACCAGAGACGAGCATCGCATCGTTGCGCGACATGCCGATCGAGTCCTCGAAGACATAGGGGCCAAGTGAAGACATGACGTTCACGCCAGATAACTGTTGGAAAAAGTTGGCAGCGAAGCCAATTGCAACGCGCGTGTTTCCGCTAATACCATTATCTCTGAACACATCCGCCCACGATCCGGCCTCCTCGGCTTCGACTGCAATCGCGTATTGAATTTCCTTCAGTTCCTCAACGACGGGGGGATCGTCCGGATATCCAGCTCGTAAGGCAGCAAGCGAGACTCGAGCCCGGTCGATCTGCCCTTTGGAACAAAGATATCGCGGTGATTCCGGGAGAAACGGCATCAGCACAAGAACAATGATACAAAAGACGATCTGGAAGGCGCATGGAAACCGCCACTGCACGGAGCCAGCATATTTGGCCATGCCATAGTCAAGCCAGTTCGCCAAAATCAAGCCAAAAATCAGATTTGACAACTGCATCGCCATCATGCGGCCTCGCGATTTGGGCATGCTGCATTCCGATAACCAAATAGGGATGACGGTTGTCATCATACCCAAACCAAACCCAGCCACAATGCGCCCGACTAAAAATTGCGCAAGCCCGGATGTAGTCGCCTGCAGAATGGCACCGATGGAAACAATTACCGCGCCCGCCATGTTGTTAGGTTTTCGTCCAAATCGGTCTCCTTGGAGAAACTGGAAGAGCGCCCCCATGAGGGCACCGACTTCGTAAGAGGCGACTAGGAAAGCAAGCAGCGACGCGCTAGGGTTGCCGAATACCGATAGGAATTCCGGGGAGGTCGTCAGTCCTCCCATAAAACCAAGGTCGTAGCCAAACAGAAGAAACCCGAATGAGCAGCAGGCTGTCACAGCATAGACGAGGTTTTGGCCCTTAAGGCCCAGGTAAGTCGGCGACCCAGCATTGTTGGAAGGGGCCATGGTGACAATCGTTTGAAAAGTACCGTTCTCGGGGAGTTGTCTGCAGGCCCATATACTTGCTTTATAGTTTCGTCGCTCCTCCACAAATAAGTACCCCGGTTATTCCCCAGTCGGTCCACCTCCGACCCCTTATGACGAATGTGGAGATCGCCTTCAGTGGATCGGCCAGAACTCCGTCGACTAGTAACTGACGAATGTGGATTTCTGTAATGCCCCGTCCATTACGTAGACACTTAAATGCCGCAGTACGGGATAGCTATCAAAATATATACATCAGGGTCGCACAGTGGGTGTTATTGATGGTGGCCGTTATGGTGAACATGCGCACGGTTGTGCCCTTTCCTTGCCTTCTCCATCTCTTCCTCAATGGCAATCCATCTCCTGGCCACCTCCGCTCTCTCCTCAGCCGAGGATGCTCTCATTTCTTCATTCCCTTGGATAATTCTAGACTTGATAATTTGACATTGTTGGGATCTGCCGATGGTTTCAAGAAGCCGCCTGCGCAGCCCAGCCAAAGGATAGCCGGCGAGCCCCCAGAGTCCTGATCAAAAGGGGATTAGCATATGTCCGGCTGAGACAGAATATCAGGTCGCACATACCGGCTGGTACCTTGAACACAACTCCGCCTACGCCTTTTCCGACACCCTTGAACAGACCCTTAGTGCCACTGCGCTTATATCCGAACCGAGGATGAGTGACTAGCCCAGTTACACCATAATAGAATCCATCCTTGAATTCCTGCTTCAGAGTCAGCAAGTACTGAATTTAATGGCAGTGACAATACTGGAACATACACTTCCTGCGGCTCTAAATCCGCTGTGAATGCCGGTTACGGTTGGGATGCGCTTAACCGTCGGATCATGATATAGCTTAGGAGCATTGTGAAACCCCTTCGCCAAACTGAGTGACAAATCTGTCGGAAGCCAAATGACTAGATTCACGAATTTCAGTGACATAATACTTCCATGACTCGCTGCCTCGGAAAAAATGTTGTGTGCTTTGGATTTTTCCATTTCACTGCTCATCGTTTGTTGTTTTTCAAGTTGTAGACTGTCTTTTCGGTCCAGGGTCGGATCGAACAGGTCACCATTTGCTGCTAGCTCTTCTTGTTCGTCTTCATCAGTTGTATTTTCCTGACCACTCTCCATTCTGTCTTCGATTTCTCCTTCATTCTGCTCTTCCTCGCTTTCCGATTCTTCCCTGGGAGACAATCTTCCAAGACGACAGGCAGAACGAGGGTCAGAGTTCTCATGCGGTTGTCCCATTGCGCGACCAGTAGACACGATATCTGTAACGATTTCCGTTGGTACATCCGCCAACCCAATCAAGAAGTTGGCGACGGCGCCAAAAAGCACTTGAGCTCCTGCACTTAGCGGTCCAACGGGGTCACGGTATGTATCATATTCCATTGGCCGGTGTCTAGATGACTCGTTAATGAATGCCTGCGACAATCCGGTTGCCTCAAACTCACAAAACAACCTCTTCAGGTTTGATCCTCCCCGTCTCTACCAGAACTGCCCCGGCAAAGGCACTTAGTTTGATGTCCGTGCGCTTCAAATGCCAAACTGCGGGTCGAGATGGGCATATGGCGCATCTCAAAGATTGTAGGTTGAGGTGTCTATGAAAACTGCGTACCGCGTCGCGAACTCCGGATTCTTTTTTCATGTTGTCTCCAATCAATTGTGCCTTCTTCTGTGTGGAGGGTTTTAGAGCCATCTCAATCGCCTCACTCAACTTGTCCACTGTCAGTTGCTTATGAGGAATCGGGATTGGGCCAGCACCGGCTCTTGCAACAATACTCCCCCAAAATTGCTGGTCTCCGAAGAAGGGGATTATGATGGTCGGTTTGCCAAGGGCGAGTCCCGCGGCTGTCGTGCCTGCTCCACCATGGTGTATCACGACGCTCACCTGTCGAAAAAGCCAATCGTGGGGACAGCTACCGATAATGAGGATATTGTCGGGCACATCCACATCGTCAATTCCAAGGTTTCCCCAGCCTTTTGAAACTAGAGCTCGTTGTCCAGTTTTTTGGATCGCCTCAAACACTGTCCTGGTCAATTTGATTTGGTCATCCACCACGATAGATCCAAACCCAACATATATTGGTTCTGGTCCCGCTCTGAGAAAGGTCTCAATTTCCTCTGGAGGTTTATAGTCCGACTCAGTTGGAAGAAAGCTGAAGCCACAGATATCAATTTTCTCTGACCAATCTCGAGGCTTTGCGAGTAATGCTGGGGACCTGTGATACTCAGGCTGTTAATTATCATCTCCAGCACACGAAACGTCCGAATATCCTTACCACATATATGCACACGGAATTTGTAGTCGATTTATCAAACTCGGTGCCGTGATCGTATCTAGAGGATCCAATGAGAGGCAGGTTTTGCGGAACTTGTTGACCAAGTCGCCCAAGCCTTCCCATACCATCATATCTACGATAGCATAGGAAACAAAATTTGCAACGGTTGGTTTGCAGTTTTGGGGATGGACGATGGCTAGAGGGTGTGGAAAAGCCTGGGTCGGTGACCAAGGCATTCTGTGGCCATTTGGTCAGCCCGCTGTCCTGGGCGGAATTTCAGTCGTATATCAAAGGGATACACTCACGTAAACATGATATGGAGAGGGATCCCAAGTCGTTGTGCGCAATGAATATGCGCAAGGCTGGGAGGATTGGCAATGATCGCGTCCGCAACAAATGATCGTCGTCGATAATCCACTGAGTCGCTCCAAGGATCGTCCTTGATCTGATGGAGATGTGTGCCATCACCTGTTTCGAAGCATGACCTCCAGCATCCGTGGATAATTTGATTCATCTCTCGCCGACGTTTTTGAATGGCACCGCTGCGAATGGTCTTGAAATCGGGTATAAGCCCAGGATTCTTTACCATGAACGCCATCAATTCAGCCGGATCTCCCCCAATGTCGAAAAACTCCAACCCGCTTTCGTTAACAAAATCTCGGAACGCAAGATGTGTTGCAAGTCGGACCCGATGTCCGTAAGTTTTCAGCTCTTTCCCGAGAGCGACAAATGGTTGGATATCCCCACGAGAGCCAATGATCTGGATGACTATGTTGAGCTGCAGTGGGAAATACTTCCCATCTTCTTCTGGGACCGGCTTTGTGTCTTCCACATCGTGGATTTGTTCCAAATCCGAAGGCAAGGGAGTGCGTCGAAGCTGGTTCAATAATCCCGCGATGCTTGGCTTGTGCTCGTTGATGTGAATGTCCAGCCGTCCATCCCCTGAAATATGTAGAAAGAGCTGGTCAACACATATTTTGCGAGCATACACGAACGAGAACAAGCATGCCACTAACCTAGCACCTTGACCCCGGTGTCCAGCCCATCTTGACTAAATAGTACTCGATCACTCTCCCGCGAGTACGGCTGGTTGATATCCTCGGGCCAGTCTTCTGATCGAATGCCTTCGTCTTGCTGGATTGCTTCCCCTACAGTAGCCGGTGCTACTGGGGCCATGTCTCGTAAAGGTCGTCGCCAGATGCGTGGTACTATAGAAGGGGATAAAGATATGAGTCAACTATGTGTGAGTACAGTTATCTGCACTCGCGATATCGTAGGTTTGATTATTCGCGCATAGTTTTTGTACGCGCGATCCTTTTTTTTTTTTTTTTTTGGGGATGTGAGATCAGACTTGCGATCCCTTTGTAAATGGTAGTCAATGATGTCAGACGTCCCGTTGTGAGTGTACCAAACTTCCGGCTTCCCGAGAGTTCCACGTACAGAAAATGCCGAGAACGAAAAGACTCGGATCAAAATAAAAACTAATACTATGCATAAATAGACCCAGAAATAAGCGATTCGTATTACAATCTAGCAAAAGACGTTGAATCCATATACAAAACCATATATTTCATTGTCCTTGCCACTAGCCCAAAGTTGCTTGCGACAATCTTACTCTAGAATGGGTAGAAGGGGTCGTAGTAATAATAGTCGCTCGGTGTAGGTGTCGGTGTATCTGATCCAGGTGTGAACGTGATAGGCGTGCCTGGATCAGTCGGGGTGTATGGAGTACTAGTTACCCCCGGTATCCCTGGCGGAGATGAGACCTTGGGCTTGGTTGTGAAAGATTTGGAAGTTCTGGAAGTACTGGTTTTGAGCGGGGTACTACTGCTCCGAGATGAAGAAGAGGCGGAGCCGGTTGCAGAAAGCATTGCATGAAGCGCAGACTGCTGCTCATTAAGCCAGTTACTGTCATGCATCCAATTCCAGTTGTCATAGATTGGACTTTCCGTTGCAGCTGAGACAGAGCTTCTAGGAGTGCTAGTGCTGCGAGGAGTTCTCGTACTGCTCGGGGTGCGCGTGCTGCTGGGAGTGCTCGTGCTGCTGGGAGTGCGCGTACTGCTGGGGGTGCTCGTACTGCAAGGCAGTTTGTAAAATAGAAAAAAAGAGAAAGAAAACCCTGGTCTCTGCCTCATTTCACTCTAGTGACTAGCAACCCCTAATAACAAATCCCCGACTAGGCAGTAGGCGGTCCAAGAAGCAGTATACTCATAGCAGCTGAGTAATTTGGAGGTAAACGGGCAAGTGGACGTGATTGTTGAGAAAAGCAAGACGTAATAATAAATATCAATTGGAACATACTTCATATACGATCCAAATTTGAAGCTGATTGAGCCAATCAGTCTCCATGGTGTCATTTTAAGGGCTCCTGTAACTATATTTGCTCTACTAAGGACTTTACCGTCAATATTCGAGGCTTTGTAGGTACCGTGTTTATCATATATTCAGATATTGCGCAAGATACAGGCCCGTAAAGGAGTGTCCTTTCTGAAGATATGTGGATAGAGAAACAAACCAATATAGCCACTCTGGAACACAACGTAACGATAGTTAACTAGTTAGTGGAAAGATTTGTGCTTAATAATTAAGATTGTGTCATTCAACAAATGGATATTTGTTCCACTAAGGGTGCAGCCGAAGTTCGGTACACAGACGCCACTTATCAAAGAAAATGATCCCTTCCATGTGGACAACAATGCTAGTAAGGGCCGCATGAAATGCAAGTATGGTAAGCCCTGATTTGGGGATGAAACTTTTGCAATCACACTGTGTCGAGGTTCTTGGCATGGCGCGGTCTTTGGGATCAAAGATCCCTAACACGGAAACTGATGTACGCGGAATGGATTGGACGTTAACAGATCATCATACATAATTCTGTTTTCCTCAGCCTTGGGCATTAGGGAAAATGAAGTTACGGAAGCCAAGAATAAACGCGTATTCACCCAGAAGACACTTGGTTGATCTCTACTCTCCATGATAACGGAATCCTGGATTGCTCCACATTCCTCAGTATCACTATGCACGTACGTCAGTGTGGAATGTATCTCGATCTGAAAATCTGTCTCAAATGATTACGTAGTATAAAATATTCCTTTTATGTACTCCTATATAATATTTACAGACCGACTTCCCGACAACAATGGACACATTTATCGGAGGTTTTGGAATCTTTGTCGGTGCAGGGTTACGACCCATGCTTGATTTCCCCACATTGATAACAAGAGTTTATACGCCTATAAAGATTGATATTCGGGAACCATTACACTGTCAGACGGCTCCGTTGATTCTTATTAGGCACCGGCGGATCAGAGTGAGTGTCAGCAAACATGACTACCGGTTCGTTTCAATAACTATTTTCAGTCCGTCTAACGTCTATATGTCTACACAGGCTCAAAGGTTCAGAATAATACGATGGTGCTCATCAAATCTCGGAGATATGGGGATCGCAAGACACGGATTTGGCGATTTTTAATGGAAGAGATCCGGGATGACATATTGTTGGAGTGTGAACTTCTTCTCTTGTCCTTCGCAACTGGCATCCAAGACGCAGCGGCTTGGCCCGATTACTCCTGTTTTGCGTCAAACCAAACTGGAAACACGCTTTTCCTAGCCATTGGTGTTGCAGGTCTCACAAACAACGCATACAGCTTCCCGAATATCGGAATCAGTCTATCCATGTTCGTGGCCGGCGGGCTGGTATTGGGCCAGATTGGCAACTACGTTGGCGTGCGGCGACGGTTATGGATCCTCATCAGCAACATCATCCAGACCTCTCTCGTTTTCGCTGCTGTTTACGTTCAATATTCGCTCCCTATTCAACGAGATGGTCCGGCTGCTATGGCAGTAATTGCACTTCTGGCCTTCTCATCCGGTGGACAGGTGGCTATGAGTCGCTCGTTGAAAATCACAGAAATCACCACGGCAATGGCAACGGCAGCTTTTGTGGACCTGGTTGTCGACCCTGGGTTGATGAAGCTGCGCAATCGGTTACGAAATCGTCGATTCATGTTTATCGTCATGCTATCAGCAGGTTGCTTCGTGGGGGCTTTTGCACAACGTGAAATCAGCTCGACACTTCCACTTCTTTTATGCGCTATTGGAAAAGCTGTGGTGACACTCGGGTTTCTGTTTAATCGGCCCATTGACAAACAAAATTTGAAGGAGAGTGCGCTTTCCCGGGTGTCTTCAGAGTCCTCGGAGATCTGTTAACATCGGCAAGTCAGCAGGGGGCTGAAAACTCCTTATACAATTCATCATTAAGAGCGATTGGGACTCTGCTGATAGTTATATTGACTACCTAGTTGCTGATTTTTGGCAGCTGATACCCACCTATGTTTGTGAAAAACCCAAATGCCTTATACATAAAGTCAACTACATCCTGTCCCAGCCACTGGCTCATCATATTTGTTCTTGTAAACTCTACTTCTCTCAAGAACTTTCCTGCGACCTTTGCTTCGTCAGATCAGGTGCCATATAGCAAAAATATCGACTCGTGACATACCAAGATACAACTTCCACTCTTAGTGTCGTCCATAGCAGAATGAGCGATTGCGGTTCCCACCATCTCGGGGGTGTTTCCTTCAAGACCAGCTTCTTTCCATTTGTCCGCAAAGCCAGCAGTGATACGCGTGGGAGTGAAGAAAGGGGCAATGGCTTTGACCGAAATGCCATATTTCCTTGCAGCTTGCTGAGACCCTCGTAGCAATCCGATCACTCCGTGCTTCGAGGAAATATAGGCAGAGACTCCCGTTCCTCCGAAGTAACCCGAAGTTGAAGCTACCAATATGATAGAAGGCGGCATGTCTCCACTAAAAGAATATTTTTTCATGTGATGCATACCAAGTCGCAAAGCTACAGTGTATTAGTGTGTGGTTAGTATTACTATCATGTTCCGGTTGGACTCGTGTAGACATACTGTTCAAAGTTCCCTTTAAATTCACATCAATAACCTTAAAAGCCTCCTGGGACTCGCGTAGGTTTCCATCGCTGTCCACATCGTCTAAATCCAAAACCTCAGCTGACTCCATAGTACCGGCATTGGCTACCACGACATGAAGAGCGCTGAATACTTGAATCGTGCGTTTAAACAAGGTAATCATTTGCTCCCAATTTAAGATATCCACAGGTACGAATAGAGCTTGCGAGGGGTGAGGAAGCGAGGCGATAATCTGATTGGCCTTCTCTTCGAAGCTAGGGATATCTGCGATAACAACATTGGCGCCATGTTCGTTGAACACTTTTGCGGTGGCTGCACCAATTCCGCCTGCGCCCCCAGTGATGATCACTGTGCGGGAGGTAAGCGCGTGAAGGTTGCTCGTATCGAATTCGACTTGATGCATCTAGAAATGCCTCAGGAGGTGGTCGAAAGAAACAAATATAAATGAATAGTTTAGGAGCTGATACCAGGGAGCTGATACCAGGGAGCCGATTTATCTTTATCAAGTTCCGTTTTCTATTGTTACACAAGTTCAAAAGTTGCGCTTAGGAAGGGAGCGGGGGAAGGGACCCGGGAGTGGCGGAATTCGCAAATTCGTCCGAAGAGGGGTAGTCACTGAAATGGCCTTGATAGCGTCATTAGGTACTAAAAGAGTTCGCTCCCGGACAGAAGATTTGCATGTTTTCCGAACGATGGCTGTAGTAAATATTCAACAAGCTTACTTCATGCTAAAAGGGATAAAACATATGTAACGGGTGATTGGGGAGTGAAACAGACTCGTTCTGTAGACATATTTGGCAGTATGATCCTAAGCTACTGCAAATGAATGAGAATATAGATTTAATCACAACGTCGGAAGCAAATCAGAAAAAGAAAGTATAGAGCTCCTGGGCCCCTCTAACAGCCAGAGGTAGCGTTGGAGGGCTTAGAGCAGAAAGCTCCCTCCTGCGCTCGGCGGCTATCCAGCACTCCGTTCAGAGTATTTGTATGAGGGAGAGCTTCACAAATTCCCTCAAAGTTCTTCTCTGACATTGCAGTGTGCCAATAGGTATCAACACCACCACAGCCAGAGTTGTAGGCAAAGCTGACTAGGGCACCGTACTCGTTGGCATTCAGGTCTGCTGCATTGTCCATCTCACAGACGCAATCTTCAAACGTTTTGATGTCTTTTGCAAGCAACTCCTTGCCTTGGGCCTCTGTGATCGGGGCATGGATGCTACTGCAGTCCTGGTTGGCTTCGCAGTCATGTCCATAACCTACATAAGCAGAGTTAGTATGCTTATCTCAGTTGCCGACTTTTGTTGACCTACCGATGGCGGTATCGCCTACACTATCGGTGTAAAAGTTGGCTCTGAAGCCTTCAAGATGAGCAATAAGGTCTAAAGCGCCTTGATTCACGGCCGCTCGTTTGACCTTGATATGCGGGACCGCAGCGGCACTGAGGGCGAAGAGAGCGAGAACGGAAGTGGAGAACTTCATATTGAACAATGTATCCGAAAAGTTTCAGTAGAGGTTATGGGTGGCTTTTGACAGTAGATGGATCAACGATAAGTTGAGAAAGTTCTGGTTTCATTGTCAGTTTCGACGGCATCTTTATATCCCACTGAGCACGGATGGATGGCAACGAATTTGCCAAGATGTGCGGCAAATGCATACTGCTATACAGCCAATCCCATCTTTCTTCAGCATCACCTTGTGTTTCATATCCTGTAGTTTCAAGAACCGAAGTCATTACCTTGGCTGCAGATCGTAGAACTTGAAGAGCGATCGCTCGTATTTGAGCGTAGATCTTTGCTGGGTTAGTTGAATAGCCCCCACGCCCATCAAGATGGCGAGACTTAAAACCAAGGGCCTTCTTTGGAATACATGGATTTCGAGTACATAAAAGATTGAGAGTTCTTCAAGTTATCAATCTAGCAGGCTGCTGGCATTGGAATGGATCAAATAAGGCTGGTAGAAGTTCAAGTAGCAAGCTTACCTCAGTGAGGCAGCAATAAAGATGATGTCCTTGGCCTGCAGGTACACATGTACAAGGTTCATTGTAGCTTTGGAAATTTTATCAGCCAAGGATCCTGCGCGGTAAGATCTGCATCACGTTTTGAGTTGATGGCTAGCGTGGCGACACGATCTTCGTAAATGATAAACTTATGCCTGCGTCACGGAACTCATCCTCTTGCATCATGGCCACAACAACCGTGCTCGATCATGCGATTCCATTCGACGGTTCTAGAAAAAAAAGCTGGACGCCCCGCAGTTAATCATTCTTGATTGTTGTCTCTATTACATAACATCCAATCACTAAGGGGCCTGGAGTTCGGTTCATCGGGATCTGAATTTAGCCCCCTGAATCGAAGTATTCTGTGTAGAACTTGACAATATAACTACGGCAGGTCGCCATCAACTTCATACAGTTGATTTGGTGCTGTATGGTTTGACTTCTGAGGAAAGAGCCTTGTTTCTTAAGCAGGCGTGCTTTGTCCCGACGCTGCTCTGTTGTTGTATCCACGAACAGCCCCATATCTGCAGGTATATTCAGCCGGCCGTATTAGGGTTGGCAAAGTTAATTCACTATAGTTAACTGCAATGCTTGTCAAACATCCCTTATCACTGCTGGCAATAGCCGAGGATGTCAAACGAGCCACCTCGTAAATTGTATCCAGATGTAGAAGGTGACTGCCGATCAGATGTAACAGACCCTGTATGGTGTCGGGTAGATCAAGACCGATCCCAAAGTGTCCCTGAAAGATATGATTCTAAAGCAGTTAAGTAATGAATAATCCCTAGTTTCGTTGGTGAGCCAAAGACACGCAGCATTTTGTTATCCATCCTCAAGCCATAATGAAGTGGAGCAAATTTCTCCTTCCATTCCTAGTCTCTACTGCCCACGGCGCTAAGTCAGTTCCCTCAGACGACGTGTCAGTGCAAGTCGGGTACCATGTTGTCTTCTCTTACCCAGGTCTCCAACCTCCGACTCATCTCTTTGACCTGATCAAAGAAGGCAAAGTGGGGGGTATCATCCTCTTCGGAGAAAATGTCGGCAGCAACCTGTCCACAATTGTGGATCAATTTCAAAGCACATACAAAGAAAGTCCCTCGTATGCCGGCACTCCTCTTCTGATCATGACCGATCAAGAAGGCGGAGAAGTTCGTCGCTTGCCCGGCGGGCCTGACATGTCTGCCAAACAAGTTGGGCAATCGTCCGATCCTCAGGACGCAGCCACGCAGGCCGGCAAGGATGCAGCTAGCGCTCTTCAAGCGGACCATCTCAACACCAACCTGGCCCCCGTTCTGGATGTCTATCGCGAGGCAGGAGATTTCGACGACGAATATGGACGGTCGTTCGGCAATACATCCAGCTTGGTGTCAACCTGTGGGACTGCCTTCGTTAGCGCTCAGCAGTCAGCCGGTGTCATTGCCACTGCTAAGCATTTCCCTGGACTTGGGGCTGCAGGCACAGACCAAAACACCGATGAGGAGCCCGTCACCCTCAACCTGACGCTCAAGGAGCTTCGATCGGTAGACGAGGTGCCGTTCACCAAGGCGATTGCGACAGGCCTCGATATGGTCATGCACTCCTGGGCTTTATATCCAGCTTTGGACTCCAAGTATCCCTCCGGGCTCAGCCGGAAATGGGTTCAGGGTGAGCTGCGAGGCAGGCTGGGGTTCACGGGGGTGACTATTACCGACGCCATTGAGGCCGGTGCGCTTGAGGCGTTTGGCACTGACGCAGAACGGGCAGTTCTGGCCAGTCAGGCCGGCATGGACATAATTCTGGCGTCGGCAAGGAATGTCACGCAGGGAGAGAGTGTAGTTGATGCGCTAGTCAGTGCGTTGAATGATGGGACATTGTCGGAAGATTCTTTCAACGAGGCGACTGATCGAATCCTGGCTGTTCGGAAGAAGTTGTGATTGGTCGAGGCTATCTAGGTGGTTATCATTTACACAGAGAGAGTTCAATTCAATTCTATACAAGTCCAAGGATATATACAGTTCGGGAGATCGGTGCCTAGTACACAATCCGCCCATGTGAGATCCGATCTTGATCTACCATTGCTCCGGTGGGACTGGTGGAGTCAGATCTCGTGGCCAGAGAAGTGCGGGTGGAACAAGAGCAGCTATCATGGATAGAGAGGGCTGATCTCCGTCCATCATAGGACATGCAGCACCGTTGGAAAACAGGGCGACAAATGTTTGGAGACTGGTGCCTGGTCACGCCACATGCAGCCGGACCCGACCGGAGGCGTTTCCGCCTTGCTCCACCCATGCGTGCGTCACTGAACATTTTCCGACAAACCCAACTCATCCACCCCTCCAAACCCATCCTTCTTCCTGTTTGCTTTTCTTTCCGCTGCGTCGCTTTTTTATTAGGGGGTTGGGTTCTGCTCATCGCACTCTTCTCGTGCTGTCTTTCCCTTGCATCTCGCGCCACCGAGCGCGCCAGCAGCAACCATGGGCCTCTCCAAGACCAACAGGATCTTGATCCTCCTTGTCATCGACTCAGCTTTCTTCCTGCTGGAATTAATAACTGGTCCGTCATGTTGAGCTTCCTTTCATCGCAGGCTGAGCTGACACCTTGCTTTTCTAGGCTATACCGTTCACTCCCTTGCTCTCGTCGCCGATTCGTTTCACATGGTATGCTATCACCAAGACACACCGGACGCAAAACCTAGTCTGATGGGAAACAGTTAAACGATGTCTTGTCGCTTTGCGTCGGACTGTGGGCTGTCAAAGTCGCCAACCGCGAGACAAGTTCCAAGCAGTACACCTATGGCGTAAGTCCCGCCAGCTAGTACGAGCGTGGGACCAGCTGACATTCTTTGGGTATAGTGGCAACGAGCGGAAACCCTCGGTGCGTTGGTCAACGGCGTGTTCCTCATCGCTCTATGTCTGTCAATCTTCCTAGAGGCGATTCAGCGACTGGTCGAGCCTCAAGAGGTGCAGAATCCCAAGCTCGTCTGCATCGTCGGCTGCTTCGGGCTCCTTTCGAATATTCTCGGTCTGGCTTTGTTTCACGAACACTCACACGGGCATGGACACGGGCATGACCATGGCGACCATGAGGGGGACGAGGATGTGGATGCCGCTGAACGGGGTTTCGCTGACCCCATGGCGAGCGACCCGGTTGTCGCAGATCAGCGCGGCAGCGCGGCGGGCGTCATGCCAGAAAACCTTGTAGGCAATGGCCGCCCAGAACGCGTGCCGGAGAATGGTCTCCCCCACTCGACCACGGAGCCCGGGTCTCCCATCTCCTGGAGGCGCCGTGTGGCAGATGGCCAGACCCGTGGCGCACGGAGGTACAGCACATCGACGGGCCGTGGATATGCTAGTGTGGAGAACATCCATGTGCACCCTGCGACGCTGCGACAGGACATCATTGCGGCCAGTCGTGGCCGATTCGACAGCGAGACGTCGGAGTCGGAGTCAGAAACTGGTCGGGAGGGAGACGAAAACGCCCCGTCTGAGCGATCGGGTCTCCTGCGACACAAAGACCGCGCGTCCAACTACACCGACGAGAACGGCGTCCCCTCTAAACCTACGGATCGGCTGGGAGACGATGATCTTCACAAGTCCCACAACCATGCGCAACCGAAGCCCAAAGGACAGAAGAAGGGCGGCCATGATCTCAACATGCGTGGTGTCTTTCTCCATGTCATGGGTGATGCGCTGGGTAATATTGGAGTCATCGTTTCTGCCCTGATCATCTGGTTGACTTCCTACTCCTGGCGATTCTACGTGGATCCCGGCATCTCCCTCCTCATCACCGTCATCATCCTCGCCTCTGCAATCCCGCTGTGCAAGGCGGCCTCGCGTATTCTGTTGCAGGCCGTGCCACCCGGCTTGAGTATCGACCATATCAAGGAGGACATTGAAGGGCTGCCGGGCATCATCGGCTCCCACCACCTCCACGTGTGGCAATTGAGCGACACCAAGATCGTGGCGTCGATCCACATCCAAGTCGACACCGAAATCAAGGGAGAGGGCTCGGAGCGGTACATGCGTCTCGCCCAACAGGTGCGCCGGTGCCTCCACGCCTACGGCATCCACTCGTCCACCATCCAGCCGGAGTTTGCGCCGGAGAGTGATGTCGAGGACAGCCAGAACCCCGGCCCGTCATCATCCCGTCCTCCCACCGATGACCAGCCTAGCCGTGCTGCCAGCGTTCGGGAGGGCGACCCCCAGGCGTGTCTGCTGGAGTGTGACGAGAACTGCGCTCGCGGTGGACAGTGTTGCCCAAAGAAACCCACATAGACGATATCTTTAATTCGCGCATTTGGCGTTCCCTATGTCCTCTCCCTCCGCCTACTCAGTCACTCCACGTGCAAAAATAATACATCTTTATTACCCATACTCGTACTGCATCCAGATCTAGAACGTATTACATAAACCACCACGTGATCGACCTCAAAACGATCTGCCCCAGAATAGAACAGTCCTCGGCTCCGCCCCTGTCAAATAATCAAGGTGTCAAGGCTGGATCAGCATGTCGTGATTCTCCTTTCTACAATACTCCAGTCGCTCCTTTATTTGTCCATTCCGTTCTTGTTTCCAGAGTATGCCCCGTGGCCAGCTCAAACAGCACCTACCTGCAACCGTGTCGTCTCCAACTCGGCAAATGTGGTAGTTTGGGCTTCCAGCCAAGGCCACCATGAGCTACGCCTATTCACGCAGCACGCGCTCTTCCTCACTACCCTCGTTCACCCCGCGTCCCTCCTCCACGTACCATAACATCCTGGACAACGCCCGGGACCTAATACCACCCGCTGCGAAGCAATGGATGGCGGAAGGGAGAGCGCCTTGGCGGACGGGCAGGCCCCAGAGCAGGGATGATATCAAAACCTCTGTGCGACGGACGGTGAAAGGTTTGTTCACGGTTGTCAATGCCCTGATCATTCTCTGGATCTTTACACTGTGGCGAGGGGAGCGGACTGTGTTCGAGGAAAGCCTGGCCGCATGTACATGGGACAACTGGGAGAGATGGGTGAGTCTGATCATGCCTTGTTTGATTGAGCCGTACTAATTGAAATTCACCCCCAGCCCCAAGACGCTACGCCTCATCATGTCGCTTTCATCTCCGACCCTCAGCTCGTCGATCCCCATACTTACCCCGGGCGCCCGTGGCCTCTCTCGACTCTGACGGTCAAATACACCGACCAATACCTTCGACGATCATTTTCCCTTATCCAGGAGCGTCTTTTGCCGGACTCGGTTCTCTTTCTTGGCGACCTGTTTGACGGTGGTAGAGAATGGGCAACGGCCACGAGCTCGAGTCCAGAGGAACGGTACAAGGGCATCAAGGACTCCTTCTGGAAGAAAGAATACGGTCGGTTCAGGAAGATTTTCACAGACCAGCTGGATAAAGGCGCGTCCCCGCCGCTAGATGGCCGTGGCCGCCGGATGATGGCTAGTCTGCCGGGTAACCATGACCTGGGGTTCGGTACTGGAATTCAGGAACCCGTCCGGACACGTTTCGAGACTTACTTTGGAGAGAGCAATCGGGTAGATGTCATTGGAAACCACACCTTTGTCTCTGTCGACACAGTATCCCTCAGTGCAATGGATCAGCCTGACCCGAAGACGGGCGGCTCGGGTACGATTGAAGGCGATCCGGCGGAGATGCATCGTCCGATCTGGAAAGATGCAGATGAGTTCTTGGATCAAGCGGCTTCTCACAAAGCCAAGGCCGAGACTAGGGAACTCCGCATGTTGAACGGACAGGACGAGGGTTTTCGCTTCGATCATCGCGTTGTTGACGCGAAGGAACCGTCTATCCGCGAAACCCCTCAGGTGGCCGGGATTGGTTTACCCACCATTCTTTTGACACATGTTCCGCTCTATCGGAGACCGGCTACTCCATGCGGTCCTCTTCGAGAGCGCTATCCGCAATCCTCGCCGAGTCTGGAAGAGGATGAACCAAACGCTCTCAAAATCCAGGGCGGGTATCAGTACCAAAATGTCCTGACCTCGACTATTTCGAATGAGTTAGTCTCCAAAGCAGGACCGAACATCGTTCAGGTCTATTCGGGAGACGACCATGACTACTGCGAGATCTCCCATCGCGAGTTCAACGGCTCACCGAAAGAAATCACCGTCAAAAGCTTGTCTTGGGCAATGGGAGTTCGGAAGCCAGGCTTTGTCCTCACCAGCCTCTGGAATCCCATTGACCCAGAGACAGGCAAGGCGCTTCGAGACGGATCGCCTACTATCCAAAACCACCTCTGCCTTCTCCCCGACCAATTAAGCATCTTCATCCACTACGGCTGCATCCTTGGCCTCACCCTCCTTATTCTTTTCCTACACTCCGTCTACCGTGTCACATATGCCGCGATTCCACCCCCTTCCTCAAACGACTCCGTCCTCCCTCTCTCCGAGCGACGCACCTATCCTCCACAGTACCACTCCTCCGGTACGTCCAGCTCCACCTTGCCATCCCCAGGCGGCGGCCTGGCCAGCCGTGGCGGTCCAACAGCTGGCGCTAGGTATCCTGGTAAACCAACTTACTCTGACGCTTATTATCCGGCTTTAGACCGCGATGATGCTGGCTATTCGGCCGGTGCCAAAGAGAAGGTGCCTTTCCGGCCGTCTTCCTCCAAGCTGGGGATCAGGCCCGCTGCTATCCTGATCGGAAGGGAGCTGTTGCGTTCCGTCAGGAGAGTCGCGCGGGTCGTTCTCGTCGTGTATTTCTTTTTGCTTTGGCGCTGGTAATTAGCTTGCTTGGGTACCGAGTATAGACAATATAGACATGCATTTCATTTTCAAGCTTCCGATCCTTTCTCTTGGTCGTGGGTGATGATGACGGGCAAGAGTTGACCCTTGAGGTCACTCTGTAGTCGTTACATACTCCTGCTAAATCTCGACCCCTCGGCCCCCAAACATCTCCTTGTCCCTGCGCCCCGGCGCATGCATCCTACCGGTGATCCTCCGGTGATTCACCGACCCGGTCAATCTTCGGCACGGTTTCGCACAAGCCGTCCAATCCCCGGGCCGGCAAAATCCCGCACCTTAATATTAACTTTGGCTAGGCTGTGTGGCTGTTTGGATTTGGACAAAAATATACAATGTTTACATGGCTGCAGATGGATTATAGTGTCATGTACATCATTGCGAATTTTTGAAAGATCCCGGTTGATGAATACGAGGAAAAGCGCGCAATCATGTTCTCAAGGCTCTCTCGCTCAAGGGGGGCGCAACCCTGGTGGATCCAGATCCGTATAAACTTTGATCGACGCTCAGGGACTGCTAGGACCTTGGGAATAGTGAATCGACATTTATATTTCTAAAAGTGGTCCCGGTGAAGATGTGAATTCGGTGAACTTCGTTTCCTGTGGGGGTACTGACGACATCTTAATGTTTCAGCCAACGCAAGAGTGCTGAACTCTCCAGATTTTTGCGGTCGGGGTAACTAATTGGTGTGGAGGCGAAAATCCGGAGATGAGTTACAGTATCACATTGCGTCTTTTTCGTTGTTCCGTTTCAGGGTTCATGGTACATGGTGGCGCTGGAGTACCCTTCTTTCAGCACGCTATTTTTCTGGTCGGTCACTGTTTTGGGAGATGCTGTTATGGCTCCGCCATTCGTTCTTGTAGTTCTCGTCCCAAGGGGTGAGGTGTGGTGGTTTCCCCGATGCGGCATGCCGATCACAGCCGCATCACCGTTGACGGCCAACCCGACCCTTATTCCGGATAGTCTATCTCGCCGCGTGAGACACAATGTTATTGTATATCGGGATCTTGTGATCAACTGACAGCTGCTGCAAACAGCTTAATAACTCACAACACGCGATGGCCCCGATCGAGACCAGTTACGGTATGGGGCTGACTGCCTCGAACAGAAATTCGAAAAACCACTACTGCCGCCCGCCCATGGTGAGACTCCGAGGCAATGTGCGCCTGCCACCAATTAGACTCTTGATCATCATCGATTCAAGCCATTCATTTGTCCTTCCGGTATCCACTTGTTGCGTCGCCAACACCAGCCAAACCCTAATTAATTTCAGGGCGCAGGAAGCAGAATCAGAGAGGCGATGGCACATACTAACTAGTCACGGATGGACAACTCATTTCTGAATCCGGACACACATGGGTCCCCTCCCCCAGACAGATCCAGTCTCTGGCCTCGTGGTTTTCGCCTGCGAGCGGCAAATACAAAAGGATCGCCTGTTCCCACTCCAGTGATGGTCAATCTGTGTTTACTCTTCTCTTTCTTGATCTTCCATTCTCTGTACTAAACCATATTTCCCTTCACATGCCCACACGGCTATATTCATTCCTAGATCTGCAGTGCAGTCTTTTATCTCTATCTTTCTCTTCTCTTCGTCATGGGCTTCGCGTTGAAGAAGCCTGATGATGCCGTGGGCTCCGCTGCCCCGGCTATCATCATTGGTCTTTTTGTGGCCTTTGGCGGTGTTCTCTTCGGGTATGTCTGACCCATACATCATTAGCTTTTGAGAACCCTCTAACACTTTCATATCAGATATGACACCGGAACGATCAGCGGAATCCTCGCCATGAAATACTGGCGGCAGCTGTTCTCCACGGGATACGTCAACCCCAAAGACCACTGGCCCGATGTGACCTCCTCGCAGTCTTCGATGATTGTCTCCCTTTTGTCTGCGGGTACTTTCTTCGGTGCCCTAGCTGCGGCGCCCGTTGCGGACACCTTTGGTCGGCGGCTCGGCATGATTCTGGATACTGGTGTCTTCACCTTTGGTGTTATTCTTCAGACTGCGTCTACTTCTATTCCGTTGTTCGTGGCAGGCAGATTCTTTGCTGGGCTCGGTGTCGGTCTGCTTTCTGCAACTAGTATGTCGATTTCAGCTCACAAATTCACGTTGGATGCTAACGCGATGTACAGTTCCCCTATATCAGTCTGAGACAGCGCCCAAATGGATCCGCGGTACCATTGTTGGAGCTTACCAGCTGGCCATCACACTCGGTCTACTCCTGGCAGCTATCGTCAACAATTCTACCAAGAACCGCATGGATACCGGCTGCTACCGTATTCCCGTGGCCGTACAGTTCGCCTGGGCTATCATCCTCGTGGTGGGAATGCTGGTGTTGCCAGAGACACCACGCTACCTGATCAAGAGAGACAGACACGAGGATGCCGTCAAGTCTCTTGCTCGTCTGCGCCGCATCGACGTCAACGACCCGGCCATCATCGAGGAGCTGTCCGAGATCCAGGCGAACCATGAATTCGAGCTGCGTCAGGGCAAGGCTACATACCTTGAAATCCTCAAGGGTACTATTGGAAAGCGTCTGGCTACTGGCTGTGCAGTGCAGGCTCTGCAGCAACTCGCTGGTGTCAACTTCATCTGTATGTGCTTCCTCGTTCTGTCTTGATTACCCACCATCATCCACCATACTGATTCCCTTGTCCAGTCTACTATGGCACAACTTTCTTCCAGAACTCAGGCATCCAGAATTCCTTCGTCATCACCCTCATCACCAACATTATCAACGTGGTCTCAACCTTCCCAGGCCTGTACATGGTCGAGAAATGGGGCCGCCGCCCCCTCCTCCTCTTCGGCGCGGTAGGCATGTGTGTTTCGCAACTAATCGTCGCCATCGTCGGCACAACAGCCAGCTCGACTGTCGCCAACAAGGTCCTAATCGCCTTCGTGTGCGTCTACATCTTCTTCTTCGCCAGCTCCTGGGGCCCGGTCGCCTGGGTCGTGACGGGCGAGCTCTTCCCTCTGAAAGCGCGCGCGAAGTGTCTCTCTATCACAACCGCGACGAACTGGCTGCTCAACTGGGCGATTGCCTACGCTACGCCGTACATGGTGAACAGCGGAGCCGGCAATGCGAATCTGCAGTCCAAGGTGTTTTTCATCTGGGGTGGCTTCTGCTTCCTCGCCGCAGTTTTCGTCTACACATGCATTTATGAGACTAAGGGTCTCAGTCTTGAGCAGGTCGATGAATTGTACTCTAAGATCGAGCAGGCGTGGAAGTCGCCGGGCTTTGTGCCCTCCGTCCACTATACAGATGTACGGGATGTTGCAGACGAGAAGCGTGGTAGTCTGGCGCAGTTTGAGGCCGAGGCCAATGAAAAGCGTGAGGAGCGGGCAGATCATTTCGAAAGCGTGCCGGATAAAATGGAGGTTTGAATATTCTGCTTTGTTTTTGTTTTTATTTTTTTATTTTTTTCTTTGGTCAATGCTTTGTCTTCTGTACACAGTTTGGTACTTGTAAAAAACTATGCTATAGAACTATGCATCTTGATCGATCAGATTTGGTTGTTTGCAAAGTGAGTAGCTGTGGCGATGAGGATCTAGCTTCTGTATCTGTCAAACCAATCTGAATCCGTTTGCGACCAAAACATGACGGCAATGCAGGAGGCACTTTGCTTTCTTTCATGGGAACTCGGGCGGAGTCAGTCCGATCGTAATTCCAAGTTATTTCCGTAGGTGATGCAGCGCTTTCCCACGGGGGCGAAGTTCGGGCCTTGAAACCTAGCAGAGAGAATCCGCAACGAGCGGAGTTGATATTTCTGGTTCGCTGGCTACTTGCAGTCGAATGGGCGGGGACTAGTTAGGCCGATCCACATATTTCTCACGCTAAACCCTAATGCGGAGCGTGGTGCGGAGGATCGGTAGAACTATATGTTCCAGAACGCCGGCACGGTCAACGGAGTTAAAGTAAAGAGGCCGGCTGCAATCTGAGATATAAAGCCATTTAGGAAGGGCCTCTTCAGTGTTCAGCCTATTTTCAACTCCCCTTCGCTGTCTGTGATATTTTGGCAGCACCCTCGTATCAAAATCTCAAACCTTAACCCTGCCCCTGCCTTGCATACAAAAAGCTTGCCACCATGTTCAAAAACTCCGCAGCATGGCTCATTGAGAACAAGGCTCGTCCTCTGCAAGTCAAATCAGCTGCGTACACCAGGCCGCGCGAAGGCGAAATCGTGATCCGCAATTACGCCACAGCCATCAATCCAATCGACTGGAGGATACAAGACATGGGAACATCGATGATGTACAAATGGATCAAATACCCGTGTATTCTTGGGTCTGATGTGGCGGGCGAGGTGGTCGAGGTTGGTCCCCAAGTAACACGATTCAAAGTGGGAGACCGCGTGGTCGGTCAAGCGGTTGGGAAGGATGAGAAACGCAATCGGGATGCCGAGTGCGCTTTCCAGCTCTACGTGGTTCTATTGGAGCACATGGTTTCGCCAATCCCGGAGTCATTGCCGTATGAAAACGCGGCCGTGATTCCTCTGGCCGTGGCCACGGCGGCCTGCGGCCTCTTCCAGGCGGACCAGCTTGGACTTCAGCTCCCCTCGACAAGTCCCAAGCCTAAGGGTGAAACTCTGCTAATCTGGGGCGGTTCCACCAGCGTGGGTAGTTGTGCTATTCAGCTCGCTGTGGGTGCCGGCTACGAAGTCTTTGCCACGGCATCGCCTAAGAATTTCGATTACGTCAAAAAGCTTGGGGCAGCAAAAGTGTTCGACTACAATAATAGAACTGTCGTGGATGAAATTGTGAAGGCCTTTAAGGGGAAGACATCGGCTGGCGCAATTACGATGGCTTCGGCGGGCACAGAGTGTTGCATGGATATTCTCAACCGCTGCAGCGGAAAGAAATTCGTTTCCTTGGCCGCCTATCCAGTTCCTGCGACTATTCCCAAGCATTTCCCAGTCCTGCAAACCATGTTTACATTCATCACCCGGAGTTTCGTCTATTGGTTCAAGTCCAAAACCCTGGGTGTCAACTATAACCTTATCTTCGCCACAAGTCTGATTGAGAATGGGATCGGCAAGTCGATCTTCGCGGATTATCTTCCTCAGGCACTGGAAACCGGCAGATTCCAGGCGTCTCCAGAGCCAATCGTGGCCGGTACTGGACTGGAGGGTATTCAAGATGCCATGGACTATCAAAAGACTGGGGTTTCTGCAAGGAAGGTGGTTGTCTCTCTGAAAGACTGAGGAGAGCACTGGTGGGTGCGGGTGTTTGGTGGTCGAGTTGGACGATCTTGTGTCACTAACCTAATTTTGATTTGGTTTTATTGTTCTGTTATGGACCCTTGTTCTTGCTTTGCTTTCAATTCATTGTTTAGTTGTCTGAGTTTATTCCTAATAACATATCATATACAGTCTGTGGGATTAAGTATTCTGTTGCAGACATTATCCACAAAACATTGCGTATATCAGAGCAATGACTGGATTTGCCAAGATGTGACATATCTGAACACAAAATGTCTCTACATATTTCCTTCAGCAGCTTGAACTGCACGAGTGTATTCCAAGATACTGTTCGCTAACTCTGATTGGCTGCTGTCATGTGTCGGGTTCCTGAGCACGTGACCATCTCCTCGGCATGTGAAGGGGGGATCCTGTTCCTGATCATTTGACTGAAAACATCCTGGCCCTTCGGATCTCCTTCGGGTTCCAAGATGTAACTGAGTTTCCCGTCCATTGCCCTCCTCCCTCTGACCGTGCGACCATGTCGGTCACTGTTCCCTTCGACCCGCCCATCTCAGCTATCCCGCCGGACGCAGTTATCAAGACGAACGATGTATCCTCCACTACAGTTTGGAAGGACCCCAACCCGGTAATCGAGAAGCATGACGAGCCTTTCGAACACCCGCTATTTCCACCGTTGCCATCGTATGGTGCACCCACGGTTCTCAGCAAGCTGCGTGACTACACGGTTGTCGCCATATCCTTCGTTCTGTCGCTCTCGTTCCTGACAGTGATTTTCCTTGGGGCCGTGGTCACAACCTTTATTACCGCACTTTCTGTTCTTTGGCATCGGATTCATGGCCGCCATCCGGATACAGCGAGGGCATTCTATGCGGAGGAACAAGCCCGAAGATCAGCCAGAGCCGAGGCAGATCGCAGATGGCGTCTAAGCCAGCAAAAGAGAGACAGAGACGAGGAACTGGGCTCTGACGAGTGTCCTCCGCTGGAAGGCGGCAAGGACCCTATCGTCTGCGACGTCGCGTACTATGCACGACGAGTTGGTTTGAATGTTGAGACCTTTCGAGTTCAGACGGAGGATGGCTTCATAATCACCCTGTGGCATGTGTACAATCCACAGGAATACACGGCCCTGTCGGAGAAAGAAAGGCGTGAGCGTGGATCGGCCGTTTTTACACAACCGAAAAACGAATCAGCCAGTTCCCAGTCTAATCGTCGATATCCCGTTCTTTTGGTTCACGGGCTGCTCCAGTGCGCCGGCGCATACTGCACCAATGACGAAGACAGCCTAGCCTTTTTTCTCTGCAAGTCGGGGTATGATGTCTGGCTGGGCAACAACCGCTGTGGACTTGAACCAGAACACACCTCTCTGTCCCCCTCCGATCCTCGCATGTGGTCTTGGGATATCCGACATCTCGGCACTCTTGATCTTACTGCTCTCACGTCACGCGTCCTATACGAAACCGGATTCGAGAAACTTGGACTTGTGTGCCATTCACAAGGCACAACCGAAACGTTCGTGGCGCTAGCCAAGGAGCATCGCCCGGAACTTGGTGAGCGCATCTCAGTATTTTGCGCACTTGCACCAGCGGCCTATGCCGGCCCATTGGTTAGCAAGCCGTATTTCCGTTTCATGCGGATCCTTTCCCCAGAAATGTTCCGTGTCTTTTTTGGCATTCACTCATTCATCCCGTTCATGATGACGGCGCGCCGTCTTCTTCCCCCAAAGGCCTACGGTACTATCGCATACTGGGTATTTTCATTCCTATTCGGCTGGTCCGACGCGCGTTGGGAACGTGATCTGCGCAACCGCATGTTCCAATTTGCTCCCGTGTACGTGAGCGCCGAGTCAATGCGCTGGTGGCTAGGCAGTGAATGCTTCGCGAAGCACAAGTGCATTCTCTCTACGCGCGAGGAGAGTCTCGGCGAGACCTTGGAGGACCGGCAGCATCAACTTGCTGGGGAAACGGCCCGCGAGCACGGCGATGATCCGCAGGATGCATGTCTTGCTCGCCGAAAAGACACTGCTTGGTTCGGCCCACAGACTCCGCCGTTTGCACTGTGGGTTGGTGGTTCTGATGCTCTGGTTGATGGTCACCGACTCTTGCGGCGTTTTTCAAGTGGGAGAGAACCCCATGTGCGTGTTGTCCACTCCAAGGTCATTGATGAGTATGAACATCTCGATGTCCTTTGGGCTATGGATGCGATTGAGCAGGTTGGGAAGGAGGTCAGGCAGGTTATTTGGACTACCATGTCTGATGATGCGCGCAAAGTTTGCCGTGCGCCTCGCGGGGTCAATATAAACCTGCTTGATGCATGATAAATTTGGGTAATGAAGTTATGAGGTTTATACACATATTTTGCCTGGAGTTGGTGTCTTCATGTTGTGATATATTGTCTGCACATACACGGATCTATGTACATGCTCGAAGTCTTCAAGGTAACGACTTTTGGACTCACCTCACCCTAACAGACTGCGTAAGTGTAGTACAGTCTCCCCTAAGGAGTTATGAGTATACCAGGCGGCCAAGGTCAATGTCTTTGATGAATCTGGCAAAAACCCCAATTGTTTTGGTCTACCTTGAAGGGGCATGAGACTGTGTCAAGGCTTCTCTTAGACAAGGGTGCCAATCCCAACCCTCCAATCTCTGGACTCCAGCAGTTACCCTCAACAGTTACCGAGGGTGGCCGTGATGGGGGTTTCAGGGCTTTGCTTGAGCAAAACAGCAACCTCGATGAATTCAATGTTCATCAACGAACCGCATTGCACATGGTTCAACTACTACTCGGTTTACCCGGAAATACATGAAGATCTTTTGACGTAGCCTCTGCTTGGACAATCTAGATACCAATGTCCTTTGTCGTTAGCTCTTTCTATAAACGAGAACGAGAGCTTCTCATCAAGCTAGGCAGGTTGGGGATGTCTTTATCGCTGATTTTTGGCATGCTCAAAGCAAAAATTCAAAATAGGTGATTTTTTGGGATAGCATAGTGTCCTTCTTCAATAACTCCATATCCACTTGTCGCGGATTGGAATGACTTACCGGGTGCCTTAAATGTCACCTTAGTATAGGTTAGCAATAGAAAGATACCTATTTGGTACATGGTGGGGCATTTATCGTTCTGGCCACAGTTGGGGGCCTAAACACGAGATCAGGCGCACGCTGCGCCGTGTCAGCTTAGTCCCAAGCCCGTGAGGACAAGAGTTGATTTACCTCTTGTTTTCGACCACATACACTACTCATCAATCCTCTTAAGCTATTGTGATTACTATGGGCCAACAAGCATCCATCCCCCAACCAGGGGCGCGTCTTCAAGTAATCGGCGCCGGCCTGTCGCGTACTGGGACAGCATCATTCAGTGCTGCATTAGAGATCCTCTTGGATGGACCTGTCTACCATGGCGGAACACAAATAACCATGGGTCCTCCGACTGAGATCAAATCCTGGATCCAGGTTCTGCAATATTGGTTACACGGGAAGGGGGCAGACCGACCTATGATGATGAACCTCATGAGGCATCGACTTGATGGGTTCGTCGCTGTCACCGATGCACCTTGCTCTCAGCTCTTCGAGGAATTGCTAGAAATGCACCCAGACGCCAAGATCATCTGCACAACCCGCGACCCAGTCTCTTGGGAGAAATCTATATCCCAGGTCCAGCATGTGTCGCTACTATGGTTCCTGCGCGGAGTCCTTCTTCCGCTCGAGGGCATGCGACATTTCGTGCATTATATCAGTCTGTTGGAGAAGCAGTGGCTCACGCTCTATGGGACCAAGAGGCCTGATCGCACGACATACGACAAGCACATTGCTTGGTTGAAAGAGGTGGTGCCAGAGGATCGCTTGGTGTTCTATGATGTCAAAGATGGATGGGGGCCGCTGTGCAAGGCACTGGGTAAGGAGGTGCCCATGGACAAGCCATTTCCTCAAATCAACGATGGGCATGCAATTGATCAAACTGCTCGGTATCATATCCGGCGGGGGCTCACTCGATGGGCTGCGATTCTGGGTGTGGTTGGAGTCGCGGTTGCTCTAGAATTGCAGATATTGTATGGTATATTCACCCGTTGAGTTTGTGTTGATGTACAGCTCGGACCATGTGTTGACAGCAGCAATTTGGTCCTTGGCTTTTAGCGGTCCCAAAACGGTGAAAATAGTTCGTTAGTTTTGACATAGCATGTTCTACAGCCAATAATGAGACCAGGTCCAGGGGTTGTTTACATTGGTCAGTAGTACCAACAAGGCTGGCAGTTGGACGCCAAGTCTGGCTGCGCCACGTTGTATCGGACCCTTTCGCTCCCTCTAGCGTTTTCCTTTTGAGACATTCTCCACTCTCCGTGTCCCCATTGACCGGTTTTCCCCCTGGCAGTTCCAAGCCCTTTACTGGGTGCGACAGCAATTCAAGTAAGCGAATTATTCTCCAGCTTACCTGCCCCCTTGGGACGGATGCATCTTTGCCCTGCGAAACAGTGGCGAGCCAAGTCGACTCGCCTGAACGCTTGAACGCTTGGTTTCTATTTACAATTGATGATCGGCAGTTGGGTCTCTTCCTGGCCCCCGCGTGGCAGCAGCGCGCAAGACAAGGCTCCTACTTTTCTCTCGAACTGCTATAACCCACAACTGCCAGACTCATACCACACACCCAACAGCCCTTGCTGGATGGCCGTCGGAGCCTGATCGGACCACGAAATGTCGGCGAAGGCATACAAGTCGACGATAGGGTGGATATGCAGACTGATTCTTCGAGTGCTGGCACTCCTGGGCTGCATCGCCGCCATCATCTTCTCAGTCCTGGGGGGGCTCTCTGATACTCAAATGATTGCTCTCGTCTTTGTCAGTTGCCTAATCTACCGCTCTTAGCTCGGGTCGTAACTAATTAATACTGCCTGCTGACAGTTTGTCATTATTTCCGTCTGGAATCTGGTGGACTGCATACTGCTCTGTGTGAGATGCATTCCAAAGCTCAGCGTCAATATTGTCATCGATCTCGCCGCCGCCCTCACTCTCATTTCCTGGGGATGTATTTTCTTTTGGCAAGGATGCGCCTTCACCGTTGAATATGAAATCCTGATGATTTCCGAACTGGTTCTGGGTGCCATCTGTGCATTCACTGCGTAAGTGGTCGAACCTGCCCACCGTCGGTATGGAACTCGTTGCTGATCCAGCCTCCCCGTTTAGCGTTCTGCACATCTTCCTCTTTGCCCTGTCGACAAAGGCCCACCGTGAAAACCGCCGGGAAAAGAAACACAAAATTTGGATGGACCCGAACTCCTTCGCCGGACCAATTGAGTATGGGACGACCGAGACGCTTATTCCATCGGAGTATCGGGCAATCAATAGGAGACCTTTGGACGAGGTATAATACGCCATTCTTTCATCAGGAACCACGGAGTTAGGCATCTTTAGGGGAGTTATCTAGGAAAATACATACCATTCCTTCTTTTTCAGCGATGAGCTCCTCTCTGGCCGACCGGGCAAATGATGCCTGAATGATGCCTGATTCTGACCTCAGGCATGCTTCAGGCATCATTAAGGCATTAATCAGGCATCCATGAGGCATCCATGGATGCAACCCTAGATCCGCTGTTTCCTCTTCCCTTTCCTCTTCCCTTCTCTTTCTTCTTCTCCTCCAGCCATTCCATTCATTCATCTCCTGCTTTTCACCATCACTGTCACTCTGAGTAGCGTCACTCGCCCTGCTGTTCATCCCTTGATCCCATCGCCACCTAACTAGTGGAGCCGACTAACCCCGCAAACCTGCCCTCCCCCGGATTCCCACTGTGGGACCAGGCTAAGGACTCCGCTCCCCCACCCTGAAGACCATCATCTCTGCTCCTTCTCTTGTCTCCTGTATAAACCAATAAGCCACTGTCTTTGATAAGACGTAGAGAGGGAAGGCATCTCTAAATCTCTCTTGTCCCTGGATACAGTCCCTCGATTCGCTTGATCGGATTATGCTTGTTTCGCCGCGTTTCGGGGCCAGGGGCCTCGACCTATCACATACATGATGATCGTGTCGCGTACGCAATAGTAACCTAGTCAGACACGCAGCCCCCTTTTTTTACACGGACTCCCCGGTCTGGGCGATAGTCCATTACGCCAGAGCGAGCCAATCACAGGGGCAAGGCAGTAGGGGAGAATGTGGGGATTGGCTGGCCTCCCTGATTGCCAGCACTACCGCTCGCCTGATCGAGTATTCCGTTCCCTTGTTTCCACAGGAAACACGCCTATGGGCAAGGAGAGAGGGGCGCAAGTGATGACCAGTGGACAAACCGGCGTCCAATAGAGTGATTAGGTAGTCGTACCAGACTTGGTCACCAACTATTGCCACTCATGCTGACTCCCCCGGACCATGACGAGCCCATCAAACCCCGCATTCAGCAGGTCAGATGACTGCCCAGTATATAACCCTTGGTTTCTCTCTCTCCCCTTCTTTCACTATCCTTATTATCATCACCATCACCATTTCACCAGTTTCCATCACCATCTCCACTCTACCATCATCAATATGTCTGCGCCGGTCGGTACTATTGTCCAGCAGCTTTCTGCCCTGCCTGCTCGCTCGAGGCAGGGTCTGAACAACCTGCGGCAGAGACTCTTCCAGGGTACGTGTGTCTAACTCCCACCCTCATCATCATCACGACCACCACCATCATTATTATCATCATTATCATCCCACCATCACCTTCTATCCTCTACGAGTTGCTAATATTCTCCACAGACTCCAAACCAAAGAAGGAGGGCCAGTTTCTGCGCACATCTCTGAGCGCCCACCAACCCGTCTGGCTCGCTGCCGCTGGCGGTGTCTACACCAGCATGTCTGCTGTCTACCTCACACTGCGGTACCTCAAACGCGTCCGATAGATACTAGTCTATCATGAATGGCTCTCGATCTCTCCGTGGCGCGACGATCTCGCTGCCCTTCGCTTCATATACATGACCCCTTGACATGACGCTTTCTATCATTCTATCACCTACACATCTTTCGAGACCATTCAATACCGAAATCCCCGTTGACCGCCATGGATTAGATGGCTGGGGATTAGTGTGTCCCTGTCAGCGACAGGTTTCTATTTCTTTTGTTCCATCACAGATTTCTTATTGTCGCCATAGATTGGCATGACACAGACTGGAGTTTCCGGGGGTGTGCTTTACATTCATTTCACTTCATACCGCAGTTTGTCACTACTGTCTGACAACGCACAATTCAATCGGAATGACATTACATGAATCTGATCCATCGTAGATGTGCGTAGTCTGTTACTCGTAGTCGGAGTCATGATGACCAAATAGACTCTGCTGTACGTCAAAGACTCCTTTCGCTCCGATAGGATCGGGATAGGATCATTTCGTGCTGTTTTGAGGTATCTACCTGTCAACACAGCATAATATGTCTCGGGGCATTCATGCAAGGCACAAAGCAAAAAGCCCCTATCAAGACTCGCAATTCCGGCCAACCCATCCAGACCGCGTACACCGCTTATTGTCTGTATTGACCTCTCGATGATCTCATGGATCCGTCCGGTTCCGGTGGAGCCGCCTTGGCATCCCCCGCAATGTGTGTGATCAGTGGACCCGTGTCCACACCTTTATTTCCTGTCTTATCTTTCTTGATTAGAAGAATAGTGTCAAGACAATATCCCACTATCGTCACAATTATTCGTGAAGCTTCTCGGGTCTAGTCCTACGTAGCAATGTTCCAAGTGAAGATTTTGCATTCAGAGCACTCTGTATATTAAAAACTTGGTCATCAAATAATCCCGTTTCGTGCTTATAGTAGGAAATAATACCGGTAATTCTGTGCGACTTCAGTTCCTAACTATTAATAGTTGGTATTACCTCACTTGCCATAGAAGTAAGTGGTGAGAAATTGGAGGAATATCCCCCTACCAGCGGTTTCGACACCTACTGAACACAACTGGATTTAGCATAGGAATGTACATACATTTTGTACACGTAAGGAACTACTACTATTGATTAGTTACGGCCTATCCTATGTCCAAGGGCTAAGCGCGAGAATTCCCCTAGGTTTCCTACCTCTTAGTTCTTTAATCCTGATACTATATACCTCAGCCTTTCGCCTCTAGTGCAATTAATAGTGGTGATAATACAGTTGTTTCCATTAGGAGTTAATGAGTAAAGGTGCCCACCCATGCTGGGGGAAATTATTGAGCGGCAGCGGTGCCCTTGTCAAAGTAGTGCTTGATCATGTCTATGCACGAAAACCAGTTTCGAGGGAGCGAAACGTACAGAAATTAGCAATTGGTGGTGTCTTGTGCCCTCCAGCTGAGGTGCTCGTGATAGATTGCTTGGAGGAGATTGGTAATAATGACGGGGATTCATGGCAACGGACAAATGATGCTAGGATCCACTGTCTGGCTCCGCCGCAGTTTTGGGCATACCTTCCACTTAATACCAGTGTCCTGGATCATTTGTGAACACACTGAGAGTTGACGGTATTACACTGGCATTAGCCTCGTACGCAAAGCGAAGTTCATTCTCAGGAAAATTTGCTGGCATCACGACTTGGTTTAGAAAAAGGATGTCTTGAGGAGGACATGAGGAACCCAGTGCCAAGCAATCCACTCCACTTCGAAGTAGGTCTATGCCTTGGTATCAAAGCGCGGAGGACTCCATAATAGTCATGCACGATGAGACGGCAATAGTAAGTGCACTTTAACTGTTAGCACTCGAAGTCCTCATTCCATATCCATTTTAGCATGATCCTAGTGGGGTTGCTAACACGTCACTGTGGGCTATGCTCGGCAATTCTAGGTCACGGCATTTACAATCTGATAACTTGATCTCACAGAACTCTCATGGCTAACCCTTTCTGAATCACTTCCATTTGAATATTATTGTTTCTAAATATCACATTTTGATCGTACATTGCCCCCTCGCGCTCGCGCGGGGAAGTGCTTTGGGCATCTTACCAGTACCCGTCCATACTGCTATATTAAGCTGCAAATCATAACAACCGCCGACCCACCCCTCACCTTGGCAAGTCTTGTCTTCCCGCAGCAATATGAACCTTGCTAGTCTTACGTGACTAGTGGATCGCTCTGATTCGTCTCTCTGTACCTCCGCGACGCGGGACAGAAGAACAAGAAATTCCACGGATTAAATTCCTCTCATCATTGCCGATCTCGTCCAAGCACCGGGTGCTAGACTGACCGAATGGATAAAATATTTTGCCCATATGCAACACAGGGTCACATCTCAACCGCTGTAGCTTTTTACCGAAGAACTATATTTGACAATTCTCCTCACGCGGAGAAAGACGTTGACAAAAGGTGGGGACGTGATAGTTGAGGACCATCGCGCAGGTTCCACACTCGGCACCCCGGACGTTTTTTCTCTGCCCAGCTATTGCTTGCTTTTTGCTTCTTGAGTGGCTCATGTGGGCCCCTCCTGGCTTCTAAAGCTTGGCTCCGACGTTCTAAGGCCGTAATCCGCGTCCTATTAATGCGAATATGCACGTCGTGCGTCCATTCTTTGTGCTCTCGTGACGGCTTTTATCGGCGTGATTGGCATCATGCTTCTCGCTTGCCTGTGTAAAATACTCTGTCGCTCGGAAATTTTCTGTATGACACCCCCGATAGGGCACGGAACGCATTTGCATTCTGGCGGCATGAGATCGAGGACCTTGCTTTTTCATGCAATTCTTATTTGATCGTGACGCCCATTCCCCTCACCCTATAATAGTTCACGTCGTCATTGGAGGGCTAAGAGAGAACTAAGCACAGCCCTCTTCAAGATCGGCCAGCATTACTCCTTTTCGCTTCTTCCTCTTGTTGTTAGTCGTTTAGGGACCCTCTCGCGATGTACATACTTAGACTACTTGCATCTGTGGGATCCACTTCAAATAGACAACACATTTTCTACTTGCAGCAGGAACAGGATGGATTTTATACTATCTTCAGGAGCTAAATCTACGGCAAGCATGTACATGAGTTTCCCTGTAAACTTCGAGCGGGGAATCCGCTCAAAATAGCATTTCCTCTATCCCCAATACATCACCTCTCGGTTACGGCCATCCGTCTCCCCTCATTCCGGAAGTCCGGCAGTTGCTCATACGAGTCTGTGTGTTTGCTGTATGGCAGAGATTTCTCTGCACTACATCATCGTGGCTTGGCCTATGAGGGGAGTAACCATCTCTGCCGGGATGTTCTCCAAGAAAGAGATGCAACGTGAGGGGAAGCAATAGTGCAAAGAAAACGAGGTGGTCCAGATACTTTGATGATGCTTATAAGTGAAATTCGTGTCCATATAAAGGCTGCTCCCACACCGACGCGCCAGCCCAACCTGAATTGGCACATAGCTTGTTCACTTGGCCAAATTTACTTCCTTTCCTGCCATGATGAAGCTTCAAGCTCTTCCTCATATCTTTGCTTTGCTTCCTGTCTTCCTCCTTCTTGTCAATAGAGCTCCAGCCCGTAGGGATAGCAATTCTGGTCTAAGAGGCTCTGAGGATTTGCTTGGATACTCGCCATCCAAAGTAGTTCCTGACAAAGCTCAGCCTAGTATCCAGTACAAGCTAGTGCCAGGACAAAAGGAGGATGCCGACACAGGAGCCTATCTGGACTTCGTGAATGCCGACAACCCCCAACCGATTCGTGGCTCAAGTGGCGGTGATGACCCAGGCCCCAGTAGGTCTTTTGGGACATTGACTCGTCAATGATAATACTTATATATTCTTTTAGGGAACTATTACTACGACCGGATTAACAGTGACAAGCTCGCCCCTCCGGGGACTGACGAGGGTCAGACAATCAATGCCCAATGGCCTCTTGGTGAGTTTATGCCACAACTAGGAAGAGCTTTATATCTAACAGTCGCTATAGGACTTAGCCATAACCGGTAAATAGGGAATCACTCAGCCTCTAGCCTCTACTAATAGCTCTGTTTAGATTGGGACTCAAAGGGGCCGGCTGGGCCCGTCAGGAAAATACGGGAGTAATGCCAGCTGCAGTGGCAATGGCTGGTGTTGATATGCGACTTGAGCCAGCTGGCTACCGAGAGCTCCACTGGCACGTCGCTGCGGAGTGGTCTCTCGTCTTGAATGGTTCCTGTCGCATCCAGGTATGTGGTTTTCAGCCGACGCTGTGAAATATATATTGACATATCTAGGCCATCAACGAGAATGGCGAGACTTTCATCGACGACTTGACAGCAGGCGACGTATGGTTCTTCCCACCGTGAGTTTCCTCGTCTTATTTAAACTTCGTTTACTAACTTTAATTTGCTAGTGGCATTCCCCACTCTATCCAAGCTCTGGATGATGGCGTCGAGTTCCTGCTTGTCTTCGATGACGGTAGCTTCAATGAAGACAATACCTTCCTTGCCACGGAGGTCTTTATGCATCAACCGGTGGGTTTCCCAAAAACACCATATGCTGTACACTCTAATTCTTTCTGCAGAAAGAGGTCCTCGCCAAAGACCTCGGCGTTCCCATCGCGGCATTTGACAACCTCCCCGATGATGAACTATACATCTTCAAAGGCACCCCTGCTCCAAAGGACATCGAGGAGCAGAACGTGTCTACAGCCGCTGGTCTTGTTCCGCTCGCGCAGAGCTACTCCTATCACTTCTCGGAACAGCCAGCCCACGAGGTTGCTGGTGGCTCTGTCAAGATCGTCGATCCAGTCACCTTCCCCCTTGCTAGTAACTTCTCTGCTGCTATCGTAACAGTTCATCCGGGCGGCATGCGTGAGATTCACTGGCATCCGAGTAGTGACGAGTGGACTTTCTTCATCAAGGGCCAGGGCCGTGCTACCCTCTTTACTGCACCGGACCAAGCAACCACTTTTGACTACCGAGCCGGTGACGTTGGCTATTTCCCGCAGTCGAATAGCCACTACATTGAGAACACAGGTGACGAAGATCTGATGTTCTTGGAGGTGCTCCAGGCCCCTCAGTTTACTGGTATGTCACTCTTTTGAAATTTTACAATTTCTACCTACTAACCATCTAAAGATATGGCTCTTGGCCAATGGATTGCTTCAACGCCGAAGCAGATAGTTGCTGATACGCTGAATCTGAGTGAGGAGACTCTCAGCAAGCTCAAGACGGAGAAACAGTATGTTGTTGCAGGAACCACTGATAATTAAGTGGAAGGAATGGTTCTTTCCAATTATGTTCGGGATATCACTCGTTACTCAGTTATGCACCGGAATTATCTATTGAAATAATTGACTCCAATGATTTTAAAGAACTATTTGCTCTCATATTTGTTACTCGAATTCTGGTTAGAAAATGGCGACGACGGAGACTCGAATCTTGTCAAACGCATATAAGCTCAAGCAAAACTATGCACAAGGTTAAAAGTGCTATTCAATATTCAATACAATTGCTATGGGAAGGAAAGTAACAGTCGTTCACACTTTGTATGGTGGTGGCAAGTCCACAGAATCATCAGACACAGCACCATCACTATCGAGGTTGTCGTCTGATTCCGCGTAGTAGGAAGGAGGACTATCTCTTGGGAGTTGAGATTTAGAGTCCAATTCAGGGAGAACAGGTACAGGACCATGAACCTGTAGCAAGAATCAGTATCGTTCTCATTCTCAAGCTTTCAGAAATGCAACCCACGTGTGACACTCCACTGTCCTTGCTTATAGCAATAACCTCCCGATCTCCAATTCGACCAACAAGGTCCCCTTTCTTCCAAACCCCATACTTCAGAATCATCCCCTTAAAGTTCGTCCCAGAGATAACACAATCGGTTACATCGCAGTCATGCAAGGTAGCCCTGCGAAGCCTACTATTGGAGACCGCTGTCCCAACCAGCGTACTCCGCCTGAGATTACTCGCTTCCCGCGCAGCAGACTTCTTCAGCGAGCTGTGCGACACATAGCTCTGATCCTGGACCACGCTATCCGTGGCATTATTGCTGTTAAAGCTATTCAGATCGCGCAGTTGTGAGTTGCGCGCAGTGGAGCGGTGCGCGCGCACGTTGTTGATGACGCAGTCTTTGAATGTGCACCGCTTGACCCAGGCGTTGCTGACGGCGCAGTCACTCAGATCGCTGCGGATAATGGCGTTGCCGTCTGAGGAGTTGGAAGCAATGTTATTCTCCATGGAAGTATCTTGCATTACCACTCCCTTTAGGGTCGAGCGGTGGATGGAGCTGGACGATGCTGACAGGCCTTGGAAGCTGCTCTCCTTCACCGTGGACCTGGTGATTGTCGGGTTTGAATCCCATTGCGCTGGTGTAACAGTAGTATCGACTACCTTGCTCCGTCGGGCGTTGGGAACCGTCGACATAATGTGTTTTGTTGTGCGGTGATGAACTTGAAGTTCTCCGCTGCTCTGGGGATCCGCAAAAGATAGTCCCGGGCTCGGTCCCACCGATACGAGCGGCATCAAAAAGCTGCTGCCTAAGTGGCGGCTGAGATTTAGTGGCTTCCATTATTGTTGGTACAGTACCTAGAAAAATATATCACAGCTTGTATCTACGGTCTAGCTCAAGGATTTAAGAAAAATGACGCAAGGTTAGGTTGCCCTCTCGCACACAGCCGGGGCCGCCAGTCACATAATTACAGTATTGTACAGAATGGTCCAAAATAGTGCCACCGCTTCATTTATACAGATTCTGAGAATTTTAGTATACACTGGTACTGAATGCACCTACGATTCCTATACTGAGGTCATGAAATGTCTACATTCTGATCTAAATTACCCCTATTTATGTGGGAAATTGGGACACTCCGGGCTGGTGGTGGAGAATAATTACAGTAAATTTCGAAAACGACTACTCCCAGACAACGACGCTTTGGTACCCGAAGTATGGTTTATACTATCAGCAGCAGGAGACAGCTTAACCCTGGTTGAGCAAATCGGGGATATCCCACCCGTAATCGCTGAAACCGCCCATTCCCAAGTCTGCCAGGTATTGAAAGGCCTCAAAATGCATAGAATCAATAAAGCCATCATTTTGCCCAGTTTGCGGTTGGAAATGTTGCGGCCGGTAGCTATAGCCATTGCAAAGATCCGAAGAGTTCCACGGCGGTTGCTCCTCCAGAGCATGCAAGAGTTCATTACCAAATCGACTGAGAGCAATCGGTACTGACGTTGTTGTTATACTGTCCTGAGAGACAAGGCGTGTCTGGGGCGTTTGATCAGTGAATAAACTAGGCGGCGGTTCTATACCGTCTGGCGGTTGCGAGAATTGATTCCCAGAGGCAATCCGTACAGGTCCCAATGCTCTTGGCGACTCCAGGACTTGATCCAGAGATGGATCATGTTGTATCCCACTCGAAACGGTGTTGAAACTCTTTGGAACTTCCTTTTGCGCGAATGGGGAAGGGATATGTGTGGAATTGTACACAACTCGCATGAACAAACCAAAAACCCATCCTGCCAGACTATAGGTTTCTTCAAATCGTCTCAAGCTGAGCAGTTTAGACCTCAAATCTCGTTGTAGCAGTTTACATTGATGGGATCCGTGGTATGTGATTCTACAAATTGCACTGTCATCGAAGCGAAAATTGCAGTCACGCTATATCAACAGTGTCTTAGTCTATACTCACTGCGGATCACAATTTTGGCACTCACCAGATCATTGGGAATAAGAAGGTCTCCCACTCGACAGATATCTCTTCGACAAGGGACGTGATCTTGCTCGCGGAGTCCAGGAGAATCTCTGACTCTTCCGAGCCAATGATACGCTCAGTAGTGGCTCGCTGTACTCTCTGATGAAAGTTGATTCGGTAATAGCTGCAACCTGGACTAGGCATTGCGACACAGACATTTCAATAGTCGTACTGAGCGAGGCTGTACATACTGATAATTGAGGTGTAGACTGAGACAGAGATGGTTTATCTTAATGCGGCTGAGTTCCCGACAGCGCGATTACAATACACGACAGCTTTCACCTTCTTCTGGTTCTCTGTGACTTCACTGGCGACAATTTACATCATCCCTTATATCACCGATGCCGATGAGTTAGGCCCTTGCTTGCCGTAATTCCAATTTGGCAAAGTCTTGCAATGATATTGATTGACTGGAACAGGGGAAATCTTGGCGCTAAAACATATCTCATCTTCGCTGGTGCTATTTTATTATTTCTTGTCATAGCCTATTTTCACTACCCGGAGATCAATGGCAGGAGTGCAGCTGAGCTAGACGAGATGTTCACTCAGCGTATACCAGCAAGAGCTTTCAAAAGTATGATGCTTTTCTCCAGTACGAATCTATGGGAAGTCTCATATAAAAGCTGACTGTTTGTCTTTCAGGACATATATGTACTCGCATCGAAGGGAGTCTCGAGATAACCGATATTGGGAAGAACGGTGTTCAAGAAGTTGAAATTATCAGCAAACCGGCCAGTAAGGCCGATAATTAATCCTCAAGAACTTATATTATGCAAATACTTGCCCCAAGTCGGACTCCCGACTGGTTTCATTCATTATTTGCACTTCCATTATGAGACATTGTACGGTCTAGATTTCAGACAATAACACCTAGTCGGTAGCAGACAATTCGACGTAACATGTTAAAGCTCTTCATATGAATTGAATATGGAAGTACTGCCGCTTGAACATGTGATTTACTGCCATTCCCACGTTCTGCCAGTAAGAATTGCTCTGTGGTTTACAACTAGAATCTGAGGACGTGTGAAATCGACGCCGGAAACGGCTGCGTTCCCACCCGTAACTTTGGACCCAATAGCAAACGTTCAGGAAGTCATCTAAAAATAGCAGCTCTTGCTATGTCGACCACTCCTTCATTTCTTCGAGATGTTGATCTGGGGGCTTTGCGCCAGGATGGAGCTGCCCATCGGGCGGGGCCAAAACAAAACCGGGCCCACCAACATTGTGATTTATTATAGGCACAGCATCACCTCAGTTTCTGCTCTATCCACGTTTTCCATTTCTCTTTTGGGTCTATCTAGATACAAGTCATCGTGCCTCGAGTCACGGACATTCCAAGATGCCATACGACCGCGATGAAACTGTTCGGGAAGTGACCGCTTTTTACAAATTCCTCGTCGGCACTCACATCCCCGAATCGGCACTGAAGCTGCCCCCCGAAGGCGGCTGGCCTGAGCTCATAGACGAGTGGCTCTCTTTCATGGGAAAAGATCCAACGGTCATGACCTGATTCGGCATCTACCGTACATTCGATGGGACAGACCGGACGAACATTTTCCGCTCTACCCCGACACCTTTCCCGTAGACTTCACGGGCGACGTTCTGCAGAGCGATCCCGATTATTATTCGGTTGATTCGCTCGTGTATGTAGGAATCGGGGTAGGAGAAGGCGTACTTACACTCGCGCGTTGTGTCGGTCGTATCGGCTACTGTTTTCTGTTAGATACAGAGAGAGGAACGATCACGCTAGTAGATGCCCAGGAACCCACAGCCCCAACAGACCTCTCACAGGATGTAGATGTTCGTTATGACCCTTTTGGCCAAGATACTATGCCAGTTGCAGGTGCTGAATGACGTTCCACAGACGGACGATAGTGACGATGAGGATGACCAAGCATCAGACGCCGAAGAAAGCAGCGAGGAAGAGCCGGACGATGAAGAGAGTCCGGGGCTGCCAGAATCCTGGCGTATACAGGCGACTTATACGGTCCCCGACTTTTTCAAGATGATCAAGGAGGAATTTCGGACTTTCACAATAGTACGTTACTCTCCGATGACCCCGGAAAATGACATATACTAATAAGTAGCTCAGGTCGCTACCGATCCTACTGAAGTGATTTGGGGAGGAAATTTCAGATCGGAGCTAGACGAAGTCAAGGGAATATATGGCCGGCATGGTTGGCTCACTGAGAACTATCGAAAAGATCAATGCCTCAAAGAAGTGAACGAGTTGTGGTTCGCCATATGAAAGTCCCACTTCCTCAATCAGGCGAAAACTGTAGTCACACTGCTGGCCTGGGGATACGGACATTTTGGTGGAGGACATTAGCATATCCAAAGATTCAACGCTCTTTTCGAGATTGAGCCAACCAGTAACGTCGTTACGCTTTACAACACATCTCACGGTCAGACAACCCAGGTTTTAGCGGCGGCAATGCTAAGCGATTCGAGCATCGGCATTCGTCAAACAGTGGATCAGCACTGGGATGGAATCGAAAGCCAGACACTCGCAGAATCCATAAACGGGCATCTAGTAGCTCTAGTGAAACACTACAGCATACAACTTGCAAGTCGCCAGCCATGGACGCAAGGCCCGGCCACCAGGGCAGATATACAATACCTGGTAAGAAGATTCGAATTAGCCGATGTTCCTTTCCACGAAATAAAACCCGATCCACTCACTAGAAAGATGCACGCCATTGGAGAAGAAATAACTAGCGTAAGAAATGAGAATAATCAAACAACTCTCAAACTTAGCTATGCGGCGAACCAAAGCGTATTTCAGACCTAGTGCCGTAGCAATGTCATCCAAAATACCAACTAACATACTTCTAAAGAACACGAGCAAGAAAAGTCTGGAAGCTTCAAAAAGATGAAGGAAAGTCAAAGACCCAGCATCACTCTTAGCATATTTCTACGCCGTCTCGAACAGAACAATAGCGATAGCATCGTTCAGAATCAACTCGCCAAAGATGATGGTATACAGTTCCGGCTCGACATTGTAGAGATTGAAGATAGCCAAGATAGTGACTGGGTCTGCTTCAGTTTACTACATCAAAGGAAACAGAGAGAGATAAGCACCGCCACACGTAATGTGGCGGTGCAGCAAAGAACCCACACCAGCCACAGCCACTCGCGACACAAAAATTGCCCGCCGCAGAAATCCACAGTCACCATCCGCGTCTGGGGTTTTCTGATCAACCAAGCCCCCCTTTTCGGTCTCATTACATAGTCAGTGCAAGAGTCATTTGACTACCCCAACACACAAAATGGCACCGATATCTATTGCCGACCTGGTGGCTGCTCTCCCCTCGGAGGACACCTGGGGCCCCGCCACCTCCGGCGACAACATGCTCGAGGGCGTGCCCTACGCACCCTTCTCCAAGGGCGACAAGCTCGGCCGCATGGCCGACTGGACTTCCGAGTCCAAGGACCGTGAGAGGCAAGGTCGCCAGCCCTACAACCGGAACTTCAGAGGTATGTTCTTCTTGTTCCATATTTGTCTTTTGCAAAATTGTTTCAGGCACTAATTCCAAAAAAAAAAAAAGACCAGCAGGTGTATGGCGCCGGCTCATCCAGCCTGTTCACCATCCAGGCCGAGGACGAGTCCTCTTTCTCCGTCGTCGACAACGCTCGCTCGTCGGCCAAGCGCACCTTCGGCCGCGGCGGCGGCACCGTCTTCCGTGGCCGTGGTCAGCGCGGTGGTCCGGGCCAGCGCGGCGGACGTGGTGGCTTCCAGCGTGCTGGTCCCGGCGGCCGGGGACAGGGTGATCGCTTCTACGACAACCGGGGTGGCCGCGGCGGCCGTGGCGGACGCCGCTTCGGATGGAGGGACTGGGACAAGCCGCAGCGGACTCGTGAGGCGTCGGTCAACGTTCGGCCAGACTGGACTATGCTGGAAGAGGTGGACTTTGCGCGTCTGTCGAAGCTGAGCCTCGAGGCGCCCGAGGGCGAGGATCTGGATTCCTATGGTTTCCTCTACTACTACGACCGGTCGTTCGACAAGCCGCCTGTCAAGAACGCTGAGCGCAGACTGGCCGCGCTTGACCGCGCCGCGTACAATGTTACCACTTCGCAGGATCCCGTCATCCACGAGCTGGCCGAGAAGAATGAGGCAACTGTCTTCGCTACCGCCGACATCCTCTCCATGCTCATGTGCGCTACTCGCAGTGTGTACTCGTGGGACATTGTCATCACGCACCAGGACGACAAGATCTTCTTCGACAAGCGGGAAGGCTCGTCGTTGGATCTGGTGACTGTCAACGAGAACGCGATCGACGCCCCGCTCGAGATGTCCGAGGCCTCCGCTGGCAACAAGCCGGAGCAGATCAACACTCCCGGCGCGCTGGCCATGGAAGCCACCTTCATTAACCACAACTTTGCGCTGCAGACGGTGTCCGAGCAGCCATCGGCCAAGGTGGAGTTTGCCCAGCCCAACCCCTTCTACAATGAGGCCGAGGAGACCGAGCCCCTCGCCTCGAAGGGGTACAAGTACCGCCGCTTCGACATGTCGCTGGAGCGCGACGACGAGCCCGTGCAGATCATCGTCCGCACGGAGGTCGACGCCGTGATGAAGAACCCCACCGGCGGCGCGGACCAGCAACTGATCGTCAAGGCGCTGAACGAGTTCGACCCCAAGGCGCAGGGCTCCGGCAGCGCGCTGGACTGGCGCACCAAGCTGGTGTCGCAGCGCGGTGCCGTCATCGCCACCGAGATGAAGAACAACAGCACCAAGCTGGCCCGCTGGACCACGCAGGCCATCCTGGCCAAGGCCGACGGCATGAAGCTCGGCTTTGTCTCGCGCGCGAACCCGCGCTCCGCGGCGGGTCATGTTATCCTGGGTGTTGTCGGCTACAAGCCGCGCGAGTTCGCCAGCCAGATGAACCTCAACCTGACCAATGGCTGGGGTATTGTGCGCACGATCGTCGACCGCATCCGCACCCTCGACACCGACGAGCCGGCTGACAAGGTCAAGAAGTACGTCCTGATCAAGGACCCGAACAAGTCTGTGCTGCGTCTGTACAGCGTCCCTGCCACCACCTTCGAGGATGATGAGGAGGCCGAGGTGGATGAGACCCAAGAGAAGAGCGAGGAGGCGGAGGAGTAGATTTTTCTTATACTTTGATTTTTCTGCCTTGATTGTGCATATGTGAAAAGTTCGTTAAGAGTCATGAATGAATATCCATTTTGTGAATATTTCCTCTTCTATTCCTATTCCAACTACAATGACGGTGAAAAACGGCAGGTCCAAATATGTGCAGACAGAAATAGTATGTCATTGGCAAGCGACATAGATCGAAGACCACAAAAAAGGAAAAATCAAAAGACGAAGCCCAGTGCATGGGCAGTCTGGGCTTTTATATACACCTGGCTCATCAAGAGAAAGACAAGAAAGAAAGCAGCTGACAGTGGAAATAGAAGAAAAAAAAGGCAGGCTTGATAGTCCTCCACATAGGACATAGAACACTAATGGAAAAACGAATAAACGCAGTACATAGCAGCTCCCAAGTTCACTCCAGTATACGCACACACAGAGACACACAAGCCACTTAATAACAATTTCAGCAAATTCTTTCTGCCAGACATCAGGTCATAAACGTTTTCATTGCGTACACAGCTCTCGCCGGGAGAAGATGGGTTGGTAAAGGTTGCTCAGGCATACATGGAGTCGTCGTGAGCGCCTGACACCCCCACGTCGACCTTGGTGCCTACCACACTGCTCAGGCAATCCATGAGCTCGAAGTCCTCGACGACAGCGCCGAAGCCGTAGCAGCGGACTTTAGTATTGAGGGTCTCAATGATAATCTTGACATCCTCGCGACTCAGGGTGGAGTACAGCTCGTGGTTCTTGAGGCATTGCAGCGCCATGATCGGGGTGATCTGGCCGTCTGTGACGAGCTGGCGGCTGAGGTTGAGGAGGGTGCCGAGGTTTGCGAGTGGGAGGTCGTACGTCTTGTGTGGATACGGGGTTTCCGCGGTGGTGTTGGCAATGTAGCTCGGTGGAGGGCAGGTGGCCATCAGGGCGTGGCCTGAAAACGGCATGTCTTCGTCGTCGGCTTCAGTAATGGACCGTCGGCACAGATAGTCGGTGTGTTCGCGGCAGGGACTTTCCAGTCTGTGTGCATTCAACAAGGTCAGCCAGCAATTCAGCGCTTGGGGTAAAAGAACATACGTGAGGATAAAATCAACCTGCAGCTGCGGGTCAGTCTCGAAGACGCCGCGAAGAGCAGGCACGGGAGGCTCCGGGCATGCCGACGCCGAGAGATCTAGGCCCACAGACTGTTCACCGGGACTGATCTGGTACACCTGCTGCTGCGGCGCATATGGCATGCCCGGCGAAACATCAAGGCGCTCGACCCCGCCATTGGCACGAGGGCTCAAACCAGTAGAGATCGTCGTGGGCGGAGTTGTATTTTGATGGCTACCGTTTTGCGTGATACCGGCAGTATGCGAGCCGGTGGTGCTCGCCGTAACGGGGCTAGACTGGTAGCCAGTCATGGGAGGGCGCTCCGCTCGGCGGCGCTCGAACTCGGCTTCGTAATGGATTCCGTGGGCGCCGAGGATCTCCTTCAAAATCTCATTTTCCTCGCGCATCGTATGCACCATGGTCTTGTGTTGCTGGAGTGCGGCGGTGACATCGGCGATCTCGGTCGTATAGGCTTCTCGTAGTCGCGACACCTCGGTCTCCAATGCACGCATGTACTGTTCCTTCCGCTCGCGGTGGGTCCTGCAACGGTCAGGTCCGCACAGACGATTGAACAAGGGTATCGTGATTACCTCTGTGCCTGACGGTTAAGTTCTTGACGCCGCGTCACCGCGGGCTTGCTATCGGGCTTGGGGCCTCGCCGTTTGGGGGCCGCGCCATCTAGCTGAGATCAGTCCTCGATCGCAACCCGATCTCGCTGGGCCATCACCCACCTCGAGTAACCTTCTTGGGGCCTTGAAACAACTTGAACAGATCCGAACCGAATCCGCTTCTCGAAGGGGTAGCTGGTTCTTCTGTAGTAGATTGCCCCATGTGTTCCTCCCGTTGAGGGGGAGCAGCATGGGCGAGACGTTAGCATCTGTATGTTCCTGGTAGTCTTCCATCCGGTCCCAACCCGTGCTTTGCCAGTGGCTAGAGCCTCGGATCCAAGATAATCGCTTGGTGGGATCTTCAGACCAGAGGCAGCCTTGCGCCGGTGCAATTGTCCAGGGAAGGGGGGTCGATTGAGGAAGAGGTAAACGCATCGAACCACGGTCGAGGTGCGATGCCTGGACAGAGCCAGGAGGATCTCTGGCAGCGATGGAACTCACCTGGAATTTGCGTCTGCATGGGCTGGACCATGGGGTACACCCCACCGCTGAAAGACATGCTGCGATCGATCTCTGTGCGATCGTGGTCTCGGGAAGGCCCGCAGATGGGGTCGTGAGGGAATGAAGGAGGCGAAGAGGCTGGGTGTGGCTCAAGGGGAAGGAAGGAAGGCAGGAAAAGTAAAGTGGGATGGAGAAAAAGCAAGCAAGAAGACTGATTATGCAAGAGAAGAATGATGACAGGCAGATCAAGACAAGAAGACGAAGATGTTAACGAGGCAGTGGAGAAAAGACCCAAAGTCCTGAAGACCGCCTTGGTACCCGGCCCGCCACACTCGGTTACCGTCAAACCGAAGTACCCCGGAAGTATTCCCTGGAATTGACCAGTCCATTTCGACCTTGACAAATAGTTGAGCAGTAACACCCTTCGTCGCTGGGACGCCACAACCCGCCCCAACCCCCCCAGAACGGGCCATCCTGGTGCGATGGGCTGTCCTACTTATGGACCCCGAGATCTTGGTCCATGTCGCTGCACCCAGTGCCAGCAGCGACGACGCTCGCTATCGTGCCCAGGTCGCGGCCATCCTGCACTTCCAGAGTGTGTCGCGACAGCCCGTGTGGCTGGGCTTCGACAGCGACAGTCCCGACGAGCGGGATGATCGTCGACGCCATGACGAAAACCTCCACTCCTCTACAGAGGTCATCTCCGTCCCGTGCTCGCTGCTCAGCCAGCCTCAGAAGGCACGATCATCAGGGCCCAGCGAATGCAGGAGTGCCGTTTCCCCATCCATCGGCCAAAGTGGCCGTGTCACTCAGCCACAGGCAAATCTTTCTGATGCATCCATTCAGGATGGCCGCCTATCAGACCCCGGCGACGCTGTCAAGAACCGTCGAGAATCATTGGAGAGCCTCATCAGTGTCATCCCTGATTCGCAGCCAGAGATCCTGACCGAGTCGGATTCCGCGACACGCCCAGGACAATCGGATCTCCCCGCGGTCAAACGGCGTCGTATACAGCCATCATCCCCGGCCCAGCTGTTAGACGGGACCATCGCACCTCCCAGAGCTAGCTCGCCGGCGTTTAAGCAATCTACCGGCAACCAATCAGCAGGCCAGTGCCACAATGGCGCCCCAACCCAACCTCTCGCAGATAGGGCTACGTATACCAACCTCACGACTCTCCCACTGGAAATCCACCCCCCACCACCCCCAATCTCCAACACCCACTTCACAACCCACATAACAGCCACCCTCTCTATGCTAGCAGAGCGCCTCAAGCCATCCCGCACGTACAAGCCCGTTCTGCAAGCGCGGGATCTAGAGAAACTAGAACGAGGACATTGGGTGGTTCACATCAACATCCTCGATCCACCAAGAGAGCAACGCCAGCAACGCCAGCAACAGCAACAGCAAGCCCCCCGTCCCGCACGAGATTCATCCCCGCATCCACATGACTGGGACGCTGCATTCTTCCATCGCTTCTGGACATTCCTCTCCGAGTTCGTTGCGAGAGATGCGCGTGCGGGCTGGGGGGTGTGGTGTATCCTAGAGAAGGCAGAAGAAGATGCGCATCCAACCCTCCTGTCTGGCGGAGATGTTACGTCGGATTTGTCAACGACGCCGGTCTCGCTGAGGGTGTATGCATGGGGCGAGGTCGCGGTGCATGTTTACCTCCTCCTGTTTCTGGCGAGTGAGCGACGCATTCGGGGGATGGGTGCGCAGTGGAGGGATGCCCGTGGAGAGGTGGTTATCGAACTGCCGTGATGACTGAGATTTATAGAAGACGACTATGCACCTAATCCATTGCATTGGGGAAAGCGGGAATGGTGTTGTGTTTTTTCCAAAAGCATCAACTTGTTTACTTGCTTACTTACCTAGATACCCACTTCGAGAAATTACAATGCCTTTATGCCACTTACTTCCAAGGTTGCTATATCCACAATCCAAGTGTATGGTTATTCCTTGATTCGACACCCGCAAAGGATATTGTACATGCATGCTCGGCACAAAAGACAAATCACCCAAGCCGACAACGGGTTGAAGCGCAAAGAAAAATGCGGTTTGTTTTGGTCAATTCACAGCCAACAAACGTTTTCCATTGAAGGAAACAGAAGAAAAGATGTGACACCCCGTAAATCCAGAACACAAATTGTCAAATCAGTCCCATCCGTCCACCGAGGCGCCATGCCACATCCGTAGAAAAGAAAGAGTAGCAGAACAAGAGAAAGGGGAATAAAGACTAGTAGTTCAGTTCACCGCCGCCAGAGCCGTCGACAGCGTCAAGGTCCTCGTAGCTCTTCAGACTGCGTCCCTGCACAGCTTCGCGAGGCGGGATGCCTTGCGGTGCACCGTGACCACCCATCGCATCTGGGAACTGGCCGGGGGGAAACATCGCTGCGGCGGGGTGTCCGGGAGGCACGCTGACGCCTGCCGGCGGAAGACGGGCGCCAGGGCCATACATGCCACGAGGGCTGAGTCGGTCGTTGCGGCGACGATCGTATGGGCCGGGGCGGTTGTGGCGCCCACCGCCGCGACGCATGGCGCCTGGCTGATGTGTTCCCGAACCATCGCCAGGGACCATTCCGTTTCCGCTCCAGCTACCGGGGCCGGCGCCCATGAATCCGGGCATCCCGCCAGCAGGGAAGCCAGCGGGCATGCCACCGGGGCTTCCGAGTAAAGGTATGTTTGCCAGACTAAACCCACGAGGTGTACCACTATGGCCCTGACCAGAACCAAGTGGGAAGTGTCCGTTGCTGCTCGCGTCTGATCGCGACGGCGAGATGCGGGCTGGATCCAAGACATAGGTGTTGACGAGGGAGAGCTATAGTACTGGGATTAGCGCTGGGCATAACAGAAAGTGCGTTCAAACTTACATCGCGTTTGATATTCTCAAACCATTCGGCATGGCGCTTCTCGACGTGCTTGCGCCAGAAATTTTCAGCCTTGAAGAGCTTGGCGCATTCAGGCACTTTGCAACGGTATCTCGAATCTTCCTCCTCTTTCACGAACTTAGACAGCTCGTCCTCGACCGCCTGATCAACGGGCTTTCCGCCCAATTTGGCGAGGTCAACATTCTCGGGCTCGAGAATCTGGAGCAGCTTATCCTCAAAGGTCTTGACCCAATTGAAAGCACGCTGCAACTGTTGCTCGGATTTGGAGGCAAACCGCTGGGTGCGACGTTCCTGCACAGGTGACGCGCGTTCCTCTCCATCCTCACTAGGCTCTTTCTTGTTGACTGGGAATGGCAGTCCAAAAGCGCTGGCCCGAGCAACTTCCTTGGCCTGGCTGGTGAGGCCGGAGCGCGGCCGGCGAAGGTGTCCGCCGGGGCATTTGCGGCCGAGCTCATGAACTGAATCACTCTCAAAGACACAGAAGAAGCAAAAATTGTGGACCCGTCGCAAGTATTCAACAATCAAATCCAACTTCTTTTTCCTCGCCACCAGCTCCTCGTCATCACTCTCGTCCTCTTCAGGAAGCTCAGGTTCTTCACCCTTTTCCATTTCGTCTTCATCCAGATCTTCCTCGTCGCCATAACCATTCTTCCGCTTCTTGACACTCACGGGCCCAGTGACGGGGGGCTGCAACCAGCCTTTCCCACGCAGGTCCTCCACACGCTCCTCGATCTTTGCAAGCCCATCCGCGCCGTCTCCCATCTCAGCATCAAATTTGGAGATCAGTCGCGTGGCCAGTTCCAGATCCCGTTCAACTCGTTCCGGGGTTGAAAACAGGTCCCACAGAGCCTTCTTCCTCGGTTGAGAGGCCGGGGCATGTACACCGACATGGCAGACAAAGTCGCCGTGAACAGGATCATGGATCGTCTTGTCGTTGACCGCTTCGAGAGCCTTCTCGGCCGCACTGGCAGTAGTAGCACCTCCGTCAGCGCTGGCATCGTGATCCATCTCGCCTTCTTCATCACGCCCATCTCCTCTCTCCATAACTGTCGTGTCCGCCGCAGGGTGGAGCATGATCCATCCTATCCGATGATACTTCTTAGAAGGGTTGGGGTCGCTCAGACTCAGCCACTTGAACCCGCCATCGCCCTCTCCCAGATGCTCCTTACAGAATGCCTCAATCTTTTCTCGGCCAACATGGGGCGCCAGAGTCTTGATGAGTAAAGCGGGTTGAGACAGGGCGTCGTCGCGCAGCGCTCCACCTCGCACAGGCAGAAGATCGAGAACGCCCAGGGTCTCTCCGACAGCGGTAGTCTCGCCTTCCTCTTTTTCAACTATGCCCCCAGCACCATCGCTGTCCTTCTTGTAGATACCCTCCAAGGTAAAGTCATCGAACATGCCGCCTTCGAGATCATTGTTCCATTGCTCATATGCCCCTGTCCGGCGGAAGTTCATCAGGTTACGGCGGATGGGATCCCGGACCTCAGGGACATAGCGCTCCTTGAACCATTCTGCGTTCTTGTGATGCTGAACGAAGAGCCTCGCGAGCTTCACTTGTAGGTCAACCTTGTATGTATCATAGGCATCCTGGATCTGCGCTCGTTCCTTATCGCGGTCCTCGCGCGCCTCGCGCTCGCCCTTAACACGATCCACTGGGCGACGACCACCATGCTTGGCACGCTCCTTTTCTTCCTTCACCGATTGTTCAGCTCTCCACCATTCGGCGAACCAAGTGAAGCCGACTTGGAAATCAAGGTTCAGAGGATTGGGAAGAGGATTTGTCGGAAGCGGCCGTTTACCAGAGTCCTGTCCGGGGACATAGCGGTCGATGTTCGCAACGTTTGGGGAGGGAGCACGGCGGCGGTCTTCACGCTCTCGAGCAGCATGCTCTCGCGATGTATTGTAAAAGTCGTCCCTGGAGTTGCGCCGATCCAAGGGCTCGTAGCGGTCAATCATGACGGGGGAACGGGAGCGTCCACGTCCACGGCGGCGGTCCTGCTCGACTGGGTTCAAGTTAGGAACCAAACGATCACCAAATAAGCTTGCGAGGAATGGCTTACCAGGCGACCGACGTCTGTAAGAGTCCCCTGGCGACCCATACTCATTGTAGGAATCCATCGTCACAAGTATTCCTCAAGGCGATCCTCTTTTGTGCCTGGCCGTGCCAGCCGCTACCACAGTTGGGATGCTAGTCCAAACACTCGGCCTAGGCAATCAATGCGGGAACGGTGTAGCCGAAGAAAGGTCGACAGACAGTAGGAATGGCAAGCTGAGCTAAGAGTCGAACATCATTAGATCCCGTTTTTGGTTCAGTGGTGGAGGCTCGGATGTTCATGGAGAGCAACAAAGGCAGGAAGGTTGGAAGAAGAGAAGGACAAGATGAGAATGCAGTCAACATGGGCAACCCCAGAGACAGGGGCGTAGAAGCGCCGCATGTCCACGCAGGGAATCCGGTCAAAAAGAGAGTGAAGAAGGCAGCTCGTGGGAGCTAGCAAGAAGAGGCACGAGGGCCGCGCACCCAGCGACGGCGAGTCACTGGCGCAGGAATGTCTCGGAGAAGGGAGAAACGAAGAGTAAGGAGAAAAGGAAGGGACGCTGAATGACAGCAGAAGGGCAAGGCGCTCCAAAACCAGAGGAATGAATGAATGAACGAATGGGGGCTCAAGCGGTCGACTGACTAGGATGAGGCAGGCAGGTAAACGTACAAGTTAAGTGATAAACAACAAGAGGACAAAAGCATCAATCCTCAGAAAGAAAGTCGAGACGGACGATCGTAGCAACAACCCCGGGGAAGCTTAGAGTTGGGTTTAGGTTGGGGAAGAAGGAGGTGAGACGGACGGCGAAAGACGATCGGGGCGATCCAGAGCTGGAGAGCGCTAGGCCGAATGGGGGCCGGCTTGGCTAAGCAGGAACCGATAGCAACATGATTGTCTCGGACTGATCTTACACCCTGGAACAAGACAAGACAAGACATGACATGACAAAATAAAATAAATCCCTGTCTCTCAGAATTCATTTTGCAATGGTTTAGAAGGATTAAAAAAAAAAAAAAGAATCATTTCCGATACCGGGGATCGAACCCGGGCCGTCCCGGTGAAAGCGGGAAATCTGTTTTCATTGTTAGAGAAAGACCGATTACTGTGTTGAGGAGGTGGAACGAACCCTAACCACTGGACTATATCGGACACTTTAAGGAGATAAAGCTCTGCTTGGCAATCATGGTCTTAGATAGTGGGCCACACCTAGCTTAAAGATGGTTTTATAGACTGAGTGACTTTAAGTTGGAGAGGAAGTGAGAGGGACAACGAAAGACGATTGAGGCGATCGAGAGCTGGAGGTATTAGTTAACTTGACCCAATGGTAATTGACGGCGCAGGAACCAAGCAGTGCAACAACATAGAGTCGGACTGATTGATAGTTACAGTGGGGCTTCGGTTAGAGGTTCTCAGACTTATGGAACACCACTGTACACTCTGCAATGAAATAAGACAAAATAGAAAGTCTTGTCAGATACGCTTGCAATGGTTTAGATGGGAAAAAAAAAAGAATCATTTCCGATACCGGGGATCGAACCCGGGCCGTCCCGGTGAAAGCGGGAAATCTGTTTGCATTGTTAGAATGAGAGTCCAATTACTAGGCTGAGAAGGTGGAACGAACCCTAACCACTGGACTATATCGGATATTGCTTACGATAGGCGCACTTTATGGATAGATCAAGGAGACAACAAAGTCAATAATCGTATCCTTGGATTGTTTCGTCACAAATGGTCTTTTAAGATTATTCTATAAAATGAGAGTCTATTAAATACTCAACGGTTGAATTTAGACGTAACTGTTGATTATCGGTAGTTCCATGGTCAAATCATTGAGGAACTGTCCTTCTGACCCTCCGAAAACCCGCTTCACGCCTCCTTAGAGAGCTATCTCTAGGGGTACATCCCATACCCTGCCTCACTACAGTAGGCAGTTGACTCCAACACCTCTCCAAATATTATTATTCATGCCGAAATCTTGATGTGGTAGGATTTTGATCTTGATCTTGGCTGTTACGAATCAAGGAGTCGGACGAGAAACTGTGCATTGGACGAGCGTAGCTAATTTTGATGAAGAAGAGGCGGAGGGAGATACCACTTGTTGAATCTACCAAGGTCGGCTGCCCGGCGGTGATGACCTGCTGAACCCGAACTTCGACATTCTAGTTGGTGGCCTGTTGAAGCCAAGCAATAGCAGAATATTACTCCACAGGTCAATCCTCCTCGATCTTCTTACTCGATACATCATATCAAGGCACGTTTTGCAGGACTGGTCCCAACCTCAGCGACCTTGAGCGACTCTCTAGCCTCCATTAGTTTCGAAATCCGAATGGATCTGAGGTCCTTCGAAAAATAGTACTTCGGGAGCCGAGGAAATTCTGTCAAGTCAACCGTCACCCATGAAAGATTTCCATAGTTTGACCAGGGCGGAATCACTGATGGTCAAGATGCGTGAATCAGTTGGCTTAAAGTGTGATTTTTTGCCGCATTCGCCGCATTTGTGCTTTTCAACCAGGTACCTTGCGACATCCTCATGTGTCGTCCACCTTGGATGCACGCTAAGGTCTTTTGCGCCACAATTCCCACAATCAACTTCCACACGCCTTGGAAGTTCGCCGTATTCTTCGGGTGAGCGAAGAAAAACCTTTTGCCACGTGAGTCTTGGCCGGTCCGGCAAACCGAGTAACTCTTTGCCGAGTGGGATGATGTGGCTCTGAAAAGAGTCGAACGGCACAAGTTGAACATGCGGTTTCGGACATCCAGGCAGCCCGCAGGAATTTTCCAAGCTCCAAACGACATAGAAGGTTGGATCGCTTTCTGCATAATACGCGAAAGGGTCGTCAAGGACTCTTCTTTTGCACGCAAAACATTTCCGGGGAACAATATTCCGTGGAGAAGCTTGTAGAACGAGGAGAGAATCAATGCTGGCCTTTCTAGAGCGCGATATTTTCCACCCGTATGCTACGAGGACACAAAATGCAAGGGCAACAATTCCCAAGTTGCCAGGATCTCCTTTTGCCTGAAGTAGACAATAGGCTCTCTCTAAGTGCTCCCGAGAGGAAATTGGCTGTCCATCGGTTCGAAGACCTGATTGGTTCTCAAGAAGAGATATCAGTACCTCGGGAAGTTCATCCCAGTCAAAAATATCTGTCCAATCTGACTGCTCGATGGCGGTAAACAATTCCTCACTAGCACCCTGGAGGTAAGCATTGTAAACTTGTGTCGAGATCTTGAATCCGGGGAGGAATGTAGCAGCTAGTGCCTCGGTTTTGTTCCACAAGTCGGCAATTATTTCAAGCCGAAGCTCTCTCTAAATTATTTTGGAGTAAATTAGTTAAACAGAAAAGTTCAGGAAAGTAAGGTTTATCCTTACCTGGACTTTGTCAACTGTGAGATTACCTCTACTCTCTGGGTTGATAGTCGAACTAACTAAACCCGCACGGAATCCTTTCATTGCAGAGACCCCATTTCGATCATCTGTTGTGATATCCAAACGAGGGAGTTTCTTTTCAGTCACAAGAATAGCATTCGGAAAAGTAGCCCGTAATTGTGCTCGAGCTTGACCTTGCAGCATTTCCCTTTTCAGCCTTCTTTCTGCTGTCTCGCGGAAGCCTTTGATGAGGCGGGGGCTGTACTCATAAAAGTGAGGCTCAATTTGAATATTCGCTAGATGAGCAGCCACTTTCAATAGAAGATCTTGTTTTCTCCCATTTCGCGTCCTGAATGCTTGGGCCCGTTCCGTTGAACTTTCCACGTATGCGTAGCATTGTGGGTGCCTCACAAACAGTAAAAAGCGCTTTAGTGACTTCTTGTCACCTGACAATTCAAGATGTAGTGTAACATCCTTGTACTGTCCCCACAGCGTTAAAGGAACGAGCTGAGACAGATTCTTCATTCGCTCGCGTACTCTGGATCCCCAACGCACTTCAACAACAGCCCCCATGGTATTTCGAAGTGCAAATAGGAAGCTGTCGTGAATATCACAGAGATCCTGAGGATAGCAATCGCCAACATGATGACTCATGTCTCTCCTTGAGATGTGATCAAAAAAGAAACTGTTGTCTGTGGTAAACCCAGCGGTGTGGATTTGAGACATAGACGGGTTTGAAAGATCGCATGTAATTCCGACATATGGATCTGCGACGCAGAAAGTAGGGTTGAAAAGGTGACACGCTATCAGCGCATTCAAGGAGCCACTAGGCCGCACTAGAAACTCACGCGGCCGATTGACGTCGCGTGAGCTCCACCATTGCACCTCGTCCTTCGCAAACTGTTCAAAAGCTTTGTTCATGTCCCAGAAGGTCGGCTGTAGCTTCTTGACTGCTCCCATGTTATTATTACCCGACCATACCATAGTAAACTGTTCAAGAAACTAACCTTGGTAAGTTCTGTGATCGAGCTCCTGAATTAGTGTCAGGAGGTGATTCAGGCGGACAAGCTCATCCGAGTTGAGGTGTTCTGTAGGTTCCTCCAGCCGAAGACCGCCAAACAGGCGAAAGGAAAGAACGTTTCCTGACATTGTGTTGGGCTTCGTGTTGTTGCGCCCAGACCCGGAAACTTTGGGAAGCTGAATAGCCGGCTCGATGGATTTCTGGTTTTTGAGGTAATAGATCGAGGCTTGAACGGGCGGCCGGGGAAGGAAAAATACGAAGGCAGTGTTGATTGTGGTATCTGAGGGCAGAGAGAAGGAAAAAGAAAGGTTCAGGGGAGCGAAGTAGAAAACAAAGGACGTGTTCGAGGTCGGCAGCCTAAGTAGACTGGTGCAGAAAAAAGAAGACAAAACAAAACAGGAAAAGCCGGAAGCTCCCTCAACGAAGTCGAGTTCCAATACTGGCAGTTTGCTAAGTTATATGATTGTTAATGCTATCCCACACTGCAGTTTTTAGGTATATCTTGTACTTCATCTGCCACTCCACTCAGGCCTCTCCTGGCCAACTCCGATTGGCCCCAACCCCGACGTCATCCCCCACAAACATTTCTCTCCTTCCCATGTCTGGTCTTCTCAACTCGCGCTGGGCTCCCGGCGCGAGGGAGCACCATGCGCCTCCAAATGCTCCATCCCGATTCTCGCGCTCTCAATTCCGGAGCCAGAGTGCCCAGCGAAGCAGTCCCACAACAGCTACCCCATCCGTGCTGTCCCCATCCGAGGAGCTGGCGCGCTTCATGAAGATCGTCTCCCGGCTGCGCTGGAAGCTGCCCTTTCTTGCAGAGGGTTACCGTCTGGCCACCCAGTCCACCGAACATGCAGAAGTCTCCCATGCGGAGATCATGTTCAAGATCGACTTCCACGAGTACTACGCGCTTCTCGAGCGCGCCATTGTGCACCTGCTGGGCGTGTTCAACATCACGGTCTCCTCGTCCTTCCGGGGTACCCAGATGAATGGGAACGGGCGAGTTGGGGTCCATCGGTACCATGCAAACGTGCTAGAGGCCCTAGAAGAAGAGACCAGTCCGTTATCGCCCGTTCTGGGCAGCGGACATGTTCTCAAGCAGCTCAAGCAGGCGAAGGAACTCCGCAATCGCTGGAAGACGGCCGACATGACCCAGGAAGAGAGAGAGAAAGACCCCGTTGCTGCCAATAGGGCGGTGATGCCTCTCGCGAGCTATGATTTTGAGACCATCTTGACCGAGATCTTTGGGGGGTTAGAAGAGGCATATGTGCGTGCGCGGGAACATGTTGACAAATGTAGAAGACCCGAAGAGAGCACTGAATCGCCATTATTGGATTCGGAGGCGGACTGGGAGTTCATGGTGGATGCAATGGATTGGGAAGCTGTGTGAAGTAAATACCCAAATACCCGAATACATACATACACATACCTACCTGAGAAGCGAGACATCCCCGTTTGTTCCTTCCTCTGTCTCCCACACTTTGTCTTCCCCTGTTCCTCTCTCTGCCTTTCTCTTCATGATCAGCCCTCTTTCTTTCTCCCACACTCCCTGTCTCTCTTCCCAGTCTGTCTTTCTCTCCCCCTCCATCTCTCTCTGTCTTCATCTTCTATAAGCCCCTCTGCCACTCTCCCACTCTCTCTTCCTCTCTTCTCTGTGCCTCTCTCTCACACTCTCTCTTTTCACTTTGTTTCCCTCTCTTGTCTTCCCTTCCGATTTCCCAATCTCCAACTCTCTCTCCATCTCCCGCTTTCTCTGTTTCTATCTCCTTCTCTATTTCACTCTGTTTCTCTCTCTTTCCTACTCCCAAAACTATGCCTGTTCCAAATCACCCCAAGATTACGCGCATCGTGCACCCAGGCTTCCCCGGCTTGGGCCTACCACTCACCTTTTGCCCCCAGGACAAGCTCGTCGAGAAGAAGCTGAAGAAAAAGAAGACGGAGGAGGTCTTGCAGGTCGAGCAGAATGTCAAAACGATCGAGGATTCTGTCGCCTGCCCGTCTGTCTCTTTACTTCCTTCACTTCTTGTGATGCCATGCCTTTGGCCACCACAACTGCCACCACTCATGCTGCGTGAGATCACAATGATTCGAGCGATGAACGAATTCACGGACCGCCCAGATTGGAGCAACAAGGTTTGTTATTGCTCGCTACTTGGCTCAGAGAACCGACTAATGTGAATAAGTAGGTATTTGACGACCAGGTCATCCTGAAATGGCGGGAGGAGATCACGAGCGCCACCTTCACGGAGAAGATGTTCGAATACTGCGTCAGAGAACTGCGATATCACACAGCACGGTTCTGGAGAACCGGCATGGTATTCGGTGCCATGGGGATTGTCAAATCAGATACAGCCGTGCTCGGTCACGTCAAAGCGGCATTGATCAGAGCAGGCCGTGTCCTTGAAGATGATGCTAGTGTGAAAGATTCGCTTCCTAAATCGTGCGATGACAATGTCGTGAACCTTGTTGATCCGTCGCTCTTCCCTCTTGTTTTCGGTCGGACTCGAGCTGTGCGCAAGGATGAGATTTGCCGTGATCATTGTCTGTCTGATATGGGCAAAGGCGAGATCATCCCCATTCCGACAATCCAAGAAATGGAAAAGTTCGCAAAGGTAAGTTCGAGAAAACATCGCATTACCGACAGTTACAACACCAAGATGCAGTGGATTCCGTCCGACGTCTTGGTGTCGCCCCATGGGTGTTCGATTCACAGCTACATCAACAACGTGCACCCTGAGCACCATGAAGATCTGTATCGAGTCGTGGAAGACATCATGGACATTGCAGTCCCTGCCTGGGGGCATAGCCTCGGCCTCAGTCATCAATTGACCGACCAGCATGACGATGGCTACTATCTCAAGTCTCGCATTGATTGGACAGACGGCACTAAATATTCACACCTGTCAACCCAACAGAAGCCCCGAAAACAAAATGGCGAGCGTAATGACCATTTCAGATCTCGCCTTCGGAGGTGGTGGTCCGGAGAACGTGAATCTGTACTGCCCGACGCTCCAGGCTTTGACGAGAATGTTCATCCAGGATTTCCACCATCTCCTTTTCAGTGCGAGTTTCCGAATCTTCAGGTGTTTGTTAAGCTCGTCAACATCAATTTGGGTCCCGAGAACCCAACCTACGATGGAGAAAAATGGCATGTGGACGGGCAACAAGTAAGATCCCCCGGCTTCCCCTGATCATATCAGATCCATGCTGACATTGCACCAGAACGAGCACATCTGCGCCACGGCTCTCTACTACTACGACAGCGACAACATCACCGAGAGCCGACTGAGCTTCCGTCAGGGCTCATGGTTTAGGAGGTTTGAAGAAGAACTGGAGAATTTCTACGAGTCTCTACCTGAGATGTTTGGTTGCAAAAACGGTGATCCACAAGTGCAGGAAATCGGAGATGTGCTATGCCGCCCAGGAAGACTGGTTACTTTCCCCAGTGTGTATCAGCACCGCGCGAATGCATTCCGTCTGTCGGATCCAACGAAGCCCGGCTACCTCAAGATGCTGGCGCTCTTCTTAGTCGACCCCATGATTCGCCTCATTTCAACATCCCAAATCCCACCGCAGCGGGAGGATTGGTGGCAGGAAAAGCTCGGAGCCCCCTCCGGCAAGGGGTTGAGCCTTTTGCCAATCGAAATCAAATGTCAGGTCATCGAAGAGGTCGGCTATCCCATCACCATGCGGGAGGCGCAAAAGCTACGGCAGGAGCTGGCAGCTCAGCGGGATGAGTATGTCCAGAGATCGACCAAGTACTTCGAGAAGTTCAGGATTGCGCTGGGCACAACTTTCGATGATACTTCGTCGATGGAAGCCGATCGACTGTGGGATGATGAGGATGAAGATAATGAGGATGAGGATGAGGATCAGGATGAGGACTGGGATTGAGAGGATATTTCTTAAAGTTTTCCTGGGATTTGCGGCGAGAAGGTGGAATGTTTGCGGTTCGCAGAGGCAGTTTTCTTTCCAGTCTGTAACTTTATGAGATCTTTGAAACGTTGCGCCTGTTTATGTGTCTTTATCCGATTTCAAGGGTATCATCAATGGCCGTTTTACTTGGCTATTTTACTTGAGTCCGTCCAAAAACCAAAAAGAATTACGACACGCCCCTCTAAGAGCCTATCTTCGGTAGGTAAGACCAGCTTCCGTGCACGAATCTAGGTCTAAGATGACTGAATAAATTGGTAAGACAAGGGTTAGGAGGAATTCTAAAAAGACGAGTTTCACTGGACCAGGAACCGCGGCTTCCTAGTACACCGTGGAGGCACCAACTTAAGCCCTCTCTCATGTACTATATCATTCTTAGACCCGGAACTTCGCAGGGTATTTCTTGTTGAAAGCGAATTAGCGCTCTTTTTTGTACCGCTACTGTTCAACCGCTACTACTCATCTACTAGTAGCGTTTAACTGCTATCGTTCAACTGCTACTTTTGAACTACTACACCACAACGCTATATCGTGGGAAATGGCTACCTTGGATGCCAATTTCGATGCCCTTTTTAATCATAGTCATTAAGCAGTCGCTAGGCACTCAGGGTGCTCAGGGCAGATTAGGATGCGCACCTGTTGTGAATCTTGGATCTAGCCTAAAGATCATATTATGTGAAGCGTTGGGAGAGCTTAGCCGAGATATCTAGAGAAGATCAAAACTAATTTTGTCGTAATCCCATGGTTGATGCTTTCACATTGATACCGAAGACAATATTCATGCAGATTGATTGACTTGGGGCCAACAGCAACCATTTTCGGTGCTGTATGTTGTGTCGTGGATTCTCGTATCCGTTATGCAATAAAGGTGTAGTTGTATAGGAGAAGCAGATATAATTTGTTTGTCTGACCAAGATGTTTGCCAGTATTCTACCTCAATTCATGCAGCAGGGAGTTTTTAACAATCTGCAAAAAGGAATCCCCCTCCGCCCTGTCATAAAATGCCTCATTATATGCCAAGTTCAAACAAAGCTGGTCTCGAAAAGTCCACACATGACACACAGATTGTCTATTGATCATATCCAAGCCGCCTGAGATTCGATCGATGCGAATTCCCCTCTCTGCAGTTCCCTTTTCTCTCGCCACAAACCTCTCGCACACACCGAGGCTGCTGATGTCCACATCGGTCGATGAAGGGGTGTCCGGCGGCAAGCTGCGAAGAAGGTTGCATAGCCCAATAGCGTATTCGCGATGCGCCGAAATGTATGCATGACTTAGGCCTCTGCGGTACTCGTCATGGTATGCCTTTGCTCGGTCTGACCATGACGACTTGGACGAAACAGGGAACATCCAACCTGTCGTGAAGATTGTGCTGGCATACTGGCGACCAGAGTATGGCTCTGGTAGGAACGGGCGTAGACTGTAACGTATCGTACTCGTATAGTGTTTGTTCTGATCATCAGCAGTAGCTAGCGCATAGTTGGCTCCGGCAATTGACGCATGCACTGCTGCTGTTACCGAGAGGTTCCGAGCCTTGCAACCTTGTACTACGGCCTTTGTCTCTTGCTCAGTGAGATGAAGACGGCTAATGCAGGTGCCACCTGGGGAAGTCTCGGCTGGTGCGCGAGAGGCGATTCCGATGGCCCCGGCGGCATGACCAAAAGTTGCAACACACTGTTGGCCTAGTTGCTTATCTTGCTCCTCCGACGTTATAAAACTGGACGACGCTTCCTCAACACACGGCGCTAAGCGGACGGTCTCTTCACCCCATGGCAGGGAGGAAGTATCTATAGCAGACTGCGCGGCTAGGTCAAGGAAGTCGTCCATTAGAATCAAACCACCGATGCCGTCCGTTCTCCAGTGTTGCGAGCGGCCCAATAGCTCACCCGTCTGGGGGAAAAAGGTCATAGTAGCATATGGAACACGTGTGGAAGATGCGATGACTTCATCGGCCGTCTTGTCCTCAATCACCTGAAAGGTTTCCGCCGTCCATTTCTCAAGTGCCGTAAGATCGGGGATATCGTAGACATATTTCGTTTCGTCTACGAGATAGGCGGCGATCGTGGGGTGACGGAAACGCAAAGCCTTCCATGCTTCGCGGAAGAGAGAGTATTGATTTTCCTTGGCGAGTGAGCCTAGCGGGGTCACCGAGGCAATGATGTTAATAGCCCAGTGTTCACGATTGAACGGACGGGCGGCATCACCAAGGATCTTGATGAACGTTTCATTTTCGCCGAGTGGACGTTCATATCGTTGTTCGCTCACTTTGGACCATGACATGTTGAATTGTTCGCTGGACTTTGTACAGGAAGATTCCGAGGTTAAATCATTAAATCACACAGAATTAGGACCAATGATATCTACCTCTTTTTTTTATATTCCCTGGTCGCTAGGGTACCTGATACACGGGGCGCCTGATCGCCAGGACGCCTGATCTATAGGATGCCTGATTTACCGGGCGCCTAATTGATATCACACCTGGATCTATTAGGACGCCGTAAAACATCTACTCATGTACAAAAGTAAACTACTCCGTACATATATCCGTTAAGCGGTCGCAACTTTTTTCTTTAGAAAATATATAAATGCAATTTGGATGACTACAGACCCACTAGGGATTTTTTTCACATCCCAACTGCACACTCTTGGCATAGCACGCACAGATCCCGCGTCAATCACCGAGTAGTACGCAGATCCTCAATCCAACATAGTCGCCAACGATGCACTCGGCGAAGAAATTAACCGGAAGAAGATGTACAATTATATGGTAGAGAAGGCTAACCGCGCCGCTCTCCTACGTATTGGGTTTGGGAAGAATTCGCTCATTTTTACCGGTGTAGATCTTTTAGATGCAGAAGTATTCACAGTCTGGGTTTTGAACTCGTCTCTTTTAGCTGCGTTGGAAGCGCGCAGGCCTTGAAGCCGCTTCAAGAGACGGGGTTACCCACTTGAGTTACAGCTTTCCAGCACCGGCTAACCAGCCGATTCATTGTCATACTTCTTCGACGTGCTCCGACAATGGCTGCGCTGCTGGTGTTCCTACAGTAAGTGGTTGATCGCTATAAGATTACTGTTCAATTACTAGCGTTCAACTGCTGCCGTTGCTGCGGGCGTTATTAGTATCAAATTCGGGGCATAGGTCGCTTTCCCTGCTCATATCTGTCCCAAGGTCTATGATAGTATAGAGCCAGCAAACAGCACAGCCATTAAGAATGAAACCTTAGGTATCCTTTGTAAAAAAAAAAGAATATGATACGTACAACATGAGCGTATAACACAGTGGGAAAAACGACGCACAGGCAACAACAGTATAAAAACCAGTCTCTTCCTATTGCAATCCGAAGTAAGATATAAAAAAAAACCATATCATTTGCATGATTCTTTTTCCAGTGATGGAAGCCTCTCTAATTCCCAGCCAGAAGATAATAAAAAGCCCATGGACACATCGACCAGGCGGAAAGACACCGAAGAAAGAACCAAGGGAAAGAACAAAGCAGGAACAACGGTATGGAGAATAGAAGAGGAGGGAAAAGATAGGAGAAGAGGGAAGACAATAGGCCGGAAGTGAAGTGTTGCTGCACTGTCGGTTCAATATACACAGAGATGCTGCTTACTTGTCAAGCATGCATATGGTAGACAGGCGGTCCATCGAGGATGCTTATCGCAGTGCGGTCAAGTGCAGATAGCCACTTTCTGGCGGCGGATATGTCATGTGGAAGGAGGTTCGGCAAGATCATTCTGGTAAATCAATGCATCCTTCCATTTTCCTCTGAGGGTCGGGGTGAAGGTAGCGTAGGTGGAAGTGATCGTTGGGGAAGGGAAAGGGGAATACTAGATGGGGATTGAAAAAGCCAAGGCAAAACAGAACAAAAGAGGATATCGTCCCAGCACAGCAGCTATAAACAAACATTGTGTCGAGTGCATCGAAAAATAAGAGAACACACAAAGGGGTAAACCGGGAGTCCCATACACGTCGCTCGCTAGAAAAGAAAATAAAACCCAAAAGCATCCATCCGTAAAGCGGTCATGACCGAAGAAAAAAGACAAAGCAGAAAGCGAGAAGGCGTTCAACCATCCTCGTCCGAGGGCTCGGCAGATTCTGCCTCGCTGCCATCGACACTGCCACTCATCTTGACTTTCTTGCTGGAGTTGGCATGCGAGTCATTGACCTCGCTGGACTTTCGTTTCTGTGCAGCGGCGCCGTTCTCGCCAGGCTTGCCAGTCTCTTGGCCTGCATTGTTGCCCTCGCCTTCTGCCTCTTTTTTCTCCATAGCGGCGACTTCGTCGGCTGTCAGGAACCGGCCACCGGGCCCACGCGGTCGACGCATGGCATGGTTGTGTCGCGACTCGTGCAGATAAGGCTTGCGACCCTTGGACGTTAGGCGCAGCTGCTCCTCGAGCTTTTGTCGCGCGACCCGGCGCTTTAAGATGCGATGGAACTGTTTGGCGTTGACATAAAGCGGCGACTCTTCCTGACCACCTCCGGGGACCATCTCTGGCGACGACTGTTGCTGCTGGACTGCAACTGGAGGCGGCTGCATGGGCGCAGAGGGTCGGCCGACGTGGTTCATGATTGGTTGCTGAGGACTACCCACATGGCTCATCCGGCGTTGGGGCATCTGCGAGTTGGGCGCCATCTGCATTTGCGAACCCATCGGGGGCATCTGGCCGGGCATCTGGGGTGACCGCGGGTTGCGATCATTTTTCACCTGGGCGCCACCCATGCGCGGAGAGCCTCGGGGGCCTTGAGCCATCTGTCCGGCCATCTGGTCTTGGTGAAGGGGATAGAACTGTCCTGACGCGGCAGCGGTCGCCATGGCAGCAGCCTGCGTCGGCGAGATGCCATAGGTCTGCGGCATGGCGGGGTTGACACCGTACCCCTGTGGGAAGCTCATCTGCTGGTGGACTGCGCCGGCGGCATTCTGCGACTGCTGATAGTGTTGATTCGCCGGGACGATGGGAGATGTTTGGTGAGGCTGTTGCATGGAAGCCTGTGTGGGAGATGTCATCGAGCCCACGGCACTGCCAGCATTCGGAGGCGCGGCTTGGTAGGGGCCAGGCATGTGGGAGGGTGCATGTGGATGCTGGCCATGCGGCTGTTGATATTGCGGAGGGTACTCCATGGTGAAGTTGCGACGATGAGTTTCGTCACACGGCGCGGCGACAACGTGACAGGGGAATGAGTAAAGCGACGATCTATCGACCGTAAGGGCCAATCAGAATCACTGAAGAGGCAGTTGACGCGATGAGGTGATGCGCCGTCGCAGGTTCAACGAGATCGAGTTCGATCGCAAGCTCTGTTTGGCAGCTTATCTGCGCGTGGAAGGAACGGTCGCCACGAGCCGTAGTCGGGGCGCGATCGGTGATTCGACGCGCGGGATGCGACAGTCTGCAGCCTCGGAGGCTCGCGTCAGCACAGCGCAGGGCCGAGCGGTCACTGGATTGCGGGTGGGGAGGGGCAGAGAAGGGAAACACAGGGACCCGGGCGCGTACCTTAAAAACTCGTGTGCGCAGTGGCCAGGTCGTCTGGACTCGCGTTGGTCAGAGAGGGGTCTCGAGCGCCGTCGCGGCAGGTTTGGCTCCTTTGTGCAAATCCGTTTACGCCGACGGTGTCGGGTGTAACGTGGTTGGGCTGTGATGCAGCACAGCCGTGGGGAGTATGCGATGCGTTGTCAGGGCGATAATATCACCCAGACCCTCGTGAAGAGGCTACGCAATGGCTATTTCGGACACGGTCCGGCAGGCTTCCACATTCAAGAACGTCCGAGGCTTGGTCTGCCACGTCCGCGCCTATCCTGGTGGGATAGCTGGGGCGGTGCTGGTGGTCTTTCCCGTTTCGTAGCACGGAAAAGGAGAGTGGCGGGTGAAGCGACGAATGCGCCTCGAGGACTGATGTCACCGTTCAGGCTGCAAGCACCGGGGCTAAGACAAATAATCAGTATCGGATTCGCGCAAATCAAAAGCATTGACGCATGACAGTGCGCTGTCAACCGGGAGATTCTCCATGTGGAGAGGCGCTGATGATGGTGGGGGAGGGGGTGGAAGTAAGCGGGTAAGGCCGGGTTCAGGCTTGAGGGGCAATTGACAGAGGTATGCGTTGGCAACGAGCTGCAGCAGGGGACTTACAGGGTGTCGATCGCGATTCTGCAGGACCAGAGACAATAATGTGAGGCGAAGGCGATGCTAAAATGGTCGGGTCAGTTCAGCTGCCAGCAACAGTGTGATGTAAAAAATAGACAGATGACAGGGCCGACGCGTTGCATATCATAGCTCGGCCACAACACACAACGCGACCGGCATGCGCGAAGTCGCCAGATGCGAAAACACGAAGAAAAAGCAACATGCGACGAGTGCACGCGCAACGAGGTGATTGAGTGATGGATGATATGATGGGACTCGGTCGCGCGCGTTTGTTTTCGCCACGAGCCGACCAGCACAAGCCGCGCGCGCAAAACGTGGGGGTGGGAGGGAAGTCAAGCGTGCATTACCTCAAAATAGTCTCTTTGGCGACGGCAAGGGATCACGATGATTTGACCAAGGAGGATGAAGATTGATTGGGGGAGCGGAAGGGGGAGGGGGGGAGGGAAAGCCAACGAACGAGAAGCAGAGGAATAATTGGGCAGTGCGCTGATGTCAAGGGACGGCCGCCCTCTTCCGAGATGGAGAGACAGGCAGACCGATGGGGGGGCCGCGTGGGATCTGTTTACACACTGGAGCAGAGACCAATGGCAGAGACACGTACCTTGAGGTTGACTAGTGTAAGGACCAAGTGGAAAAGATGGTTGCGATCGAATCAGAACAAATCAACTCTGTGCGATGGTTGGGAGGGCGACCAACGAGAGGCAGCGAGAGGGAGAGAAAAGGCGAGCTGGGCGGGCGATGGAGCATTTTGTACCGTTTCCGGCTGGCCGAGTGGTCGGGGGTGGTATGTTACCGCGTTATGACCGTATGGTGGTATTGTGGATGATCTCATGTCTTTCGCCGATTATCATTGGTCATCATTTCCTGTGCTTGTGCAGCAGAGCGCGCTATCTATCTACAGCATACGGGGGAGTCCCTTCACTCTATTCCGAGTAGACGAGAGAATCCTGCCCTCCGGCCATCCCGGTCATGTGCGACCCCATGACGCACTCGGAACACGCCACACGCTTATGCCTCATCTGGCGGTGTATCGCATTTGCAGGCCGACGCAGCCTCGGCGGTCGACCCGATTTGGGGCCCTCCTCCACCTGGGGTCCCATTCGTCCATTCAGGACCCATCATGGTACCGTTTGTAAGGAACACGCCCAACCCTCGTATCCTGGTCGGTGGCGGTAATCCCATCTGAGAATTGCGATTTAGGCCACCGAATCTCGGTTATTGATCTCAGATGGGTGCCGGGGGGTGCAGAGACACAGACGGAGAGGCTGGGAGCGACGCGCCCGTGACGCCATCGCGTAACGAGCTGCGAGGTTAGTACGTACAGGCTTGTCCTGAGGCGGGCTCCGTTGGAACCAGTGGGACTGGCTCCCGTGGATCGGGCTGAGATCTTGGTTCCCTCGTTCGATGGTGATCGTGAGGATGCGATCGGAGGAGCTGGGAAACGTCGCTGTGCTTTTCCCTGAGGATATTCATCACCACGTGTGTTCTGCCGGTCAACCTTACTGCCTGGGTGGCCATTCAGCTTGCGTCCTCGGTGGATGGGGCCGGGCCGATCGCCGCGGGTCCACGTGTTGGCCGCCGGGTTTGTTGGGGGAGTGGGCAAGTGGTGCGCCGGGTAAGGATAGAAGAAGCGTTCAGAAAATATGCTAGAGGGTGCTCAAAGTAGTGGTGGCTATATTTGCTTGGTCGGTGGAAGTGTGTGGTGAGCATGGATGCCCCCAGATATATATCTGGGACACAGAGTCAACACGCGTAGTGGAACACCAGCAGTCCGACTTGTCCAGCCATCGGATAGCAAAGATTGAGAACCATACTCGACTAATGATGGACCGATTCCAGATCATACTGCCAACGAAAGGGTTTCACTTTTAGCCCTTCTGATCTCCTTGCCGTGGCATAGTCTTGATGTGCACTGCAGCATACAGGCGATACCCATACTGTCACAGTCCCAACAATATGGTTGAAGCATGTTAAACTCAATATAGACAGACAGCGAGATTAGACGTGACTACCTACACAATAGCAATAATACCGTTGAGAACGGCGAGCCATTTCAGAAAACATTGTCACGAGGCAGGAACCGTGTGACCGTTTAGGTTGTTCGCCCAGGTAGATCCTTAAGCGCATGATTCTCTCGAGGCTCTTTTCGTCGCCCAAACCATCGCTGAAATGGAGCTGCTCGGGAACAATGCGTATATCAGTACAGATGATAGACAGGCTCGCAAAAGGGAGCTCACATAGCCGCGTTCCGTTATATCCTCGAATCCAATTATCCATATGTTGAGAATTTTCAACTGGGGGGTTCCAAAATGATTTCTAGAGATATGAACTTGGTTAAATGCCACTCAACACCCTAGCGCAGCCAGACAAGACTTACCTGGTACGCCGATGATGCGCCGTTAAACAGATACAGATAATGACAAGGAGAATAGTGACTGGGAGTATTACAGCAGCGATAGTATCGTTTGTATCAGATCGCCGTTGAATTCGAAATCCAGCGTGATAGTCGGACACGGGTGCCATGGTCGTGCTAGTGGCTTTAGGGCTGCTCGAAGATAGATATTGCGTGGTTGTAGTAATGAATCTTGGGATAGACGAAGAAACAGTATCTTTGATGACCATAAAATAGTTTTCGCAATAACTGATATCATCTTGACCACTTGATGTAGTATATACATGGAGGCTACCAGAAGCGTTCCAGAACAAAGTCCCCTATAGAGCCATGCACCGACTGCCAGACAGCCAGTTATCAAACAAGTGCGTTTTGGTCTCTTCAATTTACCTTGCTGCGATAGTGAACTATAAGGTTTCTCATATGTACTCAACTGCCTTGTCCTTGCGTGGGGCTTACCTAAGCCAGGGGGCTCCGGGGGCAGGTGGCTTTTCCGCGTGAAGGACGAAGGCCACACAGACTCGACGATCGCATTCTCTCCCCTATCACCGTCGTGTCCCCTCAAACAAACACTCGAGCCGACACTCTACAAACTCCAGACTGCCCCGGCCGCTGGAGGCCTCACTCTACACAGACCGACCCCGCGGCGCGCTGGATGAATCACAGGGACACTGATACATGACGTCTTTGTTGACACCCACGGTTCGCACTTCCCCAACAAACCAGTACCTGACGACCATCCCCCGATCACATATACCGGACTCGGAGCCAGACCCCGCGACATCGTTCTCGCCCGCGCTCCGTCGGGAGTTTGCGCATCGGTGTGTTTGTCACCGCCTGCGTCCCATTCTTGGATTCTGTGCCAGTCGTTCGGCGGCAGACACCCCCTAGTGTATGGGGTAGCGACACACCATGTCTGGCGGCGGTGGTAATATCAAGGTAGTGGTGCGCGTGCGGCCTTTCAACAGCAGAGGTGAGTACAAAACTGCCCCTCCTCCCCATGGCCTTGCCTGGGACAACTTGGAACTGACCCACGTTCTTCAGAGGTCGAGCGAAACGCACAATGTATCGTGCAGATGAAAGGCGCCCAGACGGTGCTCACAGCACCGGCGGGCGCCGAAGATAAATCACGAAAGGGTGGGAAAGGCGGCGGCGACGGACCCAAGACCTTTGCTTTCGATCGATCATACTGGTCCTTTGATAAGGACGCCCCCAACTATGCCGGTCAAGACAACCTCTTTGACGACCTGGGCATGCCGCTGCTGGACAATGCCTTTGGGGGCTACAACAACTGTATCTTCGCCTACGGTCAAACCGGTTCGGGAAAGTCATACTCGATGATGGGTTATGGCAAGGAGTACGGTGTTATCCCGCGAATTTGCCAGTCCATGTTCGAGCGCATTGTGCAGATCCAGGAGGACAAGAATCTCACTTGCACAGTTGAGGTGTCCTATCTCGAAATCTACAACGAGCGAGTACGCGATCTGCTCAACCCGTCGAACAAGGGCAACTTGAAGGTTCGCGAGCATCCGTCAACCGGCCCGTATGTGGAAGATCTGGCAAAGCTGGTGGTGCGCACTTTCGACGAAATCGAGAATTTGATGGACGAGGGTAATAAGGCCAGAACGGTGGCCGCGACCAACATGAACGAGACTTCCAGTCGATCACACGCCGTTTTTACGCTGACCCTCACCCAAAAACGCCATGACTCGGAGACATCGATGGATACGGAAAAGGTGTCCAAGATCAGCTTGGTCGATTTGGCAGGTTCGGAGAGAGCGAATTCGACCGGTGCTACGGGTGCCCGTTTGAAGGAAGGTGCGGAAATCAATCGTTCGCTGTCGACCCTCGGTCGTGTTATCGCAGCCCTCGCAGATGTCTCTGTCGGCAAGAAGAAAAATGCTTCAAAACAGGTACCGTACCGTGATTCGGTCCTCACATGGCTGCTCAAGGACTCCCTGGGTGGTAATTCAATGACTTCGATGATTGCTGCCATTTCGCCTGCGGACATCAACTATGAGGAAACTCTCAGTACCCTGCGCTATGCCGACTCGGCTAAACGAATCAAGAACCACGCCGTCGTGAACGAGGACCCGAATGCCCGCATGATCAGAGAGCTCAAGGAAGAACTGGCACAACTGAGAGCGAAGCTTGGAGGTGGTGCGGCAGTCGGAGCACCAGGGGCTGTACCTGGCGCACTGCCAACAGAAGAAGTCTACCCACCGGATACGCCACTTGAAAAGCAAATGGTCTCAATTCAACAGGCCGATGGTTCCGTCAAAAAGGTGAGCAAAGCCGAGATTGTCGAACAGCTCAACCAGAGTGAGAAGCTTTACAAAGATCTCAACCAAACATGGGAAGAGAAGCTTCAGAAAACAGAAGAAATCCACAAGGAACGAGAAGCCGCGCTGGAGGAACTGGGTATCAACATTGAAAAGGGCTTCATTGGTCTTAGCGGTCCAAAGAAAATGCCGCACTTGGTCAACTTGAGCGATGACCCCCTGCTGGCCGAATGCTTGGTCTACAACCTCAAGCCGGGAACCACCACGGTTGGACACATGAACCAAGGAAGTAACATCGAGATCCGGCTGAACGGCTCCAAGATCCTGGAGAAACATTGCACTTTCGAGAACTCGGACAATGTCGTGACCATCGTACCCAGCGAAGGCGCTGCCGTGATGGTGAACGGTCTGCGGGTCGACCAGCCCAAACGACTCAAGAGTGGTTTCCGTATCATCCTCGGAGATTTCCACATCTTCCGTTTCAACCACCCTCAAGAGGCCCGCGCTGAGCGAGTGGAGCAGAGCTTGCTGCGGCAGTCCGTCAACGCCAATCAGTTGGGATC